GAACCCCCAAGGTGACAGCAAGGACTGCAGGAGGAACAGGGCACCAGTCACAGCTTCTCGATTTGGAAAGAACTCAGCAGAGCAAGGATGGTAGAAAATCCAGAGATTTCTAAGAGACGCCCCTCTATGATTCCATTCTGAAATTCACCTGCATGTGTCCAGGGTGAGACAGTCCCCGGATGACAGATGAGGGGGTTCCCTCAGCTGCCCAGTTGTCACGGGAATTCACAGGAACTTGAAATTCACACAAGAAAAATTTCAAGGTGGCTCACCACGAGGGAGTGTCTCCCAAGGTGGAAGTTTTAGCAAGGATTTATTTTAGAATAACAGGGTAAAGTAGAGAGAAATGGGGCAAAGAGAGAAACATTTCCTGCTCCCCACACAGGCAATGGGAGTAACAGTTGTGTCTCTTGAAGCCAGGCCCCAGTGGCTCATGTCTGTAATCCTAGCTACTTGGGAGGCTGAGATCAGGAGGATGGAGGTTTGAGGCCAGCCCAGACAAACAGTTTGTGAGTCCCTACTCAAACTAACCAGAGCAAAATGGACGGGAGGTGCGGTTCAAGAGGTAGAGCGCCTGCTTTGCAGGTGTGAAGCCCTGAGTTCAAATTCCAGTGCCACACACACAAGCACACACTAAAAAAAAAATTAATAGTGGCTCTCATCTGGGGTCTTCATACTTTGTGAGTGGGACCAGGCTATCCAGCACCCCCTGGTCAGTAGACAATGCTTTGGATTGCCGAGATGCGTGCTGTTTGTTATTCTAAAACACAGAGATGTCAGCGAGGGACCACAGGTGGCTTTCAGGACTTCCCTTTCCCAGACCTGAGCTCCGGCTTTCTGCCTTCGTACCATTTGTGGAGAGTTTGTGGGTTCTTAGCATTTCACAGGGGAAGCAGATGCAGACAGCCTCTTATGTCACCCTGTCCTTATAGCTTACCGTGTAGAGGGAGGCCATAGCTTGCTGAACTGGTTTTTCGGTTCACGGTTCTAACCTCTGAGTGCAATCCTTTTCATATATATTATTAATTTCTCTGCCTGCCGCCGCACCTAGCTATCCTGCCTCACCCATCCACGGTAGGACAGAGAGGGCAACCAGAGACACACTAGCCAGAACCCAATGGAGGAAGGTTCTAGCATGATACAGGGACAACACAAATCAGGGGTCAGAGGGGCTAGTGGTGCTTCATGGGGACCTTGGTCAGGATGGACACCCCTGAATCTGTGGCCTAGACTTACATAAAACACAGGGACAACAGGTGTGAGCTTAGGACTTCCATTTGCTCTGGAGCATTCTGCCTCTCTAACGAGTCATAACACCGACAAGGAAGCAGATTCGCCCTTTGGTTCTCTTTTGTGATTCTAGAATTTGAACTCAGGGCCTCGTGCTTACTAAGCAGGTGCTCTGTCCCTGCACCAGGCCTCCAACCCTTTTTGCTTTGGTTATTTTTTGGATAGAGTCTTGCTTTTTACCCTGGGCTGGCCTTAAACCCGATCTCTGCCTCCAGCTAGCAAGAATAACACACATGATGATGCTTCTGGCCCACCTTTCCCTCGTCTATTAATTTTGGCGGGGAGGTTAGGGGCAGTACTGGAGCTTGAACTCAGGGCTTTGCACCTGCTAGGCAGGCACCATGCCTCTTGAGCCACACCCCCAGCCCTTTTTGCTCTGGTTATTTTGAGCTCACTATTTTTACCCAGGGCAGCCTAGCTCACAATCCTATTTTAGGTTTCCAGCCATAGCTGGGATGGTGGGTGAGCCACCACACCCAGGTTTTTTCCATTAGGATGGGGTCTCACAAGCTTTTTTGCCCTGGGTAGCCCAGAAGCAGCTTCCTCCCAATCTCAGCCAGCCAAGTAGCTTGGGATGGGAGCTCGTGTCTCTGATTTCTTAGCTTCACTTCCTTTGTCTGTTTTAATTCCTGAGTTTTGGCTTTTTGATAGTTGCTATTTTTAGTCTCCCTGAAGGCTCACCCTAATCCCGCTCTGCCTGTGTCTCTGTCTCTCATCCTCTGTCTTAATCTTTGTGTCTCTCTTCCTCCCTCCTTCCCTTCTCCCATCTCCTCCACCAGCCCTTTGTGTGGCTACTTTGATGGCCGTTTTCCTCCTCAGAATGTGAACTTCATGAGGCAGATTCTCCTCCGTGCTTTCTGTCTGTCGTATCCCCTGTGTCTGGAATCGTCCCCATCAATAAATAAATATTGAATGTTTACAGGATGTTTTAGGCCCCAGGAGCCACTCATCCCAACATACCAGCCAAGCACCAGTGGCTCACGCCTGTAATCCCAGCTACTTGGGAAACTGAGACCCGAGGGATGAAGGTTCCAGGCCTAGGATGGGTTTTTGAGACCCCCATCTCCAACATAGCCAGAGCAAAATGAACTGAGGTGTGGCTCAAGTGGTAGAGTGCCTGCTTTGTAAGCACAAAGCCCTGAGTTCAAACCCCAGTCCCACCAAAATACACACACGCACACATACAGACAACAGCAACAGCAGAAAGACAATGATAGTGAAGGGCAGAGAAAGGAGTTCTGTTCTGGCTTGGGCATCATCCACCATCTTCCCAGAAGAGACATTTGCCTTGGTTTGCACAGAAGGAAGAATTGGAGGCGGGAGGACAAATGAGCATAATTACTCAATGCGCGTTTCAGAGCAGTGGGTTGGTAAAAGAATTTACCAAGTCAGGGGAGTAGGAAAAGCAAAGATTTACTAGAAAAATCTTTAAACGGAAAGAAAATGGCAAGTGGTAAACAAGGGAGCCTAAGGCTTCAGAGAACATCTTTTTAACTTGGGCTAGGCTCCTTTTGATCGGTCGCCTCCCTTTTTTGTGGTCCTTGCTGATTGGGTGTGTCTTTCTCCAGCATGGCAGAAATATTTTGGAGCTTGACCACTTCCACATTCCATCTGTCCATTTCCGACTTGGTCACCTCCACACTCCACATGGCCCTTGGTATTTTTCTGTCCTCCGTGTCCTCTTGAAAGGATGGAGCTTCCTCTATGTTCCCAAGAGAACACAGAACCAATCCTGGTTTTGATGGGTGATGATCTTATCTTGTAAATATTTACTGCTGGTTAGGGTCATAGAAATGTCCCTTTTTTTTTTTTTTTTTTTTTTTTATTGTTCTGGCAAAGGGTTCTGGAGCAATCGGAGGGGACAGGTGGGAATTTAATTAACTGACAGAATAAAATTACATGAAGGCCTAGTCCAGAGGCCTAACAGGCTCTGGAGGGTCAGACAGAAGGGGATGGAACCCACATTTTGGCACATCTGTAATTTATTCCCAGTCAATGATGTGTTCAGTTGTCAGAGGTGGTGGCAGGTGGTCTGGCACCTGCCAGGGTCGGTCAAGTGAGCCTTGTTACAACAAGAGTCCTTGCTGCCTGGCAAGTGGTCTGTCTTGGGAGGCTCTGCTATTCCTTTTAGGGGGGAGTTTTGCCCATTCCCTGCTGTAAAGATGTTATGATCAGTTCTCTCCTTTCTGGATTCCAAGACGGCTGCAGGAGAAAACAGTTCAGAGTCACAGATACAAAATGGAGGCAGGGCTGCCAAGTTTTTCTTCTGCTTCCAGTTAATTTGTGTAAAGATTCAGTACTCCTCAGCAAAGCAGATTTTACGTGTCTGCGGCAAGTGGCAGGACACCTGGTAGGTAAAAACTCAGGATTGGTTGGTCCCAGTTCTGGGTTCCAATCTCAGCTCTGCCACTCAGCAGCAGGAGCCTTTGGCAAGTTGTTGAGTCTCTTTGAGCCTCAGTTTCCTTACCTGGAAATTGGGAATGGTCCTGTTACTAGAATCAGTGTGAGTTTGTGAAACAAAAAAGAATTTTAGGACACATCAAGGTAGAGACCAAGAAAGTTTATTAGTAAGCACAAGAAAGAAAAGCTGGAAAGACAGTACAAAGCCCAGGCACATCTGCCGGGAGTGCTCTCTGACCTCAGGGGTATTTATCGTGGAAAGGTAAGTGGGGGTTTGGCTCAAATTCACTTAGGAAAAGTGCTCCCCTTTGTCCTGACACCTGGCATATTTAATCATTGTTGCTGTTCCACTGTTTTATCAGATTTTAAGGTTGGGGCTAGAGGTGTGGCTCAAGCAGGAGAGCATCTGTTTTGCAAGCACAAAGTCCTAAGTTCAAACCCCAGAAAAAAGTATGAAAGAGGTTCTTTGTTGTTGTTGTTGTTTTCAGTACTGGGGCTTGAACTCAAGGCCTACACTCTGAGCCACTCCACCAGCCCTTTTTTGTGATGGGTTTTTTCAAGATAGGGTCTCTACAACTATTTGCCTGGGCTGGCTTTAAACTTTGATCCTCCTGATCTCTGCTTCCTGAGTAGCTGGGATTATAGGCGTGAGCCACCAGCATCAGGCCATGTTGGGTGGTGTGTGTGTGTGTGTTTGTGTGTTTGGTGGTACCTGGTCTTGAACTTAGGGCCTCACACTTGCTAGGCAGGTTCTACCACTTGAGCAACTCCACCAGTCCCTGTGTTGGGTGTTTTCAAGATAGGGTCTCTTTCCCTATTTCCCTGGGCTGGCCTCAAACCACAATCCTCTTGATCTCTGCTTCCTGAGTAGGTAGGGGGCCCGCTAATAACATTCTTTTTTTCTTTTAGTGGAACTGGGGTTTGAACTCGGGGCTTTGCCCTTGCAAAGCAGGCACTCTACCACTTGAGCCACTCCTCCAGTCCATTTTGCTCCGTTATTTTGGAGATGGGGGTCTTGAGAACTATTTGCCCAGGCTGGCCTTGAACCTCGATCCTCTCAATCTCGGCCTCCTAGGTCGCTGGGATTCCAGGTGTGAGCCCCTGCGCCAGGGCTTCCTGTGCTCTTCATCAAACCATTTATTCATACAATGCTTATCTCCGACTTCCTGACTGCTGGGTGGCAAGCCTCCTTCTCCTACACCGCCCTGCCTGGGTCAATTCGGTGTCAGGGTGACAGGGTGACAGTGCCCCCCCCCACGCCGGCGCCTGCGCGGAGGGAGGCCCCGCCCCGCCCTCCTTGTCACCTTCCCTTGCGGCCAAGTCACTGCGCTTCACCCGAATTTCCCCATTCCCGCCGCAGGCTCCGGACAGCATGGTCCTTGGGACATTCCTGGCCAGGTGTCGGGATTGTCACTCCCGTTAGGGACAGCGGCAGAGGCAGATCGGAGCGACGGACCGCGGAGGGACAGCATGGCCGGCGCGCTGCTGCTGCTGCTGCTGCTGCTGCTGCTCGCTCTGACCGGCGGCTCCGGTAAGTGACACCCGCCCTGTCCCCTCCCCAACCCCAAGCCCCCTCCCCAACCCCAAGCCCCCTCCCCAACCCAGCGGGGCCACCGGTCCCCGCGCCACCCCCAGCCCGCCCTGCGCTCGGCTGCGGACGCCTACCCCCCCACACCCTCGGTGACTCAGGGCCTGTAACCCTACTCTCATGCCACACCCTTGGGGACACCATGGCTGAAGGGGCGGGTGGAGACAGCAGCTGGCGACCCATTCATTCCAGTAGGCATCCAGCTACCATGAGACCCAAGTGTTGGGGATCCTGGCTTGAACAGAGTCAGCTTGTGGCGTCTAATGTGTGTGCGTGTGTTCAATGGGGGGGGCGGGTCTGGCAGAACGTAAGGCGATGTCCGGTCACCGCAACTAGGGACATGTGAGCAGGGCTGCGCGGTGGCTCACACCTGTAACCCCAGGGACTCAGGAGGCAGCGATCAGGAGGATCGAGGTACGAAGCCAGCCCAGGCAAATAGTTCATGAGACCCTATCTCGAAAAACCCTCCCCAAAAAAGGGCTGGTGGGTGATTCAAGGTGTAAGCCCTGAATTCAAACCCAGTACTGCAAAAAATAAATAAAAATTTAAAAAGGACAGGAAAGGAGAAAGAAAAGGAAGGGGGTGGGGGAAGCCTGAGTGTGGAACCTGGAGTTTCTTCTTATTTCAGCATTTCCTCAAAAAAAGTGAGTGGAAAACACTGTGGCAGTTTCCTAGAACAGAGAGTGTCCCCGATTGAGGAGCTCACCAAAGGCCACCACGCTGAGCTAAAGTACCTTGAAGAGATTCCCAACAAGGAACTGTTCACAGACTGGGAGGCGGAGGCAGGAAGTCTCAGAGCTCAAGAATGAGCTGACACAGTCACTTAGGCTCCACCACCAGGGTTGGGGAGCCCTGGGAATCCCAGCACTGGTCAGACCCAGCTCTGGACCCTCCCCTGCTGGGTGGGCCAGGCCAGTAACTTCACTCTGTCCTCTCACTTGTCCCAATCTGCCCAATGGAATGGACCCAGGGGTCACAGATCAGGGGAAAGGTTGGAGGAGGCTGCTGGTGGGGCCACACCTCCCACGTTCACTCCCAGGACAGTCCCTACGTTAGGGGACCTTGCATCACTTCAAGAGAAGGAATTAGGTGACAGGAGACCCCCAAAGCCACATGCAAGGCAATGGTAAAGTCAGCATTCAAACCCCAAAGCCAGCCCCCTGGCCAGCACACTCAGCATCCCACAGTCACCAGTATCCAAACTGTGCCCTCCTTCCACCTCCCTCTAGTGGTATCTGTGTCCACTGCCTTCTGGCTTCCACTTCTTCATGGCCACTAGTATTCGCCATTATAGAGGGCTGACCACATGTACTCCCACACACATATTTCATGATTTAATCTTTCCCATCCAGTCTCATTTTCACCCCTTCTGTGTTAGTCAGCAGGCTGTCACCATGCCAAATACCTGAGGTAATCAACTTATAAACAGAAAGGTTGCCAGGCTTGGTGATGCATGTCTGTAATCCCAGCTAAGCAGGAGGAAGAGATGGGAGGCTCACAGTCTGAGGCTGGCTCTGCAAAAATCCTGAGACCCTATATGAAAAATAACTAAAGCAAAAAGGGCTGGGTGGGTAGCTCAAGTGGTAGAGTGCCTACCTAGCAAGTTCAAGGACCTGAGTTCAAACCCCAGTACCACAAAAAAGGGGGAGGGGAGAGAAAGGTTTATTTTTGGAGGATGGAGTCCATGTCAATTGTCCCCATTGTTTTGGGCCTGTGACTAGGTGACATATCGTGGCATGGAGCTTGTGGTGGAGCAAAATTGCTGACCTCATAGTGACAAAGCAAAAGAGAGAAAAAAGAAGAGTCTGGGGTCGCACAAGCCCCCTTGAGGGCACTTCCTGTGTCCTAACAACCTCCTACTAGGCCCCCTTTTTTTTTAAAGACAGGATCTTGCTATGTAGCTGGAGCTGACCTGGAACTCTCAATCCTCCTGACTCAGCCTCCCTAGTGCTGGGATTATAGATGGGCCTATCATGCCCAGCTAAGCCCCACCTCTTAAGGGGCCAAGCCTTTACCATGCAAATGAGCGTAGCCATTTTGCAGGGGAGAAAACTGAGGCTCTAAGTGCAACAACCTGTATAGCGGCCCCAGCTAGCGAGGGGCAGGGCTGAACCTTTCTCCCTCCCACCTTCTTATTCTTATTCACAAGAAGGTATTGCACAAGCTGACACACACACACATTGAGGGCCTACTGTGTGCTGGGCTGAAGACAGATTTTCATGTAGGTCCTGGAGAACTGACCCCAGGTTCAAATCCCACCTCACTTGCTTACCCCGCTGTGACCTGGAACAAACCACCGCGTAGCTCAGTCTCCCGATGTTGTGACGGCACTGGGATTTGAACTCCGGACCTTGCACTTGCAGGTGCTCAACCACTTGATTTACTCCCCCAGCCCTTTTTGCTTTATTTATTTTTCTAATAGGATCCTGGATAGCGATCCTCCTACTTATGCCTCCCACATAGCTGGGACGACAGGCACTTGCCAGCACTCCCAGTTTCTTTCCGTTGAGATGGGGTCTCGCAAATTTTTTTGCTAGGGCTCTCCTGGAACCATGATCCTCCCCATCTCAGCCTCTCACTTAGCTGGAATGACAAGCGCACCCCACTTGTATGCAACTGTTGGTTGAGATAGGGTCTTATGAACTATTTGCCTGGGATTGGCTTCGAACCGTGATCCTCTCTATCTCAGCCTCCCAGCACCTAGGATTACAGGCATGAGCCACCACACCCGGCTTCAGTTTCCCCACTTGTAAACGGTGCTCCCGGTTTCCCCCCAGGGACCCAGCCCATGGATGTGAAGGTGCTGTCCCAGGTGATCGGCTTCGTGGGCGAGTCTGTGACGCTGCCGTGCCACCTGCAACTTGTGGAGTCCACCTTGGAAGTGACCCAGATCACGTGGATGCGGGAGGAGCCTGAGGACACAGTGGCCGTCTTCCACCCCAAGCAGGGCGCCACCTACCCGGACCCCAAGAGGACGCGGTTCGCGGCGTACAGGCAGGGCATGGATCCGCAGGATATGGATGTGTGGGATGCGTCGCTGATCCTGGCGGAGGTGCGCGCAGAGGACGAAGCCAACTACACGTGCACCTTCGCCACCTACCCCATGGGCAGCAGGAGCGCGCGCACCCAGCTGCGAGTGCTGGGTGAGCAGGCCGGGGTGGGGGAGAAGCCACTGCGGGGGGGGGGGACTACCAAAGATGGGGAGACCTGGGGGAAAGACAGGGCTGCCCTGCAGATTCCTGGGAACTAAAGGAAACAGCAGGCAGGGGACCTTAGTGAGCTTGGGGACCGAGGACACACTATAGGGGAGCAGGTGTTGGTGTTGGGTGGGACCTCAGAGGCTGGACTGAGGGCAGTGTTTTCATCTGGGTCCGTTTTCCTTTTCCTGAGGTTTTGGGATCTTGGGGTCCATCTGGGGGAAGCACCAAGAAGCCAGGCTCTCCCTGGGGTGACCCGGTAGCTTCTTACAGCTGCCACTTACTGCGTGTTTTGGTGACAAGCAAAGTTGCAAAAGGCCAAGGGGAGAGAGCCTAGTCCCCGCCTCCAGGGTTGTCATGGGAACGGGAGTTCATTTACCAGGCACCAGTAGAAAAAAATGACAACCCCCAAAAAAGAAAAAACAAAAAATACAAAAAAAAAAGACAAACCTTTTTCTTAGAACTTGAGCCCAGTCTCTCTGTGCCTCAGTCTACCCTTCTGGGTCCCCAGCCCAGCAAGGGAGCAATCTGCCTTCCCCTAGGATGGCACGCCCCATGACAGAGCAGGGCCAGGTGGTCTTGGTCACTCCTGGGTCCCTAGCACTGCACAGGGGAATTTTTTTGAGCACTTTTTATGGGTCAGAGAACATTCTAAGAGCTTTACCTGGCTGTGATCCCTTCCTTATCCCCAGTTGACACACAAGGAAACTGAGGCCCGGACTTGCCCAAGGTCACCCAGCTGCTGAGGGGCAGACAAGGGATTTGAGCCTGACCCTTTAAATGTTCCCTCCCCCGTGCTGACAGATTTTGGGGGTGACACAAGCAGAAGGTGACCTGTCCTTCTTGTCCCCCTCGCAGCCCGGCCCCAGAGCACAGCCAAAGCCCTGGCAGTCCCGCTCAGCCCGCTCCCCTCCGAGCCTGTGCCCGTGGCCCGCTGTGTGTCCACTGGGGGACTCCCGCCCGCTGAAATTTCCTGGTTGTCACACGAGAACATCCCCACCAATGAGACCAAGGACCCAGGGGGCACGTACACGGTCACCAGCTTCTTCACCTTGGTGCCCTCGAGCCAAGACGACGGCAAGAATGTCACCTGCAAAGTGCAGCATGAGAGCTTGAAGGAGCCGGTGCTGCTGCCAGTGACCTTGGCCTTGCACTGTGAGTACATCCACGCACACATGAGGGCCAGGCTGCCTCCACCCGCTGTCTACACCCGCTCCCAAGGCCACTGTCCACATCACCTCCAGCATCTGCATGGCTCCCTCTGTCCCCTGCTACCATCTACACACCCCAGCCCATTGTCTATACTGCCTATGCCAAACTCCCTCAGGAGCATTGGACTGTCTCTACTGCATGCTGGCTCTGTTGACTTGCCCCTGTTTTTTCACTGGCTCCCCTGGGCAGTGTCTACACTGCCCTCCCGAGGTAGTCTGCACTCCCTGCAGCCCAGTGCTGTGCACACTGGTGCATCTACAGGTTGTCTACACCCACACACACACGCCGCCACACCGCCTTGACTGTGTTCTGTCTACACTGCCTGCTCTGAGTCTCCCACACAGTGTCACCTCCTCTAGCTCCCTGGAGAAATCGTCCACATTGACAGCCCTGGGGACAGAAGCAGAATGCTAGTGCCCACGTCATTTTAAATTGTCTGGTGCCCCATTTCTAAAAAAAACAAATCAATTTGTTTCTTTTTTTTTTTGTGGTACTGAGGCGTGAACTCAGGGCCTACACCTTAAACCACTCCAGCAGCCCTTTTTTTGAAGGTTTGTCAAGATAGAGTCTTGAGAACTATTTGCCCAGGGCTGGCTTCAAACTGGGATCCTCCTGATCGCTGCCTCCTGAGTAGCTGGGATTACAGGAGTGACCAACGGCACCCAGTAAGACAAAATCAATTTTGATAATAAATTTAACATGGTCCGACAGATCTGAAATATTATCATTTCAGCATGTGACAGGTTTTAAGAACTGACTCATGAGATCTTTTCTATTCTTCTGGCCATCTTTGAAATCGGGAGTGCATCTGAGACCAGCTGCTGCCAAGTGCTGCAGTCACATATGTGTCACTGGTGCCACCATATTGGACAGCTTGGATCTCAGTGTATTGATGGCTGGTGTCCACACACACAAACACACACACACAGTCAATTTCATCAGCACCTGGATCCCACTCTATGCTGATGGTACCCCTGATATTTTTGTCACAGAGTCCCCTGGAAACTGACTATTGTGATACCATCTACTCTGCTGACTCACCACCCTGTCTACACTGAGCCATCAATGACAACAACACAACCCTTCCTGTGCAGTCTCCACAGCATCCCCACAATCGTTGTCTATACTGCCTGTTCACCCAGGCAGTTGGTACACTGATTGCCCTCAACCCTGTCACTGGGTCTCAGGGAGGAAGAAATCTGTACTGACTCCCAAACAACACTGTCTTGTTGGTCTTTTTCCTAAGTACACAGAAAAATCTTCCCTGTGGATCACATTTGGGGTGGATAAGCAGTGTAGATTGAAGGAATGTTGGCTGGGACACTTGCCTGCAGGACTTGTCAGAGCCTTGAATGTGCTCTTGTATGTTAGGCCTGTCCAAGGAGCCTTTGCTCATTGAACACTCAAGGCAGAAGTGGAACTGCCAGAGAAAGGCAGGTCCTGGAAACCCTTCTGTGCCCACCCTGACGGGGGACACCCAGGCTTCTGCTCTCTGAGAGAAGCCATTGTCCTGGACTCACAGGCCTCTCTGTGTCGGGCTGCTACCCAGTCTGCTGAAGGAGGGGCCTCTGACTGTCCCCAGTCTCTGAGCCCCATGGTCCTTTCCCTCAGATCCACCTGAGGTCTCCATCACCGGCTATGATGACAACTGGTACCTCGGCCGCAGGAATGTCGCCCTGACCTGCCACGCCCACAGCAACCCCAAGTCCGAAAGCTACAACTGGAGCACGTGAGTCACAAGACTCCAAAAGTGGGTCTGAGGGAGGAGGCTGGGACCTGGACCCCTAGGTCTAAAGGAGGACTGGGGCCTGAACTGCTGGGTCTGAGGGAAGAGGGTTGGGGCCTGGATTCCTGGCTCTGAAGAAGGAAGGAATGCAGGAAGGCAAAAGGACAGAAAGGCGACACCTGCAGTGACACAACTTTCCAAGATGATTCAGTCGAGGCAGAGGGTGCACCCTCTCCTCAGTGCCCCAGCTTTGCCAAGGCCCAACCCCCTGCTGGGATCAGGCACCACACCCAGCACTGTGGCCCTCAAGGATCATGTGTTTGGGACCAGGGCTCAGTGTGCCACTCCTAGGAGGTCAAAACCAAAACAAAGACCAAACACTCTCTACAGTGCATCTGGCTCCAGAGTGGGCCTTCCTAGTCTGTGGCCGTGTCCCCTCCGCATCCCTGGGGCAGCCTGCAGTCAGATTTCCCCAAATTCAGGCAGAGGTTGAGGTTATAAGATAAGATTTCTTTTTTTTTTAATAGTGCTGGGGCTGGAACCCAGGGCCTCAGCACTTGCTGGCAAGCGCTCTACTGCTGAACCACACCCTAGCCCAAAGGTAGCCACTTCATTTCCTATTGGGCCTTTTCTCTTATTATAAAAATAACTTATGACTAACCATTAATACAGTTAGGAAAAAAGAAGAAAATACTGCCTACCATCAAGAGTAGCCAGTCACCTCCAAAAGTATCTACTGTTACCTTTTATTATACATCCTTTCCGGTTTTTTTTTTTTTTTTTTTCTGATTCACAACAACTGAATTGTGTTTTGGGTGCAATTTTGAAACTTCCTCTGTCTCGTGAATTCCTTGTCGTGTCAGCGTGCAAAGTTCCACACCCTGTACCCGCCAACATTTTATTACAGTTTCCCAACATACAGAAAAATCTTAAGAATTTTCCAGTGAACACTCAAAAGTCCACCTTGGGGATTTTCCCACTAATGACTTATTGGATTTTAAAAATCCCATTTGTGTCCACCCATCTATGCCTGTAATCCATCAGTCAGTCCATCTTGGATTTTGTGTACTTCAAACGTAAAACCCCATGTTATCTTTTCTTTTGGTTTTGGTTTTTTGAGACAGGGTCTGGCTATGTAGCACAGGCTGGCCTTGAACTCACGATCCTCCTGCCTCACCGCCCTTTGTTAATATGACTTTACATGTGTCATCAGTCCCCAGTGTAGGAAATGGAAGTCACTTTCCATTTTTAACTAAGCAAATGTCATGATGATGACTCTACTAAATCCCCCTCCTCTGGATAGCCCCTGTCATTTACTGATTGTCAATGGAAATAATTGCTGTCAACAATTTGGCATTTTAGGACTAGGGCTGCCGCTCAGGGTGGAGCACTTGCCTAGCACGTGTCAGGCCCTAGACTCCATCCTTGGCACCACACACACACACACAAAGCCAGGTGTGGTATCTCATACCTGTAATCCCAGCCACTGGGGAGATGGAGATGGGAAGATGACAGTGCAAGTCTGGGAAAAGTGGGAGACCTTATCTGAAAAATAAACCAAAAAGAAGGCTGGGAGTGGTGGGTGCTGGTGGCTCACACCTGTAATCCCAGCTACTTAGGAGACAGAGATCAGGAGGATCACAATTCAAAACCAGCCTGGGCAAATAGTTCACGAGACCTTATCTTGAAAAACCCTTCACAAAAATAGGACTGGTGGAGTGGCTTAATGTGAAGGCCCTGAGTTCAAACCCCAGAACCACAAAAAAAAAAAAGACACTTACTGCTCTGTCTCAAAGTGCCAAGATTTAGGTTACAAGTCAGGTAGAGATTTACATCCTGGCTCTACAGAAAGCCAAAACCTGCCAGCTGCCACCTCCTCCACCTCTGTTACTTGAACTGGAGAGCTGGGCTGCGACCCTGACACAACTTGGTAAATGAGACAGGCCAAAGTCCCTTCCCTGTGAGCTGCCGTTCCAGTGGGGAAGAGGAAAATAAACAAAATGAACTTGTAAAGTATCTAGTGTGTCCAATACTGATTAAAAAAAAAAAAAAAGCCTTGAGAAAGAACAGAGAAGGGGTCTGGTGTAGAAACGGGTGGCCAAGGACAGTGTTGTCAACCAAGGTAACATCTGATCGGAGGCCTGGACGAGGCCAGCCAGGGTGTGCTCTGCTGGGAACAGCATTCCAGGCAAAGGGAACAGCATCAACCCTGTACATGCTCACTGCCTAGAGGTATAACTGCAGAGTTTCAGGGTCAAACAAGAGGCCACTGTGATCACAGACGGGAACAAAAGGGGATCGGGGCTGGATCACTTGGGACCTGTAAGCAGGGCGACACTGGCTTTGCTCTGAATTAGGCAGCCTCCCCCTCCATCCCTGGGGTGGGCGACCTCTGGTGGCCAGGAGGGGAACAGATGGGGTAAGGGCAGAAATTGGAGTCCCAGTGAAAGCCAGAAGGGGGAGGTGATAGGGAGCACTTAGATAAAGGGGGGAACCAACAGGAGGTGCTCCCAATACAGGGTGAGGGTGTCAGGGAAGAGCCTGGACTGCTGTCAACCTGTATCATAGGGCATCTGTGTTCCTGTCACATTCTGGATCACTCTGGCCTCCAGCAGAGGCCCCGTGCTCACCTGTCTGTCTCTCCAGGCCCACAGGTCCCCTGCCTCACTCTGCTGTGGCCCAGAACAACAAGCTCTTCATCCATACCGTGGACGAGTCTGTCAACACGACCTTCATCTGCAGTGTCACAAATGCCCTAGGAACCAGGCAGGAGGAAATGGCCATCCAAGTCAAAAGTACTGAGGAGAATGGGGAGACCCGCAGAGGGGCGGGGGGGAGGCACAGGGTCCCTTTGTGGTGCTTGATGCAGGGGAGCCCTAAATCCACTTGTGACAGGACCAACAGGGTCCACTTTGAACCATTCAGTGCTATTGGTCAGACACCTGGACACAGACCGGCCCTCCACCCACCCAGGCTGGGGCAGGTATGAGATGCCCCTTCCTTGGGGGCTCAGAAAGAGCCTGCATTATACAGAGCCCTATCCTTTGTAATTGGCAGACATGACTTAAATAACTAGGACTTCGTTGAAAATTCACCTTCAGGTTTGGTTAGATCCAGGCGCTGCACCTCTTTAGCTCTCTTTTCCTCATGCTGGTTTCTTCTCAGGCAGGCTGTGTCCTCGGGGACTCAAGGTGGCCCTCACGCTAGGACACTCACATCCCACCAGAGGCTTAGCAGCTACAGGGGAAAGAGCAGCGCTCTTTGAATAGCTCCAGCCAAAGTCCCAGGGCTGCCTCCCATTGGCCCACGTGTGAACCAATCACAGCAGCCTGGGAGAATGGGATGTTCTGATTGGCCAGGCCTGAGCCAACGCCCCCTCCTAGGACCCACAGGGTGGAGTGGAGTCCGGCTGAAGGGATGGACTGGGGGAGGTGGAAGGAAATTCGGGTGCCGCTTCACGGACAAGGGGTGGCACTTTCCAGACAGATGAGACCCCTCAAAAGTTTCCTGACCTGCCCGTTTCCATCTCCTCCTCCAGAGACATTGTCAGGCACAGACAGGAGGACTGTCATCACCATCGCCATTGTCCTTGTGATCATCGCGGTTATCGTGGGAGGCCTAGGGTTCTGTTGTGTGAGGCAGAGGAGACATCGGGGTGAGTCCCTTCCTCAGATAATTATTTCATAAATATTTGCGATGGGGGAGATTGTGGAGCTTTTTTAGGGGCATATATTAAATTGTAGGTAATAAGGGATTTTGTCATGGCGTGCCCACCTTTATAATGTACCTTGATCTCATTCACCCCCCACCTCTCTCTCTGGCACTGGGGTTTGAATTCAGGGCCTCACGCTTGCTAGACAAGTGCTCTACCACTTAAGCCACCCACGCACCCTCAGCCCTTTTTGCATTTTTACGTTATTTTTCACCTAGGATCTTTCATTTTTTTGCCCAGGGCCAGCCTCAGACCACCATCCTCCTACCTATGCCTCCCAAGTAGTCCCAAGAAGCTGAGATTTCAGGCATGCACCACCACACCCAGCTTGTTTGTTGAGATGGGACGTCAGTCCTCCTTTCTCTGCCTCCAGAGTAGCTGAGAGTACAGGTGTGAGTCATTGCACCTGACTCTATTACTCTCTTACTGTCACTCTTCCCTTCCTTTTTTCCTTTCCCTTTCTGCCACCGCAGTAGTCCTCCCTTCATTTTTGTGAACTTGGTGGTTGTTTTCCTTTGTTTTGTTTCCCCTTGGCTTTCACGAATGAGAGAAAACATGTCTTTTTGGGACTGGCTTATTTCATTTAACATAATGTTCTCCAATTCTAGCCATTTACCTACAAACAGCATAACTGCACTCCTCTTTATGGCTGAGTAATACTCCATTGTGTAAATACACCACCTTTTCTTTATGCATTCACCCATTGATGGACACCGGGGCTGACTCACAGACTGGCAACTGTGAGTGCTGCTGCTATAGACACGGGGTGCAGGTGTCTCTACTGTCAGATGACTTAGATTCTTCGGGGTGCCTATCCAGGAGTGGTATAGCTGGGCCCTACGGGAGTTCATCGTAGAGCCCTTAAAGGCCACATAAGGACTTTGGCTTTTAATTCAGGCCACATGGGAGGCCCTGAAGGATGGCTGGAGAGTGGAATGACACCCAGTACCCTTGAACCTACCCTCTAAAGGGCCTGATGCCTCCACACCTGAAGAGCTTTGTATGGGCTGTTCCCTGCCTGGAACTCCCTCAGCCGTCGTCATCACTTCTTTTCTCCTCCACTCCCCTCCCCTCTCCTTTTTCTTTTTCTTTTTTGGTGCTGGGGTTTGGATTCAGGCCCGTTCATGCTCGGCAAGCGCGCTACCACTTGAGCCACATTCTTCAACCATTTTGTTTATATTTTATTTTTTGAGACAGAATCTGGCTATGTAGCCCAGGCTGGCCTTGAACTCCTGGTCCTCCTGCCTCAGCCTCTTGAGTACTGGGATTACAGATGTGTGCCACTATGCCCAGCTCACATTTTCTTCTTCATTTACTTTTACAAAGGAGAGAGAGAGAGACAGAAAGAGAGAGACTATCTCCAGGAATATCCACCAAGGAAGGAAGGGAGGGAGACAGCAAGGGAGGGAAACCAACCAAACAAAAAACCCTGTTGAATAGTTGAGAAAACAGAGGCACAGAGAGGTTAAGTCACTTAGTCCGGGTCACACAGCTCCTAAGGACAGAGATGAGATTTCAGCCCATGAGAGATAAGTTTATTTATGCTTAATAACCAAATGCATGGCTGGATGACCAACTCCTTAAAGAGCCCCACACCAGCCCTGTTTGACAAACGTGTACCCCCACAGTGCCGATGTCCCCAGGTCAATAGCAGAGGCGAGACGGGGCTTACTCCCGTCTTCCTCCAACAGTTCCCAACATTGTTCCTTCCTGAATAATTCTCCTTCTGCTTCACCAGGTCAGCAACAGTCCAGCCCCTCGGCGAACGGGGTGAGTGTGGAGGGGGAGCTGAGGACGGGGTGGGGGCCACAGACCAATTGCCAGAACTTTCCACCGCAGGCGCCCACAGTGTGACATCTGGAGCCTGGGCCTTTTCTCCCAGTGCCTCGAGCTGCAGAAGTAGCAGGCAGAGGTCCCTGTGGAATTTTCTAGAATGCAGGCCCTTGGGAGTCGGGTCTGGTGGAGCCTGGGGATGTGCATTTTGATCTGTGTCCCACACACGCACCTACGATCATCCTTGGGGACACTGCCCTGGCTTCCAGGAGAGGGGATTGGGCAGTGGGCTGCTCTTTGCTCATGGTTGGCAGGGGAAGCTTTTGTCTGATTTTCTTTGAAAGGAACCAAGACTAATGTTTAAACTGCCCTTTTCCAGGCTGTCCACTATTCACTTGTGAACACTGGTGAGGTCAACTCTCCCCAGGACCAGCCAACACGGAGCACCAGGTGACGGCCCAGGCGCCAGGTCACCCACGCATGTCTCCTTGAGTGGACAGAGAGACAGAGCTGGGGAGGCCAGGGCCTCTCTGAGTGGCCCCACCCCACGGAGGAAGCCTCCTCCAGAGGGACAGGCCACCGCCAGATGCACCCTCTGCTGCCCGGAGCAGTGGCTGGTACAAATTTAGGAGCCTCCCAGAACCCCCCCTGCCCCAGCCATTGCAAAGACTCACAGAACCAACAAAAAGATAATCAGACCAGCCAAGGAAAAGGAGCACAGGACAGGTCCAGGGGATCCAGGCGCAGCTGCCAGCTGCCACTCCCCAGGATTCATGGAGACTGCTGTTTTCCCAGCAATAATGTGTACAGCATACAAAACCATCACCGGCAAGCTGGCATGGTGCTTCATGCTTGTAATCCCAGCTACTCAGGAAGCAGGAGGATCAGGAGTTCCAAGCCCGCCTGGGCTACACAGTGAGTTCACAACCAACCAGCAAGCTCCATCCCAGACTGCAAAAGAAGAAAAAAAAAAAAAACTTTACAAAGGCCTATGAGCTTGGAGGTTGCAAAAAAAAACAGAAACAAGAAGGATTTGGGGTTTGCTCTGGGAAAAGACAGGAGAGTATAGAACAAAAAAGGATTGGGAAGAGAGGAACCAGGATGATGGGACAATTGGGTAAATTAGGGGGAGATGAGACCGGGGGGCCCACAGTATAGGGGAGACAAGAGACCATCAGTCCCTTGACCACCTGGCACTTTCACTAAAGCTTATTTATTAATTAATTTATTTTTATTTATTATATCTCCAGTAGCTATGTGGAAGGCATCTTTTGTGGGAACTAAGGAAGGGCTGAGTTTAGTGTGACAGTCACCACCTGTGACAGAAGCGGGGGTGTGAGCATTGACCCTGAAGTGAGAAAGACGTCAGGGTGACAAGTGTGATGCTACACGTCTATAATCCCTGCACTCTGGAGGTGAGGGCAGATGATCATGAGGTTGAGGCCAGCCTGGACTACATAGAGAGACACTGTCTCAAAAAAGCAAAATTGAAAATTGTGCATTTCGGTTGGGCCACAGACTTAGTAGTTTAAAAAACAAAATTAGGTCTGGGGGTATAAGGTATGGGTTTTTGCTGAGGTGAGCCTGGACCCAAAATCCTCCTATTTCTGCCTCCTGAGTGGTTGGGATCTCACGTATTTGTTGAGATGGGGTCTCACTGCTTCTCCCTTCACTGGCCTTGAACTTTGACCCTCCTGACGTCCACCTCCCAAGTAGCTGTGATTACAGGAGTCAGCCTCACACCAGTCCTGTATTATACTTTTTATTGTTATTTTAAAGAACAGTCTTTGAACTTTTTTTTTTAAGTCTACTGTAAAACAGTCTGTCACGTCAGTCAGCAGCAGCCTCTGACATCTCACATTTACTGAGGCCAATAAATGTATTTTTGTTGTTTTGTTTTTTGTTTCTTGAGCCAGGGTCTCACTATGCAGCCCAGGCTGTCCTCCACCTCCCGGGTGCTGGAACTACAGGCGTGCACCACCACGCTTGTGGTTCTCCTGCTGCCTGTACTCCATGGGGGGATAGCAGGACGGCTTTAGCCAGACCCCTAAGGATGGACATTTTATTGTGTCCAGCCTTTCACTAGTACTATGCCACACACTGTCACTGGGCTCATGTTGATGCCTGGGGGTGTGACACACTCCTGGAGGTGGCATTGTTGGGTCAGAGACCCCGTGCCCTTGTCACAGTGATAGACACTGACAACTGGCCATCCTGGAAACTGGCCCCAGGGCTTTGGTAAGAGTCTCGCACAAACTTTATATAAGCTTCAGAAAGCCGTAGTATCCATCTCAGAGAAGGAGGTTCTGGTGGCAGTCCAAGGTGGGGGCAGGGATCAATCCTGTCTTATCTTGCTTTAAAGAGCTGGAAAGTTCTAGAAGCCCCTGGGTTGCAGATTGCTTGGGTGAGGATGCCTGTGCTACTGAAGTCAGACTTCTTTTAAAAGGATAAGTTGCCCAGGAATTCCACTTCTGGGTATGTGTACTTATTGAAAACATAGCCGGGCATGGTGGTACATGCCTGTAATCCCAGCAGTTGGGAGGTGGAGGCAGGAGATGACAAGTTCAGGTCAGTCTGAGCTACATGTCGAGACCCTGTCTCAAGAATCCAAAAAAGAAAGAAAAGAAAAAGAATTAAGAACACTCATTCAACCAATTTTGTATGTGTGTGTGTGTGTGTGTGTGTGTGTGTGGTACTGGAGTTTGAACTCACAAATATTTTTATATGAAGTTCACTCACAATAACCAAAAGGAGGGCACAATATGAATGTCCAACCAGCCGATGAGTGAATAAAGGCATATCATCTAATGCGCAGTGGAGTATTATTCAGCCGTAAGAAAGGAACAGAGCACTGATTCATGTTACAGTATGGGTGAACCTCAAAACCATGATGCTGAGTGAAAGAAGCCCGGCACGGAAGCCTCGCAGTGTGGTTCCAGTGTGGTTCCGGTACACAATTTGCAGTGTAGACTAAATGCACAGAGACGAAAACGGGTTAGTGGTTGCCAGGCTCTGGGGGAGGAGAAAACAGAGGAGCAGCTGCTTAAGGTTTTTGAGGCATCCTGGGAGGTGTTGAAATTGTGAGATGTCCCAAGTGCCACAGAATTGTAGTTTTAAAATCTCAAAGTGGTAACATTTTATGTGTGTTTTACAATACCAAGTAATTTTTATAGAAAAAAAATTGTTTCCTGGCTCTTTACTTACTGGAAGAATTTTCAGAGCTAATTAAACTTGGGAGGTGTAGGTAAGTGTATACAAAATGAGATGGGGGCTTCTACCCCATCCCCCTTCCCATCTGCAGGCTGGCAATGAAAACAGCCTGGGGCTGCTTCCTCTGCTTTTCTGCACACATTGGTATCAACCCAGGTGGGTGCCATGATGGCCCCTCATCCGGGACATTGCCCCCATCGCACACCCAGGGATGCAGCCCATCCCTTCCGGGGATGGAAGACCAACAGGAAGCCTGCCCCACGGCATCCTTCCGTCTCATTGGCCAGCACCATCCATGGCTCGGCCAATCCAGGCCGGAAGAATGGGGCCGCCTGGGAGGCTTTGACCAATCAGAACCTGCCCTCTGGGGGCGGGGTTAGATGCCTGGGTGAAGCCTGCCGGTGACAGGTCTAGGTAATTGGGAGGCGTTTGCGGCTTAGTCTCTTCTCTTTGATCACTGTCTAAATGTTTTGTAAAGTAAACCCTGACTTCTTTCAGTGATGCAAAAAGAATCAAAGTCAGAGAGAGGGAGAGAGAGACAGGGAGAGAGAAGAGGTGCAGCAACTGGCTAGCTTTGCTTTTATGGCTGCCTGAAAATAGTTGCTGGATTTTCAGCACGTCCTCCCTGCCAGACAGAAAGGGGACCGCGGCAAGGACCGAGGGGACCCCATCCTGAGAGCCCCTCCAGGAAACCTTCCAGACATTAGGGGAGGTGCGGGTTGCAGGCGAATCTCCTCCCTTGGAGAGGTGGGGTAGGGGCCATGGCCAGTCCAGAGTCAAGGTCAGCAGCAATAAACATGGACGCTTGCTGCTGGCCTCCGGCCAACAGCTCGGGCTACTCACCCGGTAAGGGGGCAAGGTGCGTCCCCACCGTCCAGAGGAGGAAGTGGGGGGTCACCATCCCAGCCCCCTCCCTCAGCCAAGAGGGGACAGAACTGGGCTGACAGCCAGGCTTACTGCCCAAGGCAGGGCTGCCTTGGAGCCCGCAGCTCACCTGGGCCACACTCCTCAAGATGGCACGAAGTCAAGGGTCCCGGGCTGGCAGAGTGACTGTAGTGGTACAGCGCCTGCCTAGCAAGCGTGAGGCCCTGAGTTCAAACTCCAGTGCCACCAAAAAAAAAAAAGAGTCGAGGGCCCTGATTTGCGCCAGTGTAGGGGGTCGAAAGATGCCTGGTGACATGTCCAACACACACACACACACGTGATCTTCCCTGCTGCTCCAAAATCTCACCGCGGCAGACGATGCCTGGCACTCCCCACCATGGATCTCTACATCAACCCTCTGAACAGAAACCTCTGGAAATGTCCCTCTGTCCAGTGTGATGGCCACCAATCGCATGGGGCCAGTGAGCACTCAAGAGTGGCTGGAGTTTGAACTCAGAGCTTCACGCTTGTTAGGCAGGTGCCGTACCGCTTAAGCCATGGCCCTAGTCCATGGAACCAAATTCTTTTTAATGACTTTTTCCCTCTTTTGCTAGATACCAAAATAACGAATTGATTCCCCCAGAATCCTCCACAGGTGACCAATTAAGGAGCTAATTTTTTTAATGAAGTTTAAAATGTATATTAAAAGCCAAGTGTCAATGGTTTATGCCTGTAATCCCAGCTACTTAGAAGGCTGAGATGGGGAGGATCCAGGTTCAAGGCTAGCCGGGGCAAATAGGTCTCAAGACCCCATCTCCAAAATAACCAGAGCAAAATGGACTGGGGGAGTGGCTCAAGCATTAGAGCTCTTGCTTTGCAAGCACAAAGTCCTGAGTTCAAACCTTAGTACCCCCAAAAATATAATTAATTAATTCATTAATTAACCAGAGCAAAAAGGGTAGAGGCATGGCTCCAGGGGTAGAGCACCTGCCTCGCAAGTGGAAGCCCTCAGTTCAAACCCCGGTACCACAAAAAAGAATTATACATTAAAGTCGGGGCAAGGCTCAGTGGAAGAGTGCTTGCCTGGCGTTCGTGAGGCCCTGCATTCCATCCCAGCACTAAAAAGCAAGCAAGTAAATAAAATAAATACACTAAAATGAAACATTCATTTATATGCAAATAGAAACTTGAATTTATATTATTTAAATTTAAATAATGTATTTAAATAGCCACATGGGACTGTATAATTTATAGTTATATCTAAGTAGTCAACATGTCTGATGGCTACAATGTAAGAGAGTACAACCCTGGGCCCTTCACCACCCAACCTGTGTCCCAACAGAGCTGAAAATCACACACAGTCAGGCATGGTGATACACACCTGTAATCCCAGCTCTAGGGAGGCTGAGACAGGAGGATCACGAATTTGAGGCAACATAAGAAGAACTTTGCTCAAGAAAATTAAGTGTTCAGTGGTAGAACACTTGTCTAGCAGGCAAAAGGCCCTGGGTTCAAGTCTCAGTTCTTGAAAAAATGGAACAAGTGGCCCCTCCTACCTCTCACCATCACCGGTGCGCATGCCTCTCCCACTCAGCCCTCCACCACCTTCCCAGCCACCTCCCTTTTGTGTAAGCCCTTCCCACAGCTTGGTGCAACACACCCCACCCCACCCATCACCTGCCTCTTTCTGGAGTGATTGCAGATCTAGGCTGAGATGTCCCCTCCCCCAGGGAGCCCTCCCTGCCCCTCAGGCTAGGTGAGGTGTCCCCTTAGTTCTCCCTCCCTCACATCCCTGATCACTTTGGATGATCACTGGGAATGGATCTGACCCAGGACTGTTATCCCACTAAGAACAGAGGGCGGGCAGGGGGGTCTCAACGACTACTGTGTGACGAGGCTGGGCATGAGTACTGTGTGTTGGAGTGGATGGATGGATGGATGGATGCATGGATGGATGGACAGATGCATGGATGGATGGATGGTTGCATGAATGAATGGCTAGGCAGGTGGGGTGGATGGATGCATGGGTGCATGGATGGATGGATGGACGAATGCATTTGAAAACGCTGAGCTTAAGAGTGAGCCAACATGGGTTGAATCCCACCTCTGCCACCCACAGAGCTCCTGTCCTCCTGAGCCTCAGTTCCCTCATCCATGCAATGAGAGCAATGTCATGTGGTGGCTGCTGGTGTGAGGGCCAGCTGCAAGGGTATTGCCCAAGAGAGGCCGTTGTGCTGTGGCTGAAATTACTGCTGCTGACAGTGGTAAGACTGTGGGAAGACTGGGTGGAGGGACCAGAGGAGAAGGAGGCGGGAGAAGCCCCAGGCAGTTCCCATCACCTGGAAAACTGGTTCCACTGGTGTCTGTGCTTCCAGCTCAGGGCACACAGGTGGAGCCCGGGGAAGCTGCAGAAGGGGGTGCTGGTGCTGGGCAGCCTCACTGTGTCTTGAGGCAGCCCTGGAAAGCCCCGCTGAGCCTCCCCCTCCTTCAGACAGTTGGGACCCAGGCCTCTTGGGCATCCAGACAGTGACCCTTGGGTGTCTCCACAAGACACCAGGATGGAGATTCTCAAGGGGACCCAGGGCAGCTTCCCCAAGGTCCTCTTGCTCACAGGTAAGGAGAAAACAAACCTGAGGACTGGGGTGGGGGGGGTCTTAGCCCCAGGAGGAGGGTTGGGGGGGAAGGAAGACTAAGAAATTATAAGAGTAAGCTGGGGGCGGGGCAGTAGCATCACAATTGCATCCTCCTTTCACTATGGAATTTTCTAGAACGCCAGAATCACCAGGACAGGAACTTACGTGTGTTTGTTTCCTGGATGTTAGTGAGTAGGAATTTACAGAATTTTGAGTGCACGGTGTAGAGTTGGCATGGTGGTTTATATAACCTATATGCCTGTAAGTATTGATTGAATAAATGAATGAATGAATCAGAGAGTCTGAGTGATTAGGCGTGGGCCACACAGCATCTCAGGACAGAGAAACCCGTTTTTTTTGTTGTTGTTGTTGTTGTTTTGCGGTTCTGGGGTTTGAACTCAGGGCCTCCACCTTGAGCCACTCCACCAGCCCTGTTTTGTGCAGGATTTTTTTGAGATAGGGTCTCTCAAACTGTTTGCCTGGGCTGGCTTTGAACCTCGATCCTCCTGATCTCTGTCTCCTGGGTAGCTAGGATTACAGGTGTGAGCCACTGGCGCCTGGCCAGAAAAAAATCTTCTGTGCTAGTGGGATGGCACACCTGTGGCATCTGTGCCCACATTCTGGCTCTGAACCCAGAGCACTCATCACTAACGGAACCCGACACTGAGCCCCTGCTCCGGCTGAGGGTCCCTAGCCAGGACGAAGCTGTGGTCGCAACCCCAGCCTCGCCTGACTCCCCACAGCCTCCATCCTGGCCCTCTGGCTGCCCCAAGGCTCCTGGGCCACTCTCCACATCCAGAAGATCCCAGAGAGACCTCAAAAGGACCAGGACCTCCTCCTATCTGTCCTCGGGGTCCCCAACACCTTCCAGGACTTCACCTGGTACCTGGGGGAGGACACGGATGGAGGCACCAGGCTCTTCACCTACATTCCCGAGCTTCAACGGCCCCAGAGGGACGGCAGTGCCATGGGACAGCGTGACATCGTGGGCTTCCAGAATGGCTCCCTGCTGCTGCGCCGGGCCCAGCCCTCGGACAGTGGCACCTACCAAGTAGCCGTCACTGTCAACCCGGCCTGGACCATGAGGGCCAAGACAGAGGTCCAGGTGGCTGGTGAGAGTGAGGGGCCGGGGAAGGAAGTGGGGGGACTGATGCCCTGAGCGGGTACCAGTTCTGCGGGTACATACACTGATTGAGCGACTACTGTATACCAGGCTTTGGAGATTCTGTTCCATCTTCACACACATTAACTAACGAAATAGCCAGGCTGGTGGCTCATGCTTGTAATCCTACCTACTTGGGAGGCTGAGATTGGGAGGATCGAGGTTCCCAGGCAAAAAGTTCCTGAGACCTCATTGTAACCAACAGCGGGCCATGGTGGCTTGGGGAGGCTGAGATCAGGAGGATGGTGGTTCCAAGCCAGCCCACGGGGAACAAAATGAGACCCCATCTCCAAAATAACCACAGGAAAATGGACAGGAGGTGTGGCAATAGGACACCTGCTTTGCAATCCCAAAGCCCTGAATTCAAACCCCAGTCCCAGCAAAAGAAAAAAAGTTCTTGTAAGCCTCCCAAATTCTGGGATTACAGGGATACACCACCATGCCTGGCCCATATACATTTGTGTATGTGATACTGTGGTTTGAACTCAAGGCCTCATGCTTGCTAGGCAGGAGCTCTATGACTTGAGCCACTCCTCCAGCTGTTTCAGGGATTTTTTTTTTCCTTTAGTTATTTTTCAGATAGGCTCTCAATTTTTGCCTGGGACCAGCCTCCAACCAGGATCCTCCTGTGTACACCTCTTGCACAACTGAGATTACATAGTGGTAACACTATGCCCAGCTTGTCGGTGAAATAAGGTTTTTGCCCTGGCTAGCCTTAAACTGTGGTCCTCCCTACCTCTACCTCTGAGTAGCTGAGATTATAGGAGTGAGTCACCACCCCTGGTCTCCAAGTACAATTCTGTACACTTTCCCTAGAGCATCACTTCTCACCCATGGCACTACAGACATTTGCGGCTGGACCAGCTAATATTTTAGAGTAGAGGGACGTGTGTGGCAGAGATGACTGGCAATGCCCCCGGCCTCTGTGCTGGGATTACAGGCGCCCCCATGCAAAGTGTCAAATTTTGCAACATTTTGGGTAAGAATTTTCAGACTAGGGAGTATTCAACCAGTAACAGTAACATGAAAGCTCACAGCACACTTGCTATGTACAGATGCTCAGTCAGGGGACATTGTCCAGGGAGATGTCAGCAGCTCATTTGACAGGGACCACCATTCAGAGACCGAGGTTCAGACAGGGATGGGGGGGCTGGGGGGTTTTAAGAAGCCAGGTATGGTGGTGTACACCTGCAATCCCAGCTTCTGGGGAAGCTGAGGCAGGAGGATTGCCGTCCAAGGACAGCAGGACAAAAGCATGAGAGACCCTATCTGAAAAACCAAATAAAACAAAAGGGCAGGGGGGGCGGTGTGTGTGGCTCAGGTGGTAGAGCGCTTGCCTGGCATGCTTGAGGCGTTCCTTTTCCTTTTTGGCCGTACTGGGGTTTGAACGCAGGGCTTGCTAGGCAGGCCTCTACCACCTGAGTCACGCCCAAACCCTTTTGTTTGTAATCTGTTTTTGAGACAGGGTCTCAAACTCAAGATCCTCCTACCTTGGCCTCCAGATTATCTGGGATTACAGGCGTGCACAGACGCACCTGGTTGGGGATGCACTGAGTTTTATTTTCAGATCTAAAACCCAGGGAAGGCTCCGGATGGGAAACAGTGCACGGCACATCAGCACTGTGGGGGGTCACTGGTGCCTTGAGTGCAGGGCACCCTCAGGGACTCAACCCATCCTCTCTCACCCCCAGAAATTAACAAGCAGCCATCCACCGCACACCTGCCCTTGAACGCGTGGATGGTGGCAGCCGCCATCATTGGGCCTCTGGCCTTTGGGTTCTTCCTCATTGGCAGCATTGCGTATCTTCTGGTGACACGGGGCTGGAGGGGCCGGAGCCCCAGGTACAGGGTCCCAGTCCCACCCCCTTCTCTCTCTGCCCTCTCCCTCCTCCCCTGTCCTCTCAGCCCCATGACTGTCCTGCAGGACCCCCTGCCGGGCAGCCCACCTGGCCATGTCATTATCTTAATGGGGTCCTTCCTGTGCCCCAGGACGGCCACCACAGAGAAGCCGGAGCTGGGGCCCACGCATGATGCAGGTAAGCTGGGAGCCCCGTTCTCTCCACCACCACCCCAGTCCTTTCAGCTGCCGCCTCTCCCCCCAACTCGAGGCCTCCCAATCCTGCCTCCCACTCAGCCCTCCCGGGACCCTCAGACTCAGTGCCACCCCAAAACCTGCCTGTTGTTCTCTACTCACCTCTGACACCATTACGTGGTGAGCCCTGTTCACCCCCACAGGCTACCACAACCCAGGACCCATCTCCTGAATCCCCACATCCAGTTTCTCTGCTCCAAAGCCCTCCATGGCTCCCCAGTGCCCTTGGGTCAAAGTTCAGACTCCTTAGCGTGACTCTCAGGTGTCTTTCTCTCTCACCATGACACAATCCAGAAGGACCAAACACGGGCCCTCAAACACAGCTAGCTTCCCACAGCCCCCAACACACTGAGTTGTCATGAGCTGGGGACAGGTCTGACTCTCCCCGTGGACTGTGAGCCCCAGGAAGGCAGAGCCCGAATGTCTTAGTCACCAACCTGTCCCCAGCACACATTTGGGCAGAAGGAGTTGGTGGGAATGTTAGTTGAATAAATGAATGAATGGGAAGGGCAGGCAGGGTAGGCCTGGGGGCTCCATCTGTCAGCTGGCTCCTCCGCCTGTCCTCTACTGCAGATGACAACAATGTCTATGAAGTCATGCCATCTCCTGTCTTCCTGGTGTCCCCCATCAGTGACATGGGGCCCATGAACTCAGCCACAGTAAGTCCCATCCCCACCCTGTCCCCTAAGCTGACTTCTAACAGGCGCCCTCTGAGCCCGCCATGGTGCCTGGTGCACAGTTTGGGAGCCATGTATCTTTCTCTGTCTCTGTCTTTCTGTCTGTCTGTCTGTCTGTCTCTCTCTCTCTCTCTCTCTACAATGTTCCTGGGTTGTTTTGTTTTCTTTTGTTTGAGACAGGCTCTCATTGTGCAACCCAGGCCGGCCTTGAGATCCTCCCGCCTCAGCCTCCTGAGTGAAGAGGCCCCGAGGCCTCACAGTCAAAGGGGTGATGAGAACCTTGAACCCAGGCGTGTCAGAGCACCAGGATCAAAGGTTTCAGGGGAGCCGGTGCTGGTGGCTCACGCCTGTAATCCTAACTACTTGGGAGGCTGAGATAGAGATCGGGAGGATGGCAGTTTGAGGCCAGCCTGGGCAAATAGTTCGAGAGACCCCATCTCCAAAATAACCAGAGCAAAATGGGGCTGGAGGTGTGGCTCAAGCGGTAGAGCTCCTGCTTTGCAAGGACAAAGCCCTGAGTTCAAACCCCAGTCCCAGCAAAAAGCAAAATAAAACAAACAAAAAATAGGTTGCAGGTTTGGGGGCGCCTGGCTCACCTGTGCCCTTCCCTTGCAGCCCCAACTCCCAACCCAGCAGCCACAGCAAGAACCTCACCACTACCAGGTGAGGAGGGGGCGGGGGAGGGGCATTGGAGACCCCAGAGCAGGGATGGGTCTGGACAGCCCAGGATGGGGGCGTCGATCCTCACCGCTCCCGCACACTTGTCCGGGACGCCCTGAAACCCCCCACCCGCCAAGACTGCAGTGTCCTCTTCTGTTGCGTTTGCACGGGAGGAACAAGGCCCAGACAGGGAAAGGTGATGGCCCAGAGTCTCACAGCGGGTCAGGTTCTGGTGGAACCCATCCCCAGGGGCCAGTCCCAGACTGTCCCTCTCCTATTTGTCCCTGTCCCTGTATCTCTCTGCCTTCTTCTCAGCGCCTCTGTTGATAGACCTCTGTGTGCACCTTTGCCTGTCTTCTCTCTCTCTCTCTCTCTCTCTCTCTCATATTAATCCCTCTCAAACTCTTTCTCTCTATTGCGTTGCATATCTTTGATTCCCCCTCGTCACTCATTTTCTCTGTTTTCCATGTCTCTGTCCCCCCACCTTGTCTGTCACTCTCATCTCCCTCTATGGCTCCCCCAGGTCCCCTGTCTCTGGGGCTCACTTTCTTTCCCTCTTGGCCTTCCATTCTCTCTGTGGGTTTCTTGTTCATCTCTCAGTCCTGCCTGATTCCTCTCTCTGTCTCCCCCACACCCCATCATTGCTCCCCTCTGCCCTCCCCCAGGACCTGCTAAACCCCGACCTGGCCCCTTACTCCCAGCTGGTGCCAGCACCCTGAAGGGCTCTCGGTGAGGCCAGGACAAAGCCTCGTCTGTCTTCCGGGGGCCTCAAACCTGCAGAAAAGACACCTGAAACCCACAGGACAAGGTCATCAGGAACGGGCCAGCCCCACATGGGGCAGGTGTCCCAGAAAGGACAGGAGAGCACAGGCCCAGTTCCTCCCTCCCTGCCCAAGTGTCAACGCCCCCTACAGTCTGCTCCTCCCCCACCTGGCCAGGCCTGGGGAAAGGCCCCATCCAGATCCTAGCCGGGAAGGTGGGTGGTCTCCACCCACCTGGCACCTGCTTGGCCAGGCCTCCAGCCATCTGTCCTCACTGTCCCACCTCCACTCTATTAGTCACCCTCAGAGCCCCTTCCCAGGGACAAAGCAGCACCCACCACACAGGTCCCAAGGGGAGAGGCTTGTGGTCCCAGAGGACAGTCCTGGCAAGTTAAGCCTGCCCTGCCCAGGCAGCTCTGCCCCCCCAAAATCCAGCCACTCAGATCGGCTGCCAACTTCTGAAAACAGCCACCACTTTGAATGTCACCAGGTCCCTCAGTGCAGTGACTCCCTGCTCCCTGCTCCACCCAGCCTCCCTCCCATCCCCAATGTGGGCTCAGCCTGTCACCCTTTAATTTATTCATTCATTCATTCAGCAATAAATGAGCCTTTGTGTGTCTAGACCCTTACAGCTTTGACAGGGAGGGGCGCTAGCAGGGGAGACATGAAACTAAATGAATGCTAATGTCTCTCATGCCGACAAGTGTGCCAGGGAAAACAGAGGGGAGGAAGGATCGGGAGTGTTGGGAGACTGAGATTTTCAGTAGGGAGGGCAGAGAAGGTGACATCTCACTGAGAAAGTGACAAATAAACAAAACCTGAATCTAAGGGGAGGAAGGGAGCCATGTGGGGTTCTAGAAGGAGAACATTCCAGGGAGGGGGGGGAAAACAGCTGGTGCAAAGGCCCTGAGGTAGGAATGTGCCTGGCAGGTTTAAAGAGCAGCAAGGAGGCCAGAGCCGTGGGCAGAAGGGTAAAAGATGAGGACTAAGTGTGGGGTGGATCATACAAAACCGTGCAGACACCACCAGACTGGCTTTTGCTCTGGAGTCAAGGGAGACTATGTAGGCTGAATAATAGTTCCCAAAGCCACCTACATCCCAGTCACCTGTGAATGTCACCTCCTGTGGCAAAAGACTTTACATGTGTGATTCAGTTCAGCCTCTAGAGATGGGCAGATGAGTTTGAATTACCCAGGTGGGCTTTGGTGTAATCACAAGGGGTCTGATGAGGGACACAGGAATGACAGTTGGAAGATGCTGTGACAATAGGCGGGGAGGGTCACAGCCAGGCAGTGCCTCCAATCTAGCTATTCAGTGCTTGAAAGATCCCATCAAACTGGGAACCAGTGGCTCACGCCTGTAATCCCAGCTACTCAGGAGACAGCAATCAGGAGGATCACGGTTCAAAGTCAGCCCAGGCAAATAGTTCTCGAGACCCTATCTCAAAAAAAAAAAAATCACAAAAAATAAAACGGGGGGGGGTAGCTGATGGAATGGCTCAAGGCATAGGCCCTGAGTTCAATTCCCCCTACCACACACACACACACAGATATAAATGGGTGGATTGTGTCCAAGTGTGGTGGTGCACACCTGTAATCCCAACATGTGGGAGGCTGAGGCAGGAGGATGGAGAGTTTCAGGCCAGCCTGGGTGACATCACAAGACCCTATTCCAAAACAAAATTGATTAATTAAAAATAAATAAATAAGTACATTTGGATGGCATGGGAATGACACCTCAATAAAAGCATTTTTAAGAAGAATGAGGAAGGAAAGGGAAGGAGGGAGGGAGAGAGATGGATTTCACAGGTCAGTCTTGAATCCTCGGGCCTGTTGGAGACAGAAGGCAACTTCAGAAGACCGGGTTGGGACTGGGGACAGTGAGCCGTGAAGACCTGACACATTGTCACCCCAGAAACCTCATCTTTTATCCCTGGTTGGGTTCCTGGCCGTGACCTGTGGGGAGCGTGCATGTCCCTGCCCAGCCAGCAGGGGGCAGCAGAGGTCTGCACCGCCCAGCTTCTGCCCCCTTGTTTGCTCTCTGGACACTGGGAGGGTGCGCCCAGGCACCCCAGCCCAAAGCATGGGCTCCTCACTCACCACCGGCTATGATGGGTGCGCCTGAGGGCTCCTGACCTCTCCCATCCTCCTTGTTGCCATCCACCCTCCATGCTGCTTCCAGACAGGGTCGTGCTGTGTAGCCCAGGTTGGCCCTGAACCTGTGATCTTCCTATCTCAGTCCCTGACTGAAATTACAGGCATACGCCACCATGCCTGACTCCCTAGGGATCTTTCTAAAGTCCAAGACCCTGCCCCTTCCTGCTCAGAACCATCTGTGGCTCCCCAGTACCCTTCAAGCCCAGGCTTCTACCACAGCCAGCAACACCTTGCAAGTCTAGACCCAGCATTGCTTCTCAGTCCCACTTTGTGGTCAGTGGTCCACAGAACTGGACTTCCTCCCGTGTCCCAGCAAATTACATCCCATCTCACTTCCAGACCCTTCCATCTTCCATCTGCCTGAAGCGAACCCTGGGCACAAAACTTTCCTCTTCTGCTCCACCATATTCCTCTTCCAGGTCTCAATTCAACACCTCCTCCTCCAGGAAGCCCTATGCCCAAACTGGGTCAGGTTCCCTATGGGCTCACGCCTGTAATCCCAGCTCCTTAGGAGGCAGAGACAGGAAGGATCAAGGTTCCACGACAGCCCAGGGAAAAAAGTTCAAGAGACCCCATCTCAACCACTAAAAGCCAGGTGTGATGAAATGTGCCTGTCATCCCAGCTAACAATGAAGCATAAACAGGAGGATGCAATCCAGGCCAGCCTGTGCACAAACATGAGACCCTGTTGCAAAAATAACTAAAGGACAAAGGGCTGGCAGAGTAGCTCAAGTGGTAGAGCACCTGCCTAGCAAGTGTGAGGCCCTGAGTTCAAACCCCAGTACTGCCAAGAAAAGAACAGGAAAGCTGCAGCCTGTGCCCACTCACAGCTTGGGTTCTGTGTCCATAGACTTCTGTGTCCTCTGCTAAATTTCATAAGGAAAACCAGACGTGGTGGTGCACACCTGTAATCCCTGCTGAGGCAGGAGGAGCACAAGTTCCAGGCCAGCCTGGGCGACATAGAGAGACCCTGTCGCAAAAAATAAAGCAGTCACAAAAGCACCCAAAGTAGGTGTCTGTGGAATTTGAAGCCCAGTTAGCAGAAGACCAATGTCCTTTGCCTGGAACCAAGCTGACCCAGACTGCAGGCCCCAACCACCAGGGGTCACTGTCCCCCAACCCCGGCCACCCTGCCTGCTCACTGCGTTCTCAGGGCTCCTGGTTTGACAAATGAGGAAGTGGTGTTGGGGGGAGGAAGTGGGCTGGGCTGTGACCCAGAGTCACCGTGATTCACGGGGAAAACCCTGCCTTTCCAATTCAGCAACTTTGTGTGCCAAAAGTCCTGCGGGCTAGGCAAGCTCCCAGGATCAGGAGCTCGCTGTGTAGACTGGCGAGCAGAGGTGTAGACACCCCCACCAGCCCTCCACCAGCTCTGCTGGCCCCCAGTCTGTTGGCAGCCCTCGGTGGGGACAAGAGCCAGCCTTGTCCTGCAGTGAGGGTCAGGGGGAGAGGACGAGTTTAAATGGAGATGCTCCTTGCCAGCTCAGGCGAGGGGCACCTGCCCAGCATGTGTGAGGCCCTGGGTTCCGTCTCCAGCACCACAAAAAATAAAAATGAAAAACCGGTTGAGGTGTTTGTACTCTGGTCTACACACTGGGGTTTGTGTAAAATGTATACTTCTTTTCTCTTGTTGGTACTGGGGAATGAATTTAGGGAGCCACACCCCCAGTAATGGCCAGGCATGGTGGTGCATGCCTGTAATCCCAGGTACTCGGAAGGTGAAGGTAGAAGGATTGCAGCCTAAGGCTGCCTCGGGCAAAAGCTTGACCCTATGGAAACAAAAAGAGCTCAAGTCGCAGACCAGCATCTGTCTAGCAAACATGAGGCCCCTGAGTTCAAACCCCAGTGCCAGCAAAAAAAGAAAATCTTTTTTTTCAGATAATTCTAAATCCAATCCAACTGGTTCCCATATTCTTGGTAGGATACACAAAGCCCAGAGGAGGAAGAACACCTAGCCAGGTCCCATCCCAGGTCCTCTGGGGTCCCCAGAAAACCCTGGCGCCCTCTCTCTTTCTCTCTCTCTCTGCTGCCTCTACCTCCCTATCTCCATGACCCTTCACATCCTCCCATAGACCCCCTTCTGTCCCCACACCCTTCTCGACCCAAGCCCTGCAGACCCCCATCCCAAGCCTTCCCCCCATCCCCCTGCACCTCACTCTGTCCTTACCCCAAGCCAGGCATCCCATAGCCAAGCTCAGGGGCCATCTGGATGCCACACAGCAGGTGGCTGGTCCCTGCAGTGACCTCCTCCTCCAGCTGCCCCTCCCCTCACTCAGACTCATTAAAGACTGCAGCCTCGGGCGCACTTGACACCTGCTATGAAAACACTCTCCCCCCTGGGTCCCTGTCACTTCCTGCCAGGTCTCAGCTCACCTCCTCAGAAAGGTCCTGGTGACCTACCTGGTTAAAAGGACAACTCAAGACAGGTGCTGCTGGTGGATCACACCTGTAGTCCTAACTACTCAAGAGGCAGAGATGGTGGTTCAAAGCCAGCCTGAGGAAATGTTTGCAAAACCCTAGCTTGAAAAAAACCCTTCACAAAAAGAGCAGGTGAAGTGGCTGAAGGTGAGGGCCCTGAGTTCAAGCCTCAGTACCTAGAAAAAAAAAAAAATAGAACGACCCCTAATTTGCCCGTCCTTTTACCCAATTTTATTTTTTCATAGCACTTTCCTCTATCTGACATTTTATGCTATATCATTTTTTTTTATTATTCCCCAAGAGGGAAGAGATATGTCTGTGGTCTGTGTCCCCAACACAACCTGAAATGGAGTCAGCGCTCAATAAATATTTGCTCAATGACTGAATGACTTGGAAAACCCCAGCCATTGAGGTGAGGGTGGAGGGCAGGCAAAGGGGCAGCCTCGGCAGAGGTCCGAGGCTAGACCTGACCTCCTGCAGGTAGCAGGTTGCTTCTCTCCAGCAGGAGGGATTAAGGGAATAGGGTCCTGTCCCCCTTCCATATCCTTGCCAGGTCCGACAGGGTCCAACCTGACCTTGCCAGGCCGGCCCACCCAGGGAAGTCACACCCCCCAAGGTCAAGTTCACCGGCAAACACTGCCACACCCTCAGCTCCTCAGGTGATAAGAGGAGGAGAGGAGGGGCCCAGAATCTGCTTGGGTGTTGAGCACAGGGGACAAGGGTCCTGCCACATGGCCACACATTTCCAGGACAAATATTGATGAAGTCTGTGGTAGGCAGAGCCTTGGAAAGGAGCAGATATGAGGCCTGGCGCTCCCTGCTCCCCAGGGAACGGGTCAGGGGTCACGTGGCTGGTGAGCTAAGGGAGCTGGGGGCCAGGGAGGGATGGAAACAAGGTCACAGAGCCGTGCCCCCACATGGCCAGGCAGAGAAAATACCTGCTGCCACCTCATGAGGCAGTGACCTTGACCCTAAGTCCTCTCTCTGCAGAATGGGTTCTCTGAGCAGGGCGGGGAGGCTGGAGGACATAATAGGAAAAGCCAAAGTCCTGGGTGCCACCACCCCTGTGCTGCCAGAAGATGGGTCAGGAAGATCGCTGGAGAGAGAGAGAGAGAGAGAGAGAGAGAGAGAGAGAGATGCACACCTATAACTTCAGCTAATCAGGAGGCAGAGGGAAAAGGATCAGAGTTTGAGGCCAGCCCTGACAAAACTAGGGAGACCCTTGCCTCAAAAACAAACTCAAAGCAAAAAGGCTGAGGGAGTGACTCAATGGTAGAGCGCTTGCCTAGCATGACGAGGTCCTGGGTTCAAATCCTGGGCACAGCAGAAAAGAAAAGGAAGGAGCAGGCAGGGCCGGGGGAGGAGAGGAGGGTGCTCACAGAAGAGGCAGTGGAGGGCTGGCAGAGCCCGCGGGCTCCTTGGTCCCGGCGATGGGGCGAAGTGGCACCTTCCCTGATGAGAAGCAGGAACAGAGCACAGACGGGGCTGGGACGATGCCCAGGGCATTTGGGGACGAGGTGAGTCAGAGGAGTCCAGGGACATCCTGAATAACACTGGACTGGGTCCCAGGACTCAGGGGTGGAGGCAGGAAGGCCAGGACAGAGCAGGTAAAGAGAGGACACAGGTGGGGGCAGGAGCCCCCTCCCCATCTCCCCAGCTCCTGTCCCTCTCCGCAGAGCCCGAGCCTGAGAGGGCAGCCCAGGACATGGTGTCAGAGGAGCGAAGCAGGACAGGTGAGCTGCAGGTATCGGTCCCTGCCTGGAAGCCAGCTGCCTACCGGGGCCCAAAAGCCAGATCACGGCAGGTGCCTGTAATCCCAGCTTCTCAGGAGGATCTCCGTTCAAAGCCAGCCCTGGGCAAACAGATCTCGAGACCCTATCCCAAAAAACCATCACAAATAAAGGCTGGCGGAGTGGCTCACAGTGTAGGTCCTGAGTTCAAGCCCCAATGCCACAAAAAAAAAAAAAAAAACAAGATCATGGAACCTTCAAAAAAGGCCCAAGGCCTCTGCCACATCACTGAGGCCCCTTCCTCGAGTCCCTTCCTCCACCCCGACATAAGGGGCAAACCTCCTTTCCACCATTTTTTTTTTTAACTTTTTATTTTTTGTAGCACGGATGCTGGAACCCAGGGCTGCCACCTGTTGGCTGGCGCTCTTCCACTCGTGTCACATCCCAAGCCCTTCTGTTCCTGCTTTGCTTCTAAGACAGGGTCTCTAACTTCGCCTGGGCCAGCCTCAAACCCACCATCTTCCTACCTCCACCTCCTGAGTTGCTGGGATTACAGACAGGAACCACCACACCTGGCCACCTTTCCCTTATTGATCCCTACCAAGGAAAGAAATTTGTTTCATCCATCTTCTTCACTGGGGTCTCCCCAGTGCCTCAAACAGAGCCAGCACACAGTAGGTGCTCATTAAGTGTTTGTGGACTGAATGTGTGTGATTTGCTAAGCACTTATGCTGTGCCAGGCAGGGCCTAAGTATTTCACAAGTCTACTGGCTTCTCTCACAAAAGTCCAATAAGGTCAGAACAGCTGTCCCTGACTCCCTGGGGACACCAAAATCCACAGGTGGTGACACCCTTATATAAATGACACAGCATTTGCATAAAACCTGTACATACTTTCCTGTGTACTTTGAATCATCTCTGGGTGACTTGTAATACTTAATACTATGTAAATAGTTGTTACGATACAATATTTAAGCAATAAACACAATGAAAAAAACCTGTCAAGCAGAGCACAGTGGTGCACGCCTATAATCCCAGTACTTAGGAAGCTGAAGGAGGAGGACTGAGAGTTTCAGGACAGCCTGGGCTACATAGTGACATCCTTTCTCAAAAAAAAACCCGCCCTCCCATCTCAAAATAAAACCCTACACACAAAAAAAAAGATTTCAGACCCTAGAGCCTCCACATGGGCCCACAGGACAGATAGGGAAACTGAGGCCACGGAAAGGAGGACAGAAAATGAGGATTTCTTGACCCTCTGCAGGAAACCAACAGGAAGCTGAGCTCCACAGAGGTGTGCGGCATCCAGCTCGTCTGGTTTTGGGTACAGAGCAGTGCTCGAGTCCTCTCTCCCTGTAGCAAATTAGGCAAACTAGAATCCATGCCTGGTGCCTCAGTTTCCCCAGCTGCAAATGCCAGCCTTAAAGGCCAACCTCACAGGATCCTTCTGACGTCCACTGAGATGACACCTGTAATGACCGAAGGGTCCCGCTCTGAGAACTAGCACTCAGGGCTTCCGAGCTCATTCCTCTGTGACCGTGACCGTGACCCCCCATGCCCAGGGAGGCTGCGGTGTGGGGTGGTCAGGAAGAAAACCCTGGAATCTTCCTCTGTCCCTCCTCCCTCCTCCCCGGTGACCTGGCTCTCCTGACAGCACCAAATCAGGGACTTTGGCACAAAGAAGGTTAGGCAGCTGCCCCTGGAGGCCTGACCGGGTCGTGGCCCTTGGCCGGTGCCCGCCACACCCACCCTGGTGCCCAAATGTGGCCCCAGATCCTGGGTGACTCGATCCCTCCCAAATTCAGGTGATCTCCCCGGCTCCAAATTGCCGAACCCTCTCCGGTCCAGCGGCAGACGGAGCCAAGCCCCAACCAGAAAGGGACATCAACGACCATCTCCTAGAACGGCCTGGCGTGAAAGATGGCGCTGACCCGGTGCGGCTGGCTCCTCATCAGCGGTGAGCAAGACCCCCACCCCAGCTCCTCGGCCCCCAGGGGGCCTCAGGGAGGGACAGGAGGGACCCCAGCTTGGGAGAAGGAAGGTGTGAGCCACAAATCCAGCATGCCCAGGAGGGAGAGCAGCTCTGCCCCACACTGATACAGTTTCCCCTCCGAGAGACACCAGTGGGGACAGGATGGGGACAGTCACCCAGAGAGGCCAGGAGGGTGGACTTTGGGGACACCTACGGCCAGGCAAGGAAGCCACTGTGGCCCTGGGACAAACAATTACGGAGCTAGAGAAGCCTTGGGCAGCATCAAGTCTGCCCAGGATGGAGCCACTATTCAATTCTCGGGTTCAGCTGACTTGTCTATGAAACAGGCCTAACTGACAAGGTCATTTGAAGGTCCAATAAGCAGCACTGATTAGTGCTTACTGTGTACCTTAACATCCATCCTAGGTGGGAAGCTCACTCGTGATCCCACTTCACAGACAGGAAAACCAAGGCTCAGAGAGGTGAAGTCACCAACCAGGGAGACACAGCAAAAAAAAAAAAAAAAAAAGTGGCAGACTCACACCTCCTCACTGCCAGCCACATTCTTTCAGCCTGGAAAACACGGGAAACCAGGCCAGGCCTAGAAATTCTTCCTACAGAACAGGTGCCACAGCCACCCATCCCAGACAACCACATACAATTCAAACCCGAGCAGCCCAGACCAGCTCTGTGGGTTTGGGGCTTTTTTGCTCATTGGAGAAGGAAAGGGGTGGAGTGACGACTCACGTCCCTGCTTTCTGCCTTGGTGGCACTTGGAGAGGCAAAGGCAGAATCCTGGCTTTGGTGTCAGGACCTGGAGCTGGTCCTAAAGTTAACATGGGGTCATAGGACCAGGCATAGTGGGGCACGTTTGTAATCCCAGCACTGAGGAGGCTGAATCAGGAGGAGCATGAGTTCTAGGCCAGCCTAGGCTACACAGTCAGTCCCTGTGTAGGAAAAAACAAAAAGATGGGGGTCACAGAATAACCCCATCCATGGCTGGATGAACTGAGTAATCTCTGTAAGCCTCGGCCTGCTGCCTCTCCAAGGGAACCCCCTCGGTCCTACTCTGTTCCGTTGAGCACTTGCTATGCACCTGCTGTGTGCAAAGCAGTAGCCACGGTCCATCCAGTCCACCTCTGCAGAACACCTGCCCGCATGGCTTGACCGACAGATAGGCTCCAAGAAAGACGAGGTGGCTGAGACGCCGGGGGCTCTGAGGGCTGCCTGACCTGGTGGACACTGAGGTCCTCGGGCAGGGGAAGTCCCCTCTGAGCACGAGTCCGTTCCTCTTGGCACATGGGGGATGGGTCGAGTCCTCCCTGTCCAACCCCTGGCTCCTCTTTCTCAGCTCTGATGCTGAACGCGAGGGCAGAAATCTCCATCACCCCCCAGCCCGCCAAGCCAGCAGAGGGGGACAATGTCACCCTGATGGTCCACGGGCTTTCGGGGGATCTCCTGGCCTACAACTGGTACGCGGGACCCACGCTCAGCCTGACCTACCTGGTGGTCAGCTATATCGTGAGCACAGGGGACGAGACCCCCGGCCCCGCTCACACAGGGCGGGAGGCTGTGCGCCCTGACGGCAGCCTGGACATCCGGGGTGCCCTGCTGGGGCACTCGGGCACCTACATCCTGCAGACCCTCAACAGGCAGTTTCAGACCGAGGTGGGCTACGGACACATGCAGGTCTATGGTGAGACACCCCTGACGTCCCCTCTGCCCTGGTAGGGCCTCCCCATCTCCCTCTAGATCCTTCTTTAAAGAAAAAAAAAAAATCTAATAAAAGATATTTTAACTCAGAAAAAGAAAAGCCTAAAATAACAGTAAGATACTCACCTCCTTCAGGATGGCTTCCAGGATTGCACCTGCCTCCTATACCCATTCTTTATCCCCCACCCCAGCCTTGTCCCACCATCAAGATCTTGCCTAAGGATGGGAGGCCCTCCCAGCAGGTGGTGCCCGGCCCCCGCCCCGTGTCTCTCACTCCCACAGAGATCCTGACCCAGCCCACGGTCACAGCCAACAACACGGAGCTGGTGGAGCGTAGAGACACCCTGCGCCTCACGTGTAGCAGCGCCAGCCCGGCCGAGGTCCGCTGGTTCTTCAATGGCGATGCCTTGCCCGTCCCTGTCCGCCTTGGCCTGTCCCCCGACGGCCGGAGGGTGACCCGGCACGGCGTTCGCAGGGAGGAGGCGGGAGCCTACCAGTGCGAGGTGTGGAACCCTGTCAGCGTCAGCCGCAGTGAACCCGTCAACTTGACCGTGTACTGTGAGTCCTCCTGGCGCTGCCAGAGACACCGGGCACCCAAACTGGGGAAACTGAGGCTGGGAGCGGGAAGCCCGTGGGCACAGCGGGCAGGCTGGGGTTAGGAACACTTGACCTGTTTCCTAAAAGAACCACAGAGCACACTTGACATTGAGTAGTCCCTCAATCAGAAGCAAATTCTGCAGCCGGGCGTGGCACTGCACGCCTGTAATCTCAGCACTTGGGAGGCAGAGGCAGGAGGATCGGGAGTTCCAGGCCAGCCTGGGCTACATAGCAAGATCCTGTCTCAAAACAAAACAAACAAACAAACAAACAAACAAAAGCCAAGCAATTCCGGCAGAGAAAGGACACAGGAGTGGATGGCTTCGGGAGGGAACGGGAAAGGGGGCGGGGGAGTGATGGGTGTGAGAGAGAACGCCAAGTGATAAACCACAACCACGGCACAGACTCGCGGTGTGGAATCCTGAGAAAATGAATCCCCTGGGTACCAAGGGTCAATGGTGTAGGAAAAACAGATCCCACAACCCCCCAGAATCCTGCAGCCAGAGACTCTAGGACTCAGGAACAATCTTAGAATCTAGAGTTTTAGACACCTGTAGAATCTTAGAACCAAAAAGAAAGAAAGAAAGAATCTTCAAATCCTGGCACCTAGAAGCACTGACTTATTTTTTTCCTTTAGTGGGACGGGGGTTTGAACTCAGGGCTTTGCACTTGCAAAGCAAGTGCTGTCCCGCTGGAGCCACATCTCCAGTCCACTTTGCTCTGGTTCTTTTGGAGATGGGGCCTCATGAACTATTTTCCCAGTCTGGCCTCAAACCTCAGTCCTCCTGATCTCAGCCTCCCAGGTAGCTGGGATTACAGGCACGAGGCACCACGGCATTGACTCTTAAAGCCCTAGAATCCTAGACTCTTAGAATGGCTTGTCCGAAAAAAACAAAAAAAATCACTTTTCCTTTAACCTAAATAGCCATAGATGTCATTCCTACCTTGAAAAGTCACCTGGCCCCACACACTGTTTTCACAGATGAGAAAAGGAGGGCGGGGAGGGGAGTGTCGAGATCCTAGAGCAACTTAGAGACCAAGGTGGACATGGGAGGCCCAGCGCCTCCCCCCTGGAATGTCCCAGGGACGCAGGCTGGTGGTGGGCAGGCCAGGGGACCCCGCCTCTGCTTCCTGTCCCTCTACTGCCCCGCGTCTCTCCCTCCTGCCCCCACAGTTGGGCCAGAACGCGTGGCCATCCTCCAAGACTCCACGGTGCGCACGGGGTGCACCATCAAGGTTGACTTCAACGCGTCCTTCACCCTGTGGTGCGTGTCGCGGTCCTGCCCAGAGCCCGAGTACGTGTGGACCTTTAATGGTCGGGCCCTGAAGAACGGTGGAGACCACCTGAACATCAGCGGAATGACGGCGGCCCAAGAGGGGACATACACGTGTATTTCAAAGAACCCCAAGACGCTGCTGTCGGGATCAGCCTCTGTGGTGGTCAAGCTGTCTGGTGAGTCACCCCAGCCTGACCCCCACCCTCCTGTCTGTGACAGACAGCTAGACCACCCCTTGCCCAGCAGATGAGTGCTGGTGGCTTCCCAGCCCATTCACTGGCCAAGTGACAAAGTGACATCGCAGCTTGTCCCCTCTTCATCCAGGTGCAAAAGGAGATGGTTGATGCCTGTCACCTAGAAAACAAATGGAGAATCCGACACCTCTTCCTTGAGGGAAGAGAAATGGGTCACATGTCCCCATGGTGGGGTGGCAGAGTTGAAAAGCATACAGAAATCCTCTCCCCGCCCCGCCATGTCCCCTGTCCTACATCCAGCCACCAGCTGGTCAGGGCTTTGCACAGCCACCTCCTGCCTCACAGACAGCTGACTCTCTCTGCTGCCAAGTAGATTACACGGTCATCTGGCCCAGATGGTGACAGACACCAGTGGGAAATCACAGGCGATTGTTGGGGAACAGAAAAACACAGCCTGAGGCATCTTCCTGCCTCTGCCCTAAAATGACCCGGGCGCTGGGGGCACTGCAGACAGCTGGGTTGTCAGAGCCATTGAGTGTCCTCGGGGGACACTGATTGTCCCCCTGGAAGTGGCTTTGAGCATGAAGGCCCTATTAGTTCCAACTAAGCTCCTTCCCAAGGGGACTTGGTCCCCAGGGGACAGTGGAAATGTCCCTCCCTCCTTCCCTCCACTCACAGGCTGGGTCTCATCCCAAGGGGGGAAAGTCTTTCACTCAGAGCAGAGATGGCGGCCACAGAGGTAAGTGTGCCTTCCACCACCTGCCTGGGCCTCGGCAGGAGACGGGGTAGACCAGATGTCCTCAGGGGCCACTCCGAGCCCCAGCTGTGTGAGTCACCATGGGGGTGTCCAAGGTGTGCAGGTACGTACAGAGGGCAGAGACGACACCCCGAGGGCCTCTCCAACTGTCAGCAAGCTGTGGCCTCTGTCCCTGGGGAGAAGGTTCTGGCACAGGAAACACCCTCTCCGCCTTACTCAAGGAGCTTCCAGTCAAAGAGAACAGGCTTCTAGGAAGTGATGGGTGGGACGTGAGACCCACCCTCAGTGACAGTCCAGTCAGAGAGAGGAGACCCAGCCGGGAGAATGCCATCCAGATGGGGAGCCAAGGTCTTGAGGAAATGTGACTGCGCCTAGTCTGATGGGGGAGACACGGTTGTCACCTTCTCGGTGACTGTACTCCCAGTCTGATGGGGAGTACCGGCCCCTCCCACTGTCTAGGAATTTCTAATCCATTGAGTCAGAAATGTCCTCTTCCCCCACCCCGGCTTCTGGGGTCCCCAATCTGCTTAGAGAGATCCACTCCGAAACTCTGCAGTTTCCAATTCTGATGGAGGAGACTGGGGTCCCCCACCTTGTAGGGGTGCTTAATCTAAGTTCTTTCGATCTGACCGGGGAGCTGGAGACCCCACATTCTGGGGTCAGTTGACCTGAGAGAGAGGCGTGATGGGATCTGATGGGGGAGACACGGCCCCCATGTTCTGGAATTTCCAATCTGATGGGGGAGACACGGCCTGTGACCCTCTAGGGTCAAACTTTTAGTTTGACAAGCGAGACACCCCCAAAGATTCCTAGCCTATAGGGGCAGGCAGGGTTGAGCCACAGATCAAGATCCAAGCACCACAGAGTCGCCACCATCCTGGGTCTCCCCCCCCCCAGCACCCGCACAGGGAGCGCCAGTCCAGCTGGGTGAGGCACCAGTGAACTGGGGACAGAAGGGGACTTCATGCTCAGACAGCCCCAGCTCACCTGGCCCCTCGCTGTCTCCCCAGCGGCAGCTGTCACCACGATGATTGTGCCTGTGCCGGCCAAGCCCATGGAGGGCCAGGATGTGACCTTGACGGTCCAGGGCTACCCTAAGGACCTGCTGGTGTATGCCTGGTACCGCGGGCCTGTGTCTGAGCCCAACCGGCTGCTCAGCCAGCTGCCATCGGGGACCTGGATCGCGGGCCCCGCGCACACGGGCCGGGAGGTGGGCTTCGCCAACTGCTCGCTGCTTGTGCAGAAGCTGAACCTCACAGACGCCGGCCGCTACACGCTCAAGACCGTCACGCTGCAGGGCAAGACCGACACGCTGGAGCTGGAGCTGCAGGTGGCCCGTGAGTGTGCGGGCCAGGCCAAGGGATGGGGGCTCTTCAGACAGGGGCGTCCAAAGGGGGTCTTCTCCCCCTCCACAGGCACGGGAGACACAGGGCGTGTGTCTCTTCCGCCTGACTGGACTGGAGGGTCCCCACATGGGGCTCTTCTTCCCTCAAACTGATGACCTAAGCCAGGGTCAAGAGGCCTCCTCCATCAGACTGCTAGAGGGGTGTCCTCACCCATATAAGAGGCACCCCAGATTGAAGGCTGGCAAAGAGGGCATCACCTGAGAGCGGGCACCTTTTCTCCTGCAGGCTAGTGGACCCCAAAACCTAGGAACCATTGCCTCTTCCACCACATTGGGAGGGACGGGGGTGGGGGGGGCGGGGATGGTGGGTGTTTGCCTCCCCTAGCAGGCTGACGTGCAGCGTGAGGCTGAGAGTGTGGCGGGCCACTGCTCAGGGTCAGGTCCTAGGCAACGGGACCATGTGGCCTCTTTCTACTGGAGTGACAGTGAGGATGGACTTTCTGCCATCACACAGTGGGGTCACTCTCTACAGAAACAAGAATGAACTCCGTTAAAGATGGAGGCTTCTAGCTGTGGAGTTTGTGTCTCCTCCATCAGACTGGGAGCCCCCAGAAACTCAGGGACCGTGTCTCCTCCATCAGACTGGGAGCCCCCAGAAACTCAGGGACCGTGTCTCCTCCATCAGACTGGGAGCCCCCAGAAACTCAGGGACCGTGTCTCCTCCATCAGACCTGGGAGCCCCCAGAAACTCAGGGACCGTGTCTCCTCCATCAGACTGGGGGTTCCCACAGTCAGCCATGTCTCCCTCATTGTGCCATTGCCAGAGATCTGACAGGCCAGGTCACCCGGCAGGTGCATTAGATGAACCAGGTCATTTCCCACGGCTGGAGTCCCCTCCCCAAACAGTTGGGCACTCACAAGTCATGTGCCTGACTGGAAGCTTCCAGGTTCAGGGACTGGGGTACTGCCAGAGTCCCCTAGCCACACTTCCTGATCCACTCACTGATGAAACACTCTGGTCCCCACCAAGAGTGGACTCCTTGTCACCCTGTCTCTCTCCTCACAGTCTGGCTCCCTCCCTCGCTCCAGGACCACCGCTTCCAACCTGAACCTGAACCTGACACAGGCTGAGGCGTGGAGGGCGGGTGGGGCTGGGAGAGGTGGGGCGGGGAGGGCAGCAAGGGGTGGGGACAGTGGGACAGGTTTTCCACCGGATTGACAGGCCTTCTCTGTCCCCCGTCCCATCCTCCCTCCCACAGCCCTGAAGTAGCAGCCTGTGGCCTCGGAGACCACCAGAGAAGAGGAGCTCTTCCTGCCATCTGTTCCCAAGTCCCCTCAGGGACACAGGATCCTGGACTTCACAAGGAATCGCGCTGTGGCCCCGCTGTCCTGCCTCCTCTAGACTTAGAGCCAGCAGGGACCCACTGTCCCGAGCTGTCAGAGGGCCACACAGGCTATAAACTTCCTGGTTAATGCACGTGTGTGTCGTGTCTCCTTCCACTCCCCAAGATGGCCACCCTGGCTTCCTTCCCCCCCCAACGTGATTCCCACTCTGGGTGCTTGGCGTGGGCAAGGACTCGCAGGTCACAGTGCTCCAGGTCCCACTGCTGGGTGGTGAGGGCCCAGGGCCTTCCCGTGGCTCCCCAGGTCACATCTGGGGAAGGACAGGCCAAAGAGGCTCCCCAGCCAGGGCCCCGAAGCAGAGCATCTCGTGCTCAGATACTAACCACATTTCTCCAGAGTTCCAGAACTCTGTTCAAAATCAAAGATGCTGTAGTCTGTCCCATTGCCCTGGAGTCTCCCACAAAATTACCTGTGCCGCCTCCCTCCTCCTCTAGCCACACACACACACAGGCTGTAGGGGGATAAACTGAATGGAAAAGGGGAAGCATGGAGAGCCAAGGTGTAGAGGCCGGAGTGAGTGTGTCCTTAACAGCAGGGTCTAAGTCACAGGCCCCACCCAGCCCAGATGCCTCACTAGGGAATGCTGTTCTTTATTTTTAGGTTTTTGGGATATGGTCACATAGGCCAGGCTGGCCTGGAACTCTCTTTTTTTTTTTTTTGGTACTGGGGTTTAAACTGAGCAACTTCACCTTGAGCCACTCCGCCAGCCCTTTTTTGTGATAGAGTCTTGTGAACTATTTGCCTGGGCTGGCTTCGAACCACAATCCTCCTGATCTCTGCCTCCTGAGTAGCTAGGATCACAGGTGTGAGCCACCTGCACCTGGCTGGAACTCTCTGTGTATCCCAGTCCAGTCTCAAACTCACCATCCTCCTCCCTTCACCTCCTGAATACTGGGATTACAGGTGTGTACCACCATGCCTGGCTAAGAGACTTTCTTGGTACCAGTCAGCCGCGTATGGCCGAGTCTAGGCTTGGGGTGGAAAAAGAGGTTTGGGCAGGGCTAGCAGTGCATTTTGAGGGACGGGCAGGTTGAGTTGGAGCGATGGGTGGTGATGACCTCCAGAATGAGGCCTCTGAAATCCAGATTCTAATCCTACATTTGCATGGATTCCCTTGGGACTCAATTTACCTGTCTGTAACAACCTGTGACCGTGGGGATTTCCAAACCTTTTTCAAAGCCTCAAAACCCTTTCTCACATGCACAGGTTACATGGCACGCCAGTACATTATTTACTAGCATGCAACAAATGAAGATCTCTGCTTCACAAACACAAGGCCCTGAGTTCAAAACCCGGTGCCGCCAAACAAATAAACAAACGCAGGGTTTGATTCAAAACCTGTAGATCCCTCTCTCCTCCCAAATTTACATACACTTGAAAAAATCCTTAAAGTCTACATAAAACTTGGATCACAGATCCAAGTAAAATGCTGGAGATCAGAGCCAGGTGCAGTGAGTCAAGCCTGTAATCCCAGCACTCAAGAGGCTGAATAAGGAGGATTGAGAGTTACAGGCCAGCCTGGACTACATAGTGAGACCCTGTCTCAAAAGGAGAAGCCTGTTGATTTGCTCCCTAAGAACCATTCTTCTCCCCTGTTCCAAGACACAGGCACTGCCTTCCCCAGAAGAAAATGTCAGGAACTCACTTTCCCAGAATGCCTTGCAGCTATATGTGGCCATGTGACCAATTTGGACCAATGGGAAAAGGGGAGGCTTAGGCCTTGTCCACTGACTCCGCCCACCTAAGGAATCACTACAGAGCTCTAGGGAGTTTGAAAGATGATACCTAAATCAAAGTGTGGGGTTTCCAGGCCTTGGGTTCAATTCTTCCCAGCACCACAAAAATTTTTTTAAAAGACTGGGAGGGCTGAAGGCATGGCTCAGGTAGTAGAGGGCCTGCCTACCTTCAAACCCCAGGGCCACAATAATTAATAATAACATAAAATGTAGAATTTTTTAAAAGCCAGGCATGGTGGTGCACACATGTAATTCCGGCACTTGGGAGACTGAGGCAGGAGGTTTCAGAGTTCGAGACCAGCCTTGTCTACATATTGATACCTTTCTCAAAAAAACAAAAACAAAAAAAGTGGGAAAGAGGAGAGAGAAGCTGGTACTTGAAGAAGCTTCCGTGGACCCAGGATTATTTTTCTCACACATGAAACATGCTGAAAGCAGATTTCTCAGAGATGGAGTCAGGACCCCGTGTGTCATCAGACAAAGCTCTTTCTGCTTCATCATCCCTAGCTTGGGCTTCTAGTCTCTCATCACCTCATGGCCCAAAATGGCTGTTGCAGTTGCAGCTGCCTCACCCATGCCCCTTCTTTCTAGAAGGGGAAAAAGGCAAAAACAGGCCCGTAACTCAATTTATAGACTGTTGCCCCTTTTGTTAGTGTATATTTATTGTACAAAATAAAAGATTTCTTTATGTCATTTTCATACGTGTATATGATGTATTTTAATCATATTAACACCCACACACCACTATCGTGACTACCGTGTCTTGTTTCCCTCCCTCTGATCCCTTTTCTCTTCCCAAATGGGATTGGACCTCTTTTAAAAGGAACTTTCCCCAAAGGCCCATCCAATTCCTGCTTACATCTGATTGGCCAGCTCTTAGTCACATGGCCACCTTAGCTGCAAGGGAGCCTGGGAGTTGTAGTCTTTCCCCTTGAGTTCCTTGCTGCCCTGAATAACATCAGTGTTCTGGATATTATGTTGGACAGAGGAACTGGGTCCCGGGTGAGCAGCTGACAGCTCTGCCATGCCAAGCCTTGGAACTCCCACCTCTCAGCAGGACAAAAAGGCCTTTCTCCCCCCACCCCAGGGTGGCCTGGCCCCAGCTCTGGGGTTGTGTGCCATTGATCCAGAATGAGGCCAGCAGGGGGCGGCAGGGGGAGCAGAGAGGAGGCGGCTCACGTTTCTAGGTCAAGCAGATCCCATGTCCTCAGGGTGTGGAGGCTCAGGTGTCCCCAGGACCAAGTCACCTGCCCCTCTGGGGCATCTCTGGGCCGCTACTGAATAATCCTCCCAAGCTGATCAGCCCGTTTTTGACAGTCCAGGAAAGAGCCCGAAAACCACAAAAACAGGCTCTGTGCTAGAGGAGCGCTTGGTCCGGCAATGACAAAATAATGGCAATAATTAATAATAATAATAGAAATGATAATAATAAAACGAGGCCCCATCCTCGACATCAGCTTGGTTTTGTTGTTGTTCTTTGTTTTTTGAGGCAAGGCCTCTCTACGTGCTGGTCTTGACTTTGCAACTCTCCTGCCCTTGCCTCTGCCTCTGCAGTGCTGGGGTTACAGGCGTGCGCCATCACGCCTGGATAGTTTTGTCCTTTTTCAATCAATTCCTACAACCTTTATGAGTAGGCATTCACAGTTTCCCCTATTTTACAGACGAGGAAACTGAGGCACGGAGCGCTGACAATCTTACGGCAGCTCCCGCAGTTCCCACGGCCGCCGGCAGGGGGCGCTGGGTGGACAGATCAAAGGCATTTTTCTGGGGCTGGGTTGTGGCTCAGTGGAAGACCGCTTACCTGGCATGTGCGAGGTCGTGGGTTCAATCCCCCAGCCCTAAAAGAAAGAGAAGGAGGAGGAGAGGGTAGAGGAAGAGGAGGATGAGGAGAAAGAGGAGAAGAAGAAGAAGATTTCACAGGCTTGCCCTATTTTTGTGTGATCCATAACACACTCAACATTGTAATTAGTGAGCATGGCTCACAAGAAAAAATAATAATCACAGCACGTGTGAGTTTTCTGATGTTATCCCAGCAGGTTCTGGGAAAAGTGACCTTAAAGCTTCCCTTTGAAATAAGGCCAAAATTTCTAGATGTTGACTAAAAACACGCATCTCTGAGCCGGGTGTGGTGGTGCACGTCTGTAATCCCAGCAGTCATGAAGCTAAGGCAGGAGGATCTTGAGTTTGAGGCCAGCCTGGGCTACATTAGTGAGACCCTGTCTCAGAAAACCAAAAAGAAAAGGAAAGAAGTACAAAGAAGACGAGGCAAGGCGTATAAAGTCACTCAGTCAGGATTTGGCCTAGAGCGGGCCAGGCACCAAGCCAGGATCACACAGCGGGTTCCAGGCTGAGGGCTGAGGCTGGAGCCCTCCTCTGCCCAGGGAAGATGCATGGCTCCCCTGGCCCCCACGAAGCCACAAAGCCCAGATAGTGGCCAGGGATTCCACCAGCTCAGGAGGGGAGGCAGGCCTCACCTCCATGACCTCTGCCTCCCCTCAACCCCATTCCTTCCCCTGCCACTGCAGTGGGGAGGACAGGGCTGGGCTGGGCCGGGAATGACCTTGAGGCCAGTACACAATGGTCCAGTCCCGCTCTGGAGCCCTGCCGAGGAGAGGAAGGAAGTCTGCCTGCTCTTCTCCGTTGACTGGAATGGTGATTCAGGACGGAGAGAGGGGAGGAGCGAGGAGGAGGGAGGAGGAGAAGAGAAGGGGGAAAAGAGAAAACTAAGGGAGAAGGAAGGAGGAGGGAGGGGAGGGAGGGGGTGCCTGGCATTGGGGATCACGACCAGACTTTGGGAACCAGGAAGAGTGAGCTGTATCCCATCCTGACACACAGTTCAGAGACCAGAGAGGGCATCCATCCCCCAAAGCCTGCACAGGAACAGGGCGGCCAAAGGGCTTCACCAGGTGCTCCCCAAGTCCCTACAGCAAACTTCAGAGGCAGATGCCAGTCTACCCATTCCATTCCTCAGAAGGGGAAACTGAGTCTCCAGCGGTCAGTTTCATTTCCTAGCTTCTGGTTCTTTAGCATAATAGTCCAGTCTTTTTTTTTTTTTTGCAGTACTGGGGTTTGAACTCAGGGCCTACACCTTGAATCACCTACCAGCCCATTTTGTGATGGGTTTTTCGAGATAGGGTCTCGTGCTCTATTTGCCTGGTCTGGCTTTAAACCACAATCCTCCTGATCTCTGCCTCCTGAGTAGCTGGGATTACAGGCATGAGCCACCAGTGCCTGGCTCTAGTTCAGACCTTTTTTGAGACAGGGTCTTACTCTGTAGCCCAGGCTGGCCTCAAACTTGAGATCCTCCTGCCTCTGCCTCCCAGGAGCTGGAATTACCTTTGGTCTTCACAGCATTTATTGCACACACACCCCAAGTTTACATTCTATGTTTCTTTCTTCACTTGTTCATTTTTGTGCCTTGTCCACCAGCCTGAGAGCTTCCTGAGGTAGGAGTTCAGTCTCTGTCCACTCTGGTATGTCTACTCCCTTTCCCAATGCTTGGCACACAGCAGGTGCCTAATAAATGCTAATGGCAGTAGTAGTGATGATAAGAAGTCTCCCTTGTCCCAGTAATAAAACCCTTCAGGTAGGCGTGGTGACACACGCCTGTAATCCCAACACTGGGGAGACCGAGGTCAAGGCCAGCTTAGGGCTACATAGTGAGACCCTGTCTCATAAAAGGAGTGGCTCAGGTAGTAGAGCCCCTGCCTCCCAAGCTCAAGACCCTGAGTTCAAACCCCAGCACCACCAAAAAAAAAAGCTATGTCAGTTTTTTGCAGCTGTTGAATGAAAGAATTAGCACAAACCTAGTGCTTAGAATCAGTCTCGATTGGCTAAAATCAAGGTTTCCTTCTGGTCGCTGCAGGAAAGAATCCATTATTTGCCATTTCTGGTGGCCACCAGTAGCCCTCGGCCTGGGGCCTCTATAAGCTCCGGGAAGAGCATTTCAGACACAGGGCACCGCATGTGCAAAGGCCTGGAGGCAGGAAAGCAGTCGAGGCCATTGTGCCCAAGGGGAATATGAAGGAGGTGAAGACGGCCCTGGGGTGGTGGATGGGGGAAGCGAGGATGGCAGAGCCATGAGCGCCAGAGTGAGGACTGCAGCACCACCCAGGGGAGGTGGGAGCCATAGAGGATTCTGAGAGGGGCTGGACTGGCTCTGAGTCAGTTTCTAACAGGACCCTCGGGCCAAAGTGGGCGGGGGCAGAACTTGGTACAGTGGAGGAAAAGAGTCAGGGGTCTGCACATCGGGGCCCATCAGCGTCAAGGTCAGGCAGGAAGGCTGTAAGCGGGGTGGGACAGGAGGACATCTCTGAGAGGCCAAGGGAGCAGCAGACCTCGCCTGGACCCCAAGGGAAGTTGGTGACAAGTTGCGGACTGTGGTTTTCACCCATCTCATGGGACACCTCATTCGCTCCCCAACTTCCCCTTGGCCAGGCAGAGGCCAGGTCTGTCCCCCACCATCACGCTAGAGAAAGCTGGGTTTCCCCTAACCCGGCAGACACCTCTTCCCTCTGCCCGGCCTGACCCTCCCACCACCTCGGGAAGCCCCGTGCAGCCTCCTCCTCCCATGTCCCTGCAGGATGGAGCCACCGCTGCCTGCTCATCCAGCCGGGCGGTCCCCCAAAGGGGAAGTGGGTCACCCAAAGTCATCCGGCCATCGGCCGCCAACTCAGGACATCAGGGGCTCTGGGAGGCTGGGTACATATCACACACGAGAAAATGCAGGTCCCACGCTCACCCAGGACACTCCACAGATGGGGAGTCAGGATTCGAGCCCAGGTCTCCCAAGGATGACTTTGTTTTAAGCTCAAAGGGAAAAACACAGGGTGAGCAGAACTGGGCTCCCCCAGGCCCACTGAGGAAACAGACTTGTCCCCAGATGGTCACAGCCCTGCCCAAGAGGGAGCCCAGGGGGCTGTGGGAGCTTAGGGGAGTCACAGGGGCGTCCTGGAGAAGACAATGGCTGGCTCATCAGGGACCAGAAGATAAATGGGGTTGGTGAGTCCAAATGCTCCCCTGCAGAGGGAACAGTATGTGCAAAGGCCCAGCGTTAAGAGGGAAGCTGAGGGACTTCTAAATCTGACCGGGGTCCCTCTCCTGACTAAATCCTGGGAAACTGTTTAGCATGGAATTAGTTCATTCACTCACTCATTTCTTTTATTCACTCAACAAACAGTAAGCACTGGGGCCTGCTAGGACAAAGCAGTGACCACTGCGGCCCCGCTGGACTGTGACCCTGACCTGGGACTCATGGAAGGCTCTCGAAGAAGGCATTTACTCCAAGATCTACAGAAGTAGGAAGACAAATCCATGGAAGAGGTGGGGAAGGGTGTTTCTGGCGTAAACAACCTGCTCATGGCTCTGCTGAAGCCCAGGGTGGTTCAGGAGCAGCCATGGCCCTGTGGTGCCATGGAAAACTAGTGGGCACAGGAGAGGCAGGAGTTGGCTTTAACTTCAGAGAGACCCCCTGCACTTTGCAGAGGGTGAGGCCTGAACCCCCAGTTGCGGGGCTGGGCTGGGATTTGCACCCAGGTCGGGGGTCAGGGCAGGGACCCCTCTCTGGCATTGCAGGACACCTGCAAGATGGGCGCCTGGCACACGGCAGCCACTAGGTGGCGCCAGTGCGTCACCAGCCAGCTCTTAAGGCCAGGTGAGCCGAGCCGCCTGGACAGACAGGTGAGCTGCCCTTGGGTGTGGACCGCAGACCCTCCCCGTCTTTGACTCTGGCCCCTGGCTAAGTGACCATGGGCTGCTCAACCCCCGCGCCCACCCCTCAACTCACACATCAAGATGGTTCCCTTTTGCCAACCCTTTTTATTTAGGGGAGGGGGTCCTGCCTCCCTGTGAGACTGGGGACCTTGACTCCCCCATCAGATTAAGAACCTCGAGCTGCCACCCTGAGAGCACTGGAGACGGCTCTTCCACACCCCATCCCTCTGCAATACTTTCTGGGTCCTTCCCTGGAAGGAACCAAGCCCATTTTACCAAGAGGGAAACTGAGGCAGAGCCTCACTGTTCCGTGGGGCTGCAGACCCTCCGTCCCTTCCCCTTGGTCTCTCCTGTGTACCTGTCCCCAACTCCTCCTCCTCCAGCCCCACGCCCTGGTAACTCCCCTGGCACAGGGACGAGGGGAATTCTGCCCAGACGGCCTTATCGGCGCCAGTGGTGGCTAGGGTCAAAGTCCAGAGCCCAGCCTGGGGCTCCAGAGTGGATAGGGAGGTGGGGAGCCCAACCCCAGCTGGGGACTCCCCCGAGGGCCAGCCCTGCGGCTGGGAGGCGAAGGGATGGCTGTAGGCCCCGTTGCTTCTTTTCCAGTTCCCGCTGGGTGGCCTTGGACCTGGAGCTTTGCTGTCTCCTCCAGTCTCAGTTTCCCCAGCTGTATCCCCAAAAGGTTTTTCACCCCTCCCTCATCCCTCCATGTCCTACCTCCTAATCCAGGCCGCCTGATCTCCTGGTGCACAGCTGTCCTTCTTGCCTTGTGGACTCTACCACTCCTACAGCCTGAGGGGTCTTTCCAAAATCCAAGGCTGCCTCCTGCTCAGAACCTGCTATGGCTCCCCAGTACCCTCAGGAGAATGCCCCAGTCCTGCGCCCAGCGACAGGCCTACTAGATGCCTTGGCACCTGACCCCTGCCGGCCTCCATCCTCCTTTCTTAACCTCTTTGGTTACTGTTACTTGTTTTGTTTTTTGGAGACAGGGTCTCGCTATATAGTCCAGGCTGGCCTTGAACTTGAGATCCTCCACCTCCCAAGGGCTGGGATGACAGGCCCAGCCCCCTTTCTGTATTCCTAACCCATTATTTTGCCCAATCCCCTTAGGACTCAGCCTTCCCTGGTCACACACCGGCCCACTGTGGCCTCTGCCCTGTCTCCTGGGTACCTCTCACAAGTCCCGTCACAGACAAAAGTAAATGTGCGTTTAATGTCTTCGCTAGTTGGACAATGAGCCCCGGCTGACTTGTCTGACTTATTTGAAAGCCCCATCTTTTTTTTTTTTTTTTCCAACAGTACTGAGGTTGAGCCACTCCACCAGCCCTTTTTTTGTGATGGGTTTTTTTCAGATAGGGTCTTTTTGAACCATTTGCTGGGGCTGGCTTTGAACCAAGATCCTCCTGATCTCTGCATCCCGAGTAGCTGGGATTACAGGTGTGAGCTACAGACACACAGGTGGCCCCACCTTTAAACCTCTCCCTCTCCCTTTCCAAGAGCCCTTACCCTGACTCAGCCACTGTCACCAGCAGCCTGGACCTGGACCAAGCAGTGACCTCCTCCCTGGGCTCCTCGACCTCCATAGTCTGCTCCCCACCTGCAGAAAAAACAACCCTGTTAGAAACTAAATCACATCACATTCCTCCCCTGCTCAGAGCTCTCCATGGCTCCCACCGCCCTCTGAGCACAGTCAGTCCTCCACATCCACGGTTCTGCCTTAGAGAATTCAATCAACCTTCAACTGAAAACACTCAGGATGGGCGGGAGGTGTGGCTCAAGCAACAGAGCACCTGCCTAGTAAGGGGAGGCCCCGAGTTCAAATCCTACTACAGCCAAAAAAAGAGCCAGGCACCCGTGTCTCACATCTATAATCCTAGCTCCTTGGGAGACTGAAATCAGGAGGACCAAGGTTTGAGCCCACCCAAGCAAATACTTTGAGAGACCCCGTGTCCCAAATAACCAGAGCAAAATGGACTGGAGGAGTGGCTCAAGCAGTAGAGCACCTGCTTTGCAAGTAGGAAGCCCTGAGTTCAAACCCCAGTCCCACCAAATAAATAAATAAATACAATTCACCCCAAAAAAATTGGTTCTGTACTGACCTGGTATACACTGTTTTCCTTACAATTACTCCATAATAATACAGTATAACAGTAATTTAGATACATTGCATTGTATTGGGTATGAGAAATCACCTAGAGCCAGGAGTCAGTGGCTCACGCCTGTAATCCCAGCTACTCAGAAGACAGAGATCGGGAGGATCTCAGTTCAAGGCCAGCCAGGGCAAATAGTTCGAGAGACCCTGTCATGAAACCCATCACTAAAAAAGGACTGGTGGAATGGCTCAAGGTGAAGGCCCTGAGTTCAAACCCCAGTACCACAAAAAAATAAATAAATCGATCAGCCATCTAGAGTATCAGGGAAGATATGCAGAGGTTATATGCAAATGCCATGCCTTTTATTATGGGGCGTTGTTTTGAAACAGGGTCTTACTGTGCAGCCCAGGCTGGCCTCTAACAAAGCTGGTGGCTGCCAGCTGTGTCAGTGTCTCACAGGCAGTCCTGGGCCAGCACCCAGGTCAGCACAGCCAGGGCTCTGTCTGGTCCCTTTGAATCACCGGTGATCCTTTGCTGAGCTAGAAAAATGGCACAGTGATCCCTGGGTGACAGCTGGAGTGCTATAAGGAAACTTGACCGCCTTGGTCCCCGAGGTCTCAGCCGTGTGGGATGGTGTTGGATGAACAGCCTCAGGCCTGCCCTCACAGGCTTGCACATGGGACACACAGGCTTGTGGCATCCCTGAATGGTTGGTTCTGGGGTCGGGGAAGCTAGAGAGGGCTTTGGATCCAGCCTGGAGAAGAGAAATCAGGGAGGGCTCCCTGGACCAAAGGCTTTTTTTTCCCTCTTTTTTTTGTGTGTGATGGTTTTTTCCACAATAGGATCTCAAATAACTATTTGCCCAGGCTGGCTTCGAACCGTGATCCTCCTGATCTCTGCCTTCTGAGTAGCTAAGATTACAGCATGAGCCACTGGCACCTGGCTCTTTTTCTTTTTTGAGGTCAGACTGGCCTCAAACCCATGACTTTCTACCTCTGCTTCCTGAGTGCTGGGATTACAGGCATACCCCACCATGCCTAACAAGGCTGTCTTTGATTGAACACTTACTGGACGCCTGTATGTGGATATCTGAGGAGGCCTGGTTTCAAGGCTGGAGCTTCTGGGTGGGAACCTGGACTTTTTCCTGGGCTGCCACAGACCTCATCACGTGTTCAGGAGATCTGGGCAGGTGAAAGAGGCCAAGAGAGGGCAGAGGCCAGAGGCCAGGAGTGGGCCGAGGCTCCAAGAGGGAGAAGAAGCATAAGAGCCACCAGGAGGAGAGGAGACCCCTGTGTTCTATCTTCTCAGGTCCCAGGAGTCCTGGAGCGGGGCCCCTTCCCTGTTTCTCAAGTTCAAGGTTGTGAGTCTGAGGTGTGTCCACAACGCCTTCTGGTCACCCCTTCCCTCCCAGGACTGTTTTGTCACATTTCTGCGGTGCTGGGGGTGGAATCCAGGTTAGCCATGAGCCAGCGTCCTATCACAGAGCCACGTCCCAGGCCCCCTTCCCACGCTTAGGGTCTGAGCATTCTTTTGGAGGGGAGGGGATTGGAATAGGATTTCACTATGTGGTCCAGGCTGCTATGGAACTCTGGATCCTTTTGCCTCAGACTTCCAAGTGCTGGGATTACAGGCGTGCCCCACCACACCTGGCTCTGATCATTTTTAATTCCTTTGCTTTTTTTGGCAGTACTGGGGTTTGAACTCAGGGTTTTGCACTTGCTAGGCAAGTGCTCTACCACATGAGTCACACTCCCCAGGCCCTTTTGCTTTACTTATGTTTCAGGTAGGGTCTCACAGTTTTTGCCCAGTCAGCCTGGCCCACCGTCCTCCTATTTATGCCTCCTGTTAGCTGAGATGACAGGTTTGAGCCATGACACCCAGTTTTTTGTTGTTGTTGAGATGGGGTCTTGCTATTTTCACCCAAGCTGACCTTGAATCATGATTCTCCTTGAATCTCCACCTCCTGAGTAGCTGGGATTACAGGCATGAGCCACCTCACCCTGCCTTGGGTCTAATTATTCTTTTTTTTTTTTTGCAGTACTGGGACTTGAACTCAGGGCCTTCACCTTGAGACCCTCCACCAGCCCTTTTTTTGTGATGGACTTTTCAAGATAGAGACTCATGAATTATTTGTCTCAGGCTGGCTTGTGATCCTCCTGATCTCTGCCTCCTGAGCAGCTAGGATTACAGGCATGAGCCACTGGTGCCCCAGTGTATTCTTAATTTCTTAAATTCTATTTATCTTTGCTCCTACAGTTCTGTAATGGCCGGTTTCTTTTGTCCTTGCTTCTAGAATTCACTTGTTCACTCTCTGTTCTCTCCTAGGTGCTGAGTACACGATGGACCAAGTCCTTGCCCTCAGGGAGGACACATTTAGGGAGGGCCCCAGCCGGGCCAGGCTCCCTTCTGGGTGTCCACTTCTGGCATCACCACCTAGAGAGGATCCCCCTCACACCAATGAAGAGATGGGGAAGGGGATTCCAGAGTCTCTTGTCCCTAACAGTCTGGGGCTCCTCGGATTCTTTGTCCGTATGATTCTCTTAGGCTCGGATTCAAGTGGACTGTGGATATAGGAAAAAATGCTCAATGTCACTATTGATCCAGAAAAAGCAAATAAACATCTGATGGGATTCACACACACACACACTCACCAGGATGATTCATGCTATATTTAAAAGCCTAGAAGAAGGCGAAGCCGGACACCCTATCATCCGACACCCTATCAATCATCCCACAACCCACTCTTGGGTGACGCAGAAAATGTGTGCTGCTGGGCACCAGGAGACAATGCAGCACTGCTCAGAAGAGTCGGAGACCGGAAACAACACGCAAACCCGCAAACAATGAACGAACAATAAGTTGCGGTGTGTGCATACAGGCAAACACGATACAGCAATGAAAAACGAGCACATTGCAACAGGCATGAGAAAGCACAGAACCTCGCCGGCAGAAAATTCCGTCCGAAAAGCAAGAGCCAAGAGTGCCCTTTGTTGGATGGAACTGGAAATCGCTGTTAAGGGAAATATGGCCGACTTGGAAAAACAGACATCACGGGTTCCCCTCACATGTAGAAGCCAACCTAAAAACTGCGTTGACATGAGTGTAGTGAGGGTGCTGCTGGGGTGGGAGCCACGGCGGGGCAGGGTGAAGGGAGAGGGGGAGGGAGTGAAATGATCTAAGTATACATGTGTGCAAAAATAGAATAAAGAAACCCTTTAAAATTCTGTTTAAAAAAAGAAATAAAGGTGGATGAATTTGATCAAAGTATTGTTTCATGCATGAAAATATCAAAATGAAACCCCTTTTACACTTAATATACAACTAATAAACAAAAGAGAGGGAAAAATAAAGTCTACTTTTTGGGTTTTTTGGCAGTACTGGGGTTTGAACTCAGGGCCTCACGCTTGCTTGGCAGGTCCTTTACCACTTGAGTCACTCCTCCAGCTCTTTTTTGTGCTGGGCTTTTTCAGATTGGGTCTCATGAACTGTTTGCCTCGGCTGGCTTTGAACCTGGATCCTCCTGATCTCTGCCTCCCGAGTGGCTGGGATTACAGGGGTGAGCCACCAGCACCGAGCTAAACTCTACTTATTGAACAGGAAAAAAAATTAGTCCCAAAATTGGGACTGGAGGTGTGGCTCAATCAGTAGAGTGCCTGCTTTGCAAGCCTGAAGCCCTGAATTCAATCCCAGTCCCATCAAAAAAAAAATCCAAAACTAGGCTACACACAGTAGCTCACACCTGTAATTCCTGCTACTCGGGAGGTAGACATCAGAAAGATCTCAGTTTGAGACCAGCCTCCACAAAAAGTTAGTGAGGCCCATCTTGATCAATAAGCCAGATGTGGTGGTGTGTTCCTGTCATCCCAGCTATCTTAGAGGCATAAGCAGGAGGATCACAGTCTGAGGCTGCCCCAGGCAAAAACTTAAGGCCTTATCTGAAAAATAACTAAAAGCAAAAAAGTGTGGGTGTGCATGACTCAAGCAGTACAGTGCATGCCTGACAAGTGCAAGGCCCTGAGTTCAGACTCTAGTACCACCAAAAAAAAGAAAAACCTCAAACTGGGTTGAGCATGGTGGCAAACACCTATAATCCCAGCTACTCAGGAGGCTGAGGTAGAAAGATAGCGAGTTGGAGGCCTGCATATTGAATTCAAGGCCAGCCTGAACTTGCTTGTGTCACAAAAAAGAAAGAAAAAATCCAAAACTGTGGTGTTCAGGTGTACATTCATAGATAGTAAAAATAGAAAGAAAAACAAGGAAATTATACCCTAAAGTAAGGATACAGGTTGTGGGGAGGGGGAGTTGATATCGGAAGATGCAGAGAGAACGGGCAAAAAGCCAGGCACAAAAGGTGGCTCATGCCTGTAATCCTAGCTACTTAGGAGGCTGAGATCAGGATCAGGAGGATTGTGGTTCGAAGCCAGCCTGGGTTAAAATAGTTTGTGAGATCTTATCTAAAGCCAAAACCCATCACAAAAATAGGACTGGTGGAGTGGCTCAAGGTGTAGGCCATGAGTTCAAACCCCCGAACCACACACACAAAAAAAGTACCACTATGTCTTAGCCTAACTATTGTTTTTACAATAGTTTGTGACATGGAACATTGTATTTTAATTTCGTGCAATCTTCTGAGTCATAGTTCATTTTATTTTTGTGGGGTTCTTTTTTGGGTTTGGGGGTAGGTTTTTTTTGCCATGCTTGGGATGGAACCCAGGGCTCTGAGCATACCAGGCAAGCACTCTGCCACAAAAGATTTTTTTTTTTTTTTTGGCAGTAGTGGAGTTTGAATTTAGGACCTTGCACTTGCTAGGCAGGCGCTCTCCCACTTGACCTCCTCTGCCCTTTTTTAAACAGGGTCTCATTTTATGCCTGGGCAGCCTGGACCGAAAGCCCATGTAACTAGAATGACACCACACCCAGCTTTTATTGGTTGAGATGGGGTCTCACAAACTTTTTGTCCAGACTGGCTCCAACCATGGTCCTCCTGATCTCTGCCTCCTGAGTAGCTGGGATGACAGGTGTGAGCCAGCACACCTGGCCCAAGAGATTATTTTTTTCAGTTCCATGGTTCCAAAACTCTGTTCCTCAGACTTCCCGACTTGCAAGGAGCAATGTCTCTGAGCCCCGGCGTGAACACAGGGGGAGCCAGGGAGCACATGAGAAGAGAATGTGGGGTTTAAAACGCATAACAAGATTTGATTTTCCCAGAAGCAAGCAGATGTGCTGTGACTCTGTGACGGTGGAGGATTGAAGTGACAAAAGTTCACGGGTGAGTGAAGTGTAAAGCCAAAGCCACAAGCCAACCACCCCCACCTCCTGCAGAGCAAGACAACAACACAAGCTCCTGAGCCGGGTCAGTTCCTTTTCTCACCTGCCAGCCCAGTGCCAGGCACACGGGGGAGGGGGGGAGGCCGTCTAGAATGTCACCAAAGCTGGCACCCGCAGGGGACCCACTTTGGTTGATACAGAAACTCAATCTGTCCTGGGTGGCTTGTCAGGGACATTGTGACGCAGGGATTTGCTCCCAGCCTGAGTTTAAGATCACCTGATTCCCTGGGGACCAGGAAGTGGAGACACATCTGCCACACACATCCATGGGGATGTGTTGGAGGGTAGGGGTAGCCCCACTTGGGCTGTGGCTGGGGACAGGGGAGGTGACTCTGCCATGGCTCCAGCTCAAATGAGGAAGGACTTGGTGTCACCTTGGCTTTCCCAGGAGCCTGAGGGACTTTTTTGTCTGTATTTTTAGGCCAAATGACCCAAGGGGAGGTTGTGGCCTTGGGTGGGAGAGGCACCAACATCCAGGAAAAAGACCAGAGGCCCCCCAGAAAGGTACTGTCCCTTCCTCCTGAAAGGGCTCCATGCTCAGCCCTGCAGGGATGGGATTGGGAAAGGAGGCTCCTAGTCCAATGACAGAGGCTTGTCCCCACTTAGGGAATGGCTAGGCTGATGGCAGAGCCCATGCTTTCACAACTCAGGGCTCAAGAAGAAGCAACTAGGGCCGGGAATGGTGGCTTTCAAGTATAATCCCAGCTACTCAGCAGGCAGAGGTAGGAGAATCATGAAAGTTATCGAGACCATATGTGACAACAAACTAAAAGCAAAAGGTCTGTGGAGTGGCTCAGGTGCTAGAGCGCCTGCCTAGCAAAGGTGAGGCCCTGAGTTCAAACCCCAGTGCCATCAAATAAATAAATAAATAAATGACCACTGATCTGGTGGGGATGGCACCCCTGCTCCCTCCTGGGGAACCAAACCTCACTCCCACAGTGTTCCTTGTCAGGTGGAGGATTCAAACCCTACAACTCAGCGAGCTCTAGTCTAAGGGAGGCGTGACGATCCCGCTCAGACCCAGGTCCGGAAGCTCTGGTAGGATGGGGGAGGCACCGCCTGTCATCTGGAAGTCAAGGCTGATGCTCCCCCAGAAGCCTGCCCGCCCAGGGAGACGACTGAGAACCTCAGCCCGGGCCAGTGAGGAAGGCATGTGGTCCACTAACCTAACAGAGGAGGGGGCATGCCCCCCGCATCTGGGGAAGTTCCCAGTCTGATAGGGGAGGCATCCCCCACTCTCTGCCTCTTGGATAGTTCTAGTCCAATGAAGGAGTCTGAAGGAGTCAAACCTTTTCTTTTTTGAGACAGGATCTCCCTATGCAGTCTAGGCTGGCCTTGAACTCTCCATCCTCCTACCTCAGCCTCCTGAGTGCTAGGATTAGAGGTGTGCACCACCACACCTGGCTCCGAACCTTCTCCCTCCCTGTCTGGCCGACTGAATGAGCAGGGCCGGTGGGGGGGGGGTTCCCCTCCCCACCTTCATGGTAGATCCTAGAAGCAGGGGACTTCTGTGGGAGCACACCACATGTCCCCAGCCTGGGACTTCCCTTTTGTCAGCTCAACCCCATGCCTCACTGGGGGCAGACAGGCCAGCCAGGCAGACCCATGCCCACCGTCATCCGGGTGCCATGACCCCAGCTGTGTCACGGAGGGCGTGCCAGGCTCCTCGGGGATTTCCGTGTCTGATTTCACCATGCCCTACCCTACAAGGAGGCACTCATCCCATTTAACAAACAAGGTGGAAGAGCAAGGACCTCGGAGACCACAGGCAGAGTCAGAGACAGGACCCAGCAGGGTGACAATGAGGATGCTGCTGGAGGCCTTGCTCTGCCAGGCAACTGTGCCAGACACTTTATTAATGACTCACTGAATCTTCCCAGTTGTCACATTTGTAACTCTCCATGTCATTATGCCATGACTAATGGGGGGAAACTGAGGCCCAGAAAGCAGATGAGTAGGAGACAGAGCTGAGACTCCAAAGCCCTCAACGGCAGGTTGGCACCTCAGGAAAGCTTATATGGCTAACAAAAGATGGATGAGAAGAAAAGAAAGAAGGCCACATTAGGGGTGGGAGGGTGTCACAGGCTGCGGGTGACAGTCCAGCCTGTTGCCTCCTCCCCAGAGAAGTCTCACTGGAAGCCGAAATGGACAGACACTTCTGTCCCCACCTGGTCCTGTCATGGCCTGAGGCTGAGCAGGAGACTGTCACCAACTGGCAAACTGAGGTGGACCTTGCAGAAGCCATGGTTGGAGGCCATCAGGGATCCCCATGCCGGGCCACACGTCCCTTCTTGAAAGGAAATGGGAGTGGCACACCCATTGTCCGCCACTCCCAAACTCTGGTAATAATTACACTCATTTTCAAATGGTATCTTCTTTTGTTTTATTTGAGACAAAGTCTCACTATGTAGACCAGGCTGGCCTTGAACTTGCGATGTAACTCAGGCTGGCGTTGAGCTTGCTGTGTAGCGCAGACTGGCGGCTGGCCTCTAACACCCAATTTTCCTGCCTCAGCCTCCCAAGTGCTGGGATTACGAGTGTGTACTGCCACACCCAGCTGAGCCCAAACAATTTGATAGTGTTTCATTTACAGACAGGATGCTGGAGGACCTAATTAGACTGCCTGGGCTGTCTATCATCACCTGCTGGGACCCCTGTGTCCTTTTTGTCCCCTGCCCAACCTTTCCACACCCCTGGCCAGGGACGGGGGCAGATGCCAACCTCTGCCCCCACCTGCCACATCACATCCCCCCTGCTGATCAAGGCAGTTGGGGGAGGGGTGCATGATGTCTGCCTTCCAGACCAAAAGCAAGCAGGATGTTGTAATCCTCTGACTCAGCTGCTGCGTGCAGACCCAGCACGCAGAGGGAGAAAGGGGAAGATTAAGACTTGGCCACACTCCAGATGGGCTGATTCTGCCCAGCGCCAGTGGCTCTGGCAGCTACCAAGGCCCCAGAGCCAGAGAGGAGGAGGGAGAGAGCTAAGAGGTGTAGGCCTCGCTCCAGGAGTCTGGCCTGCGTTCACCCTGGCGGGGGCAGGGCAGCCTCAGAAGAACAGAAGCTGGACCCAGGGTGGACATCAGCCCAGAACTCAGAAAGGAGGCAGGCTGCCTGACCTTGGGCAAGTCCCTCCCCTTCCAGGCTCTGTTTTCCTGTCCTGCAGAGTCCTCTTGGTCCCCCTGAGTGACGCTGAAGTTGGACTCCAAACCCTCGTGCTGCAGTGGAAGTCTCTGGCTACCTCCTCCCGCTCCCTGTTCCTGGAGGCCGCAGAGCGTGGATGCTGTCAAGCAAAGGAGGGCATCTTGCAGACGACTTTCTCCATGTCTCTTCTAAACCAGAAAGTAGGGGTCTAGAATTAGAGCTGACCTGAAGTCTCTGGGATTAATGGCTACCCTCCCTGGTCAATAGATTGGGCCCAGGATGATGGGGCCACAGAGACCTGGCTTAAAATCCTAACTGCTAGCCAGGCACCAGTGGCTCACACCTGTAATCCAAGCTACTCAAGAGACAGAGATCAGGAGGATTGCAGCTCAAAGCCAGCCCAGGCTAATAGTTCTCGAGACCCTATCTCGAAAACTCCTTCACAAAAATAGGGCTGGTAGAATGGCTCAAGGTGAAGACCCTGAGTTCAAACTCTAGTACCTCAAAAAAAAAAAAAAATCCTGATTGTTCCTAGTTCCCTGTTCCCATGTGACCCTGACGACTTCAGATGGGAATTTTCATTGAATTTTTCCTTGCAACACATCAAGTGGATTAAGTGGGTTGATTCCTGATGCGATCTCAGCCCACAGTGAATGGGGCTATTTTGTCTCATGTGTGGACCTTAAGAAGGTGACAAGGAGGACCTGGCCTGAGAGCTAGGATGAAGGTTAAAGCAGGCAGTATGGAGACAGGAATGGACTTCATTCATTCACTTACTCATTCCACAAATTGGTCTCATTTAATCTCCTCTCTTTAGGTGACATGTGTTATTAACAACAGTTAAAATCACAACAGGAGCATGGCGGTGTACGCCTGTAATCCCAGCTACCTGGGATCACATCAAGTTGCAAGGTCAGCCTGGGCAAATAGTTCCAGATCCCATGTTCAACTAAACAGAGCAAAAGAGACTGGAGGTGTGAAACCAATGCTCCCAATGAGACGGGGCCTGCTACTGAAAACATACATCAGTATGGTGTTATTCTGTACTTACTATTATATTAACAGTAACATCAGCTCCACTGCACTGAGTTCTTTCTATACATCGGGCCATAGAGGACAGACACATGTATTCTTGATTTAGTCTGATGTACACATGAGGAAACCAAAGGTCCATGACATTAATTAACTGCCTAGAAGTCACAAAGTTAACAGCAGGAGGCAGGATTCGAAGCCTGGCCTCAGTTTGAAGCAAAAACCCCACAAGGCCCAGGAATTGAGGCAGATGGGAACGCTGGGCCTGATCAGCCCCACCTTCTCCTCTAGAAGGGAAAATTGGAAGCCAGAGAGCAAAAAAGCTGCCTACCAGCTGGACTTTATTTCCCTCTGGGGACATTGGTCAGGTCAAGTCTCCACCGGGAGTGATAGAGAAGCAGCAGGAGAGAAGAGGACATCTGAACAGACACAAAGGGTGGCCTTCGTGGGGAAAGTGGGTAGACAATAAGCAGGACTTCTGTGCTTTCTCTGGGAAGTTTCTGGGACTCATCCAGGGGCTGCCCCTGCCAGTCGGGGGGGTGAGGGCTCCAAATCTCAAGGGCCAGAGAGGAGAGACCCTAGTCCTCCCCGCGTGGGGCACAAGAATCAAGGGGAAAGGAGGGGGTGGCCATCCTGGTTCCGCATCCTCCATTCCCGACACTGGAGGGAGGCTGCTGTGGGAGCAGGGACTTTCCTGAGCTGTGAACATTCTGGGAAATTAGAGACAGCTGTGGGGCGGGGCTGACTCCCCAGTCTCCCTTCCCTCCCCTCCCCTCAGACCCTGCTGGTCCCCAGGCATCCCTCCCTCCCCTCCCCCCAGGGGGCCTCTGACTGCCTCCTCCTGCAGACCCTCAGGTCTTCTCCCTCACACCGCTTCCCCTCCCTCAGAACTGCTTCTCACCTAGTCCTCAGACTTCTGCAGACTGTGCCCCCTCCCTCCCTCAGACCCTCGCCCCCTCCACCAGGCTGTTACCTTATCTCTCTGGCGTCCCCACCTCCTCCCTCAGGCCCTCACCTCCTCCCTCAGACCCCATCTCCTCCCTCAACCCCTCACCTCCTCCCTCAACCCCTCACCTCCTCCCTCAGACCCCCATCTCCTCCCTCAGACCCTCACCTCCTCCCTCAGACCCCCATCTCCTCCCTCAGACCCTCACCTCCTCCCTCAGACCCCCATCTCCTCCCTCAGACCCCCATCTCCTCCCTCAGACCCTCACCTCCTCCCTCAGACCCCCATCTCCTCCCTCAGACCCCCATCTCCTCCCTCAGACCCTCACCTCCTCCCTCAGACCCCCATCTCCTCCCTCAGACCCTCACCTCCTCCCTCAGACCCCTCACCTCCTCCCTCAGACCCTCACCTCCTCCCTCAGGCCCTGTTTTCCCTCATCCATCCCCAGGGACTGGGATGGGACTTCAGCCCTCTGGGCAAAGAGCAGACACAGCCCACCGCCCCAACTGGCAAAAGTGGAGGGGACGAGGGTACCCTTCCGACCCTATGTCTTAGGACCACCACCCTCGGCCCCAGCTTCCCTTTCTGTACACTGGGCAGGGCTTGGTCTCCCGCCCTCTCCTGAGTTTGAGGGTCCCAGAGGAGAGGGCTGTTGGGCCCCAAGCAATTCCTTGCTGTTCTCTTGCAGCACCACTCCCCACCCCAGCGCAGGCTGGGAGTGACATCAGCCCCATTCTCCAGGACAAACTGAGTCTCCAGAGAGGGGATGGTTCCTCTGAGGTTCCACAGGCACTCGGGCTGGAGGTGAGCCTGGAGCCCCGGTCTGCTCCCCCTCCCCTATTTCCCGTGGGGGACGTGCAGAGAAAGAGTGAAAGAGGAGGGAAGGGGTGAGGCTCTCGCATCCCACATCCCGGGTTAACCATCCACTCGGGTGGGGCCCAAGCCGACCAAAGTTCCTTTCCGGGGACCGAGGCCCACACCCACTTTCACGTACTGAGTCGCCAGACGACAGAGCTCGAGAGACCAAAAGGGACTGGGGGGAGAGGGGGCAGGGCCAGAGACAGTGGGAGGGAAGCCAGGGATGGAGGGACTGAGTTGCAAGAGAGACAGCCTAACAGTTGAGCAGGGGGACTCTGCGTGTCCCCTGAGCAGCTCTGGGGTGCAGTCCCCATTCCCTGGGACCCAAAGCTTCCCCCTCGGTCTCCTGTGACTCAATGACCTGGACTCAACCCCAGCGGCTGCCCCGCCCCCAGGGAAATCCGGGAAAGCCCCGAGCCTCTGGGCCCCACCCCGGGGCGGGGTCAAGAGAGAAGGGCGTGGTCAGGGCGGGAGGACGGGAGGGCGGGGACGGGAGAGGCCACCTCTGCCCCGCCCCTCCCCAGCTCCTGCCCTTCTGAGTCATCTTGCCCCCAACCCGCCTGGCCTGTTCCCCACCCACCAGCCCCTCCCCGGGGTGGGAAGGGAAGTGGGGGAGCAGGAGGAGTCAACTTCTGCCCCCCTCCAAGAGCCTGGCCTTGACCGCTGTAACTGTGGCCCGTGCCCCTTGCTATCTCTCTTCCTTTGTCTCTCAAGATCTCTGCACCTCTGTCTCTGTGCATCTGGGATTCCCCTTTAGCCCCGTGGGCCCCGAGTGGGTGCAGGGCCCCCCGCAGCGAGAGACGCATTCAACACTTCTGCACGACCCCCTCCCCAATCTCCGCAGCTAGTGAGGCCTACAGAGGAGGCCAAGATGGGGTAGGGGAGGCACAGGGGTCGCTGGTTCCTGGGCACTTTGCCAGGTGCCAGTCCTCTGGCATGGGCTGTCTCCTCGCTCCCAAAGAGAAGGAAATGGCTCAGAAAGCGGAAGTGCATGGTCAAGGTCGCCCAGCAAGGAAGTGGGAAGCGGGATTCGAACCTGTGCCCTAGCAACCCCAAGACCTCAAGGACCTTACCGCGGGGTGGGGATGGGGGGAGGCTGAGAGGTGGTGAAAGACACGCATCAGGGAAAGATGGAGCCAGCGACAACAGAGACACAGGGGGAGGGTGGCACTCAGACACCTGTATTGAAACAGTCGGAGCCAGGTATAGAGACTCAGAGATCTGGAGACAGACGGACAGGCAGATCGGCACGACCGAGCCCGATGGAGGGGGGCGGGAGGTGACAGGGGAGGGGACCGTGGGACCTGGCCCCTCCTCCCTGGGCACCGGGCGCGGGGCGGGCGCGCGGCGGGGCGGCGCGGGTCCAGGAAACCCCTGGGGCGGACGGGTGGCCCCGGGGGGGCCGGGGGCGGGGAGGCGGGCGCCCGGCACCGCCCCACCTGACAAAAGTCCCTTCAGTTCAGCCGGCGGCAGGGGAAGTCCCGGCGCCCGGAGAAACCTCCTCCCGTGCCGCCGCGCCGCGCCGCGCTCCGGCCGCCCGCTCGGCCGCCGTCTCCGGCGGCCCCATGCCCCGATGCCCCGCGGGGGCCATGGACGAGGGGCCCGTGGACCTGCGCACCCGGCCCAAGGCCACCGCAGCCCCCGGCGCCGCGCTGCCGCTCCGCAAGCGCCCCCTGCGCCCGCCCTCCCCGGAGCCCGCCGCCCCCTGCGGTGCTGCGGGCCCCGTCGCCCCCCTGGACCCCCTGCGTGGCGGCTGCGACACGCCCGCGATCCCTGGGGTCCCCCACGGCCTGGCCAGGCCAGAGGCGTTTTACTACCCCGGTGAGTGGCCCCCTGCGGATCAGGGCCGGGTGGGGGCCACCCAGAGCTCGGAGACAGAACTGGGGACACAACAGATGGGCTTCCGGGTAGCTGGGCGACCAGAAGATGGAACCTGAGGTCCCAGGGACACAGATCCAAGATCATCTAAGAGCAGTGCCTTGGGACACAGATATGAGAGCCCCAAGGATCTAGGGGTCAGTGGACCTTGGAGGACAGAGCCCAGGAGCCAAGTGGCACAGATAATGGTGGCCAATGGTACTGATATGGGGGTGTCAGGGAACCAGGGGACAGAGCCTGCCGTCCAAGGACACAGAATTAAAGCTCTGAAAATACATAGGTTATGAAGAATCCTCCCTCAAGTCTGAGAAACTGGGCTTCATGGTATCCAAAAGTGTGGGGTCAATGGGAGTGAGTGACTGAGAGAATGTCAGGAGGTGAAAATCCCGGGAATGAAATCAGGAGGCATGGGAATTAGGAGAGCAGAATTGGGGCTCTGAGCGCCCCAAGGTTAAATCACAAAGATCCAAGGAAGAAAACCAGAGGTCCTGTGACCAGATACTGCAGGTTTCCAAGAACCAGGAGGACAGAGACCTGGCTTTCTGGGCATCCAATTATGTGTGGTCGGAAGTGATCAGGGTCCTATTTGGAATCACAAGGGCTTGGGGACTGATGGGGGAGGACAGGGAATTCTGGGACTCAAGGCTGTAGGGTGAAGTGGTATCTCCAGATGGAAGTCGTAAGGGTCCCAAGAGCTGGTGGTGGACACAGGAGCCTGAAATCCACAGGAAGGGAATCCCATGAAAGGACAGATGGCCCAGAAAGCCTGATACTATTCTCAGCCCATGTTTCAAGGATGGGGTGTCCCTTCCACAGCCACCTCCCCAAAGCTGCGAAGAGCTTTTCTCTAGTATCCCCAGGTCTTACCCAGTTTCAGCATCTCCTACCCCATTTGTACAGCAGGTCTGCCTCTGCCTCCCAGCTCTTCCCAGTCCCTAGGCGAAAATCCATACCGCAGTTTTTCCATCTGTGCAATGGGTGGGTGTGGATTTGCCTTTTGCTTAGATCCCTTACAACGGTAGGACCTGATCAGGGTCGAGCGCCACCTCTTCTGATCCTCCTCTTTCCCCAAACCTGCTGTATCTTCACTCCAAACCTTATACATTCCTGGTTTACCCTCTTAGCCACAAAGTCACTGGGCCAAGAGGCCCTGGGGTCCCTCTGCCTGGCGATTGGTGGGGAGTCCAGCTTTAAGGGCTTCTGGTAGGAGATGGAGGTCAGACACAGAAGACAGTGACTATCAGGGCTGGGGGGAAGGAGGCTGCAGGTGCTTTAAAGGGACCTGGGGGGGGCTGCGGCTTGGCCTCACTCAGTTACTTTCTCTGTGCCCCCTTTTCCAGGATCTTTACTGCATCTGTACTCCACCCCGACTCTCAGCTCCCCCTTTTCTCTGCTGAATCCACCTGCACCCCTGTACCCGATAATGTGCCAAATGGAACACCCTCTGTCAGCCGACATTGCCATGGCTACCCATGCAGATGAGGATGGAGACACGTGAGTGACAGTTCCTTATTCGTGGGAGATGGAGGGTGAGGTGCTCAAACCTCCACAACACAGGGTGCACACAGCTCCAAAGAAGCCAAGTTAGAGTCCCATCTTCACTGCTGGCTGTGTGACCCTGAGTAAGGCCCTTTCCCTCTCTGAGCCTCAGTTTCTGCCTCCAAAAAATGGGCTCCAAAGAGCATTAGGACTGTTTTTGGAGCAATAGTTTTTTTTTTTTTCCAGAGCTGGGGATTGGACCCAGGTCCTCGGACATGCTAAGTAAGCACTGCTGTACTACTAAGCTAGCTACACTTCAGCCTCTCATTTTTTTCATCACAACCCCAAAATGAGAATAGAGTTCATTTTTCTGATTCTCTATAGTTGGACACGAACAGCTCCTGGCACTGAGTCTGATAGATTATGTATTCAATAAATGCTGACCAATATACTTTGACGGCACTGGGATTTGAACTCAGGGCCTCAAGCTTGCTAGGCAGGAGCTCTACCACTGAGTCACTTTGCCAGCCCTTTTTGCATTGGTTATTTTTTAAGACAGGTCTCTGAGAGAGTCTGGACCTCAGTCCTCCTATTTGTACTTCTCACAGCTGGGATGACAGGCATGCACCACCGTGCCAGCCACTGAGATGAGAACTCATGAACTTTGTGCCTAGGTTAGCCTCAAACCTCAATCTTCCTGATCTCCAACTCCTAAGTAGCTAGGATTACAGGCGTGAGCCGCCATGCCTGGCCTATTAGTATTCAAGAGGATCTCAACTTCAAGGCCAACCTGGGCTACATAGTGAGAAAAGGGGGGAAAAATCACACAGAATGAAACAATATTCACCCCCACTTCGTGAGGTCTAATTTGATCTTTTCTATTCTAGTTTACTTCATTGTTTCCTTGTCACGGCCCACTAAATTAATGTGACAATCCCCTAAACTGATTTCGCAACCCCCCTGGTTGTCACCTAGGAATCTGCACAGGAGGGTTTAGCTCTGTGTCTAGCACAAAATAAGCACTCAGTACAACTGACCACCAGGACTACTGTCTTGTTTTTTGGCTGTACTCGGGTTTGAACTCAGGGTCTCTTGCTTGCTAGGCAGGTGCTCTATCACTTGAGCCAAGTCCCCAGCCCAGCCCAGACCCTGGGATTGACTCCCAGCTGGCCACTTTTCCCCCTTCTGTGCCTCAGTTTCCCTCTCTTTTGTGTGTGTGTGTGTGTGTGTGTGTGTGTCACTGGGTCTTGAACTCAGGGCTTCACTATTGCTAGGCAGGCGCTTTTTCTGCTTGAGCCACTCCACCAACCCTTCTATGTGATCATTTTTTTCCAGATAGGGTCTCTCAAACTACTTCCCCGGGCTGGCTTCTAACTCCGATCCTCCTGATCTCTGCCTCCTGAGAAGCTAGGATTGCAGGTGTGAGCCCAGTGCTCAGCTCAGTTTCCCTCTCTGTAAAACCTGATGAACTGAGATGATTTATACAAAGCAGTGAGAACTGGTTTGGGGGCTGGGAACCAGAGGCAGAGATGAACAGATCGTTTCTGCAGAGAACATATTAGGTGACTTCATGTCTCTAAGCTCAGTTTCCCCATTTGCAAACCAGGTCTTACCATAGCGCCTTTCACGATTAGCACTCAGTGCAATGACTGATGTACACAAAGACAGTGTGCAAAGAGTAAGCGCTCATACTTGGGAGTGGGTAGTGTTTAAACAGAGCTCCTGGGTGGTGGAGGAGAAAGTGCCTGAGAGTCATAAAGAATCAGTAAATCCTAGCTGTCCTGCGCTGGGCACCTCTGGAGGTCACTTAAGAAGCAGGTTTAGTTTGTGTGTCCAGCCCCAAGGGGGGAGTTGTCTGTGGCCTCCAAGTAGGGTGCAAGCAAGAGGACAACAGGCCCTCCAGGCTCCAGCCCCAGCCCGCTTACCCCTGTTCCCGTCCCCCCTCCCTCTCCCCCAATGCAAACACTTCTGCCTCAGCTGCCTGTCGGGGAAATCCCTTCCCGCAGAGCGCGACCGCAGCCCAGCTGCTCTGCCTCCCCCACGTCAGCACCCTTCACTCGCTCACCTCCCCCTCCCCGCGCTCCCTCCGACCTTAACCCCTTCCGCTGGGGCCTAGACTTTACCGGAAAGGACAGCCCCAGCCTCAGCCACCAGCCCAGCCCCACTCCACTCGGGGCGGGGGTGGGCAGGGAACGTTAAGTCTGTGTCCCCAAAGAAGCAAGGTCCTGGAGGCTGGCTGGACTTTCAGCTCTTTTTAAGTCAATAAGAGGCTTGGGAACAACTAGATCCCAAATTGATTAGGAGCTAGAAATCAAGGTCCCCAAAAGAGTGGGCCCATGCTCTGTGCCCACAGGGCAGAAGTTGGGGTGCTATATATACTCCTTGATCTCCAAGAGTGTTGGGACAAAAGGGGGGATAGCTTCAGGACTTGGCGCCCAGAGAGGCCTCAGGGGCAAGATCAGTTGCATGAATTTGCAGAATCCCCAGACAGCACACAGCAGAACGTTAAACTGGACCCCAGGGGGCGGGGGGGTTGGGGAATGAGGGGGTTGTACCACGCATGCGCCAGGCCATGGGTTCCAGCCCCAGCTCGGGAAAATAATCAATATAAAATGAATACTCGTGCAATCACACCGTGGTACGTGTGCTGTGAAACTGGTCGTGCCTAGGGGCCTGCAAGTCTGTGTCTCCAAAGGGGCAAGGGTGGGGATGCAGGGTTCGGGGGTGGTGGGGGGGGCAAGGAAGGGAAGCGCAACTGGAAGACCTAGAGCTCAAAATGACTGGGAAGTCCACATTCTCAAAGAAGAGTTGTGGCGCTGTGTTCTCAGCTCCCAAGAGACTTTGGGGGTGGATGGCAGGATATAGGGGGGACAGGGAGCCAGTTGGAGTCTGAGCCCAACGGGGTGGAGCGCCAGAGGGGCCCCCAGGCTAAAGAACTCTGGGTTTTGTCCCTCCAGGAAGCCCTTCCTCCCCCGCCCCATTTGATAAATGGATGTTGGGGTGCGGGGGGGGAATGACTGGGTAGATCCCCGGCGGGACAGACTTCCCTCCCCCGGGAGCAGGAAGCGGAGCCCCGCCCGACAGACCTGTTACTGGAAGTCCGAGGGCTGGGCCGCCCCTCCCGTCCCCACTTCCTCCAGCCCCGCCCCACCCCCTGCGGCCCGCGCGTTTATGGGAACTCAGGCCTGGACGATTTCTCTGAAATCATTCAGCTGCTCTGCCCTTACTTAACCCCGCCCGCCCTGAGACGGACCCAGGCCTGGTGTCCAGGGAGATGTAGGGAAGCAAGGGGTAAGGGGGTCCCAAGGACCCCTGGTGCAGGGCCAGCCCCTCCCCCAACATTTTCTGTTTACATTTGGCTTTCGTGGATCAAATCCAAGTTCAAGGATTCACCTGTATAATCCGTCCTGGCATGTGGCACTACTGTGGACAGTACTTCCCAGGGGAGGAAAAGTGGGGCTCCTACAGCAACGTGACTTTTCCCTGGCTCCCACTAGGGGGCGCTGTGGCCGATTTTTGCACCCCTGGTAAGCTGAGTCCCACCAAAGCCCGCCCGGGTCCCAGGATTCCCCCACTCAGAATCACCCGGAGAAGTTGAATCCATCTGTGGATTCCGGGTGCTCATGGCACTGTTGGGGGGAGCCACAGCTTTCCTGCCTTAGCAAGGTCCTGGTGTCCCCAGCTCTGTCCCCCCACCCCAGGCAACCACATGTTCGTACATGCTTGTCAGTGCTGAATGGTTCTTCCAAGCTGGGGTCCCTGGGAAGCGACACTGAAGAGAGCTCTCCCATCAACACCTATTGGGAAGAAATCCGGTGAGGGCAGAGGGAGAAGCTGAGTTTCCTGTCCACAGGGTCTCAGTCTCCCACAGGCAATGTGGAAGCTGGGTGCCTTTCAGAATTGGAACCAGGAAGCTGGGGCTCCCTGTGACAGCATTGAGCAGTCCCTGGGGGTGCTGGCAGGTGCCCACATCCCCACAGGGCATGACCTTGGGCAAACAGGTCTCTTTGGCTAAGGGGTAATTCCCGGGTTGTCTGAGAGCTGATGACCCCATAACCTAGATCAATGAGTCCTTCGAGGCTGGGTATGGTGGCAAATGACTATATATAGCAGAGATTGCGAGGATCAAGGTTGGAATCAAGGTTGGAAGCCAGGCTAGGCAAAAAGTTAGCGAGATCCTATGTCAAAACAACAAAAAAAAACTGGATATGGTGGTGTGCACCTGTCATCCCAGCTACTCAGGAATCATAAGCACAAGGATCGAAATCCAGTCTAGCCCAGACAAAAACAGGAGGCCATACTTAAAAAATAACTAGAGCAAAAAAATGGCTGTGGTGCAAATGGTAGAGTTCCTGTCTAGCAAACATGAGTTCAAACCCCACTAGTGGAAAAAAAAAAAAGTGTCCTTCAATCTAGAAAATGGTTCTAGACTTAGAAGTCCAGTTCCAGAGCAATGACCGCTTTCCCACTTTTAGTCAAAGCTGTGCTCCCGCTGACATCTGGGGAAGACTGTTCCAGGCAGGGAACAACTCTGCAAGCACACTTGCTATGTCTGAAGTGCACAGATGGAGGCCAGTGTGGGCACCGCAGAGCCAGGGGAAGCAAGGAGGTGTGGTCAAGGGAGATCCAACAGGGGAAAAGAGATTACATAGACTTGGGAGGCTGAGGCAGGAGGATGGAAATTTCAAGGCCAGGCCCTGCCATGGCTCACATCTGTAATCCCAGCTACTCAGATTGGAGGATGGCAGTTCAAGGCTAGTCCCAGTAAAAAGTGAGACCCCCTCATCTCAACAAAAACGTCTGGGCAGTGGTCGCTGCAATGTCTGTCATCCCAGCTACTTGAAAGGAGGATCACGGTCAGAGGTCGGGCCCTGCGCAAAAATATGAGACCCTACCTGAAAAATAACTAAAGCAAAAAGGACTGGGGGTGTGGCTTAAGTGGCAGAGCACCTGCCTACTGAGCTCAAGGTCCTGAGTTCAAATTCCAGTATTGCCAAAAATGGGGGAGAGCTGTATGTGGTCAAGGTGAGGACTTTGAAGGGGGAGGCGTGTCCTTTTGGCTAGGGTGGAATAATCCAGGATGAAGCCCCAGGGTGGAGGGCAGCAGGAGGAGAAGTGTCCCATGCACATTAGAGTTAGCACTGCCAACAGTGGGGCTGAGAGGTGACGGCCCCCAACGTCTGAGACTGCTCCTGTCCCACCCTGCAGGCCTCTCCACATTGCTGTGGTGCAGGCTAACCTGCATGCTGTCCACCGGCTAGTCAACCTTTTCCAGCATGGCGGCCGAGAGCTAGATGTCTACAATCACCTTCGGCAGGTGAGGCGGCTGCGGGCCTGGGCCTGATAGTGGAGGGGATGGGGGGCCTGGACTTGGGGCTCAACCACTCCAGGCTCTGGCTTGGATGGGGCCTTGGAAGTCCTTGATCCTGGGAGGGATCCTGGTGAGGAGGAGGTCCTGGGGAAAGGAGAGATTGGCGGCCCCGACTTTTAGGCTCTTAGAAGAAAGGGAGGCTGCCTCTAGAATCTGGGGGAGGGGGTACCCCAAACTTCCATTCCCGGGTTAAGATGGAGGCTGGGAGGCAGGACAGGGGTGTAAGGCTAGACACCGGTCCCTCATTGTCCCTGTTTTCTAGACACCACTCCACCTGGCTGTGATCACCACATTACCGTCTGTGGTCCGGCTCCTGGTGACAGCTGGTGCCAGCCCCATGGCGCTGGATCGCCATGGCCAGACGGCAGCTCACCTGGCGTGCGAGCACCGTAGCCCAACCTGCCTTCGGGCACTGCTGGACAGCGCGGCCCCGGGCACGGTGGATCTGGAGGCCCGCAATTACGACGGTGAGTCCTCACTGCGAGGCAGGGTGGGGCTGTCGTTCGGGACCTGGAGGCCATCGGACTTCGCAAAGGCCCAGGCCAGGGTTTGACGACGGCTCCCCCCCTCTCAGGGCTCACTGCCCTGCACGTGGCGGTGAACAGTGAGTGCCAAGAATCGGTGCTGCTCCTGCTGGAGCGCGGCGCGGACATCGACGCTGTGGTGAGCAATGGGGCGCAGTGAGGGGCGGGGGCCTGAGCGATGGGGGGCGTGGTCAGGGGCGGGGCCGGAGGGAGGAGCGTCCCGGGTGGGCGGGGCTTGGAGTCTAACTGGACCGAGGCTGGACCAAGCGGTGGGATCCTGGCCGCCGGCTCTGCGCAAAGCTTGGGGACTCAAAGACCTCTCGTCCCCACCGCAGGACATTAAGAGCGGCCGCTCCCCGCTCATCCACGCCGTAGAAAACAACAGCCTTAGCATGGTGCAGCTGCTGCTGCAGGTGGGTCCGTCCCTTCCCTGTCCCTCCTCTGACCACAACCCAGCTGTCACCGCCGCCCCTGGCACTGACCCGCGCTTTCCACTTCGGGCTCTGGCTCGTTCTCAGCTCTCTGACTTCACTCCCCTGGCTGTCAGCTTGTCTCATTCATCCCTGGTCCCCTCAGCGGCCGTGCCCAGCCTGAGATAGCCTCGTAACCCCGCCTTCCGGCTCTGACCCTATGTCCACTCTGTCTTTCTGCCCCGACTCTATCCATGATCCCAGCCAGACCTGGGACCCTTCCCTTCAGACTGCGCCCCTACCTACATCTGCCGGTCTGGTAGCTTCCACCTTCTCTCCATCCTTTTCCTCCTCCTCCCCCTTGTCTTCCTCCTCTTTTTTTTTTTTTTTTTTTTTAAAGACAGAGTCTTGCTATGTAGTCCAGGCTATCCTTGAACTCGTAATGTAGCTCAGCCTGACCTCAAAAACTCGCGATCCTCCTGCCTTAGCTTCCCCGGTGCTGGGATGGGATTACAGTCTTGCACCACTACGCCCGGCCTAGCTTCCCGACCCCACCTAGTTCCTTTCTAAGTTCTGACCCCGCCCTTCCCTGCACCCCGAGCCCGCCCGTGGGGCTGCTGACCCACGCGTCCCGCCCCGCAGCACGGTGCCAACGTGAACGCTCAGATGTACTCGGGCAGCTCGGCGCTGCACTCGGCGTCCGGCCGCGGGCTCCTGCCGCTCGTGCGCACGCTGGTCCGCAGCGGAGCGGACAGCGGCCTCAAGAACTGTCACAACGACACGCCGCTCATGGTGGCCCGCAGCCACAGGGTAAGTGCGCGCTCCTGGGGCGCCTGTGCCCACTGGTGGGGGCGTGGCCCTGGGGAGGGGGCGTGGCCTAGGCAGGGGCGTGCGCATGCGAATCACACATTCTGCAGGTTCTTAGCAGGTGAGGTGCAAGGGTGCAGGGAGCCGTGTGCGTGGAGACGCGCAGGTGAGAGGCGAGGAGGACTGAGGCACAAAGAAAGAGGAGAGGACGATGGGGGGGTGAATATGTTCGAAGTACTTTATATGCGTATATGAAAATAGCAATGAAATCCATTAAAATTGTAAAAAAAAAAAAAAAAAGTATGGGGGAGGCCTGGCTAATGGGAGCAAAGCCCTGAGTTCAAACCCTAGTAATGTCACAAAAAGCGGGGGAGGAGAGAGATGAGGAAGAATTATAGATGTATTGAATACGATCAAAATACAGTATGTGCATGTATTGACGTGCCGCAATAAAAAGGTAATTAAAAAAGGAAAGAAGGTCCTGTCCGCCTTCACCTGCTGAGGAGAGGCCCTCAGTGGAGGTGGCGGACCCTGGCCAGAAGACCAGTGATCCAGGAGAGACAGAGAGAGGGAAGGCGGTGAAGGCAGATGTGGCCTGGGGATGACCCCCCTCTTCCCACAGGTCATCGACATCCTCAGGGGGAAGGCCACCCGGGCTGCCTCGGCAACACAGAGGGAGCCCTCCCCGGAGCGCAGTGCCGCCACCTCCCCCGAGAGCAGCAGCCGTCTCAGCTCTAACGGTGAGCGCTCGCTTCCCCCCCCCCCCCCCCCCCCCCCGCCTGCCGCCCCAGGACCCCGCTTAGCCCAGCGCCTTCCCCCGCGCCCTCAGCCTCCTCTCTCTTCCTTCCACAGGACTTCTGTCTGCATCGCCATCCTCTTCGCCCTCCCAGTCTCCCCACAAGGACCCCCCAGGATTCCCTCTGGCTTCTCCCAACTTCTTCCTTCATCCCCCATCTCCGCCCACCTTTCTGCACTTCCCTGGGGTCCTCCGAGGCCCTGGCCGGCCGTTGCCCCCCTCCCCAACTCCAGGAGACAGCTGAGAAGGATGGGGGGGGCAGATCTGGACTCATGAGGAGGGGGCCCCCTGAACCCCACGGGGCAAACCCTTCTGGAAACTGTGAAGATGTCACTCTGCCCCCCCCCCAATCTTTGGGACCATTGGTGCAGTAAGGCACATGCGCCTACAACCTGAACCCCTCTTTTGTGCATAGATCTTTCCCCATCTCCTGTCCGTGTTGTTCCCACCCCCCCACCCCCCCCATCCCCACCCCACCCAGGATTCACCCATTACTCCCTGGCACTGGCCACCTGTCTGCCATCTCCCCACCCAAGTGTTTCCCAGAACTGGTAGAACCAGGGAACCCTCTACCCAGAGGCAGAAACTGATAACAATGTAAATTATTAGGCATTTTGTTGAATTTCTTTTGTAATAAACTATTTTTGTACCATACCCCTGGCTTAGCCAGGCCTCTGTCCTGAGGAGGTCTGAATGGAGTGTGTGTGCGCACCTGTGGGCTGTGGGTGACATTGTGAACTTCGGAGGTGTGACTTGTAGTGTGTTTTTATTTTTATTTATTTATTTAATTTGGTGGGACTGGGGTTTGAGCTCAGGGTTTCACACTTGAGTCACACCTCCAGTCCATTTTGCTCTGGTTATTTTGGAGATGGAGTCTCGAGAACTATTTGCTTGGGCTGGCCTCAAACCTCCATCCTCCTGATCTTAGACTCCTAAGTAGCTAGCATTACAGATGTGAGCCACCAGTGCCCAGAGTGTAGTATGTTTAATCATGAATTGTCACTGGGCCACTGTTTTGACATCTTCCCAGGTAATCCTGGTACATGCCACAGTGTCCTCTTGTGTGTGGGTGTGTTTCCAAAGAACTCCAGTTTGTGGGTCCCAGGGGACCTTCAGCTGACTACAGTTCTCATGGTCTCTGGTAGCTGTTGTTTTGTTTTGTTTTCGGTTTTTGGTTTTGTTTTTTGTAGTACTGGGGCTTGAACTCAAGGCCTACACCTTGAGCCACTCCACCAGCCCTTTTTTGTGAAGGCTTTGTTTTCAAGATAGGGTCTCATGAACTATTTGCCTGGGCTGGCTTTGAACCTTGATCCCTTCTGAGGGACCTTGCTGCCTTCTGAGTAGCTAGGATTACAGGCAGGAGCCACTGGGACTCAGTTCTGGGTAGCTGTGGGTGGTGTTTTTTGACTGTTCCTGAAGGGATGGTTTCCATGTGACTTGCCTCATGTGGTGGGTCACATTTTATTCAGTGGCTTCATGGGGCCTCCTGAGAAACAACGCTTCTGCTTTGACCCCTGGTATGTCTCCATGTGACAACTGGGGTTTGTATTCATTTGCTGTGGCCACTGTCACAAATAACCACAAATTCAGGGGTTAAAATGACACAGATGCAAGTATAAGACCCTGAGTCTAATCACCAGTACTAAGGGGGAAAAAATGTCACAAAATGTATTCTCTCACAGTTTGGTTTCGTTTTGTTTTGGTTTAGAGGGGCTTTTTTTTTGGCAGTACTGGGGGTTGGAACTCAGGGCTTCCAGCTTGCTAAGTGAGAACGCTTCCAGCTGAGCCATGCCCCAAGCCGTTTTTGTGTTGGTTATTTTTGAGATAGGGTCTTGCTTTATTCCAAGGCTCGCTTGGACCTCAATCCTCCTATTTATGCCTCCCAAGTAGCTAGGAAGACAAACTTAGTGGTTGAGATGGAATCTCAATAACTTTTTGCGTAGGCTGTCCTTGAACCAAGATCCTCCCAATTTCCACCTCCTCAATAGCTGAATGAAACACTGTACCTAGCCTGTATTTTGTTTTTGAGGCAGAGTCTCCCTAACTTTGTGTGGTCTGGCCTCAAACACAAGATCTTCTTGCCTCTGCCTCCCAAGTAGCTGGGATTGCAAGGGTGCACCACCAAGCCCAATGGCTGTGTCTAGGTTCTAAGTGTACATGGTAAAGACCATGCATATGCTGCAATTGGCACTACTGGGAAGGATATAGGATCTCAGGCCCTGAAGTCAGAAGTGAGTTCAAGTCCCAGTGTTCCATTTCCTGGCTGTGCAACCTCGTTCAGGTAATTTCATGGTTCTGAGCCCATTTCGTTATCTGTAACAATGAGGGTATAAAGCCAGGAGCAGGTGGCTCACGCCTATAATGTTACCTATTTGGGAAGCTGAGATCAGGAGGATCTCCAAAATAACCAGAGTAAAATGGACTGGAAGTGTGGCTCAAGCAGCAGACTGCCTGCTTTGTAAGCACAAAGCCCTGAGTTCAAAGCCCAGTCCCATCCCACACAAAAAATGAGGATACAATAATAATGTCTACCTGGAAGGGTTTCTCTGAGGATTACACATGAACGACTTGCATCCGGTGCTTATCATAGGCCATGGTGCAAAAGAAGAACTTGACAAATCAGGCTGTGTCATTATCTTACGAGAATTAATACTGAGGACAGAAAACAAACATGGAGATGAGGGGATCCAGTCTTGGTCCTGATTGAAAATGAGATAACGAGATCTTAGACATGTGTGTTAGCTTGAGTTTTTTATTCCACTATTGTAAGAAAATAAATAAACAGTACCTTAAACAATATTAAATCTATTTTTCCCTCCACACTTCCACCATGCAGTCCAAAATGGCTGCTTCAGCTCCCACCATCACATTCACACTCCAAGCATTGGGAAGGAAGAGAGGCAGAGAGGGAAAGGAAATAGGGAAGGAGGGGAAGAAGGGATGAAAGGAGGGAGGGAGGAAGGAAAGAAGGCATCCAAGTGTATCTCTGCCGTTAAGTCTACAACCCAGAAGTCAAATACATCACACCTTAGTGACCAAATTTTAGTCACATGGTCACACCTAATGCAATGGATGCTGGGAGATGTAGTTTTAGCTGGGAAGCATATACCCAGCTGACATTCAGAAGTGTGTTTCAAAAGGAAGAGGAGAGGATGGCTATTGAAGACAGCACGTGTATCTGTCATATCAGAGCCCTGTCCTCAATGACTGCATGACCCTGGGCAAGGTGACTTAACCACGCTGAGCCTCAGTTTCCTCATCTGCACAATAACAATGACCCACCTTCCAGGGCTGGTGATGAGAAAGACTTAAGGAGTGTGCTGAGCACAGCCTGGTGCCACGTGTTGGGGTCCTTCCCTGCAGAGAGAAGCCATCACCCCGACCACCAAACCTCATCCCTCATGGGTGACCAGCCCAGCATTCTGGGGTCAGCCCTCAATGCATTTCTCAGGGACCCAGCCTCTGTGGCAAAATATCACTTGTTTTCACCACTCTGGATTAACCCATGTGGCCATTTTTTTTTTGGCAATATTGGGGTTTGAACTCGGGGCCTTTTGCTTGCTAGAAAGGTGCTCTACCACTTGAACCATGCCCCCAGTCCTTTTTGCTTTAATTATGTTTTGGATAGGGTCTCTCTTGCTTTTGCCTGGGCTGGGCTTGCACTTTGATCCACATCCCAAGTAGCTGGAATTGCAGCCATACACCACCATACTCAGCTTGTTTGTTGAGATGGGCATCATTCTAACTTTGCCCAGGCTGATCTCAAACCAAGATCCTCTGTCTCTGTCTCCCAAGTAGCTGGGATTATAGGAGTGTACCACCAGTCTGGCCTTTTTTAGGGGGGGGTCACTTGGATTTGAACTCAGGGCCTCATGCTTGCTAGGCAGGCACTCTATGACTTGAGCCACTCTGCCAATCATTTTTTTTTTTTTTTGAGATAGGGGCTTGTGAACTATTTGCCCGGGCTGGCTTCAAACCTCAATCCTCCTGATCTCTGCCTCCTGAGTAGCTAGGATTACCGGCCTGAGCCACTGGTGCCAGACAATGCATCTGTTCTTGCAGTGTGTTTGCAGACCTTCATGTCAGCCCAGCTTCTATTTTACAGAAAGGTAAACTGAGGTCTGGAGAAGGAAGAATTTACTTGGTGAGTCTATGGGTCCTGGGTTCCATTTCCTACGGATCAAATTCATCATCAAAAATGGGACGATGCATGATGCACATCGTATGCCTTGTGATACCATGCACTGAGGACACCAGCATCACTTCTAGGATATTACTGCTACCACACTCTAACCACAAGGAAGCACCAGAGAAACCCAATCATGGGGACATCCTAAAAAAATAACTGGCCTGTAATCTTCAAAAATGTCAATTTCATGAAACACAAAGAAAGCCTGAGAAACTATATCAGCCAGAGAAAAACCTAGAGACATGGGAACCAAACACATGACCCTGAATTGGATCCCGAACCAGGAGAAAAATTATGACATAAAGTACAACTTGGAGCCAGGCACGGTGGTGCACGCCTGTAATCCCAGCTACTTGGAAGACAGAGGCAAGAGGATCTAGAATTCAAGGCCAACCTGGGTAAAGTTATGAATTCTTTGTCTGAAAAACAAAATATAAGCAAAAAGATTGGAGTAGAGCTCAAGCGATAGAGCACTTGTCTGGCAAGTGCAAGGCCGTGAGTTCAAACCCCCAGCACTGCCAAGGGGGAAAAAAAAAAAAGTCAGACTACTGTTGGTGTGTAAGAGAAATGTCCTCAAACCTAGGTATGCAACAGTCATATTTAGAGGTAAGCAGGATGAGGCGAAAGGGTGTTCCCAGATGGTTGGGAGGGTGGACGGGGAGACAGAGAACAGCGGTTAAGAAATAAATTGATGACACTTGCAACTCTGGGTGAGGTTTAGGCAAGACGACTCTACGGGACCCGGGCAACTTCCCTGAAAACTCGAAGGTATTTCACGTTAAAAGAGTGTAAAAGTCTAGGGGACTTTTCTTGGTGGTTGTCTTAAGCGTTTTGGGGTTTGTGGTGCTGGGTGTGACGCCTAAGATTTCTAAGGGTCTGTGTTTCTAAGCGTTTCTGAGTCTGCAGGATCTGTGGCCAGAGATTAGGGAGTGGGGAGGGGGAATTTGGCTCAATCTTAGGGGTGTGACCAGTGCTTTAGGGCGGGACTAAGGTCTGGGGGTGTGGCCAGGGGCGTGGTCAGGTTCTGGGTGGGGCCAGGAAAAGAGGCGTAGCCAGACTGTGGGGACCAGAACAACATAGTCCCAAGGGAGGAGACAACCATGTGCTCAGAGCGCCCTCATGTGGTTACTCCATTTTTTTTTTTGTGTGGTACTGGGGCTTGAACTCAGGGCCTTCACCTTGAGCCACTCCACCAGCCTTATTTTTTTGTGAAGGGTTTTTTCAAGAAAGGGTTTCAAGAACTATTTGCTCGAACTGGCTTTGAACCGCGATCCTCCTGATCGCTGCCTCCCGAGTAGCTAGGATTACAGGTGTGAGGCACCAACGCCCAGCTGTGTCAGGTATTTTCAAGATAGGGTCTCACGAACTATTTGCCCGGGATGGCCTCGAACCGATATCCTCCTGACCTCTGCCTCCTGCATAGCTAGGATTATAGGTGTGAGCTACTGAAGGCTGGCCTGGAGAACCTTTTTAATTTTTGATGGATGTATAGGCTGTTTCTGCAAGTCTTTATGTGTACATATAGTTTCAATTCTCCTGGAGATTTTATCTACGTGTGTGTGTGTGTGTGTGTATGATTATACGGTATGGTAAATCCAAGGTTAACATAACATTTCTTTTTTAAGGTGGCACTGGAGTTTGAACTCAGGGCCTCACGCTTGCAAGGCAGGTGCTCTACCACTGGAGCCACTCTGCCATCCAAACATCTCAAGTTTTATATTTGCAAAGTAAATATGAAAATATGCACACATGCCTGGCTCCAGTGGCTCCCTTCTGTAATCCTGCCTACTTGGGAGGCTGAGATCTGGAAGATCGAGGTTGAAAGCCAACTGGGACAAATGTTCGAGACACCCCATCTCCAAAATAACTGGAGTAAAATGGACTGGAGACATGGCTCAAGTGGTAGAGTGCCCACTTTGCAAGTGTGAAGACCTGAGTTCAAACCCCTGTCTCCCCCCCAAAAAAAAGAATAAAGAACTGAGATCAGTATTTCAATCTACTTCAGTAAATAATAAAAATAAGTAATATATTAAAAATATGTATATGCGATCCAAAAATTTTTTTTGGTACTGTGGCTTGAACTCGGGGCCCTCACCTTGAGCCATTCCACCAGCCCAATTTTTTGTGATGGGTTTTTTTCAAGATAGCGTTTGCAAACTATTTGCCCCGGCTGGCTTCGAACTGTGATCCTCCTGATCTCTGCCTCCTGAGTAGCTAGGGTTACAGGTGTGAAACACCAGCACCCAGCTTGCAATCCAAATTTTTACAATAAAAGCAATAGTGGTCTGGTTGAGATCCCAACGTGGCCTCACAGCCCAACCTTTCCCTGCTCTGAACCCTGGATTTGATATTTAGACCTCTGCAAACATTTCCATACTATATTCTCATACATTTGTAACACCAAATAACAGTGCATTGGTTCTACCAGGTGTGGTGGCACACGCCTGTAATCCCAGCACTTGGGAGACTGAGGCAGGAAAAATCAAGCGTTCGAGGCCAGCCTGGGCTACATAGTAAGAACCTGTTGAGAAAGAGGGGGCGGGGGAAGGGGAGAGGAACAGAGAGGGAAGAGAGAGAGAGAGAGAGAGAGAGAGAGAGAGAGAGAGAGAGAGAGACAACCCCTGGCTTTGGATAGATTACTCCAATCTCACCTGTGTCCTCACATGGTGTATGGTGTTCTGATCAAATTTCTTCCTTTTCTTCTTTCTTCTTTGTTTGAAACAGGGTCTCACTACTGTGAGGCCCAGGCTGGCCTCAAACTCTTCATTTTTCCTGCCTCAGTCTCCCACAGATTACAGACAAGCACCACCATGCCCAGGCCAGATTTCCCTCCTATAAAAACACCAGTCACACCAGTCAAGCTCACCCTAATCCAGTATAGCCTCATTTTTACCTGATTACCTCCTCCATCACCCTATTTCCAAATATGGCTACATTCGTAGGTAAAAGTGAACAGAATTTGGAGGTGGGGGTGGGGACACACTCCACCCGGTTCAGTCATCATTATGCTTTCATGACTCATGCTACTTGGTGCTTGTGTCAGGTCACCCACCCATCTATGCTGCCTGGGAGCCCCGCGTGTGTGCGTAAACCACAGCTCATTCAGCCTTTCTCGTGGTGTGAGACACTGGCTGTCTTCCTTTTTTTTCTCCATTTTCCACAAAACTGCAATTAATATCCCCAAATACGTCTCTTGGAATTTCTTAGGGCTGTAGTTTTCAAATTGCCAAACACGATCCATTAGCGGACTCTGGAATGAATTTAGTGGGCTGAGAACATGACTTTTCCATTAATGAAACAGAATTAAACAGAAGATATTACAGTGCATGCATGAAGTCCGAGTAAGGGCTAGGCTGTGAAATTTTGTTCCAAGGGTTTACACTGAGGGACTGGGTTCTTCAGGCACGCCTGTAATCCCACCACTCCGGAAGCAAAGGCAGAAGGATGGCGAGTTCAAGGCCAGCATGGGCTACATAGTAAGATACTCATCTCAAAAAAATGTTCTAAGGCCGTGGTATAAGCAACAGTGTTTACAGCCACACCTCCAGTCCATTTTGCTCTGGCTACTTTGGAGATGGGGTCTCCAGAACTATTTACCCAGGGTGGCCTTGAATTTCAATCCTCCCCACCTCAGCCTTCCAAGTAGCTAGGATTACAGGCGTGCTTAGTGTGACATGTGGCTCAAGACATAGAGCACTTGCTTCACACACGTGAGGTCCTGAGTTCAAACCCCAGTACCGCTACAAAATAAAAAAAAAATCAGTATGCAAATGTTTTATAGAGTCTGACACACAGGGACTGGATCATAGGGACTGGATCATGACTATGACTGACAAAGGCTGTTACTCGCTTCAAGTGCTGCGAGTGTAAACTGGAAAACAAGCTAACGTTCTCTACTTGGAAGCTCTCTCATGCGTGTTTGCCAGTAAGAAATAGGTGAGTTTCGGGGGCGTGGCTGGGAGGGGCGTGGCCTGGATGTCTGGGGGCGTGGCCCCCTCTGGTCCACACAGCGCCCTCCAGCGGCGGAAGGGTGCGCAACGCCGGCTGGGTTGATGCTGCAGGTTCTGCAGGTTGGGGTGAAAGCCCCGCCCCGCCCGGTGCATTCTCCAGCCGCACTTCCGCCTCGCCCCTCCCGGACCCAGGGATCTGCAGACTTTGGAAATCTGGGTAGCCAAACTCCCGGAATGGTGGTGCATAGGGGTGGTGGGGACAGAGGTAGGAGGATGGGTCCAGGCCAGCCAGGCGCAAAATCCCGAGACCCCATCTGAACACTAGCTAAAGCATAAAAGATTGCGGGCGTGGCTCAGTGGTAGAGCGCCTTCCTAGAAAGGGCGAGGCTCTGAGTTCAAATTCCATCCAGCAAAAAAAAATAAAAAATAAAATCCTAATTTCCCACAGGTCCCCAATCCTGGGGACCCAGGGCTCTGGTCCTTCTGTGCCCACTTCAGGGGGACAGAGAGTTAGTGCTCCCTGATGTTTTAGGAGGGTCAGCCCTGTTTCCCATCAAAGCCCCACTCCCTGTAGGGTGTGGAGAGCTATGCGCCCGGCCCTCGCTCTCTAGCACCCCACGAAAGTCCGGGGTCTCCCTGAAGCCCCCTCCCCCGCTGTGGAGGAGGGACTGAGCCTCCTCTCTGCAGTTCCCACCCACTCGAGTCCCATCGCCCCCACTGCGGCCACTCAACCTGTCCCTCATGGAAGTCAGACTTCACCCCCACCTCTGGGGACCCAGGAGCCACCGCACGTCCCCCAGCCCCGCCCCTTGGAGGACGCAAGTACCTGCGGTCCCCGCCCCTGCCTCCACCGCGTCCCGCCCCGCCCGCGCGCCGCGCCTGTCCCCGCCGCGCCCGGTCCCGGACTCCGAGGGCCCCATGGCTGCCGCGCCGGCCCCGCGGGGGTGGCAGTGGCGGGAGCCGCGCGCGCTCGGCCGGGCGGTCCGGCAGCTGCAGCGCCTGGAAGAGCAATGCGGGGACCCCCGGCTGGCCCTGGGGCCCCCCTCGCTGCGGGACCTGCTGCCCCGCACCGCGCAGCTCCTGCGAGACGTGGCCAAAGCCCGGCGCGGAGCGGACGGACGCGGCGCCCAGGGTCCCGGGGGCGCCGGGGACTTTCTCGCCATCTACCTGGCCAACCTGGAGGCCAAAGGCAAGCAGGTGGCCGCGCTGCTGCCCGCCCGGGGCCAGAGGGAGGCCAACGATGAGCTCTTCCGGGAGGGATCGAGGCTCAGGTGAGCAGTGTCCCCGCCCCAGGAAAGGGTCCTCACAGGGAGGGTCTCAGACGCTTCAGACCCCAGCCTCCCCCCTCAGACCCCAGATCTCAGCCTCCCCCCTCAGACCTCAGACCCCAGCCTCCCCCCTCAGACCCCAGCCTCTCCCCTCAGACCCCAGATCTCAGCCTCCCTCCTCAGACCTCAGACCCCAGCCTCCCCCCTCAGACCCCAGATCTCAGCCTCCCCCCTCAGACCTCAGACCCCAGCCTCCCCCCTCAGACCCCAGCCTCTCCCCTCAGACCCCAGATCTCAGCCTCCCTCCTCAGACCTCAGACCCCAGCCTCCTCCCTCAGACCCCAGATCTCAGCCTCCCCCCTCAGAGCTCAGCCTCCAGCCTCCCCCCTCAGACCCCAGCCTCCTCCCTCAGACCCCAGATCTCAGCCTCCCCCCTCAGAGCTCAGCCTCCAGCGTCCCCCCTCAGACCCTCAGACCCCAGCCTCCTCCCTCAGACCCACAAAAGCCCAGCCACCTAGATTTTCCTCCCTCGGGCACCCACACACACTCGCCACGCCCCCGTTTCCCCTTTCCTGGGTCACCTCGTTGCTGGGGTCCCAGCGCCCTCTGTCCCAGAGGCCTGGGCTGCAGCACCCTGTGACTGTAGGGATCCCTGTGCTTCCTGCTGGGAGGCAGGATGGAGACACCTGCAGTGCCGGATCCCCTGCCCATTCTGCTGGTCTGAACGCTGGGGACAGGCTGCTGACATTGGGGCACAACCCCAGCACCGCCAGACATTAAACCTACAGACCCAACTCTGTCAGCTTCCCTGCCCCGTCCTTTGGCCTTTCTTATCTCCTTAAGTCATCCTGAAACGAATGAAATATGCACATTCCACCCCTGCCTGCTCATAGGTTTAAATTTTACCATCATGATCCAGGCGCTGGTGTCTCACATCTGTCATCCTAGCTACTCAGGAGGCAGCGATCACAGTTCAAAGCCAGCCCTGGGCAGATAATTCACAAAACCTTATCTCAAAAACATCCATCACAAAAACAGGACTGGTGGAGTGGCTCAAGTGGTAGAGAGCCTGCCCAGCAAATGTGAGGCCCTGGGTTCAAGCCCATATAAATATATATATATATATCGCTGTAATGCCCAGACCACAAGCCAGTGGTCAAAGGGTGTTCTTTTTGGTGTATATCATCAAACCACAATTATTCTGGAAGGTACAATGCCACACACCGGCACCTTTGGGTAGAACCACCATGAAGCAGAATCAGACATTGATCACCTGGATTTTCGCAAATTTCAATGAAAGTTCCTTAGGAAGGTGGTGTAACTCCACTGAGAACCCGCTCCTCCTCAGAGTTAGAAACTAGAAGATTTAGGGGTTTAGCGAGTATTGGAAGGGTGCCCTTAGAGTCCTAGGTATCCTCGTAACTACTTGAAGATGGTTCCAGACCAGCGCTATGTAGCACAGGATGGCCTCAAACTCACCATCAACCTGCCTCCACCTCCCCAGTGTGGGGATTACAGGCGTGGACCACCACACCCAACCACAAAAAGATCTTTTAAAAACAAGTCAAATGGGTTCTTCATTTTGGGTTTTCAGTACTGGGATTGGACCTGTGCACAGCTGTGTGCACACTATGCAAGCAACGTACTATTCCACTTATCCAAACCCTTTTTCATTTTCTTTTTGAGACTAGATCTCACTAAGTTGCTCAGGCTACCCTTGAACTTGTGGCCATCCTCACTTAGCCTCCTGAGTAGCTGAGATTACAGGTGTGAACCACCACCCCACACAGCTTTGAAATGAGTTTTGATGACATTTTCTTGAACTTACTATAGCCAAAAATATAATTTCAACTTGTACTTAATAGGAAATTTTCCTTTTTCTTCCGTGTGTGTGTGTGTGTTTTGATTACGGTTCTAAGGTTTGGACTCAGGGCCTTTCGGCTTGCCAGACAGGTACTCTTATCTCTGAGTCACACACCCAACCCTTCACTTTCTTTTTAAATTTCTCTCTTTTGTGCTAAGTTTTTGAAACCTGATGTGTATTTTACATTTAAAGCACCTCTTAGTCTGCACCAGCCATAGTGGACAGTGGCTATCAGACTGGACCACACAGCTCTAGGATCTGGGAAGGAAGGTTGCTTAGAAAGTGTTAGGAACCAGCTAGAGGTGTTGGCCAACCTGGGCAAAAAGTTAGCAAGACCCCATCTCAATCAATGGCTGGGCATAGTAGTTCACTCTTGTGATCCCAGCTACACAGGAATTATAAATAAGAGGATCAGGCCTAGGTTGGGCCTGGGCAAAAATGGGCTGGGGTGTGGATCACATGGCAAGTTTAAGGCCCTAAATTAAAACCCCAGTGCCACCCAAAACAGAGAAATGTCAAACCTGGCCAGCCAAGGAAACTATTCAAGTAACAAAAGAACAGTAATAAAATTAACACACACTAAGTTCCAATGATATGTAGGCATATCATTTTTTTTTTTTTTTGCAGTACTGGGGTTTGAACTCAAGGCCTCACAGCTTGTTAGGCAGGTGCTCTGCCACTTGAGCCACTCCGCCAGCCCATTTTGTTTTGTTTTATTTTGCTTTGCTTTGCTTTGCTTTGTTTCGTTTTGTTTTGTTGGCTGTGCTGGGGACAGAAGCCAGCCCCCCATGCTGGGTGAGCGCTCACCACTGAGCCACACCCAGGGCACTGCATGTACTCAGTCCTCAGGGCTCCCACGCCAGGCAGCACTGTTTAACCAGTGTTTCTTCCCGCTTCACGGCTGAAGAATCTAAGACCTCTGAAAAAGAAAAAAAAGTAGCCAGGCACCAGTGACTCACATCTGTAATCCCAGCTACTCAGGAGGCAGAGATCAGGAGGATCGTGGTTTGAAGCCAGTCAGAGCAAATAGTTCCGTGAGACCCTATCTCAAAAAACCCTTCACAAAAAAAGGGCTTGAGGTGTAGGCCCTGAGTTCAAGCCCCAGTACTGCAAAAAAAAAAAAAAAAAAACTAAAATAACAGTAACAAAAACACAGCTCTGAGCTGATTACTGGTTGGGCTTCAGCAGAGACAGGGCCAAAGGCTGGCTTGAACATTGAACAACTCCTATACTTCTTTCACAGATGAGAAACTGAGGCCCAGAGTGTGTGGGGGGAGACTCAGGATCTCAGGATTGAGACAATCTTAGCGTGGCCTCTTTTTTGTGAGACAGGGTCTCCTCTGTAGCCCGGGCTGGCCTTGAACTCCATCTCCTCCTATTTCAGCCTCCCTTGTGCTGGGATTACAGGCATACCCCACCATACCCAGTCCAACACATAGACTCTTACCATGTGTTGATACACTAGACTGGGGACTTGTCCCTGTGGGGATCCCCCGGGGGTGTCAGTGGGAGCCCCAAGGTATGGCCTGGCCCTCAGAGCTCATCCCTGCAGGCGGCAGCTGGCCAAGCTGGCCCTCATCTTCAGCCACATGCACGCAGAGCTGGGCGCGCTCTTCCCTGGGGGAAAGTACAATGGCCACCTGTACCAGCTTGCCAAGGCGCCAGCCCACAGCTTCTGGAGGGAGCACTGTGGAGCCAGGTGAGTGAGCACCGCCCGGGGCCCGGGGCCTCTGTCACTGCTCCAAGCCCTGCCCTGCCCTGCCCTGTCCTGCCCAGGGACACAGACCAGAACACGCCTCCTGCTACAGAGCCTCCCTGCCTCCACCCAGGTGTGTGCTGCCCTGGGCCGAGTTCCAGTCTATCCTGTGCTCCTGCCACCCTGTGGAACCAGGACCTGCTGCCCAGGCCTTGTGCTCCACCATGGATCTCACCTGCAGCCGCCACGTGTCCATCTTTGAGTTTGACATCTTCACCAGGCTCTTCGAGGTCAGGGGCGCCTGGCTTCTGCCACTAGGGAGGAGGCTGGGGCCTGGACCCCTGGGTCTGGGGGAGGAGGCTGGGGGCTGGACCCCTGGGTCTGGAGGAGGCTGGGGCCTGGACTCCTGGGTCTGAGGGAGGAGGCCGGGGTTCTGGATCCCTGGGTCTGAGGGAGGAGGCTGGGCCTGGACCCCTGGGTCTGGGGGAGGAGGCTGGGGCCTGGACCCCTGGGTCTGAGGGAGGAGGCTGGGGCCTGGACCCCTGGGTCTGAGGGAGGAGGCTGGGCCTGGACCCCTGGGTCTGGGGGAGGAGGCTGGGGCTGGACCCCTGGGTCTGGGGAAGGCTGAGCCTGGACCCCTGATGACCCATGGGTGTGGGCAGCGTAACTGGAACCTGGACCTTGGAGATGCTAGGGACCTGGGCTACTTCCTTGGTTCCTCAGTGACCGAGCCCTGCTCCCCCAGCCCTGGCCAACGCTGCTCAGGAACTGGCAGCTCCTGGCTGTCACCCACCCAGGCTACATGGCCTTCCTCACATACGAGGAGGTTCAAGCACGCTTGCAGGCCTGCAGAGACAAGCCAGGCAGGTAAGCCATCCCGGCCTCAGCAGGTGAGGCTGAGGGGACCGGGGGTCTGGTCCTGGCTGGTGTGTGGTGGAAACGCAGCATCATCAGAGAATAAGAGCCAAAGCTCCTGGGAACTCAGGCAGCCAGAAGGGGCCAGGCACTGGTGGCTCACACCTGTAATCCTACCTACTCGGGAGGCAGAGATCAGGAGGATTGAAATTCAAGGCCAGCCAGGCAAATAGTTCAGGAGACCCTATCTTGAAAAAACCCATCACAAAAAAAGGGTTGGTGGAGTGGCTCAAGTGGTAGAGCACCTGTCTAACAAGCATAAGGCCCTGAGTTCGAACTCTAGTGCCATAAAAAAGAGAAAGAAAAAGAACTCCAACATTGGATGGCAAGTGCTTCTACCACTAGCCTGTGCTGCTGAGAACTCCTGGGCCATCCCACTCTTTCCTATAATTAAGAGACCAGAGTGTGGGTTTCAGGCACAGATGGATCCAGGTGCTCCAGACCAATCGTCAGGACTCAGTTTCTGTTTATACCCTATCTCTGCATTCTTGTATGTTAGCTTCTTTCTCAGACATGGTCTTGCTGCATGACAAGAATAAGAGGTGACTTAACGAGTTCTGTAGAAATGGGGTACCTGGTGTTAGGTCCCAGTTCACGGAGCCAGTGAGCAGTGGTGTGAAAGATGTCACAGAAAAACAAGAACTGAAGCAGAAGCAAGGTTTCATTTCCTTCCCAAGGGAGGAAAGAGGCTGATACTAAGAGGTATCCCAGCATGAGGCTAGGGCTGAGGTTTTATAAGCATTTGAGATGTAGAAGCAATACGCTGTTGACATTTTGGTTTTTTGGTTCAGCTAACTGTTCTAGGAAGTGACTGGGACCATCACTTTCTCAGTGCTTTGCTAGGGTGGTTGTGGGCCGGCTTGTGTAATCTTTTCTATGACATCATGGGGTCAAATGTGTTGTCAACAAGACGCAAGTGGGTCCCCTGGAGTTCAGAAAAAGTTTCTGCAGAAGCACAGTAAAATAGCCTTCCTGCCAGACAAGGTGGAGTCCTGTGCAAAATGGAGTAGGTTAGGCTAATTTGAGTTGAGCTTTATATTTCCCCCTTGGACTCAGGGGGGCTATGTCTTTGGGATCCCTCTTCTAGGGTGTTTGAAGGAGGAAGATCGGTCTTCTGTCAATTCTTTCCTGCTGAGTAGGGTCTTAGAGTTGTCCCCAAGGTATTAGGGAGTCTTCCTTGGGTAAGGACTGGAATTGGACATTTAAAAGGCCAGGTTGCTTTTACACTTTTTATTAATTGGATCATCTGGTTTTGGAGACAGTGATTAAGAAACTGACAATGGAGGGTCCAAAAAATGAGAAGACAGCCAAAGGTCCTGAAAGGGAGTTAGCATGGAAAGCAAGGCAGTTAGGGGATCAAGAGTTCTTCAGGCCAGAGCCGGGCATGGGTGCTCACGTCCGTAATCCCAGCTACTCGGGAGGCAGAGATCAGGAGGATCGCAGCTCGAAGCCAGCCTGGGCAAACAGTTCATGAAACTCTATCTCAAAAAGAATTTAAAAATCACAGAAAAAGGCTGGTGGAGGGACTCAGGGTGTAGGTCCTGAGTTCAAGCCCCAGTACCGAAAGAAAAGAAAAGAACCTAGACCCCAATCTCCGTGTTGTAGAGCGAGTATTTTATAAGGACAGGTCGAAGAGGAGTTTGATCAGCATATTTTTTTGGGAAGCCTGTGGGTTCGTTTCATGACAGATAAGTAAGACTCTTCTCTAAGCGAGGAGAGTCTGAGGAAGTTAGGGTGCGAGACGGGGGGCCCATACAGGAGTTTAAAGGAACTAAGCAAAAGGGGGTAATATGAAGTCAACGGGGGGAGGAGCTGTCTCCAGCTTTGGTGGAGAGTGTTTAGTGACAGTGGGATTTCCCAGAAGGGACGTGGGGACCACCCCTCTCTCCATCCCACCCCACTGTCCCTGCAGCTACATCTTCCGGCCCAGCTGCACTCGCCTGGGACAATGGGCCATTGGGTACGTGAGCTCGGATGGCAGCATTCTACAAACCATCCCTCTCAGCAGACCCCTGTTCCAAGTGCTTCTGAAGGGGCAGAAGGATGGCATGTGAGTCTCCAGCCTGGGGCTGATGGGGGGCCCTGCAAATGCAGTCCTAGCCCAGCTGCAATCCTGGGTTGGCCAGCAGGTGGCAGCCAAGGGTCCCCTCTTAGCTCACTCAGCTCCTTTGCCAATAGCCCAGGGGCTCCATTCCTTGAACTTGCCTTTGAAACTGGTGTCATCGTCTCCCGCCAGACTCTGGACTGGGAGGGCAGAAGGAGGACTGGGCAAACAGCCAGATTGGAGGTTTTCCACCTGTAACCTTGGCCGCTGGGGGCCCCCTTCTTTGCTTGGGAAGGTGCTTTGGGTGGATGGAAGGGAAGGACAGGGGAGATTCCCAAATTTCCCCTGAACCAGAGCTTTCTTGGTTTTGCCCTGATAGGAACAGAACCCAGGGCTTCGCAGTGCTAAGCAGGCACTGTGCCACTGAGCCCTGTGGCTGGTCTATGAGATAGGTAATTAGGTAGGTAGATGGATGGATAGATGGATGATAGATAGACAGACAGATATGCTGTCAATTCTCAAAATCCACCACAGTTCTGCTCTATAAAGTCACGAAGACCATGAATTATCAAATAATAACCATTATTCCTAGGGGAAATACAGCGTTAGCTTCCTGAAGAACTCCAGTCACAACTTTTTGCTGTTGCTTTTTTATTTCATTTAATTTGGGTTTTTATCTCTTTTTTTCTATTTTAAAATTTATTGGTCATGAGCCAGATGTGGTGGCCCATACCTGTAATCCCAGCAGGAAATCAAAAGTTCAAAGCCAACTTAGTCTACATAGTGAAACCTTTTTTTTTTTTTTTTTTTTTGCCGTACTGGGACTTGAACTCAGGGCCTGCACCTTGGTCCACCCCACCAGCCCTATTTTTGTGATGGGTTTTTTGAGATAGGGGCTTATGAACTATTTGCCTGGGCTGGCTTTGAACCTCGATCCTCCTGATCTTGGCCTCCTGAGTAGGTGGGATTACAGGTGTGAGCCACCAGCACTGGCTAACCTGTCTTAAAAAAAAAAACAGAAAAATATGTACTGGTCGTGGCTGAGGGTGTAGCTCTGTGGTAAAGTGCTTGTCTGGCATGTGTAAGACTCGGGGTTCCATCCTCAACAGCAATAAAAAAAAAAATTACTAGTTACAACATAGCTGGCAACCCATCACACAAAATATGTGTTTGTTGGAAGACCCTTTTTTGGGAGGTACTGGGATTTGAACTTAGGGTTTTGCACTTGCAAAGCAGACGCTCTACCACTTGAGCCACATCGCCAGTCCCTTTTGCCCTGGTTATTTTGGAGATGGGGTCTCTTGAAGTGTTTCCCCAGGCTGGCCTTGGACCATGTTCCTCCTGACCTCAGCTGTGCCTGCCTGGAAGATACTTTTTTGTTTGTTTTTTGCAGTGCTGGGATTTGAACTCAGGGCCTACACCTTGAACCACTCCACCAGACCTTTTTGTGGTGGGTTTTTTCAAGATAGGGTCTCTCAACTATTTGCTCTGGACTGGCTTCCTGATCTCTGCTTCCTGAGTAGCTAAGATTACAGGTGTGAGCCACCAGTGCCCAATTTCTTAGTGTCGTTTAAATAACAAAAGCGAGGAAGCTGGCAGAGTGGCTCAAGCGGTAGAGCACTTGCCTGCCTAGCAAGCTTGAGATCCTGAGTTCAAACCCCAGCACCACAAAAAAAAAAAAAAAAAAAAAAAGACAAAAGCAAGCCAGGAGTGTGGCCCAGTACCTTGCAGGAGGCCCCTGGATTCCAACCCACCAAGCAGGGGAAAAAAACAGCAAAAGCATAAAAAACAGAGGAAATAAGACACTACTTACTGCAAAAGACCTTGTTTCCCTGATGACAGCCCACGCCAGCAGGCAAGTGCCGTCACCCTGTTCTGCCCTATCTAAGAGCCAGCGCGGCCACAACTCCAAGTTGTCACCTCTCTGCACAGGTCTGTGAGTGGTCACAAGACTTGTGACTCCCTCATCAGTGTTAGTGAGGTGGTCATGGATAACGACCTGTTGTGTAGACTACCACGGGTACTGTTATTCTGTCCCTACTCGACAGCCGAGGAAACAGGCACAGAGAGGCAGAGACATTTGCCCAGGTCACACAGCTGGTGGTATCTGAAGCCAGGCAGTCAGGCTCAGTGTGCCCTCCTTACAGTACTGAGTTCAGGTCAGTAGGATGTCAGAGTTAAAACAAGTGAGCCATTGGCTCACGCCTGTAATCCCAGCTACTCAGGAGGCAGAAATCAAGAGGATCTCAGTTCGAAGCCAGCCCAGGCAAACAGTTCATGAGACCCTATCTCAAAAAAACCATCACAAAAAAAGGGCTGGTGGAGTGGCTCAAGGTGTAGGCCCTGAGTTCAAACCCCAGTACCACAAAAAAAAAGAAGGGGAGTGAGTACCACTGACCTGGTCCATCCTTTCTATGACACATACACAGCGCCCCTCCCCATTTTACAGACAGGAAAACCAAGGCCTGAGGGAGAGAAAAAGACACCTGGGTCACAGCAGGTGGTTTTCTGAGACACACTCTCACCTGAGCAGTCTTCTCTTAGGTGGTTATGTTACGTGCTTATGTGTGTGGGGTGACGCTGTGCAATGTTTTGTTTTGGGAGGTTGTGAACCCAGGGCTTCACACATGCTAGGCAAACGCTCTACCACTTCACACCCCTCGCCTTTTTGTTTTTATTTTGCTAATTTTGCCCAGCCAGACTGAGAACTCATGATGCTCCTGCCTCCTGAGTGGCTGGGATTACAGACCCGCACTACAATGCCCAGTCCTTGCACGTTTGATGAGCCTTATTTTACCTTCTGCCCCAGGCATGATCACATCCTTTTTATGAAAGGAGAAGCTGGGGCCGTGGAGGTACAGTTGAGAGGAGAGCCACTATGGAGAACAGGCTAGGGGTCCTTTGCTGTTCTAAGTGTCCGGCCAGGCAGAGCCACCAGCCTCAAGGGTCCTGCTGTTGATGATCTAAGGCTGCAGAGATGACCCAGGTGGGAGACGCAGAGAGGCCAGAGCCTTCTCAGCTGCCCTGGACCTCAGCATAAGACTTTACCTGTGTCTTCCCGGGCCTTGCTGTGTGACCTTGGGGATACATGTTTCCCACTCTGAGCCTCTGCTCCTGGTCTGCAAGGCACGTAGTATAGACAGCCTCGGGGGGTCCTTCCAGTCCTGAGATTTGAAAGTTCTCAGATTGGCCACTGCGAGAACATGTGACTGACTTTGACCCTGTCCCTGGTATCCCCGGGGGGGCCGAGCCCGAGGTTGGATCAGCTTCCTGGTTCTCACCAGGCTGGTCCCCGGTGGCTGGAGGACATCTGGGGACAGTGAAGGGAACGCAGCCCTTCCTGGGCACCCGAAGAGGAGCATCTGCTCTGGGCGGCCCCAGTGGAAGAGGGAAAACATCCCCAGCCCAGCAGTGGATTGGGGCCGAGCCTCAGCCCAGGGGTCTCTGGTCTCCATGGAGACTGGGTCCTTGTTAGTCTGGGGGGGCGGGTGCTGGCCCTTCAGTGCTCCTTTCCCCTTCCCCAGCTACCTCTATCCCGATGGGAAGAGCCACAACCCAGATCTGACGGAGCTGTGCCAGGCAGAGCCCCACAAACGCATCCACGTGTCGGAGGTGAGTCCCGGTTCTGCACCCACAGCCTGCTTCCCACCCCAGCCCCACTGTCCCTTGGCTCAGAGGCCTTCAGTAGAACCTTGGTGGCTGTGTGACCTTGGGTCAGTCCCTGGGTCTCTCTGAGGCTCAGTTCACCAGTTGGAAACTACAGACCCTCTTGCTTCTTTCCCAAGGATTATCACAGGGATAAAACAGGAAACAAGCTGCTGACGGTATCAGAACAGCAAAAGCAGGGGCCGGGTATGGCATTACACACCTGTAATCCCAGCAACTCAGGAGAAGGAGGTCGGTAGATCCTGGCCCTTGGCCACCCTGGATGAACATATGAGACATTATTTGGAATAAAATAATTAAAGCAAAATGGCTGGGGGGCATAGGTTAAGAGGCAGAGCACTTGCCTAGCATTCCTGAGACCATAAGACAAAACAAAACCCACAGAAGATGCATTGGAGTGTTTGCCACAGACAATCCTGTGCCAGCTTTTTAAATTTCATTTTATTTTTTTGGAGACAGGGTCTCACTATGTGGGCCAGGCTGGCCTCGAACTCCCAGTTCTCCTGCCTCAGCTGCCTAAATACTGAGATTACCACCAAGGAAAAAGTTTTTTTTAGTATAAGTATATCCCACTCAATATTTGGGATATATTTATGCTTCAAATTCTATTCTCCGTTATTATTACTATTATTATTATTATTGTTTGTTTTTGTGGTACTGGGGTTTGAACTCAGGGACTTCACCTTGAGCCACTCCACCAGCCCTTTTTTTGTGATGGTTTTTTTCGAGATAGGGTCTCATGAACTATTTGCCTGGGCTGGCTTCCAACCTCGATCCTCCTGATCTCTGCCTCCTGAGTAGCTGGGATTACAGGCGTGAGGCACCAGCGCCTGGCTTCTATTCTCTGTATCTGAAATTCAAATCCAATAGAGCGTCCTGCATTTCTGTTTGCTAAATGTAGTATAGGCAAGCCCAGAAAAGGAGTCTGATGACTAGGAGTGAAGACCTGGGGTGGCCTTGAACTTGGGACAGGCTTCTGGCAGGGTTGAGGGCTCTTTTTCTCATCCTCCCCACCTCCTCCACCATCTCACCTGTCAGGAGCAGCTGCAGCTCTACCTGGCTATGAACTCCACATTTGAACTCTGTAAAATCTGTGCTGAAAGCGACAAGGACGTGCGGATCCAGCCGTGCGGTCACCTGCTCTGCAGTCGCTGCCTGGCAGCCTGGGAGGTGGGACTGACCCCTGCCCTCCCCCCACACCCCAGCTCCCCACTCTCTATGGTAAAAGCCCTAACAGGGTCTCCCGTGTGCCTCAGTGAGCAGGTGGGGAAACTGAGGCCCAGAAAGAGTAGAGACCAGCGGGGGTCAGTCAAGGGCATGATTACTGTGCATCTGTCCCCAGCTCACCCTGTACTTGGGACTTCCATTTTCCCTCTTAGTTGTATAATTAGTGCAAAAGCCTCCTAGCGCCCTTGCTGGGCGATCTGAGATAATAGCTTTGAGTCTCTGGGCCTTGACCTTCTCTGGAGAACAGGGCTAATGACAGTGACTTCCCTGAGGCCATAGTGGAGGTCCAAGCCTCTGAGGCCTCCGCAAAGGTCAGGCCATGGCGCGGGCCCCTCCTCCCTCTGACTCTGGCCAGTCCCCCATCGCCTCCCCCTGTATCTCTCCCCTCACCTCCCATGCGTGGTCCCTCTCTCCATCATCCCTCCCTCCATCACTTTGTTGAGGGTTGAGGTGGAGGTCCTCCAAGTTGTCCCAAGGGATGTGGGGACAAAGGAGATGGTGACTGTCCCTCCCCTCCTCCCCCAGCGTTCAGACAGCAGGACCTGCCCCTTCTGCCGCCGGGAGATCCAGGGCCGGGAGGCCGTCAGCATCTACCAGGCGCGGGCCGCGCCCCAGGACGCAGAGGAGCCGAGGGACAGCAGTGGCCTGGAGGACAGGGAGTGGGAGCCCGTGCAGGTAAGAGGGCCACACGGGCTGGAATGAGAATCCTGGCTCTGAGGGAGGAGGCTGGGCCTGGACCCCTGGGGCGGGATTCTTGGGTGCTAGATGTTTCCTTCCCCTGAGGCGTCTCTGGTTGTCACCACCCGAGGGCAGGGACTTTCACTGCGCTGTATCTGGAATCTAGAACAGTGCCTGGCACAGCCTCCAGGCAGGAGCACAGGAGGTGAGGGGAAACCCGCAGCTCACAGCCTCCTCCCTCCTGCCTCCTCCAGGTGGATCCCTTGCCTCCTCCGCTCCCCCCTCGGCTAGATCTGTCCTCCCAGAGACTCAGAAGCGAAGCCAGGCTGAATGTGGTGAGTCTGTTCTGCGAGGCTAGGGTCTCAGCCCCAGGGTACCTGGTATGGCCTGGTACCTTCCTCAGCCTTTGGAGTGCTGGGATTACAGGAGTGCACTCCCACACCTGTCCGCCCCTGCAATGTTTTCACAGGCCCTTCCCCTCCTGGCAGAGTGAACAGCAGATGGAAACTCTGCATGGGCGGGACTTCCTCTTATTCTCTGTTATATCTCCAGAGTCTAGAACAGGACCTAACACATGCCCACACAGTAGGCTATCAGTAAGCAGGCCTTGGATAAATAACCAAAACCAGGCTGGGCACCGGTGGCTCACGCCTGTAATCCTAGCTACTCAGGAGGCAGCAATCAGGAGGATCGTGGTTCAAAGTCAGCCAGGGCAAATAGTTTTGTGAGACCCTATCTGGAAAAACCCTTCACAGAAAAGAGGTGGTGGAGTGGCTCAGGGTGAAGGCCCTGAGTTCAAATCCCAGTACTGCAAAAATAAATAAATAAATAACATAAATAAACAAAAGCCAGTCTTCCTAACAGCTCTAGGAAGTTGACACTGTTCCTCTCCCCATTTTCCAGAGGGAAATAAGAAAGTTCAGAGAGGTATCTACACCTGTCCAAAGCCACACAGCCTGAAAGAGAATAAAGAAGCTATGGGGTGTTTTTGTTGGTGTTGGTGGGTTTTGTTTGGTTGCTTTTCTGTGGTACTGGGGTTTGAACTCAGGGCCTCCAGCTTGCTAGGTACATGGTCTACCATTTGTGCCACTCCTCCAGCCTTTTTTTCTTTAGTAATTTTTTCCCATAGAGTCCCTCTGCTAGGATGGCAGGAGCCCACCACCACACTGGGCTTATTTGTTGAGATGGGGAATCTTTCAGACTGTTTGCCTGGGTTGACTTCCAACCATAGTCCTTCTGATGTCTGCCCTCCTAGTAGCTGGGACCATACCCAGCTTGTTTTTGGTGCTGCTGCTGAAACCCATGGCCTTGTGTGTGCCAGGCAAGAGCTCTACCACCGAGCTACACCTCAGTCCTTCTTATTTCTTAATTGAGCCCCTCCCTTGCTTCCTTCTCCGACCCCCCCCACTTCCGTCCACCCTGCATTTTCTGAGACCCCATCCCATGGGGAGGGGCAGATCAGCGTTAGTGGCTCGGGCTGAGTACACACCGGCTCCAATCAATACTGAGCCGACTTCAAACAAACAGCTCAGGAAGTCAGCCGGGAACATTTTTCCACCACAGCAAACATGAGAGCCAGCAGGAAGGGGGGCCGAGAGAACAGCGAGGGGAGCTAAAATCAGATCCGATCCGCCCAGCAGCCAAAGGCAGATGGAAACATTAGGAGGCACTCAGGGCTCCCTGAGGACCGGGGCCACCGCCAGAAGGGCAGCGCTGGGCTCCTTGGGCCGCTGGGCACACCTCTCCCAGGCTGTGCCCCCGCCTGGCGCGTCCTCCCTGCTCCCCAAAGCCTGGCTGATTCAAATTCCTGGCAGTCCCTACGCTTTCACACCAAGCCCTTGGTAAGCACTGGCAAGCCACTTCCCAGCAAGGTGACTGTCCTCATAGGCCACTTTACGTGTCCTTTTCCTTTCTTTCTTTTTTTTTGGCAGTCCTGGGGGTTTGAACCAGGGTACTCTACCCCTTGAGCCACCCCCCAGCCCCAGCCCCCCTCCCTTTTTTTGGTTTTGGTTTTAGATAGTTTTTAGATAGTTTTTGCTTTTGCCTAGGCCAGCCTCAGACTACAATCTTTTTGTAGCTGGGATTACAGGCATATACCACCACACTCATTTTGTTCTTTGAGCAAGGCTCTTACTAACTTTGCCTGGCTGGCCTTAGACTGAGATCCTCCTACCTCTGCCTTCCAAGTAGCTGGCAAGAATCACTGTGCCCAGCTCAAGTGAGTGATTTTTTTTTTTTTTTTTTTGAGGTATTGGGGCCTGAATTCAGGACCTCACACTTGCTAGGCAGGCGCTCTTATCACTTGGGTCACTCCACCAGCCCTTATTTGTAATGGATTTTTTTCAAGATAGAGTCACATTAATTATTTGCCTTGAACTCGTGATCCTCCTGCCTCAGCTTCTCAAGCACTGGGATTATAGATGTACACTACTGTTCCCACCTTTTCCACTGTCCTTCTGACAAGCTACCAAGCCACTGTCCACCATAGTACTTCTGCTTTTGTACTCAGTCTCCTGCCTGATGGTTCTGTCTCCCAGAGGCCTCTGAAGCTGCTGTCCTCTCTCTGGTCACCCTGACTCTCCCCCATCACTCAGAAGGACCTGGAACATCTAGATACTTCCTTGTTTGTGAGCTGATGACTCACTGCAAGCCTCTTGCGCAGTAGACCATCAGCTCCATGACAATGGAGATTTTTTCTGTCTTATTCACAGCTGTGTCCTCAGAGTCTAGAACAGTGGCTGACATGTCACCGATGCCTGGGAAACATTTGTGGGACCAACGAACAAAGGGATGGAAAGGGGCAATGGAGACAGGTGTTCAAACAAAACCACTTCCTACTCAAGGCGGAGGGGCAAGGGAAATGCGTGCAATAGCATGGATTGAGAGCTACACTTCGTCATATTTCCCTCTCCCTGCGCTGTGTCACCCCCAACCAGGCTCACGAAATGACGCCCCAGTCCCCCACCTAAGAGATTTCTTTCTTTTTGGCGATACTGGTGTTTGAACTCAAGGCCCTGCCCTTGCCAGGCAGGCACTCTATCATTTGAGCTACACTCCCAGTCCTTTTTTGCCTTAATTATTTTTTGGATAGGGTCTCATGTTTTCGCCCAGGACTGGCCTGGATTGTGATCCTCCTACTTCCGAATCCCACATAGCTAAGATGACAGACAAGGACCACCACACCCAGCTAGTTAGTTGAGATGGGGTCTCACTTAACTTTTTGCCTGGGCTCAGCTTCAAATGTAATCCTCCTGATCTCCACTTTGTGAGTAGCTGAGATTACAGGGGTGAGCTGCCTTGTTGGGCTCATCTGAGACATCTTCTCCCTTCCAGGCCCCTCTCACCGTTCCCAGACTCCAGGCCCCTCTCCCCTTGCCTAGAATGAAAACCGTGGCCTCAGCCCCGTGGGATGTCACCTCCAGCCCCCAGGCCAGGCAGGGGGCTGCAGAGTAAGTAGAGTGGACTGTGAGACTGACACAGGGCTCTGAGGTCGGAGGGAAAACGGGGTCCCAGGTCCCAGGAAATCAACAGTCCCCCAATTCTGTCTTTGCAGAAGATCCTGATAGGAAAGTCACCGTGCCAGCTGGCCCTGTGTGACCCACCATCCCACACCAGGCCTGGAGGCCAGGTGAGTCCATGTCCCCATCCCTCTAGCTTCCCTCCCCTGGCCGCCCTGTCCCCAGGTGTGACTGTCTAACACGCCTTTCTTCTGCCATCACAGGGCACCGGGACGAGCTGTGAAGGACCCTGGGGCTGGGAGGGAAATAAACTCCCAAGCCTGCTCCGTCCTCCTGTGTGTGAACAATAGGGCGGCGACCACCAGGGGGCAGCTTGGCGCTGGGAAAAGGAGGTCCCCAGACCTGATGGCCACCCTGTCAACTCAGGCGCCTGACCCCACCCACCGCAATGCCCCCTCCCCATCAGTCCCAGGAGTTTTGCATATCCCTGATGCTCAGCCAATCAGCATCCAGGCCCCGCCCCCAGTACAAACACCTTCCTGGACCTGCAGACCCAGTGTGTGTCCCTGGCCCAAAGACACCCCCACAGGTGACCACGGCCTCTGTCCTCCCCCTCCTTCCTCCATCACCCTAGGTCCTTCCTCCAGAGTAGCAGTGAGCACAGGTCTCTCACTGTAGACGTGCCCCCCACCTTGTCATGAGCTCCCCTCGCTTCTGGTCAAATCAGCCCACATATGAGCCCCACATCTGCCCAGGGCCAGAGCCGACATGGTGGTCACTGTCCTCCCTGTGGCTCACAGTCCCGTGGAGAAGGCAGACCCGTGATGACCCAGGATAGGCACCGCTGGGGTGTGTGTGGCGGGGGTGGAGCTTGGGGGCTGCAGGAGCTCAGAGGAGGCACCTGACCTGACCTGGGTAGTTAGGGAGGGCTTCCAGGAGGAGGTGCGTAAGCCAAGACTGAAAAGACAAGAAAAAGGTGCCCCGTGGGAAGGACACTGGAAAGCTCTCATATCCAGATCTTAATACAAGGCAACAGAAACCACTTCAGGGACAGAAAGGGGACTTTATTGAAAGGATTTTGGGTCAGTCACAGAATTCCAGCAGTAACTTGGAGAGCTGGGGTTGGAGAGAGAGCAAGAAGACTGGCAGCTAGTCAGCAACGGTCACACCACAGAACCGGTCTGATGAGGACACTCAGGTGCCCCAATGACCACTGGGCATTGCAGTCACCTCGCTGCCTCGGCTGCTGCCCCTGAAGCAGGACAGAGCTGCTTCTCTCATCGGCCGGGATTTGTCATGTCATTTCCCAACTTCGAGGTAAATGACAATTCCGAATGTCACTGCTGGCCCTCCAAACCTGGGTGCGGGAGGGGCTCTGTTGTGTGGTCCTGGCTCAGGGCACAATGAACTTAGAACTCCTCCAAGTGACACATTCGCCATCTTGGCCTCCTCTCAGCACTTATGGTGGCCAGAGGCTTCATGTGAGGACAGTTGGCCTCTGTAATCGGTGAGTTCGGTACCCACATAGCCATGTAGCCCAGGCTGGTCTCAAACTCACGATCCTCTTAACTCAGTGGGGTGCTGGGATTACAGCTGTGTATCACCATGCCGGGTTGATCTCTCTCTCCCCCGCCTCTCTGGGACTGGGGTTTCAACTCTGGCTTTGTGCTTACAAAGCAGGCTCTCTGCCACTTGAGCCATCCCTCCAGTCCTTTTTGCTCCGATTATTTTGGAGATAGGGTCTTGCTTTTTGCCCACAATGCTTTTTAATGCTGGGGTGACAGGCGTGTGTTACCACACCCCAGATTTTTTCCCTTGAGATGGGGATCTCAAAAACTTTTCTGCCCAGGCTGGCCTGGAACTGTGATCCTCTGGATCTCAGCCTCCCAAGTAGCTAGGATTATAGGCGTGACCACCGTGCTTGGCCATCCTCCACCGATTGATGGAGAAGATGTCAGGCCTCAATTGCTGACGAGCACACGGAAGGGGAGAGACTGTTGCAAGCATCTTCAGGAACAGGACATGGCCCAGCTGCCGTGGGCTGGAGGAGCCGAGCCAAGCCCCGTTCCTTCTGCAGCTCTCGCTCGGAATCCAAAAAGTCTGGCACCATTACCAGGCTTACATCATGCTGGCTTCCACAGAGGCAGGAGAGCGAACATCTGTCCTTGTCAGCTTCAACAGGGCATCGGGCTGCGGGCAGTGAGTTGCTCTGCCTGGAGGAAGGGGTGCAGATGTCGGGTAACTCGCCCCTAAAGACACCCACTGCAGGAGGACGTCCACTGGCAGAGTGGCTCAAGTGGTAGAGCGCCTGCCCGAGCAAGTGTGAGGCCCTGAGTTCAAATCCCCGTATATATTTTAAAACTCCACTACAGTCCACCCCTTTAAAGCTCTACAGCAACACATGCTGTGTTTTGTCCTTACACCACCTTCCCCAAAAACCCCTTCTCTAAAAATTCCCCGCACGAGTAACTCTCGTTACTCACGACATGGAGTATTCATAGTTCTGTTGTCCAGGCTGGAGACACGGGGAGATAAGCATTCACCTCCAAGTGGTCATGTTTCCCGTATTCTGGAAGCTGTGGACTGGTCTTAAAGTTGACTACCACATGCTGTGTGGAAAATAATGAGAGACTGAGTGCTAGTGCTCATGCCTGTAATCCCAGCTACTCAGGAGGCAGAGATCAGGAGGTTGGTGGTTCAAAGCCAGCCTGGCCAAATAGTTTGAAAGGTCCTATCTCAAAAATACTGAATACAAAAAGGGCTAGTGGAGTGGCTCAAGCAGTAAAAGCACCTGCCTAACAAGCATGAGGCCATGAGTTCAAACCCCACTCCCACCAAAAGAAAAAGAGGCTGGGTGCCAGTCTCTTCATGTCTATAATCCTAGCTACTTGGGAGGCTGAGATTGGGAAGATGGAGATTCAAGTACAGCCCAGGTAAATAGTTTGAGAGAGAACCACCCCATCTCCAAAATAACCACAGCAAAAAGAAAGAAAAGAAAAAATATTTGGGGGAAAACCGCATCTGTACCAATCATGAAGCCTGCATTTTTTTTTCTTGTCATTATTATTATTATTATTATTATTATTTTAGTGGTACTGGGGTTTGAACTCAGGGTCTACACCTTGAGCCACTCCACCAGCCCTTTTTGTGCCAGGTATTTTTGAGATAAGTTCTCTCAAACTATTTGTCCCGGCTGGCCTCAAACCGCAATCCTCCTGATCTCTTGTCTCCTGAGTAGCTGGGCTCACAGGCGTGAGCTGCCAGTGCCTGGCTCGATGCCATTCTGTATAAGGGAGAGCTGTGACCCATAATTCTGCAATAATGGCCCACACAGGCGACAGCGATCCCGTAAGATTATATCACCTCCTGACCTATGGCTGGCTTTGTTTGTGGAAGTACACCTTGTGAGGATCACACAAGAACAAAATTGCCTAACAAGCTGGCTGCCAGTGGCTCACGCCTCTAATCCTAGCTACTTGGGAAGCTGAGATCTGGAAGATCAAGGTTTGAGGCTAGCCCAGGTAAATAGTTCTCCAGAGACCCCATCTCCAAAAATAACCAGAGCAAAATGGACTGGAGGAGTGGCTCAAGCAATAGAGTGCCTGCTTTGCAAGTTTGAAGCCCTGAGTTCAAATCCCAGTCTCACAAAAAACAACCAGACATAACAATGTGTTTCTCAGAACAGGTCTCATGGTTAAATGACACGTGACTGTACGTCTGTACACATGAGCAGCCAGCATGCAATTGGAACACTACTTAGTTCGGTCCCCAAATATTTACTTGTCTGAGGCCAAGCACGGTCCATGGCACAGGAGATATGGCGTGAACCAGGGAAGTTCCTGTTCTCTTGGAGCTTAGATTCTGTGCCGGACAAGGGTACAGATTAAAAAATAAGCCATCAGTCTGGCAGTGGTAAACGCTATGGAGGAAAATTGGAGCAGCTGGGTGAGCGGGAGTTGCTATTTGAGAAGGGATGGACAAGGAAAGCTTTTTAATAAGGTGAGGCGGAGGAGAGATTAGAAGCAAGTGAGGGAGGAAGCTAGGGGAGGAAAGAATGTTCCCCTCAGAGGGAGTAAGCAAGTGCAAAGGTCCTGGGGCCAGAACATGCCCGCTGTACTGGAGGAGCATCACGGCAGCAGCGTGGAGACAGGTGTGAGAAGAATGCCGCTTGCCAGGGAGGGTGAGTAGATTGGGTTAGGGGCAACGAGGGGCAGACCCCAGGCCTTGTGAGCCATGAAGAGAGCTTTAGCGCAATGGCTCACGCCTATAATCCCAGCTACTCAGGAGGCAGAGATCAGGAGGATCCAGTTTCGAAGCCAGCCCGGGCAAATAGTTCAGGAGACCCTATCTTGAAAGAAACCCAACACAAAAATGGGCTGGTGGAGTGGATCAAGGTGTAGACCCTGAGTTCAAGCCCCAGTACTACACACACACACACACACGCACACACACAAGAGTGAACTTTTGCTTGGAGGATTGTGAGTAGAACTGACTCACGGTTAACGGACACCTCTGGCTATTTTGCAGGACTACATTGTAGAGGACAAAGGCAGATGATATTATGACTCTAGTTTCTGCAAGTCTATGCAGTGTCAAGGCTGGGACTTAGGACTTGTCATTCACATTCCAAGTGGCCCTCCTCTGTCTCCCAATGATCGATGACCGCTGGCTTCTGTGAGTTTGCACTGTGTCCTGTGTTGACCAGTCTGGAGGTGGAATTTGCATCGGAGCTTGTGTACATCGGAGTTTGTGCCTTCCCAACTGTCCCTATGTACCTGCTCTGGGTCTGGGTGAGGTGGGGGACACAGCAGCGACCAAGACAGTCCTGACTCTCAAAGGGGCTCACCGTCAAATGGGAGGGTAGACCCATCCGTGTGCAGGGCCGTGGTGGGGGGCCCAGAGAGCTAGGGTAGAGCAGGGAATGGTACATCTAATACATTAAGGTCACCTTCCCGGCATAACAATTGCTCCCCTGGGCGACCAAAAGATCAATGTAGCTGACCAGTCTGGCCAATGATGCCTGGGCTGACCTGTAATTTAAGCTTTCTGTGTGTGATGGGTAAAACCCCGGCTGTGGTGGGAAGAGGTCCTGTCTTACCAGTGACGCCTCCACACACACACCGAGTGATCAGAGAGCGAGGACTCCCCTAGCATGACCGGCGCACCCCCCTCCCATCCTGACCAGTGTCCAGGGTCAGGACATCAGGTGACCAGTGCCACATCCCCTCCCCCTCCCCAGCCAGCAATCTGTGGACCTCACTCTGACCTGGCTTGTGGAATCCTTGAGAGTTCTGATCTGTGACCCCCTCATCTGACCTGTGACCCACTCTTGCAACCAGCGTCCGGGCTCCTCCTTCTTCCCCCTCTTTCCCCCTTATCCTGGCCTCCTCTCCTCCTCTCACCTGCCCCTGCCAGCCTAATTCTCCTCCCCTCCCCCAAGGTGGGGAGGGAATGAAGGGGAGAGAGGGAACGAGGAAGGGGGGTGACATTCCTGGGATTCCCTGGATGGGGGGAAGAAAGGGAGGGCCTTACCGGGAGAGCAAGGAGAGGCACCCTGCACCCCCACCCATCACCCCAGCGGCCTAGGCGGAACTGGCAATTGCAGACTAGGAGATAAGAGATTTGGTGAATTGGTGAATTGGTCGGTTCCAAGCCACTGCTCGGTCAGAAGAGGGGGCCAGCCACCAAGATCAGTGGCCACCTGAGGGGGCGTCCCAGGGCACACAAGGAGAAACTCCTCTGGGCCACTGGTAATGTTTGGGGCTATTAGTGTGACCCTGGTAGAGGCCAGCCCAGCTACAGAGGACAGGTGGTTAAAACCCACACTGGGAAGGAGCCTCCAAGGCTCCAGATCCGAATGGGGGGGGACACGATCTGCGCGTGTCCCCGAGACCCTAGCCCAGGACATTGGCTGGACTTGGTGGGTCTGTCCGTCTTGGCGGACTCTGGGCAGCCGGCTTGGGTTGGACGGACCCCGGGTGCGCGGGTGGGTCCGCGCGCGGCGGTGGGAGGTCCGCGCCGGGCAGTGGGAGGTCCTGGCCCCGCGCCCGGGCTGAGAGGCGGGGCGTGGTCAAGGGGGCGGGGTCAGGGGCGTGGCCTCCGCTGCCAGCCCTGCAGCGGCCGAGCCTCACCCGGGCTCAGTTGCCGCCGCCGCCGCCGTGAACATGGAGCCCCCGGACACCCGCGCCAGGGCGCGGAGGGCCGCGCGGCTGCTGTGTCTCGCGCTCCTGCTGGCGGCGTCCCCAGGTACGGCTCCGGGGCTGAGAGCAGGGCGGGGTTGGGGCGGCCCCTGGGGACCCCGGGGAAGGCAAGGGAAGGGGATAACACCCGCCTCAGGAAGCAAAATCTGGGGACCCCAGGGAGAAGGAGACACTGGGAAGTACTCAGGCAAGGGAGCTGGGAATAACACCGCGGTGGATCAGAGACGCCTTGCGAAGCGAGCCCCTTCCCCGCTCAAGACCTCCCCCCATCCGCCCCAAATCTGGGCCGCGTGCCCCCTGCTTCATAGAACCCAAAAGTTGGACACCCCTCGGAGAAGCTAGGGACCCTGTGGGTAAATCAGCGATCATGCAGTTTGAGGGTTTCCCTAACCTAAATTCAGAGTCCAGACTCTAGAAAGAACCCGCTTCTCCCAAAAAGGGCTGGGAGTACCAGCGCTGGCAGTGAGACCCGGGAACAAAGTGTTTCCAAGTGACAGTGTCCCTTCCTTGGGGCCCCAGATAAATCCAAACACCTGCATGGTGGTGGGAGGGGCCGGCGACCTGAAGGGCGGGGGCCAATGAGAGATGAAAGCGATCGCGGGGAGAGGGCATCTGTCTCCATGCCCTGGCTGTGTGCGGCTCAGACCCAGCCCCGCCACCAGCCTGCTCCGACATCAGTTCCCCTGGGGCAGACTTGGGGCAGGAGTGGGTGACTAGGAATCCAGGGCCTTGGCACAAGTGTGGTAAAAGAGTGGGTCCCCAGGGGATAGGCCTTGGCCAGGCTGGGCAGGGCAGGGCAGGGAAGGGAGGTTCTCAGAACCCAGAGTGATGCCAGGGTGCCAGCCTGAAGGATGGTTTCCCAGCAAGGAGTGCGCTATCTGCCAGGACCCTGACTAGAGTCCAGGACCCAGCCTCACAGTCCCTAGGACCCAGCCTCCCTGGCCCCAGGAGTCCAGACCCCCACCAAACCCCTTCTGCCTCAGGATCTGAGATCCTGGCCTCTCCCTTATCCTGCCCTGGAGTGACTCACCTTATTACCTCTTCAGTGTTCCATTAAAGAGGCACGGGCGCCAAGGGGCGGGCAGGGGGCTCTGGCGCCAAGCCGGGCAGGTCCCAGCCAGCCTGGCCCTCCCACATTCCTGAAACCTGCCCAGCCCTGTCCCCCTTTACTACCCCCACACACCCATTCTGCTCCAGGCGCAGCCTCAGCCTACACCTCAGCCCCCTACGCACCAGAGAGCACAGAAAAGTCCCAGGGACTGAGACAGAGTCAGAGACAGGGAGCCAGAGAGCCAGAGAGAAACGCTCCGAGATTGAGACTGAGATGGGGAGATGGAGAGATGCAGAGAGAGGGATTCCACACCGCTGGGCCCGGCCCTGCACAGGGTGCCGGAGATAGAGGCATGAGCCAGGCCTGGCCCTGCCCTTAAGGGGCCCTTGCGGTGTTGGGAGAGGCAGGGGCGCATGCACTCTTCCACTGGAAGACTTCATGGAATGAAGGCCACCCAGCTTCGGCTTCTGTGCAGCCAGGGACAGGTGGCATGCATGCGGAGCCCTTAGCTCTCTGCAAGTGAGGGGAGATGAAGAGGACCACTGATGTGGGGTCTTAGACATGCAGAGGTGGGAGACACAGAGCAAGAGGAGCTGGATCTGAGGGAGGAAGCTGGAGTCTGCAGGGCTCTCCATCTTGATGTCAGTAGCAAGAGCTCTGTTGCTGCCCAGCAGGTGTCCAGGCGGAGGTACACGTGTCTGTGTCCCCTCTAGTGGAGGTAATGCAAGGACAGCGCGTCATCCTGAACTGCACCCTCCTTGGGAAGGTCGACCACTATGTGCTGGAATGGTTCCTTGTAAGTGCTTTGGGCTGAGGGTCAGAGGGTGAATGTGTGTTGGGGGGGGTCAGGGGTCACGGCAAACCAAGGCTGCCTATATTTGTGCACAGGGCAGGGCCAGAGGGACCATATGGATCTGTCAACTAGTTGCATTTCCATTTTACAGTTAGGGGATTTGAGATCCAGAGAAGGCCTGTGACTCTCTGAGATCCCAGGTGTCAGGGCCACACGAAGAAAGTCAGAGACAAGAGAAGAGAAAGGGAACAGAGACGGGCAGGAGGAGGAGAGACAGACAGGAGGCCTGATAAGAGCAGAATGACATGGAGGAACATAAAGAAAGATCAAGAACAAATAAGAACTGAGCAGGGGTGGGGATGGGGACAGAGGGATGAAAGACATAACAGGAGAGAGAGACAGATCTATAAGGTGTCATCAAGAAAGGGCTGGGGGGCGTGGCTTAAGTGGTAGAGCACCAGCCTGGCAAGCTCGAGACCCCAAGTTCAAACCCAGTACCAACAAAAAGAAGAAAAAAGAAAAAGAAAGACGAAAGGGCCACAGAGGGAGACCTTAGAGACTGAGGACGGTCGGAAGCCTGAGCTGAGACCCTCCCTTGTTGCCCACCTGCAGACTGACCGCTCCGGGGCCCGCCGCCGTCTGGCCTCGGTCGAGCAGCAGGGCTCTAAGCTGCAGGGCTCGGTACATGACACGAAGGGCCGCAGTCCCCCGTACCAGCTGGACCCCCAGGGACACCTGGTGCTAGCTGAGGCTCAGGTGAGCGATGAGCTGGACTACGTGTGTGTGGTGAAGGCTGGGGCAGCAGGCACTGCTGAGGCCACCACGAGTCTCCGAGTGTTTGGTGAGTGCTCCCAGGCACCCCTGGGAGGGGGCGGGCAGGGGAGGGGTCTGGACCCCTGGGAAGGGGCTTCTGACATGAATATCTTCCCCACAGCAAAACCAGAGGCCACCGAGGTGATCCCCAACCAAGGGATACTGTCCGTGATGGAAGAGCTTGCCCAAGAGGTACTTGACCTTGGGCTGACCTTGATTTCAGGGTTCTGGACAAAGGAGCTAAAGGCCCAGGCTTCTTGGTTTAAGGAGTGGCAGACAGAGACTCCTCTCGTGGGACAAAGAGCCCAAATGCCTGCATTAGAGGGGGCCAGCCTGAGGAAAGAGGGAACCAGATTTCAGGTCTTGGCCCAAGTCCAAGGCCACACCCATGTCTATCCCAGATTGCCACCTGCAATAGCCGAAATGGGAAGCCGGTCCCCCAGATCACGTGGTATCGGGACGGGCAGCGGCTGGAGATGTCCATCAGGATGAAACCAGGTGAGTTGTCAGGAGCCCAGGGATACCTGGGCTGGGTGGGGCAGTGGTTGGCGCTGGCTGACACCTGCTGCCTCATTCACAGAAGGCTACATGACCAGTCGAACCGTCCGGGAGGCCTCGGGCCTGCTGTCTCTCACCAGCACCCTCTACCTCCGACTGAACAAGACTGACCGGGACGCCAGCTTCCACTGTGCAGCGAACTACAGCCTGCCTTCAGGCCACCATGGCCGCCTGGACAGCCCTGTCTTCCACCTTACCCTGCACTGTGAGTCCATCTGGTTCCCTGGGGCTCTGGCCTCAGGTCAGTACTGCACTGAGGCTTGCACCCCCACCCCCACCCCCAAGCCAACCCATGGCCTCACAATCTCCTTTTGCTGAAATGCTGTTAGTGCTGACTGCTGACCTCAAATGGTATCCCCAGCCAGGTGTGGTGGTGCATATCTGTAATCCCAGCACTTGCTATTCTCCACTTACCTCAACCTCTGACCTCTGGCGCCCACTCTTAGAAAAAGTGTGAGCCTTGAAACCTATGGTCTCTAATCTTTGAGCAACCTTAGGCCGTGGAGGCAGGGCTGACCCCTCCCCTTCACCCAGCCAGGACGCATGTGCTGACTGCCCTTTCTCTTTCCTTAGATCCCACGGAGCATGTGCAGTTCTGGCTGGGCAGCCCGTCCACCACCGAGGGCTGGGTGCGCGAGGGTGACTCTGTCCAGCTGCTCTGCCGGGGGGATGGCAGCCCCAGCCCAGAGTACACATTTTTCCGCCTTCAGGTGACCCACCCCGTGGTCCCCTTGGAGCCCCTACCCCTGACCTCTGTGATATAATAACCTGTACCAATTTCTCAAATTTTTTCTGCGGTACCTGGAATGGGACCCAGGGCCCCTCTCTGCCAGCCAGTGACCTATGCCCCCAGTCCAGCTGACAATTTTGACTTGGGTGGCTCTAGGCTTAGCAAGACACCTGACATGGCGTCCCATGAGCTCAGAGGACCTCTGACTCTTGACGGTCCTGACTGAGCACGTACCCAACTTGGGTGACCTCTGACCCTGGGCCTATATGGGCTGTGGCCTCGTGGGGTACTGAAACCGTGTCCCCTGACCTAGTATGATCCCGCCAGGTCAGGGGGGCTCCCAAACCCAGTTTCTCCTTTCTGCTCACACAGAACCACCAGGAAGAAGTACTGAGCACCAACCTCAACGGGAACCTGACCCTGGAGGGGGTGCAGCGGGGCCAGAGTGGGACCTATGGCTGCAGGGTGGAAGACTATGACGCCGCCGAGGACACCCAGCTCGCCCAGACTCTGGAGCTGCACGTGGCCTGTGAGAGCCGGGGGGCGGGGGGGTGGCAGGAAGGGGCCTGGTAGCATCAGCTGCCTCTGCACCTCACCCCGCAGCCCTGAAATTGCTCCATCGTCTGGAACATTCTGTCTCCCCCTGGCTTTGCGTTTCCATGGTGTCTGCTCTGGTTCTCTGGTCCTGGATCCCCACCCTGCCTCCTCCAGTCTATGCTGCACTAGGCCTCCGAAGAGCAATTTCCAGAGCATGCACCTGACAGTCCCTCAGCATAGAACCTGCTGTGGCTCCCCAGTACTCTGGGGAGGAAGCCTAGGACTCTCTCCCCAGACTTCAAGGCCCACCCGGCCAACACATCCATCACATCCATTGACTCTTCCCCCAGTCAAGGCTATGTCCTTGTCACACCACCAAGCTCTTCCCTCATGGCTACATTAAGTCCTTATCTTTCTGACTGTGTGTTTATTTATTTACTTACTTATTTGTTTACTTATTTCAGTATTGGAGATTGACCCAAGGCCTTGCACTTGCTAGGCAAATGCTCTACCACTTGGACCACCCCACCATATCCCCCAGCTCTTGTGTTTTTACTTATATATATTTTTTTATTTTATTGTATATTTTTACTTGTTTATTTATTTACTTTTGCAGTACTGGGACTTGAACTCAGGGCCTTCACCTTGTGTCACTTCACCAGCCCTATTTTTTGTGAAGGTCTTTTCGAGATAGGGTCTCGTGAACTATTTGCCAGGCTGGCTTCAAACCGCGATCCTCCTGATCTCTGCGTCCTGAGTAGCTAGGATTATAGGCACGAGTCACCAGCTCCCAGCTTTATTTTGTTTTTGAGATAGGGTCTCTATAACTCTACCTGGCTGGCCTGGAACGCTCCATCCTTCTGCCTCGGCCTCTTGAGTAGCTGGGATTACAGAAGATGCCACCATGCTCAGCTCTGACCATCCATTTTAACTCTGATTCAGGGTTTCTAAGCAGCCTTCAGAGTTCACTTTGCGGGACAGAGGCTCTGCACCTCTGCACTTTGTTTTTTGGTGGGGCTGGGGTTTGAACTCAGGGCTTGCACTTGCAAAGCAGGCACTCTACCGCTTGAGTCACACCTTTAGTCCAATTTGCTATGGTTCTTTTGGAGATGGGGTCTTTTGAACTGTTTCCCCATGCTGGCCTCAAACTTCTATCCTCCCAATCTCAGCCTTCCAAATAGCTAGGATTATAGGCACTCAGGCTCACCTTAGCACTCTTCAGCTCCCCTTCTTGGGGTGGACCTTGCCAGACAGTGGAGACACACCTGTGAACCAGTCAGACCAGCCCCCCCCACCCCCCCACTGCCATAGTAGGGAAGCCAGAAGGCAAACACTGTCTGAGACACTTCCAGTAGCACAAGAGTATCTTCAGGCAACAGCACTGATAAGATTTGAAGGACTGGCCTGCGGACTCGGGATTAAGCAGAGAGTATCACAGTCCTGTGCCCTGGAAACCAACTCTGCCATGGGTGGTGGGGTGTAAGGGCAGGAGAGCCGGGTGCAGTGGCTCACGCCTGTAATTCCGGCTACTCAGGAGGCAGAGATCAGAAGGATCAAGTTGGAGACCCCATGTCAGTCCAGCTATGTGGGAAGCAGAGGTAGGAGGATGACAGCTTAGGCATAAATGTGAGAAATAACTAAATAAGTGCTGGCAGATTGGTAGAGCACCTGCCTAGCAAGTGTAAGGCAATGGGTTCAAATCCCAGTAGTGTCAAAAGAAATTCTACACGGAGTCACTTGCCTCAGCTGTTGGTAGTGGGGAGCCTAAGGAAGCAACAGAGAGCAGGGAGGAAGGAAGTTTGGCTGTGGTGTGACAAAGGCCTGGGTTGGTCCCACTGGGCACATGGACACCAGAGTGGCCCTTCACAGTTGTCCCCAGCTGGGACAAGGAAGCTGGCCCCCATGTCAGCCAGCAATTGGTTGTGTGCTGCCTGGGAACAGAGCATGACCTTGGGTGAGGGGCTCTCTGCAGCTGAGGCTGTTCCCAGTGAGAAATGACAGCTGAGGGCTGACAGCTGTCATCTTTGCAACAGCTGGGGGACTCAATCCTTCAGTACGGAAGGGAGAGGTGGGTGTTGATGGTGGGGGGTCAGGGAGGCCTCGGAGAAGTGGACACAAGAAGAAGAGCCTGAGGAGTGAAATGAGACACAGGAAGAGCTGGAAGCAGTCTGTTGCAGGCAGAGCGAGCAGGAGCAAAGGCCCTGAGGCAGAAGAAGACTCCAAAAAAAAAAAAAAAAAAGAGAATAGGGTCCCTGGAACTATGTGGGCCAGAGGGGAGGAAAGGAGATGGCTGTAAGGGGTAGGCCAGGCCAGGATCTTGTAGTCTGTGTGTAGGAATTTGGCCTTGATGACAGGGTACTGGGAGCCACTGAAGGATTTTAAGCAGAGGGGAGGGCTGACCAGTGTGTGCTTTGAAAAGATTCTGCTAGCTACTCAGTGGGGGATGGAATGAGAGTGAGGAGCAGACCAGTGAGGGAACGGTGGGGACAGTAGGGTAGAGACAGAGGGAAGAGGGAGGATCTTTCTTAGCAGCCGAGCACATAAAGTTATTTATTTATTTATTTTGCTGTACCGGGGCTTGAAATCAGGGTCTTCACCATGAGCCACTCCACCAGCCCTTTTTTGTGATGGCTTTTTCGAGATAGGGTCTCGAGGATTATTTGCCCGGGTCTGGCTTTGAACTGCCATCCTCCTGATCTCTGCCTCCTGAGTAGCTAGGATTACAGGTGTGAGCCTCTGCTGCTCGGCTTCTCTTTCTTTTCTGGTACTGGGAACTGAACACAGGGCCTCACCCTTGCTAGGCAGGCAGTCTACCACTTTGGCCACACTGCCAGCCCTTTTTTTGTGGTTGGTATTTTCAAGATTGGGTCTCTAAATATTTGCCCAGCCTGGCCTCAAACCAGCCTGGCTCCTTATTTCAGCCTCCCAAGTAGCTAGGATTATAAGCGTGAGCCACCATGCCTATCTCCATCTTCATAATCTTTTAATGAAATGATGGGTGTGGGCTCGTGAGAGAAGGCAAAGGTTTGAGCTTTTGCAAAGGGTTTTTTGGAGGGAGGCTGGGGGCATGTGGATGGGAAAGTACAGATACAGAATTGAGAACGAGGAAGAACGGTTGACATTTCTCTGCTTACGGTTGTCCGTTGATGTCTTGAGTGGGCGAGGAGGGGCTGGGGAAGGTGACACCCTGCTGCCCCTGCAGACCTGGACCCCCTGGAGCTGAACGTGGGGGAGGAGCTCTCTGTGTTCCTCAACAGCAGCCGCACCGCTGTGAACTGCTCTGCCCGGGGCCTGCCTGTCCCCACCCTGCGCTGGACCAAGGTGACGGGGGGGGGGGGGGGGGGGGGGGAGCCCCAGCCCCCTGACCTCCTCTTCCTGCGTGCTTCACCTTCTCACAGCCCTGCCACCCTTCCTGTCCCCCCCTCCAGGATTCTGTGCCCCTGGGAGATGGCCCCATGCTCTCGCTCACCTCTGTCACCTTCGACTCTGCTGGCACCTACATATGTGAGGCCTCCACACCCACGGTCCCCCTCCTCAGCCGCACTCAGAGCTTCAAGCTGCTGGTCCAAGGTTTGAGATGGGGTTGGGGACAATGGCAGTGTCTTCTCTCTCTGTTTTTCGCTCTCCCTCCTTTCCTTTCCCAGTGTGCCTCTCTCTCACTTTCCTTGCGTTCCCACCACCCAAGGGTCACCTGAGTTAAGGCCAAAAGAGATGGAGTCCCAGGCAGGGGACGGCTGGACAGAAGGAGACGAAGTCAAGCTGGTCTGCTCTGCCCGCGGCTACCCAGAACCCCAACTCACCTGGAGCCACCGGGGTGGCACTGTAAGGGGCTTTCCTTGCCGCCCTTGAGCCCTCCCCATACCCTGCCGGGGACCCTGCCCGTCCTTGCCTGTACCCTCCGCCCCTGCCCTTCACCCCAGGGGGCCAGGTCTGACCCAAGCCTCCACAGCCAGCAGAGCCGTCCTTCGAGGGCCAGGGCTGGGTGAGCAGCTACCTGACCTTGAAGGTGACCAGCGCCCTGAGCCGAGAGGGCGTCTCCTGTGAGGCCACCAACGCCCTCGGGAAAGCCAGGCACGTCTTCCACTTCAGCTCGGGTGAGTAACCCCAGAGTGGGGAGAAGAGGGTGTGGGGGGCCCCAGGTCCCTCGGGCTGAGCCGCCTCCCTTGCCCTGTCCCTGCAGTAGCTCCCCAGACCGCCCAGGCTGGAGTGGCCGTCATGGCTGTGGCTGTCAGCGTGGGCCTCCTGCTTCTGGTCGTTGCCGCCTTTTACTGCATGAGACGCAAAGGTCGCCCAGGCTGCTGCCGGCGCGAGAAGGGGGCTCCGTGAGTGGCCTGGAGCCGGGAGTCCCACCCCTTGCCACCCTCCACCATATCCCACCCAGGCCCCCTGCACCCCAGTCCCAGCTCCCATGCATTATCCCCGGCCTCCCTGTAACCATTTCCAACTCAAGGACCCAAGCCCCACCACAGCCACCCCAAACCTGCCCCACCTCCTCAACCCTCCCATCCCATCCCCCATCCACAGGCGTCCTCAGCCCCACCGCTGCCTGCCTCATCTCTCTCTCTCGTTTTTGTTTTTTTGCTTTCTTCATTTTTGTGGTAGTGGGGATTTAAACCCAGGGCCTCTCACATGTTAGGCAAGTGCTCTACCACTTGAGCTACACCCTCAGCCCTTTTGTTTATCTTTTGTTTTTGAGACAGGGTTTCAATAACCTTGCTGGGCTGCTCTTGAATGAGTGATTCTCCTGCCTCCACCTCCAGAGTAGCTGGGATTACAGGCGTGCACCACGGTGTCTGGCTTCATCTCTACTCTTGACCTTACCCCATCATCAGCCCCACACAACCATCCCCAGCGTCCCAGCCCACCCTAACGCTGGTCACATCCCTAACCGTGTCTCTAATGCTAGCACCACCAGTCCTACTCTGTCACCATCCAGACCTTCCCTAGCCACATCCCAGCTTCAGCCACTTCCTCATCCTGATCCATAACCCCAAAGCTGGTCCCACCTCACCTGATCTCCAAGCCCAGACACATGACCATCCCCAAGTTCAAGTCCATGAGAGTCCCGTCCCCAAGCAGCCTCAGCAAGAGCACCTCCAACCCCACCACCATTGCCTCCTCCACCCCAGCCCCAGCTCTTTCCCCCGTGGTGATCACTTCACCATGCCCCTGTCCTTCCTCAGGCCACCAGGGGAGCCAGAACTGAGCCACTCGGGGTCCGAGAGGCCAGAGCAGACGGGTCTTCTCATTGGAGGTGCCTCTGGGGGGACGAGGAGTGGCAGTGGAGGCTTTGGAGATGAGGTGAGTAGGACCTGGGTGCACAGGTGACATGACAAGGGAAGCAGCTGGGCACAGGGCTGGCCTGGTGGACACGGACTGAGTGGTACACTGTCTCCCCAGTGCTGAGCCTGATGGCCTCTCAGAGAGGTGACTGCTGGACCTGAGGCTGCGGGCACCGGGAAATGGACCTGCATACGCCTCCGCCCCCTTCCTTCTCCCTGCTCGGCCCTCCCTTCCTTCCTCTGCCCCTGGGCCAGGGCCCACGGTGGCTTCAGCCTCCAGGAGGGAAAAAGGAGGGTGTGTGGCTGGGAGGGGGCCTTCCGCAAGCGAGCGTGGCTCGCTCAGGCCCCAGAATAGCTCCTGGACCCAAGCCCAGGCCCGGCCTGGGACAAGGCACCAAGGATCGGCAGGCCTGCGGGGCTATTTTTACCTCCTGCCTCTCTTGCTGGTCCCCCGCCACCTGATGTCCTGCTGCATAGTCTGACACTGGATCCCCGCCCTGCCCCGCCCTCGCCCCCCACCCACATCTGTGGACACTGGAGTCTGGAATAAATATTGTCTGTCACATGGACACCATCCTGTGGCCAGAGCCGCCTCTGCTGGGCAGGGAGGGGAAGGGGACCCAGGTGACTCCCCACCACCACCACCACTGCGCCCAGCGGCTGTTCACTGCCCACCTCCTCCTCAGAGCCTGATGTCATGGAGAAAGAAATGACAGCGAGAGAGAGAGAGAGAGAGAGAGAGAAAGAGAGAAAGAGAGAGAGAGTGACTCAGCTGGCTGAGGCTAGAAGAGAGAGATGCCAGGGGTCTGAGGACCAGAGACCTGTGCCTGGTTGGGGGAGGGGTGCCGTCCCCTTAAGGAAAAAAATCCTAGTCTCTCTTGCTGGAGCCGCTAGGGAGCTGAGGCTGGGAGGGAAAAGCTCTTCTCCAAACTGCAGAGTTGATGGAAGTGGGAGGCCATGAGTCTCCCTGCCAGAACTCCCTGGGGAAGCAGGGGTGGCTGGAGGAATGGTGGAGGGACCAGGGACAGAGCAAAGAGGCTGACAGATGGACTTTCTGAGGTCTGGTGCAGAAAGAGAGATTTGAGAGAGAGATGGAAAGATTTAGGGGTGGGGTGAGGAGTGGGTTAAGAAGTTTAGAGAAAGAGCCCCACAGAAAGAAAGATGGGGAAAAGTCTGGGTGAGGTGGCTCATATCTGTAATCCTTTCCACAATGGAGTTTGAGATTGGGAAAATGAGTTAGTGAGGCCTACCTCACTTGCTAGGCATGGTGGCCTGTAATCCCAGCTACTCTAGAGGCTAAGGATGGAAAGTTCAAGTCCAGCCTGGGCAACTCAGTGAAAACCTTTTTTTTTTTTTTTTTTGGTTTGGTTTTGTGTGTGGAGCTGGGGTTTGAACTGAGGGCTTACAGGCTTGCAGAGCAGGTGGTCTAGTGTGGGTGCCACACCTCCAGTCCATTTTGCTCTGATTATTCTGAGATAGGATTTCAAGAACTATTCACTCAGGCCTCCAACCTCGATCCTCCTGATCCCAACTTCCCAAGTAGCTAGGATTACAGGTGTGAGCCACCAGCTCCCAGATCAAAATAAAATTTTTACAAGGGCTGGGATGTAGTTCAGTGGTAAAGCCCTTACAGAGCACGCAAAAAAGCTGTAGGTACCACACACAAAATTTTGGGGAGCAGAAGAGAAAATAATTGAGAGAAATAAATAAATAGAAAGAAATACCAAGAATGATGAAGCCCAGCACTGGTGGTTCATGCCTGTAGTCCTAGCTACTCAGGAGGCAGAAATCAGGAGGATCGGGGTTCAAAGCCAGCCCAGGCAAATAGTTTACCAGACCCTATCTCGAAAAAACCCTTCACAAAAATGAGGCTGGCGGAGTGGCTCAAGTGGTAGAGCACCTGTGTAGCAAGTGTGAGGCCCTGAGTTCAAATCCCAGTGCTGCACCCCCCCCCAAAAAAAAGAAAGCTGAGTTGATGCCAAGGTAGAATTCAGCCAGAAGAGAGAGGCAGAAGCAGTTCAGATGGCCTCCATAGAGTGCTCAGTGGGGGACACGACACCAAGTGACTTCACCTCCCTGAGCCTGGCCTCTGTCACATCACAGGGAGACCAGTCACACTTGGCCCCTAGAGGCTGCTGTGTGAGCCCAGTTGGAGCCTAGTTGGAGGCCCTTGGAGTGACAGGCCTTTGGAGCAGTGGTGTGGACTCTACTCCCAGATGCCTCGCATGGCGTCCTGGTACCACTGCCCCTGATCTCAGGCAAGTGAGCACACCTGGAGTGTGCTCAGCCTCAAGTGTGATCTGATGCCTTGGGAAATTGGTGAAGTGCTCAGGGAGGCCAGAGATCCAGAGCTGAAGAGCTCCAGGTCCAAACGAAGATGCGCAAATCTCATGGTTTATTATTGAATCCATTTAAAACAAATGAGAAGCTGGATCCATTTAAAACAAATGAAGACGTGGTGGTTCACATCTGTAATCCCAGCACTCAGTAGGCAGAGGCGAGGATCAAGAGTTCCAGGGTAGCCTGGGCTACACAGCAAGACCCTGTCTTAAAAAAGAAAAAACTGAAAAGAGCCAGGTGATGGCTCATACCTGTCATCCTAGCTACTTAGGAAGCTGGGATCAGGAGGATAAGGTTCAAGGCCAGCCTGGGCAAATAGTTCAGGAGACTCCCCCCGCCCCCCAGCTCCAAAATAACCAGAGCAAAATGGACTGGAGGTGCGGCTCAAGTGGTGGAGCGCCTGCTTTGCAAGCGCAAAGCCCTGAGTTCAAACCACAGCACTGCAAAGAGAGAAGGAGAGGGAGATGGGGGAGGAGACAGAGAGAGAGAGAGAGGGAGAGAGATGGGGCCATTAATACACTTAGACTTGGATACAAGCGATCAGAGTTCCTGCCACCCAAATTCTGGGTGTATTGGTAAACATACATTGCCCCTCCCTGTCACCATGGCGTTCTTGGATACTCCAGGCCAAGCCAGAAAAGCCTCCTGGGCTCAACCACAGCTGGCTGAGACTTGACCTGTGGCCACAGCTTTCTTTTCCCTGTGGGCATGGGAGAGATGGAGCAGAGCCAGTGTCACTGCCAGGACCTACTTAAGGACACAGGAATATTCAGCGTACTTGACTCTTCCATCTTCCTTTCCATCTGTGTCCAATTCACATTCTTTTTGTTTGGTTTCCTTTTTTTGGTGGTACTGGGGTTTGAACCCAGGGCTTTGTGCTTGTTAGGCAAGTGCTCTACCACTTGAGCTATGCCCCCCCACACACCCTTTTGCTATTTTAATTGGTTTTTCACATAGGGTCTGATGCTAACTTTGCTTGGGCTAGCCTCAAATTGTGATCCTCCTACCTCTGCCTCCCTTGTAGCTGGGGTTACAGGTGTGTACCACCATGCCCGGCTAGACTGTTTTTTCCTGTATATATGTACTGATGATAAAGCTTGAAAATTAAGCTCAATAAGAGCTTAATTTAGTAATAACTACTAATAGAATAGTCATCATCACAACACTATAACAAGAGCTATTTTTAACATATGAATTATTTATATCTGGAATGTTCTATTTAATGTTTTTGAACAGAAGCTGGCCAGGGATAACTGAAACCTTGGGAACTAAATTGTGAACAAGGAGGAGACTACATGTCCAGAAGGCTCATGACTGCTCCCGTCCTTTCATCTATCTGGGTCCTTCTGTTTTGGGGTGGGGGGACTGGGGTTTGAACTCAGAGCTTCAAGATTGCAAAGCAGGCACTCTACCACTTGAGCCACTTCTCCATTTCTTTTTTTTTTTTTTTTTTTGGTGCTGGGATCGAACCCAGGGCCTCACGCATGCTAGGCAAGCGCTGTGCCACCGAGCTACATCCCAGCCCCACACTTCTCCATTTCTTATGTGAACTCTTGTCCTCTATATAGCTGACTTGGATACCATTTTCTTCCATCCTTCTTCCTTCCCTCCCTTCTTTCTCCTTCTCTCCCTCCTGCCCTCCCTTCTTCCCTCCCTCCCTCCCTCCCTCCTCCCTCCCTTCCTTCCTGACAGGGTCTCCATATGTAGCCCAGGCTCCCCTTGAACTCTCAACCTTCCTGTCTCAGCCTCCCAAGTGCTGGGATTACAGGTGAACCACACACCCAGCTCACTTCCAAAAAAATGACAGGAAATTCATGGAGGGTCGAGCAGCAATGGGTGTTTGATGAGGTGACTGAGGACAGCGCTGAGGACTAAGCCTAGCACTGAGGGTATATGCCGTACACATAAGTCTTCACTGACTAAGGAAAGATGGAGCGTCACAGTGAAAAGCTAAAAGGTCCCCTCGTCTAGGGAAGGGACCAGGTGCAGACAGACACAGGTGAGGAAGTGTGAGGAACCGGAGGGAGTGTGAACAGATGGCTGGGGGAGGAGAAAGCGGGCACCCAGGGAGCAAGGAGTTCTCTCCCCAGCACCTGGTCCCCATGTTCATAGGGGAGGGTCCCAACCTGCCCTCCAAGAGGGCGTGTATTTGCATAAGGCCCCTCTTCTGCCTGGCATCCCAGGCAATTTGCATACAGATGGAAGTCTGGGCCCGCCTTGGCCAAGGGTCCAGGGGAAGAGGATAGAGAGAGGATGACCACCTGGGAGCCCATGTTAAAGCAAGGTGGCAGTAAACTCTCTTGCTCAACAACCTTCCATGGCTACCTATTGTTGCCAGGAGCATGATTACCTTCTCCCGTCATAAATCATTGTTCCTCACACTCACTAGCTGTTCCCTCTCCCAGGCCCCGCCATGCTTTGAAGACACTACTGTTCCCTTATCTAGAATGCCTTTCCCCATGTCCCCCACTGTCCTTCCAGGCCTGAACAGCTTGGAATCTGAAAAGGTTTCTCCACCACCCTCTCTCCATGGACCTTTGGAATTTATAGAAATTGGTACTATTCTAACTTGTGTAGATTTATTAGTAAGACTGTGTTTGATTCTAAATGACAAAAAAATGTTGACCAGGCAAGGTAGTTCATGCCTGTAATCCTAGCTACATGGGAAGCTGAGATCAGGAGGATCAAGGTTTGAGTCCAGCCCAGGCAAAAAGTTAAAAAGACCCCATATCAACATGGCTGGGCACAGTGATGTGTTCCTATCTTCCAGCTATGGGGGGCAGCATAAATAGGAGGTATTGTGGGGGGGGGTCGGCCCAGGTATTAAGCGAGACCCTATCTCAAAAATATCCAATGCAAATCAGGCACTGGTGGCTCACATCTGTAATCCTAGCTACTCAGGAGGCAGAGATCAGGAGGATCGAGGTTCAAAGCCAGCCCGGGCAAATAGTTTCGAGACCTTATCTAGAAAAAAAAATCACCAAAAGGGCTGGCGGAGGGGCTCAAGGTGAAGGCGCTGAGTTCAAGCCCCAGTACCACAAAAAGAAAAAAAAATTGATTTTAATCCAGCTGCAGGATGACACATGCCTGAAATCTCAGTACTCAGGATGCAGAGGCCAAAGGAGTATCAGTCAAGGCCAGCTCGGGCTGTTCACAGCAAGACCATAGCTCAAAAATTTAAAGCTGATGTAGGTGAAAATGGAAAAGCAAGTACTGACTACCTTCAAGCGTAAATGAATCCAGGAGCTCATCCTGGTCCTGAATCAATGCCAACGGCCAGGGAGATCAAACGCTTTGATGGTCCAGGCCTAGGGGGCTGCTGCCTCCACCAGAAGCAGGAAGCAAGGGCTGGGCAGGTAAATTACTTGGCACCAACTCGAAGTTTCCAACGGGAAGCTGTTGACCCTGGGCCCCTACATCCTGGTGGCTATGGATCTTTGTTTTTGTTTTTGTTTTTTCGGTGGTACTGGAGTTTGAACTCAGGGCTTCTTGCTTGAGATGCAGGTACTCTACCATTTGAGCCACACCTTCAGTCCTTGGCTCTTCAGTGAAGTGCCACCCTGGGACTCCTTGATACTGGAAGTTTGACTCCCCAGGCATGGAACCCACCCAGTCACTTGTCAACACTCCTCAGCCTTAAGCATGTCCTTATACGCATGTGACCTGGAGGCATGAAACTCCAGCCTATACTCCAGGGCTCACCTGCCCGCCAAGACCAGCCAGGAGGGTGCTGAGCCTACTCAGTGGCAGACCAGAAGAGGCCTGGGTTCTTTTTTTTGAGACCATCTTGCTTTGTAGCCCAGATTGGCTTTAAACTCTCCATTCTCAGCCTCCTGAACTCCAGAGGCCTGCACCATCATGCCAGGCCAGTTCTTTTGCTCAAGGGAGAAACCAGACCCAGGTGCAAGATTTTACAAAACAAGGCTATCAATAAAACCCAGACCTTCTGGCCCTCCAGCTAAGCCCCAGGCTGAGGGGAGAAGGTCAGATGGATCAGAGTGCTCCTGGCATCACTCCAGAAAGAACAGTGACATGGTGGCTCACACCTGTCATCCCAGCTACTTGGAAGGCAGAGATCGGGAGGATCGAGATTCAAGTCCAGCTCTAGTAAAGAGTTCATGAAGCCCATCTCCAAAATAACCAGAGCAAAACAGACTGGAGTGTGACACAAGCAGTAGAGCGCCTGTTTTGCAAGTGCAAAGCCCTAAGTTCAAACCCCAGTCCCACTATAAAGAAAAAAAAAAAAAAAAAAAAGACCATCTGATCATCCAAGTTCAAATCCCAGCCTGCTCCTTCCTTGCTGGTGGCTTGGGTGAAAATAAGCCCTCTGTGCCTCAGTGTTCCTTTACATGACAGAGTCCCCTCATGGATTCCTGTAAGGCATTCATGATCTCCTTCATAATTCTGACCTGGGGCCAAGTCACTTCCCCCTCCATGCTTGTCACACAAGGCACTGGGTGGGTTATTATTTATTTATTTATTTATTTATTTGATTTTTTGCGTACTGGTGCTTGAGCTCAGGGCCTACACCTTGAGCTACTTCACCAGTCCTTTTTTTGTGTGATGGGTTTCTTTGAGATAAGGTCTCACAAACTATTTGCCCAGGCTTGGATTCGAACCTCCATCTTCCTGATCTCTGCCTCCTGAGTAGTTAGGATTACAGGTGCGAGCCACAGGTGCCTGGCTGGGTGGATTATTTGTGATAACATTTAGAGCACTTAGATTGGTGCCTGACATAGTGCTGAATGTGTTTATTAATGGTACCATTAGCTCTGAGCAGTGGTGGGTGCCTCTGTAATCCCAGCACTCTGGATGCTGAAATGAGAGGATGGAGAGTTGGAAGCCAGCCTGGACCAGACACCGCCCCCCACCCCCCACAACACACACACAATCAAGATTTCAAACTCTACTCTCAGGTACCTTCCTTCTTTGGGGAGGAAAGCCAAGTTTGTCGGAAGGGAGGTCCTAGCCCAGCCTAGGTGGCCATTTTACTAGGGCAAGAAGCCCCCAAGTGCCTGCCCCCAGCTGACCAGCTCGGCACCTGCTCATCGGGAGGACCCTGGATTCCGGGCACTCAGCGCATCCCCTTCCTCACATCCTGACCCCCCACCTCCCCTCTCCTCCCCTCCCCTCCCCCCCCCCGGGTCACCCGCCAGGCTCAGCGGCCTCCCCAGCTTCCCCCGGCTGCCCGAGGAATGTGAAGAGCTAGGGGGGTGGGGGAGGAGCGCAGTGGCCCGGAGACAAAAAGGGGCCGAGTCAGCGCGAGGCACAAAGACGCTAGGAGGCTGGGGAGATAGAGGAAGTGGGACAAGGACACAGGGAGGGGCTGGCGGGGTCCGGAGGCCGGACCCCAGTCCAGCCCCACCCAGCCCGGCCAGGCTAGCGGAGCGCGCGGGCCGGTCTGTGCTGCCCCCAGGCGGGCGACCGTGGTAAGGAGGCGGCCGGACCCTGTAGCGGGGGAGAGGATGGGGGGTGCACTGGAAGGGAGGGACATAGAACAGGGCAGGGACAGAAGCATGGAGAGGTACACACAGAGCAACACGCACTGAGAGAGACACAGACACAGAGAGACAACGACACAGAGACAGGAACAGAGAGAGAAACAGAAAGATAGGCAGAGGGACAGAGTCAAAAGGTTATGAAAAAGGGACACGGGACCAAGAGAGACAAGAGACAGAGCGACACTGTGGCGTCAGAACCGAAAGACCCAGAGAGAGAAACAGAGACGCAGGGACAGAGATGCAAAAACGATGGGAGAGACATAAGGACAGAGACTCTTAAGAGCGAGAAATCTAGAAAGAAATGATGCGGCGACACTGGAATCCGCGGCCGAGATTAGAAAAGGACGCGGGTACACTGCCCGCGACGCCACAGGGACACAGCCTGGCAGGGCAGTGGCCTGGCGGGGGGACCTGAGGAAAGTGCCCGGCCAGGTTGGGATCGGGATGGGGGTCTCGAGCCCCAGAAGGGGCGGGCTAGGGGCCCCACGTGCTTCACGCAGGTGTGACCAGCGGACCCTGAATGGGGCGGGACTAGATCTGTGGGCGGGGCTAAGGCCCAGCAGGACTAAGCTCCAGGGGACTGGGGGTGGGGGACAGGCTACCAGGAGGGCAAGGGGGCGGGGCCAGTGTGGAGGGCGTGACCTCACGAGCGCAGAGACGGCCGGAAGTTCCGAAGGGGGCGTGGCAGAACCTGGATCGAATCTCCAGTAGAGGGGGCGGGGAACCCCCCCTCGGGCGCAGAAAGGGGCGTGGTTAGAACGATAAAAGGGGCGGTGTTTAACACGAAGAGTGGGAGGGGATAGAATTCTGGGGGCGTGACGAGTATAGAATCCTGGCAAGGAATTTCAAGGGGCGGGGCCGGAGCCCGCTATCCGCTCGGCAGGGGGAGGGAAGGGGCGTGTCCTGTGACGTCAGCGAGTCCGAATCTCCAGAGCTAACCGAGTGGCCGGGGGCGCGGATCGCAGAGCCGGGCGGCGAAAAGCTGAGCCCGGAGAACACAGAGCAGGGAGGGCAGTGCGCGGCGGGAACCGGCCTGGAGCCGGACCCTTCAGGCACCTGCTTGTCCGCCCAGCCGGTCGGTGCACGCATAGTGGCCCGTAGGCCCCCGCCCGGGCCCAGTCCCCTCCCGGGCCCTCCATGGCCCGGGCCGCAAACCTTCCGCCGTCGAGATTGTCGCCGACGCTACCGCTGTTGCCGCTGCTATTGCTGCTGCTCCGGGAAACAGGTGAGGGACCGCGGATGTCCTCCCCTCCCTTGAGTGGAGGAAGCCTGACACCTTCCCCCACCCAGCTTACCCGAGGCCCCTTCTCTCGCATGGCCCTCCTAGCCTGGCTCTACTGGTTCCGATGACCCCCTGCCGTCTGCGTCCCTCTCACTCCTCACAACCTTCTTAATCCCACCTGCCCATCGTACCCTGGGCTTTTCTGTCCCCACCTCCTCCGATCCTAGCGAGGAAGGGGTTAAGTCTAAGGTCTGCCGGAGGCCTCGCGCCCCCTCCCCATCCTGCGCCGACCAGTTATCCCGGGTCTGGGTTTCCGTCTCCGCTACCCCCCTCAGGAATGTGGGGAATGTCCCCCCCACCTCTAGCAGGAGGGTCTCGATGGTGAGGCGAGATCCCCCCTCCATTTTTTCCTTTTTGCTGTGCTGGAAGTCTGAGGCCCGGAAAAGATTGGGGGCATGAGGCCAGACGTCGAGGGGCGGGGAGCTCGGACTTTGGGGCCCTTAGCGCGCGGAAAATGAGAGTCCAGGCGCCCTGGGGGAAGGGCCTGAGCTGGGTGCTCCAACCACGGAGCTCAGGGAATTTTTCGGGCTCTGATCACTGGGTTCCAGAAAAATCAGGAGCTGAGGGTTCTTTCTCCTGGATTCCAGGAAGAATGGGGGGCTGGAGACCAACACTCGCTGGGATCTGGGTAGAATTGAGCCCAAGGGGACTCAAACTTGTGGGGTCTAAGGTTTAATTGTGGACTGGACGCTCTGAATCCTTGGGTCCAGCTAGAATTGGGGGGAGGCAGGTTCAATATCGTGGGCTTCAGATTTCATCGTGGGCACAGACCGGATACTGAGGTGGCCAGGGGACCCTGTCCTCTGGCCTCCAGCTAGAATCAAGGGCCCGACGCTCTCTGCCTAGAAGCTGGAGGGTCCATCGGTTGTGTACCGAGAGGCTGGGAGCCCCCTGTCTTTCCTTGTGAGAGGTCGGTGGCGTCGTCCCTGGGGAAGTTTTCCGGGTATCGCTTTCGCCCAGACTGGGATGGGAGGGACGGGGCGGGGCGGGGTGGGAGCACTCGGGCTCCAGGTTCCGGACTCCCAGTTTCGAGACCTTATCTTTCCTCTTGTCACGCCTTTGTCCTCCGATCCTCTTTGGGAGGGCGCGGGTGGAGCCGCCTAGCTAATCCCCGCGCCCTCTCCACCCCCTCTAGGGGAGGAGGGGCTGAGAGGACACAGGTGTGGAGCGCGGGCCCCGCCCCTTGCAGGTGACCGGGCTGGTTATTCTCAGCCAGAAACTCTTCGATGCTGTGGTTTCCCAATGGTTTGCCTAGAAAGGCGATGCGAGGATCTTGGGGAACCCCTGTCACTCCTTGATCCGGAGCTGCGGACTTCTCTTCCATCCCCCTGCCTCTCCCTTCTGTGTCAGCGACAGGGAGATGGAATCAGAACCTGCCGCCTCTGGCTGGATTCTCAGAAGCCACCAGATCTTCAGTCAAACGTTGACTTGGTGCATGATTTCATAGAAAGTTCCAGGTCACTCTAAAAGACACAAGTCCTGTTCCTGTTCCCATTTTGCAGATGAGGAAAGAGAAAAGGCTTATAAAGGAAAGGACAGGCCATTTTCCCAAAGCCCCTCCCCCCCACCCCCAGAGGTCCCTGGGAGACCACACTCCAAAGCCTACACTTGAAGTCAGCAATTCAGAGTCCAATTTCCTCCTTGTAAAGTTGGTGACAACCCCTTCCCTGAGGTGGGGGGTTTGGCTTTCCTTTTTTTTTGTGGTACTGGGGTTGGAACTCAGGGCCTCACACTTGCTAGGCAGGTGCTCTACACCTTGAGCCACTCCGCCTGCCCTTTTTTGAAATAGGATGTTTTTTTCGAATAGAGTCTTGTGAATTATTTGCCTGGGCAGGCTTCAAACTGTGATCCTTCTACCTCAGAGTAGCTGGGATTACAGGCGTGAGCCACTGGCACCTGGCTGTATTTTGCTTTTCTAACCTTCCATCCTTCTGCTTCTGCATCTCCCCCCTCCATCCCTAGTTCTTTTTCTTCCCTTCTCCCCACCTCTCTCCCCTTTTCCATCCATCTCTTTCCCTGGCTCTGGCTCCCTAGCCTCCCTCTCCTTGGCCTCCTCAGGGAATGGGGGTGCACCACCTGGGCCTCCGACTGTGCCCACCCCTCCTCCCTGTCCCTCCCCAGCTTCCTTCCTGTGCTCATCCATGTCAGCCAGGCAGCCCCGCGCAGTGGTGGGGGAGGGGCGGAGAGGGGACTGCAGGCCTGGCTGTCTCTTCTTGTTAGGGAAGGGGACTGAGCGGAAGAGAATTGGAGGATGGGGGGGTGAGACGGGACAGGAATACACGGAAAGGATACACAGAGATGTGGCTAGAAGCCAATAGAGAGAGAGGTCAGAATCAAACCTGGAGGCGGGGGTTGGTGACAAGTAAGAATGACAGTGATGGAGGGGGAATGAGGTCCAGCCACAGCGATGGGAAAAGGGCCATGGAGAGGGGCAGAGAATGGTGGCAGAGGAAGGAAGATAACAGGGACACCAGAAATGAAGGCAGGAACAGCTAAAGGAGAGTGGCAGAGAGGTTTGGTGACAGGTGAGGAGCCCAGAAGACCCCAGCTGAGGGACAGTGGAGATGATCTGACCCAGAGAGGTCAGGGCACAAATGAGCCTCAAGGCCAGCAGCGTGTGGGGGACACTGGGAGTGGTGGACATGGGAGGGACAGGCAGTTGCACACAAGGCCAGCTCCCCCGCCCCTGCCTGGGACGATGTTACATTTTTAATGTCCCAGCAATGCTGAGAAATGGAGCAGGTGGGGGAGGGGAGGAGGGGACTTGGCAAGATGGCCAGACAGTGGGAGAAGCTTGTCAGATACTTGGAACTGAAGGTACAGGAGGCAGGGAGACCCCACTGACAGAGACTCAGAAAAGCAAAGACCCTGGAGGCTGGACAAGTCATCTTGAGAGATTACAGCCCCCAGGAATCAACACAGAGAGGAAGATTCCAGAGACTGGGAGACCCAGGCCCAGGAAAGGCCTCAGGGTCCTAGAAGCAGAGGAAAGAGAGCAAGAAAAACTCAGGGGTGCCCAGTGGGGTGACATCCTTCTGTGGAATGCTGAGGCAGGAGGATCTCAGGTTCAAGGCCAGCCCAGGCAAAATTAGCTAGACCCTGTCTCAAAAGCAAAAAGGAAAACAAAAAGGCCTGGGAGCGTGACTCAAGTGGTAGAGTACCAGCCTAGCAAGTGCAAGCCTGGGATCCATCCCCAGGAAAGCAGAGGGGAAGGAGGAGGGAGGGAGGAAAGAAGGCCCGGGGACACGGGTATCCTTGTGGGCTACTGAGAATGTTCCAGAATTATGACGGATGCACAGCTCTGGGTAAACTGACTCTCTAAAGAGTGACTGGCATATTATTGGCATTCGATCTCAGTAAGGCTGGCAGAGTAGGAGAGGGACAAAGGTGGGAGCCACAGCCCCTGGGACTGAAGGGCCTGGAAGCTTTGGATGCCAAGAGAGACACAAACAAAAGACTGAGAGACCCCAGGGTCGGGGCGGGGAAGGGAGGAAAAGGCCATCAGATGCAGGACCTGGGGACCCAAGTCTCCAGACACACACTGAGGTGTAAACTCCCAGGCAGGATGTAGGAGGGGTCTGTCCCAGGACCCTGCCAGAAGAGCCCTCCTCCACAGACCATCCCAAGAAGTGGGAGGTGACAGCATGGAGTGGGGCTCAGCCCTGGCCTAAGGTGACAGGATGGGGAAGGGGAGGGATCTGAGCTCTGAGTGCTGAAGGCCTCAGGCAGAAGCACAAATCCAGACTCAGCCCTGCAGCCCTGTAACCTGGTGGCCATGCTCACATCTGCTCAACCCCCCACTCCCCCCACACCAGACTGGCCCAACTTCCGCTGTGGGGGTGGACGCTGTGATTAACGCAATTAATTAACCAGGTGGCTGAGGCAGCAGCTGAGGCTACTGATCAAAGCACTAGGGCCTTCAAGGGCCCCAGGTCCTGCCACGCCCTGCCATGGGAGGGTCACAGATTTACAGGTCTGCAGACAAGCCTAGCCCAGAAGGGGCGGGTCAGGAACCCAAACAACACAGCTCCTCCCTCAGGCCCACGGGGAGGGTCCAGGTCCCTGCCTCTTCCTCCAGGGCTCCATCAGTAGTGTGACCCTCTCCCCTGGTCACCCCCTCCTTGCATCTCAAGGTCTCAGCCTACGACCCTGTTCCTGAATCTTCTTCCTGGGCCTATGCAGTGCCCTAGGCCCTCCCACTTTGCCATACAGGAAGCCAGCTGGTCCAGTCCATAGGGAAAGGAAGAAGTGTGTTTGGGGACCCAGCTGACACCTCTATAAAGCTGTCACCATTCAGGCCTGTCCAGGGGTGCAGAAGGGAGGCGGTCTTCCCACAGCCACTCTCCCCTAAGGAGCTGGCCACGGCTCTGCCAAGGTCAGGCCATGGGCACCCGCCCAGGAGCATGCTGGACAATGGGGTCCAGGCGCCCTGGCTTCCTGGCTCCTTTCCCGTCTCCACCTGACACACAGACCGTGAGGGCGTCATGCCATAGTCCATCTGAGTTTGAGCCCCACCAATCCACCTTTCCCCCCCTCCTTTCCAAACCCAGTCTCCCATTGCCACTTCAGAAAGCTCCAGCTACCGCACCAATTCCCACAGCCACTACCCCAGTCCAGGCGTCTTTTGTTCCCCCGGTTCCTGCTCCACTCCGTTCTGAAGGATCTTTCTAAAACATCCTGTTCCTCCCTCTGGTTAGAACTATTCATGGCTTCCCAGTGCCCTCAGAGAAAAGCCTAAACTCTAACCCAGCCCCAGCCTAAATGATCTCAGGCATTTTGATCTCAACCTTCATCCCATTCATTCATTCAACACTCCTACACCACTCTGGGGATTTAGTAGTGGCCAAGACAGATAAAAATCTCTGCCCCTTGGCCCTGATGGAGGAACACAGAACACACAGGGTTCTCTATGATACATAAAGTGAAATGCAGGGAGTCTTTGTTATTAATATGGTGGTCAAGGAATGCCTCTCTGGGCAAAAGACCTGAAGGAAGTGAGGGAGAGAGCCATGGGGTGGTGGGGGAAGGGAGAACTGCAAATGCAAAGGCCCTGTGGCAGGACTTGCCTGGTATTTGAGGACCAGTGGGGAGGCCAGTGTGACTGGTGTAGTTTCCAGCAAGATTCCTCTGGCCAGGCATGGGCACAGATCCCTTGGGAGTAATTACAATCCTCCAGGCAGGAGGTGACCAGGCGAAAGGTGTCTGGGTTGATTAAGTCAGGGTGCAGACTCGTGAGCCAATTATAGATAAAATTTGAAGATGAGCCCACAGGATTTCCTGATGGATTTCATGTAAGGGAAAAGAAATCAATAACTCCAAAGGTTCCATCCTGAGCTCATTCTTGGGGCAGAAATGACTTAAAAGTGGACTGCCTAAACCGGGCACCTGTAATCCCAGCTACTCAGGAACCAGAGATCAGGAGGACTGAGGTTCAAAGCCAGCCCTAGGCAAAGAGGTCTCGAGATCTTATCTCGGAAAAAAAATATATAGGGCTGGTGGAGTGGCTCAAGGTGTAGGCCCTGAGTTCAAACCCCAGTACAACAACAACAAAAAAAAGTGGACTGTTCCCCACCACGGGCCGAACCATCCATTCATTTGTAATTGGAAACTTAGAATCAGAACCACCAGGTGGGATTTTGTGTATTTTATTCTTTATTTATGTATTTACTTTCTTAGAGACAGAGTCTTGCTATGTATGTAGCCCAGACTGGCTTTGAACTTGACCATTCTCCTGACTTAGCCTCCCAATTGCTGGGATTACAGGAGTGCACCACCAAGCCCAGGCAGCAGTAGGCTTTTTAGATCCTAATTTGTTCTTTCCCAGATTCATTCATCAAAATTAAGTACCTGCTTGGTCCAGTCTCTGAGACAGATCTGGGGGAGGAGCAGCTGTGAACAAGACCAAAAAATTCCTGCTTTCTGGGGAGGGGGCACTTACTATGTCAAAAGGGACAGGAAATACCTGGTGTGTAAGATGTCCAAAGAAGGCTGTGTGTGGAGAACAGGAAGCAGAGGCCATGGGGACAGGGGAGATGCAGGTGACCAGCGGGGGACGGAGTTTTGCCATGGAAGACCAAGGAGTTTTTCCACAGAGAGCTAAGAGTGGTTTGGTGCGAGCCCTTGTTTGCATTTGGTGTTTTGAGACAGGGTCTCACTACATAACCCAGGCTGACCTTGAACTCACGGTCCTCCTTCCTCAGCTTTCTGAGAGCTGGGATTACAGGCATGCATGACCTTGGCCGGCTTATTGGCAGCTGTTCAGGCTGTTTTTGTGTCTGTAATCATTTCTGTCCACTTGCCACATCCCACCTCCCCCACCTTCCTTGGCTTAAGCCCAGCCACTCTCTGTGTTGAGAGCCCTTAGTGGCTGCCACTGCTGCTGGAGAGAAGTGAACTCCAAGGCCCCACCCTGCTTTGCCTGCTCTGCGGTTCACAGTGCCCCCTCCCCACCCCTGTGGCTTTTCCTGGGTGTCCTTCCCTTTGGGTCCTGGTCCCTAAGGAAGCTGAGAAGCCACAGTGGGCTGTCCTCCACCCAGCCCCTGCCCAGGAGCCCTGGTCATGACTTTTGTCATGTTTTAATTTTGGTACTGGAGTTTAAACTCAGGAACTTGGACTTGCTAGGCAGGTGCTCTCCCACTTGAGTCACTCCACCAGCCCTTGTTTGCTTTAGTTATTTTTTGCATAAGTTCTTGTACTTCTTACCCAGGGCTAGCCTCCAACATGATCCTTCCATCTACACCTATGTCATAGCTGTGACGACAGTCATGCACCACCACATCCAACTTGTTGTTTGAGATGTGGTCTCTAACTTTTTCTCCGGACTGCACTCAAACCTCGATCCTCCTGATCTCTATCTCCTGAGTAGCTGAGATTACAGGCATGAGCCACCACACCTGGCTTGCTAATTCACACTTAAAATAACGCTATGCTGGCTGAAGCAAATGCACACCAGCCAAATGCTGTCCTGCCAGGCCTGCAGAGAGCACCCTGAGAAGGAATTGTTAGGGGCGGAGCCATGGGGTGACTTAAAATTAAACCAAGGTTTGGAACGAATTTTACCCAGTGTCACCCAGCCAGGAAGGAACAGCCAAAAGGAAACCCATGTTGATAGGTTCTGGGATGTATCCCATATTCTAGCCCCTGCAAAGGTTGGAGCCCCGTTTCCCAAGATGGCCCAATTGGATGTGAGGCGTAAGGTGTGTGTAGAGGAATGGTGTCACTTTTATTTTATTTATGCATATTTTTTGGTTGCACTGGGGTTTGAACTCAGGGTCTATATCTTGAGCCACTCCTCCAGCCCTTTTTTGTGATGGGGTTTTTTTCGAGACAGCATCCCACAAACTACTTGCCCAGGCTGGATTCAAACCATGATCCCCCGATCCCTGCCTCCTGAGTAGCTAGAATTACAGGCGTCAGCCACCAGCTCCCAGCAAATGTGTTACTTCCAGACTTTACTCATGGCTTGTTCCTTAATGTTCCTGGGATTGTCCCCATCCAAAGGACTGACTTCTGCTGGTTCTCCCCATAAGGGGACCTGTGTTTGAGAACACAGTGGCACTGCCTGTGAAACAGAGCTGAGCATACTTGTCCCTTGAGCCCAGGCATGAACCCTTGGCCTTGCTTTCTTGGGGCTGAATGGAGGCCCACTTGCAATTACAGCGGCCTCCAGGTCTGGTCCGATTTCCTGTGGCCCTGTGCCGAGTTCTTTCATCCTCATAACAGCCGTGCAGAAGCAGGCCCTATTATTATCCTCCTTTTACAGCTGGGAAACTGAGGCACAGAGACGGTAAGTGATTTGCTCAAGGTCACAGTGCCAGTAAGTGGCAGAGCCAGGATTTGAACCCACACATCTGTATCCTGAGTCTGCACACTGTACTGCCTTGCACAGCAGAGAAGGAGTCTTCCTGGTTCCTGCATTTATTAAAAGAGACAAAATGTGCCAGACGCTGGTAGCTCACACCTGTCATCCTAGCTATTTGGGAGGCTGAGATCAGGAGGATTGTGGCTCAAGGGCAGCCCAGGCAAATAGTTTCAGAGACCACCTTTTCAAAATAACCAGAGCAACAGGGACTGGAGGTGTAGCTCAAGTGGTAGCCCCACAAGAAAAATAGTTTAAGGTTGTCCTGGTTTCACAGTGAGACCCTGTCTCAAAAAAGAAACCTTGGCTGGAGACGTAGCTCAGTGGCTAAGTGCTTGCCTGGCACACATAAGGTCTTGGGTTTGATCTCTAGTACTACCAAAAAAAAAAAAAAGTGGCCGGGCACAGTGCTCATAGCTGTAATCCCAGCTCTTCTGGAGGAAAGACAGCAGTTTGAGACCAGCCAAGTTTAAAAAGTTCCTGAGACCCCATCCCAACTAATAGCTGTGCATGGTGGAGCATGCCTGTCATCCCAGCTACTAGGGAAGTTTAAATAAAGGATTGAGGTCCACATGCCTGCCTAGCAAGCATAGGACCCTGAGTTCAAATCACAAATGAAGAGGAATGAAGCTCATGCTGAAATGGATGAGCCTTAGCTGGGCACTGGCGACTCACGCCTGTAATCCTAGCTACTTTGAAGCCAGCCCGGGCAAAAAGCGAGCCCTCATCTTGCAAACACTCAACACACACACACACAAAAGGGGCTGGTGAAGTGGCTCAAGGTGTGGGCCCTGAGTTCAAACCCCAGTACCGCAAAAAAAAAAGAAAACAAGTCCGCATTCCCCCTAAGTTCCCCGCAAATGTCTTTCCTACGTGGCATTTTGGAATTGAGGTCCTGTGAGCTCACCCTCGTTGTCCTTGAGGACAGATTTCCCTGTGGTCTTTCATCCCTCCTCCAGCTCCCCTCCTTCCTCTCTCCCCAGGAGCCCAGGATGTGCGGGTCCAAGTGCTCCCCGAGGTGCAGGGCCGCCTGGGAGGCACCGTGGAGCTGCCGTGCCACCTGCTGTCGCCCAGCCCCGACGTGCGTGTCTCACAGGTGACCTGGCAGCGGATGGACTCTGCAGCTGTGGCCGCCTTCCACCCTAACTTCGGTGTCCACTTCCCCAACCCACAGTCCAGCAAGGACAGGCTGTCCTTCGTCAGAGCCGGGCAGGACACAAAGACGGACCTGCGCGACGCCACCCTGGCCATCCAGGGACTGACGGTGGAGGACGAAGGCAACTACACCTGCGAGTTTGCCACCTTCCCCAACGGCACCCGCCGGGGCATGACCTGGCTCAGAGTCATAGGTGAGTGACCAGAGCAGGCACCACGGGACAAGTGACAGCGCCCCTTGCCAGTCTGTTTCTCTCTGTCTCAGCTGTGACCTTGACGTTCCCTGTGATCCTTGGTGATGCGGCAGACGTTCATTAAGCACCTATTGTGTGCTGAGGATGCAGCAGGTAACGCGGTGCTCTTTGTGTTTTGAGATGGGGTCTCGCTGTGCAGCCCAGGCTGGCCTGCAACTCATGAACCTTCTGCCTCAGTTTCCCAAGTGTTGGGATTACACATGTATCACCACGCCAGGCTATTCCTTAACTTTTTCTCATTATAATAAGAGGCATGAAGCAGGTAACTTTTATAATGAAAGAGATTTATTTAACCTACAGTTTTAGAGGCTTGAGGGCATGGCACCTGCCTCTGGCCGGGTGACTGTGACAATGGCTAGAGAGTGAATAAGGACAAGGACTCATGACTTGCTTCCAGGGGAGGGACTGGATTTCCATTATCCCTCCCACTAGGCCACTCCTCTTTTTTTTTGTTTGTTTTGTGGTACTGGGATTTGAGCTCAGGGTTTACACCTTGAGCCACACCACCAACCCTTTTTTTGTGGTGGGTTTTTTTTTTTTTTGAGATAGGGTCTTGTGAACTATTTGCCCAGGCTGGCTTTGAACCATGATCTCCTGGTCTCTGCCTTCTGAGCTAGTATGACAGGTGTGAGCCACCGGCACCCTGCTGGAAAGTGTTTTCTTTCTTGAAGTATGCTTTTTTTTGCAGGGGGGAGTGGTAGCAGTATACCACTTAAGATATGTCCCCAGCCAGATAGGGTCTCAGGTTCTTGCCTTGGACCTTGATTTTTCTACCACCACATATTGTAGCTGGGATTACAGGAATGAACCATGACACTTGGCAGTTGAGATGAGGTCTTGCTAACCGTTTGCCTGGGCTGTCCTAAAACTGAGATCCTCCCCATCTCTGCCTGAGGAGTAGCTGAGGTGTCACCCAACTGCTTTGAAGGGTGCTCTTTCTTGCTGAGTCTTGGAAATCCCCTGGGTTGCCCCACCCCCCCAGCAACTTTCCAGAAGCCAGCCTTGACCTTTATTTCCCCTGCTCAGCCCCAGAGAGTTGGAAGCCACCCTGTACATCCCAGGGTAAATGGTTTCCCAGGAGCTCTGTCACTACACTTGTTTCCAAGTACAGCTTTTCTGACCACGGGTGGCTCATGTCTGTCACCCTAGCTACTTGGGAGGCTGAGATCAGGAGGATTGCAGTTCAAGGCCAGCCTGGGTAAATAGTTCTAGAGACCTCCATCTCCAAATAACCAGAGCAAAATTGACTGGAGGAGTGGTTCAAGTGGGTAGAGCACTTGCTTTGCAAGAGTGAAGCCCTGAGTTCAGACTCCAGCCCCACCAGAATAAAAAGGGGAAAAAAAGCAGAACTCTTTGTCCTCACACCTTCAAAAAAGTCTCTTTTTGTGCAATTATTTGTTCTGTTGAAGAGATAACTTGGAGGGGGGCGAATTCAAGTATGATATATTTGATTTATTGTAAGAACTTTTGTAAATGCCACAATGTACCTACCCCCAGCACAACAATAATAAAAAATAAAAACAATTTAAAAAAAAAAAAAGAGAGATAACTGAGCCAGGCTTGGTGATACACAACCACTATCCCAGAACACAGGAGACTGAGGCAGGAGGGTCATGAGTTTGATGCCAGCCTGGGCTACATACTAAGACCTTATGTCCAAAAAAAAAAAAATGGCTCCTCAGGAGGCAGAGATCAGAAGGATTGAGGTTCTAAGCCAGCCTGGGCAAATAGTTCTGTAGACCCTATCTTGAAAAACCCATTACATAAAAGGGCTGGCAGAGAGGCTCAAATGGTAGAGCACCTGCCTAGCAAGTATGAGACCCTGAGTTCAAACCCCAGTGCTGCCTGAAAAAGAAGTAAATAAAATACTTCATTACCAAGGGCTGTGAATTGGTTCAGTGGTAGAGCACTTGTTCAATCCACAGCCCCAAGAAAAATAAAGAGATCAAAGCTACTGTGAGACAGCCTTGGCTCCATAGTGAGAGAGACTGTCCCAAAAAGAGACGGGGGACTTGGAGAACACCTGCGAGGTACCAGGCATTATGAGTACAGGCCTGTGAGGCTTCATGGAAGAGCATGTGACACAGGAGCCACAAAGAGGAGACCAGACAGAGGACAGGGAAGTCCCCTCGAGGTGATGAGGCTGAGGCTAGCACCTAAGCTAGCACCTGGAACCACCAACCCAGGGCAGCCCATGTGGGCCCACGGGCCAGGGGAGACTCTGAGAGGAAGCGGTTCCTTTGGGCTCTGAGCATCTACGGACAGGCGGGATGAAGGGTTGATGCCGGGATGAAGAGGAGCTTGGGGTCTTGGGACTGCTTAGGGACCCCAAATAAGGTGCTATTTCTCTGGAAGTATTTTCTTCCTTTCTTTTTTGTGTGGTATGGGGATTTGAATTCATGGCTTTGAGCTCACAATAGAGCAGGTGCTCTACCACTTAAGCCAACCTGCAGTCCACTTTGCTCTGGTTATTTTGGAGATGGGGTCTTGAGAACTATTTGCCCGGGCTGGCCTTAAACCTCGATCTTCCCAATTTAAGCCTCCCAAGTAGCTGGGATTATAGGCGTGAGCCACCACACCCAATGGACCTCCTTGTATTTTTGACAGCAGAAAAGGCAGCATAGTGAAATGTCCCACACGTGGATAACACAGGGCGTTCCAGACTCGGCCCTAAACACAAGAGCAGCCAAGTGGGCATCTGAGCCCAGCCTGTGGGGCATGTGCTGGGCTCCCCTGCCCAATGTCAAGGTGTTTGTTGAGCAACTGCAGGGTAAGAGTGACACACACTCTCTGGTCCTCTCCCCAGCCCAGCCTGAGAACCATGCTGAAGCCCAGGAGGTCACGCTCAGCCTGGATCCTGTGCCCGTGGCCCGATGCGTCTCCACGGGGGGACGCCCACCTGCCCGAGTCACCTGGATCTCCACTCTGGATGGGGAGGCCAGAGAGCACCAGGAATCTGGGCCCCAGTCTGGCACTGTCACTGTCACCAGTCGCTATAGCTTGGTGCCTTCGGGCCGAACAGATGGCGTCAAGATCACCTGCAAAGTGGAGCATGAGAGCTTTGAGAAGCCCACCTTGCTGCCTGTGACGCTCTCCGTGCGCTGTGAGTGCTCCAGGAGTGACCCCGGCCCCAGTATTGCCTCTACTGGCCTCTCTGGACTGCCCACCTGCCCTGTGTCTACACTGGCTCCCACGGACAATATCTACACTGTGTCCCCTCTGTCCACACTGGCTTCTCCCAGTTGGTCACACAGCTTATTGCTTTGCTTTTGTGGCATTTTTTTTGTTTTTGTTTTGTTTTGGTGTTTTGCAGTACTGGAGTTTGAACTCAAGGCCTTGCCCTTCTGACCCACCCAGTGTGCCCTAGAAACTTGCAGCAGCTGCCCATAGTGACACCACTCTTTCCTTCCTTCTTTCCTGTGGTGCTGGAGTTTGAACTCAGGGCCTACACCTTGAGCCACTCCACCAGCCCTTTTTTGTGATGGGTTTTTGCTAGATGGAATCTTGCAAACTACTTGTCCGGGCTCTAATCCTCCTGATCTCTGCCTCCTGAGTAGCTGGATTACAGGCGTGAGTCACCAGTGCCTGGCTTGCTTTTTTTTTTCCTAATGGTATTGGGGATTGAACTCAGGGTCTTAGGCTTGCTAGACAAGCACTTTACCATTTGAACTGAGTCACTTCCCCAATCCCTGCGACATCCCTTAATGTACCCAGAGTCACCCCCCAGCCCTCTCCACACACATCCTGGCTCACGTGACCTGGGCCAGCTGGTCTACTCACTGTGCACTTTGGGCCCCAGGCAGTGTATATTAGCTGACACTGAGCCTGCAGGCCTGGTCTACACCCACTGCCTCAGGACACACTACCTGTAGACCAACATGTGAGCCTGTCCATACCAACTTCCTCCCAGTGTCTACACTGGCTGCCAGACACTGCTTTGACATCCTCCCTCCACATGGCCTACTCTGGGTGTGTCAAACAGAACATGTAGCTGGGTGCCAGTGGTGCACCCCTGTAATCCTGGCTACTTGGGAGGTTGAGATAGGGAGAATCACAGTTTAAGGTTAGTCCAGGCAAATAGTTCACGAGACCCCATCTCCAAAATAACCAGAGCAAAATGAACTGGAGGTGTGGCTCAAGCTGTAGAGTGCTTGCTTTGCAAGTGTGAAGCCCTGAGTTCAAACCCCAGTCCCACCAAAAAAAACCCAAAAAATATATGTACATGTATATAACATGTACACACACACGCTTTACCTGTAGTGGCGCCCTCAGCCAGGCCTGCCCCAAAGAACCGCCCTGCATTGTCCCCTGCATCTTTGCTGGACAGTGTCTACACTGGCCTCCAGATGCACAGCCAGGACTGACTTTGCTCCAGTCCGTTTCCGCTGGTGCACGTCTGTCTGCAGGAACCTTGTAGGATTCCTGTCTGGTCACCAACTTGTCCACTCCCTCTGTGGTGCTTCCCACGTCTGAGTCCAGTCCCCCATCTCCCCAGACCCTCCCGAGGTCTCCATCTCTGGCTATGATGACAACTGGTACCTCGGCCGCAGTGAGGCCACCCTGACCTGCAATGTCCGCAGCAACCCAGAGCCCACAGGCTACGACTGGAGCACGTGAGTCACATGACCCCAGTGTGGGTCTGAGGAAGAGGCTGGGGTCTTGTCCCCTGAGTCTGAGGGAGGAGGCTGGGGCCTGGACCTCTGGGTCTGAGGGGGGAGGGCTGGGGTCTGAACCCCTGGGTCCGAAGAAGGAGGGTCGGGGCCTGGACACCAGGGTCTGAGGGAGGAGCGCTGGCATTTGGCGTCTCCAGGGATAAGGCCAATGTCTGTGTTTGGCGCCTGAGCCTTGACCATCAGGACAGGCCTGTTCTTCCCTCTGGACCCTGCTGTGCCCCTCACCTGACCCCCACACCCCCAGGACTTCCGGCGTCTTCCCATCCTCCGCAGTGGTCCACGGCCGCCAGCTGCTCGTGCACTCAGTGGACCGACAGGTCAACACCACCTTCATCTGCACGGTCACCAACGCCGTGGGCACCGGCCACGCAGAGCAGGTCATCTTCATCCGAGGTAAGCAGGTCGTCTTCATCCTGAGGGCCGAATGTGGAGACCCTGGTTCTGCTCCTGACTGTTCCTCTCTTCAGGGTTCAGGGCTGTGTTGGGGTGGCCAGCACCCACCCTGAGAAGGGAGGGATCAGACCCGCCTTGCTGACCCCAGAGGAGCTCTCTTCAGCTTCTCCCTCTTGGCCCCACACTGGCACCTGGACCTGGGTTGACAGCGTAGGAACTGGCTGAGGATTTAGGAGGTCAAGGCCTGAGCTGGGGGCTCCTAAAAGCCAAGACCTAGAGAAAGATCCAGCTACTTGGGAGGCAGAAATTGAGGGGATCAGGTTTGAGGACAGCCTAGATGAAAAAGTTCCAGAGCCCCCATCCCAATGGGAAAAACCTGGGCAAGTCTTGCTCTCATCTGAGCAATGGCAGGAAGACTGAAACAGGATTGAGGTCCAGGCTGGCCTGGACAAAAAAGCAAGATCCAATCCCAAAATAACCAGAGCAAAAAGAGCTGGGGGCATGGCTCAAGTGGTAGCACAGCTGCCTAGCAAGCTTGAAGCCCTGAGTTCAAACCCTGGTACCTCCAAAAACAGAAAAACAAAAACAAAGGGACCAAGAGATAGAAACCCACACCTCCTGATGCCCCACTCAGAAACAGAGGCCCCAGGATGGGTAACCAGAGAGAAGCAGGAACCAGTTCTGGACCCCATTATGGAACAAGGTCAAATGTCACCTGCAGTGCCTGGGAGGAAGCTCAGAGGGGACAATTTGCCTGGCATGCATGCGCCCAACCCTGCTCCATCCCAGCACCACCAAAAAATTAAAAGAAAAAGAAGTCAGCATTGTAGAGCCAGCCTGGAGGGTGGCAGGACTGTCACAGCACCACGTTCCTGAAGTCCCCGACATACAGACCCCCCAGTCCAGATTCTCAGTTGACAGATGATCCCTGGCAAATAATGACAGAGGTCTCCTCTTGGCCAGGTGTTCTTTGATGGTGGGGATACAGTGCTGAATGCAAGGTGCAGCGATGGCCCTCGGGTGCACCCCGAGGAGCCTAGCCACATCCACCCAGCCACACACCAAGCTGAAAATACACCCTGACTTCCACCAGACATGTGGAGAAGCCCATGTCCCCACCTACTGTCACTTGAGAGCCTCTGCACAGTGTGGAAATCCCAGAACACAGGCATAGTCTTTCTGCCTTTTTAATGTTTTTCTTTTCACTTTATTTAAAATGGCCCCAGCCCTTTTGCCTTTAGTTTGTTTTCCAGCTAGGGTCTTGCATTTTTGCCCAGGCTGACCTCAGATTTGGATTCTCCTACTTTCATCCCAAATGGCTGGGATTATAGGCACACCACCATGCTTGGTTTGATTTTTTGGGGGGACGAGGGTACTGGGGTTTGAATTCAGGACCTCATGCTTGCTAGGCTGGCGCTCTACCACTCAATCCATTCTACCAGCCCTTTTTTTTGTGATGGGTTTTTTTGAGCTAGGGTCTCATGAACTATTTGCCTGGCTTCAAACCACAATCCTCCTGATCTCTGCCTCCCTAGTAGCTGAGATTACAGGTGTGAGCCACTGGTGCCTGGCTTTGGTTTGTTTCTAAGATAAAATCTTTCTAGCTTTTGCCCAGGCTGGCCTTGAACCGAGATCCTTCTATCTCTCTCTCTCTCCTGAGTAGCCTTTTTTTTTTTTTTTGGACACCAGGTCTTGTTGTGTAGCCCAATCTGGCTTTCAACTCTCAGTCCTCCTGCTTCCACCTCCCCAGTGCTGGGATTACAGGTGTGAACCACCATGCCCCGCTTAGGCTCAGCCTCACTTATTTGGATGCCCTCAAAAACACAATGTCCACATGAAGAGAAACCACCAGAAGCACACCCACAGAGAAAGACACCCTGAACCCCCACAGACCTACCGTGTGACCTTATCACAAAGACACTCACCCAAAAGTGGACCCCGGCCGAAACAGGGACACACTCAGCACCCTAGAAATGCAGTCCAGGTAGTGAGAGCACAGACAGACAGACACCCACCCACACCAGGAAAACACTCCCAGCTTTGCTTGAGTTGCTCTCCGGGGGGCTCCATGGCGCAAATTCCTCCAGGCACACGTAAACTCAGATCAGATGCTGTCACAAATGACGTAACTTTGGGTGCACACCAGCACAAACATGGGTGTACGTGCTGTACCACGGGACAGACATCTTCAGAGAGCCTAAGAGCTTTTTTTTTTTTTTTTTTTTTTGGGTGGGACTGGGGTTTGAACTCAGGGCTTCACACTTGCAAAGCAGGCACTCTGCCACTTAAGCCACCCCTCCAGTCCTGAGCCTCAGAGCTTTTTACACACAGACACAGGGACAGACTCAGCCCCGAGCTCCAAAGCCCTTCACTAGAGGCATATTGCACTTTTCCCATGGCCACCTTGGACTTTGATCGTCCTACCTCCACCTCCCAATTAGCTGAGACTACAGACATGTACCACCACACCTGGCTCCTTTGTGAGATAGGGTCTCTCAGTGAGAAACCCGTTTCACACCCCCACCCAGTGCCTGGGTACTGACAGATTGACAGTCATCCTCAGTTATCCTGAAGAATTGGGCCCCAAGGATGCTCAACTGCTTATGTGAAATGGTGTAGTGTTTGCATAGAACCTGGGCACAGCCTCATAGACTTGAAATCACCTCTAGGTTAGTTACAATCATGAGCACAGTGTAAACGGTATGTGAGTAGATGTCATACTGTGTTGTTTAGGGACAGAATGTCTGTACTTGTTCAGTACAGACATTTTTTGGGGGTGTGGGACTGGGGCTGGTGTATTATTGATTGATCTGTGGTTGGTTGAATCTGCCAGTGTGGAGCTGAAGGATGTGAAAAGCTGCAAGTAATTAAGCTGATTTGATGGTTTGTTGGGCTGTGACCCCCATCTGAAGACTCCATTGTAGGGCTGGGGGCATGGCCTAGCATTCAGAGGCCCTGGGTTGCATCCCAAGTAAAGCTAAAAAATAGTTGAAAACACCAAAAGAAATGAGCTGGAGCCCAGCACCGGAGGCTAAAGCCTATAATCCTAGCTACTCAGGAGGCAGAGATCAGGAGGATCGAGGTTCAAAACCAGCCCAGGCAAATAGTTCTCAAGATCCTAACTTGAAAAAAACCATCACAAAAAAAGGGCTGGTGGAGTGGCTCAAAGTGTAGGCCCTGAGTTCAAACCCCAGTACCACAAAAAAAAAAAAAAAAAAAAGGGAAGTGAGCTGGAGTCGTGATCTGCAGTACCAGCTACTCTTTTTGAGATGCTGAGGTGGGAGGATCATTTGGGCAACATAGCGAGACCCCATCTCAAAAAATAAGAATAGGGCTGGCAGAGTGGCTCAAGTGGTAGAGCTCCTGCCTAGCAAGTGTGAGGCCCTGAGTTCAAACTCCATGCCACAAAAACAAAAACAGCTGGGAATGCCTGTAATCCCAGCATTCTGGAGGCAAGAGTATTGGGAGTTCGAGGCCAGGCTGGGCTGCATGGTGAGATGCTATCTCAAGAAATACCAGAAACTGCCTATGTGTGGGGTGGGGAAGCAGATGTAAGTGCAGCCCCCCCCACACACTTCTTTTTCATGGTCAGGCCTGGCATGTGGAGGTTAGGGGACTGCATATGTGAGATTCTGGTCGCATAAAAGTCTGTCCCTGGTTTGGGGTCCCAACGCCCTCTCCTTGGTCTCATACCTTTCTCCTTTTTTATCTTTTTTTTGGGGGGGGCATCACTGGGTTTTGAACTCAGGACCTCATGCTTGTGTAGACAGATGCTCTACCACTTGAGCCACTCTGCCAGCCCACCTACCTTTCTCCTTAACACTGCTTGCTTCCTCTCTCTGCCTCACTGTCACTCCCCACCCCACCCCCACCTATTCAGCATTAAGGAAGTCAGGTCTGTGTCCTGCAAGAGTGCCACCAAGCCAAGTACTCCCGACCGCTGCAGGGCGAGGGCCTCTCAGTGCGCCCTCACCCATCTCCAAGGGAAAGGTCTTTGCAATCAGACAGCTTCACGTTCAAATCCCACTGGCACCCCGACTTGGGGCTTTTGTGAGGAGCTCAATTTTCTTTTGCGGTGCTGTGGATAAACCCAGGGGCTGTACCACTTGAGCCACACCCCAGCTCTTTTGTCTTAAACTTAATTTCAGGCAGGGTCTTGCTAGCTTTGCCTAGGTTGGCCTTGAACTCTCAATTTTCCTATCTGCTGGTATTACAGGCATGCCCCACTACACCTGGCACAAGTTAACTTTGAAAGTCACTGTATAGGTATAGATTGTACACCTGGGGGTCACCAGTTGGCAGCCCCTCCTCATACAAAGGGCCCAGCCTGAAGTGGGGGTAATCGTGCATGCTTCCTCCTCCCCCTTCCACCTCCATTTTTCTACCAGTTGGTCACCTCCCTAACTCCAGTCACTAACCCCTGCATCCTGGATCTCCCCTTGCCCGCACCCTTAGATGTGTCCTCTTGACGTCTCTCTGTCTCTCTCTGTCTCTCTGTCTCTCCTCAGACACCCCCCAGGCCTCCTCCCGAGACGTGGGTCCACTGGTGTGGGGGGCGGTGGGGGGAACATTGCTGGTGTTGCTTCTCCTTGCTGGGGGGGCCTTGGCCTTCATCCTGCTGAGGGCGAGGAAGAGAAGGAAGAGCCCTGGAGGAGGAACAGGAGGAGGTGCAGGTGGCCGCGACAGGGGATCCTTTGATCCAAAGACTCAGGTGTTTGAAAACGGGGCTCCTGTCTTCTGGACGCCAGCTGCCTCTGATCCCATGAGGCCAGAGGGCAGGGATGAGGAGGAAGACGAGGAAGAGAAGGCAGAGGAAGGCCTCATGTTGCCTCCATCAGTGACACTCAAGGACGACATGGAGTCCCACCTGGATGGCTCCCTCATCTCTCGGAGGGCGGTTTACGTGTGACCCCAAAGACATACAGGACAGACAGAAGCTCCCCGCCCTGCCCCCGGCCAGCCAAGCCAGCCTTGGGTTCCGTAGACTGGTTGGACCGGTTTGCCTGGCCCACTGGGAGTTAGAAGCTACCTCCTGCCTTCTGGATGGACGGAGGTGGAGTCACACCAGGCAGTCACACCATTCCTCCAGGGACACATGGGGAAGGGGGACCCCAGGAGCTCCATGGCAGGACCCCAAGAGGACCCCTCAGAGACATGGTTTCAGCCCCAGCCTGCCCTTGGCCCTGTGACACTCAGGAGTTAATAAATGCCTTTGAGGAAACCTTGGGGGTGTCCTGTAGTACATCAGACCCCCGCTTTGGGTCCTGGAGAAGAGCGTGTGGGGCTTGGGATAGGTACTGCCCAGTCCCCAAGGTTGAGAAGAATGAATGGGGTCCCCGGGGCAGCCTGGAGGAGCTCAAACTGGCTGTCAGGGACCTTGAGGCTAGTCAGACATGGAACTGGGTTGCTGACTTTGGGGCTCAGAGGCTGGGGCACTTGGGCCCCTGGGTCACAGGACAGGTGGGGTGGCCAGACTGGCTTGGAGGCTCCATGGGAGAGGAAGGCTGGGTACCTGAGCTCTGGGTCCTCCAATGGAAGTGGCAGGCCACGAGGGCTGGAGGCTTGGGACTGTGACCCCCCCCACTCAGGGAACAAGAGCTGCTCTTCCCGCCCCCCTGTTGTTGCGGTGTGAAAGGGGATAGTCACATCTTGATATGGCCCTTCCCAGCCTCTTTCCTCCATCCTCAAAGCAGGGCTGGGGCTGACGGGGTGCTCAGTGATTCTGGGAGTCATCCCTTCCTGCCCCCCCCACTAGAAAACCAAGGACCAGAGGGTCCAGGAGCTCCCAGCCGTTTGGGGAGAGGAAAAGGTGGTGCTAACCCCTCATCTCTGTGGCTTCCCAGAGCATGGGGGCTGGGGCTGGGACTGGCCTCATAGAGCGGCCAGGGAACCCTGTAAGGATGTGCTGGTGACACCCTTGGTGTGGGCAGAGCAGCCAGGAGGGCGGGACACCTGCATCTTTAACCAGCATCAACCTCCACGGACTCTGCTGTCACCTTGGGGACACTGATGACGCGGACTGACCTAGTCCTGCCCCCACACGGTGGTTGATGATGGCAGGAAGAGCTGTATGTTTAGAGTGACAGGTGGGGACTGAGCACCAGCACTGTTTCCCCCACACTGAAGACAGCACCCTCTGGGTAGGTTCAGCTCCACATCTACATAGCCAGCTTGATGTCAGGGGCTCTCCACCCTTGTCACTAACACGGGGTGTTCATTGCCTGCTCACCCTGGCAGTGGGAGGGCAGCATGGGGAGTTTGTCCATCTGCACAGAGTTGGTCCCTCAGTGGCCATTTACGCCTTCCTTAGACATCTAGCATACATGCGGTGTGCCGGATCTGGTGGCGAAAATGGCAAGTAATTAGGTAATTACTTCAGTAACTACTCCATTGGGGGAAGCAGAAATGGGGCAGGGGCGTGGCTTAAGTGATAGAGCACTGCCTAGCAAGCTCAAGGCCCTGAGTTCAAATCCCAGTACCACCAGGGAGAGGGAGAGTGGCAAGCAGACATGAGATGTGGCACTTAGTAGATGTTAAAAAGAAGAGGCCCTGGGGGGGCATGAACTCCCAGCCCCTCTTAGTCTGGAGGAGACCCCATTCCCTACAATAAATGAGGGGCTCTGTTGCTGATACCTGACTCTTCCAATTTTCTACCTTTAACTGACCCTCCAGCTCGTTCATTCCTTCACCTCCCTCTTGACTCTGGCCCAACCCCTGGTGTCTTTGCTGTTCCTTCAAAGCACTTTGACATAGCTGAATGAGGTGGCTCACACCTGTAATCCCCGCTACTCGGGGCGGGGTGGGGAGACTGGGAGGATGGAAGATCAAGGCCAGCCCAGGCAAAACGTTATCAAGACCCCATCTTGATAAGCTGGGCGAGTTGGTGCACTCCTGTTATACCAGGTAGGTAGGAGGCACACTCCAAGCAAAAACTCCGGATATTTCTGAGAAATAACTAAAGCATAAAAGAGCTGGAGGAGTGGTTCAAGTGGTGGAGCACCTGCCTAGCAAGTGTGAGGTACTGAGTTCATACCCCAGTGCTGCCAAAAAGCAAACAAAGAAACACCACAAGGACCTTTGCACTGGCTGTTCACACTGCCTGTGGTGAGCTGATAGTCTCATGATTCTCCGTGCCTCTGCTGCAAGCCTTGTCACACTATATCACCTTCTGACCGTCTTCCTTACTCTCATCTTCCTCTTCCTCCTCCTCCCCTTCTTCCCCCTCACCCACCCTTCTTCCCCCTTCTCCTACATCATCCAGGGCTTCATTTTTTCTCTTGGTGCTGGAGATGGAGACTCCAGGGCCTTGCACATGCTAGACAAGTACTCCACCACTGAGGGTCTCCCCAGCCTGGCCTCAAACTCATGATCCTCTAGCCTTGTCCTCTCGAGTGCTGGGATTACAGACACTCGCCACCACACTCGCCCCTCTGTATTTTAGTGCTCTATCTCTGATTCCTGTCTGACGTGTGAGATGCCACATGTTCCTCTGCTGTTGGCCCCCCACCCCATGAGGGGGAAGCCTTGGCATGTTTGTTTCAGTGTCACCCAAGCTCTGCACCCAACAAATGTTCCTTACTCATGCTCAGTGGGGACTGGTTGAATGGAACAATGTCCCCTGCCCGTGGGTAGACAGGCGAGGATGACATGGGGGCGGTGGGGCTGGGTATGAAGATCGATGGCTTCCTTCTGCAGACCCTCACCCTATCTTCTCCTTGCAGAGACGCCCAACACAGCAGGCGCAGGGGCCACGGGGGGCATCATCGGGGGCATCATTGCTGCCATCATTGCCACCGCTGTGGCCGTCACTGGCATCCTCATCTGCCGGCAGCAGCAGAAGGAGCAGAGGCTGCAGGGGGCTGAGGAGGAAGAAGAGTGAGTGACAGGGCTTGAGAAGGGGCTGGGAGAGGGGTGGGAGAAAGTCACCTGTGATGGCTGTGTGACACAGAAGAGACCCCACAAAGCTGGAGATTAAATTGGGTGCCAAGGAAAGTTTTTCCAGTGTCCCATAAAGTATGGGTGTGACAGCTCTGCTCTGAGAAGTCATCAGAGCCCAGGCTCCCGCCATCTTGTTACTCCCTAGAGTGTGGCCTTTATTCATTTTCCAAGATGGAAGGTCTAGTGCATAACCAGACGAGACCATTCCAACCACACCTACATTCCCACCAGTGGAAAGGGGAAAAGAAAATAGAGGGCAGGTGACTACACTAAAAGAACAGCTAAGTTACCCATTTATTTCTTTCTGACTTCCCATTGGCCAGAACAGAGTCACGTGGGTTTTCTCAGCTGCAAGGGAAGCTGGGAAATGTAGTTTCTATTCTGAATGGCCACGTACCCAGTTAAAATCTTCATTACTATGGGAAAGAGGGAGAGTGGACATTGAGGGAAGCTCTCTCTGTAGAGCACTTACATGCCAGACTTGGTGAGGTGTGCTTTTTTATTTTATTTAGTTTTTTTAGTAGTACTGGGGTTTGAACTCAGGGCCTCACACTTGCTAGGCAGGTGCTCCACCACTGGAGCCACTCCTCCAGCCCAAGGTGAGGTCCATTTTATATGAGTGACTTAAGTGCAGCTTCATGTCCATTCATTGATTCAACAAGTAAAAACTTATACATAGAGATATATTTTTATAATGTCACATTTCTTTTTATTAAAAATGAATTTTTTTTTGAGGGACTAGGGTTTGAACTCAGGGCTTTGTGTTTGCAATGCAGGCACGCTACTGCTAGACTCACACCTGCAGTCCAGCTTACTCGTGAGATGGGGTCTCACAAATTATTTGATGGGCGGGCCTTGAACCAAAATCCTCCCAATCTCAGCCTCCCAAGCAGCTAGGATTAGAGGCGTGAGCCACTGGGTACCCTACAGTAATGCCTTTTAAATTATACCTACCTTGCACCTTTTTTGAAAAAGTACTCACATCGGCAGGGGGTACAGCTCAGTGTCACAGTTCTTGCCTAACTTGTGGTGGTCCTGGATTCCCCAGCACACCTCACCAAAGAACGTCTAATGTCATAGCAAGTTCTGCGAGGGAGCTGATGGTGCCCGTTTATGGAAGAGGAGTTTCTGTGACCAAATGTTTCTCAAGGAAAACCTTCTGGTGGTGGGATGACATTTGTTCAAAATGCACATCCAGTGGGACATTTCTGTATTCCCAGCACTTGGGAGGTGAAAGCAGGGTCATGAATTGGAGACCAGGCAGGACGTTATTAACACCTTCTCTCAAAACAACAACAAACAGGGCTGGAGGCGGCTGGATGCAGGTGACTCACGCCTGTAATCCTAGCTACTCAGGAGGCAGCCATCAGGAGGATCAAGGTTCAAAGCCAGCCAAAAAAAACCCACAAAGGCCAGAGGTGTAGCTTACGCAGCAGAGCGGCTGCCTAGCAAGTGCAAAGGCCTGATTTCACACTCTAGTACCCAGTTCATATTTTATACAAACAAATATTTACATATGTTTTTCTCCATAGTGAATTCTGGGGATATTATGTTGATGACACAGGTGTCATTCTTTTCCTCACATAGGTCACAGCAGGGTAATTGAACAATATAGTGTTTCTAATACATATACCAAGTGCCCTGGGGCTTCCTGCTAGATGTGACCAGGAGGTCCTAATTCACTGAGACAATCAACAGGCTTTCTGGAGGATGCAGAAATCCGAGATGAGTAGGAGTTGGCCAGGCAAGGGGGCGGGGCTAGCAGAGAGATCCAGGCTGCAGATGCAAAGGTACTGCAACACTGGGAGGAGGCATTCTGAGAGCTATCATTTGACCTGCCTCCTATCCCACAGCCTGGAAGCACCACCTTCCTACAAGCCACCTGTCCCAAAGGCTAAGTTGGAGGAGCCAGAGATGGTGAGTGCTTCTCTTGGAGCCCAGGCTATCCCTGCTCCATACCCGCCATTCCCCACTGGGAACCACCTGGGAGGGGGCTGGCAGAGAGAGACCGCTATTGGTTGGGGGGGGGGGGTCCTGACCTGCCCTCCCACTCCTGCCACAGCCCTCCCAGCTCTTCACTCTGGGGGCCTCGGAACACAGCCCGCTCAAGACCCCCTACTTTGATGCTGGTGTCTCATGCACTGAGCAGGTAGGATCTCAGGGGAAGACAAGGGAGGGTCTAGGGTCTGGATTTAAGACTAGGGTCAGACCTCGTCTGTAGTTTGAGCTTGGAACATTGAGCTGTGTTAAGGATTTGGTGCAGGGGAGGTCAGAGGTAAATCTAAAGACCCAAGGTTAAGTGTAAAGCTACTACAGTTGCCCCAGTATTGTTCCTAGAGCTGGATGTGACAGTAGAGTCACTCCCCTCCGTGGTCTCCTGGAGGTTGTTTGGGGCTCAAGGTTAAATGATTGAAGTCAAAAGTTCATGGGTAAAGAAAGACTTGGGGTCAGGGGTCAAGGGACAAAGGTGAGGCCCAGGATTGACTGTGTAAGGTTCAGCCTCATGGATGGGCTGTGTGATTGTCCCAGTGCTGTATCAACTCTGGGAAGTAGGGGTGACAGGAGTGATGGTGGGTCTGACTGGCCTGGGGAGAGGGTGGTCAGGATTTGGGGGTCTGTTGTGCTCAGGAGATAACCTTGACTTCCTGCCCCCTCTCCACCTCTAGGAAATGCCTCGATACCACGAGTTGCCCACCTTGGAAGAGCGGTCAGGACATCTGCTGCTGGGAGCCACAAGCCTGGGGCCTCCGATCCTGGTGCCTCCAGGGCCACCTGCTGTGGAAGGGGTTTCCCTGGATCTAGAGAGCGAGGACGAGGAAGAGGGGGAGGAGGATGAAGACTATCTGGACAAGATCAACCCCATCTACGATGCCCTGTCCTACCCCAGCCCCTCCGACTCCTACCAGGGCAAAGGCTTTATCGTGTCACGAGCCATGTATGTGTGAGCTGTGTGGCTTAGCCTCAAATTTCTCACTCTTGACCCCTGAGCTTTCTGCCAGGGATCCAGTGGCCCCTGACCCTGGCCAAGCCACGGGCAGTTAACACATATGCATCCCATCTGTCACTTCTACCTTAATGGCTCCACTGTGACCTCTAACCTATGATCTGTGACCCAGAGAAACCTGCCTGGGACAATGGAAACTTGCTGATGTTATCACATGAGGCAGGAGTCCCCAAGGACTCCTAAGACTGTGACCCTTAGATCACACCACTCACTTCCCAGCCACGTCTCAACTCCCCCCAAATCCCAGAGCAGACTCCAGACCTCTAATTTGTCATCAGTTGGTCCCATGGGTCTAGAGTGGGTTTTGGGGGTACAGCTCCCTGCTGCTCAGACCTGAGCCCTCCAGGCAGCAGAGCTCCACCCCCTCCTCCCCAAAGGTGGGAAGGAGGGGATTCCCTAGCCCAGGGAGAGCCTTCCCAGCCCCTCCTGCAGGCAGGCGTCTCAGGGTCCAAACCCTTCCCTGAGCCCTTGCACCACGACTGCAGTCTACAGAACCTGAAGCCGCCCCACGGTGCCAGAGGGGTGAGCCTTGAACAGACGGGGCCTTGACAGCCCCGGCCTTGGAAGAAGAATTTGCCGTTATCTTGAAGACTACTGAAGCCTTTTACCCCTGCCCCAAGAGGGGGTGAGGGTCACTTGGTTGGGGAGAGGGACAGGATACTGTTTTGTAAGCTACCATTTCCTATGAAATATGACTTTATACTTTAACCAGCTTTTGCGATTTCTGTGGGTCGTGAAGGGGATGGGGGACGACATGATGGGAACGGATAAAGACTCCTGAGCTAGAAGTCAGGATGGGTTACAAAAACAAAAGATAACCCCCCAAAAATAATTTAGTGATAGGGTAATATGCAAAGATGCATCAACCAAAACACAAAATGTGTCCAGGGCATGCAGTAGAAGGAAAAGGAATCAGGGCCACCGCAGTCTAATGGGAAAAGGACAGAAAAAGAAATAATAACTAGGTCAAAGGGGCTCAGATTTAATGGATAACTGGCATGAATAGGCTAAAGAGAAATTACGCGTAGTATTTTAATAGGAGCCCGAGGCATGATGGGTAATATGTCTGAATGAATGGGCCAGAAGCAAAGTGATGAATAATGAAACAAAAGGGCCGCGGGCATGATGGGTAGTGGGCAGGAGTTAATGGACACAAAATATGATGGTTAACTGGGAAAGGCCGGAGGAATGATGAAGGTGAGCAGGAAGAAATGGGCTAAAAGGAGCTCAAGGTAATGAGGCTGAAATGAATGGAACGAGTGCATGCTGGGTAATGGGACAGGAATGAATGGGCTAAAGACAGAAGCCGCAGTGACGCGAAGCGCAGAAGGCATGATGGGTAACGAAAGGGGTGGGTCTAAGGTAACTGGCGTTTAGAGCAAGCAGGGGCATTGTGGGTAACCCAGAAGCAGACATGGTTCACAGAACAGGTTGGAAGGATCCCGAAGCACTGTGGGAAGGGTCAGCACTTCCGGTTTTCTAGCGACTGAGGCCACAGAGAGGGTGGTCCCCTGCCGCGGTGCCTGGTGGGACACGAGGCCTGACCTTGCTGCCTAGCAGCATCTGCCGCGCAACCTACCTTTAACTGTGTCCTTCGACCCTGGCACGTTAGCCAATGAGATAACCAAGCTGATACGTCACCGGTATTGCCCCAGAGCCAATCAGGATGCGTCAAGAGCCAACGCTGACCAATTATAACGGCGTTCGCCATTGGGAGGAGTCGGGAGGGGCAGGGGTTGCTTCAGGAGAGGGGCGGGGCGATGCGTCAATAGGCGTTACAAAGTGCGTGGCACAGACCAATGGCGTGCTAGCATCAGACCCGCGTCGTCACGAGCCAATAGGCGCGGGCGCCGTAAGCCAATGGGAAGGGTAAGAAGTTGGGCTGGCCCTCTTGGGCGTGGAAACCAATAAAAAAAGGACATTGGAGTGGTATGGGTGGGATTTCCATCCAAGACTCCAGTAGAAAGTCCAAGCCGTGAGGGCGGTGGGTGGACCTCAGAGCACACTGAACCAATGGGCTAGGCGGGGCGGAGCAACGGTGGCGGCGGCGGCAGCAGCGGGTTCGGTTGCGCGTGGCGCACGGGGTGGGAGCGGAGCCCAGGCCGGGAGCAGGCGCCGCCGCCAGTGAGAACCGGGATCCTGAGCAGGGTAGGGTTGGCTGAGGTTGAGCCCAGGGTGTGCGGGCCCTGACCTCCGCCCTCTGACCTCTCCTCTTGCAGGCGACCATGGGGAACGTGTTGGCCGCTAGCTCGCCACCCGCAGGGCCGCCGCCTCCTGCGCCGTCCCTCGTGGGGCTACCGCCGCCACCGCCTTCGCCTCCGGGCTTTACGCTGCCGCCTCTCGGAGGCGGGTTGGGCGCGGGGGCCAGCGCGGGTCGAGGTTCAGAACGGACTCCTGGGGCTGCAGCCGGCAGCGCCGCAGGGGCCGCGGACGATGGGGCCTGCGGCTGCCTTCCCAACCCCGGCACGTTCGAGGAGTGCCACCGGAAGTGCAAGGGTGAGGGGCGAGGGGCCGGGCGGGGGCTGCGAGGGCCCCGATCTCGAGGCGCCGGGGAGGACTTGGGGGACCCTGGGAATTGGCGCGCACCATTGGAGTCATCAGGCGGGGAGTTGGGAGTTGACGTTGGGGTCGAATGGTGGAAGGCTGGGCGTGGGCTTCAGAGTTACGGAATCTGATGGGGGGCAGCTCTGGAGCCTCGGGACAGACCCCCCAGTGCGATCGCCAAGGGAACTGAGGCCCAAGGTCACGGTGTCAGCCAGACTGCCATGAGAGGTGGAACCCCAGACTTCTGGATCCTGTTTTGGAGTGTTTGACATGGTGGTGGAAGCTGGTTAAGCCCCGTCCTAATAATCATTGGGGATAATCCCGCGCAGTTAGGGTCTCCCATCTTACAGATGGTAAGTGTGAGATTGTGATAAAAAGTGACTTGCCTAAAGTCACACAGGCACTAGATTCAGGATACAGGCCAAGGCTCTGGCGCCATCCACTAGGCGGTACTGCCTCTGCTAGTTGGGATGGTTTGTGAGATGCTCCGCTGTGGATCTCTAGAGAGAGTCGGGCGTTAGGGAAGGAAGAGGGGAGGATGGGGGAACTGTAGGTGGGGCGTGACAGCATCTCTCTTCTCCAGAGCTGTTTCCCATTCAGATGGAGGGCGTCAAACTTACAGTCAACAAAGGGTTGAGTAACCGTTTCCAGGTGAGTCTTCCTGGTGCCTTTTGCCTGCAGAGGTCATTGCAGTGTCTCCTACATTCCACATGTGACCCCCTCACTGGCCTGAAGGGCTGGCTTCCTTGCACTCAGTTATAGCCAGATGCTGTGGTGCACACCTGTGATCCCAGCCCTTGGGAGGCTGGGTCATACAGTGAGACACTGAAAAAAAAAAGAAGTCTCAGAGATACAATGTCAGGCTCACTGAATGAGGCTAGTGATGGGGTTTGGGAACCCAGAATCCAGAAATACCCCTCACCCAATAATACCCAGGCAGGAGTGAAGTACTGGGTGTGGGGGTCTTTTCTGACCAGTGGTCTCTAATCCAATCAAGCTGCATTTTTTTTTTCTTTCCCCTGTGGGGATTGAACTCAGGGCCTCACTTGGAGTAGGCATGCATTCTAGCATTAGGCCACCCCCACCTGCCACCACCCAGTCTTCATGCCCTGCCCTGCCCAGCCCAGAGATTCTGTCTTCATCCTCCCCAGTGGCAAGGTCGGGCTGGCAAGTACCCCACGATCCTCACTCTTCTCCCAGGTGAACCACACGGTAGCCCTCAGCACAATTGGGGAGTCCAACTACCACTTCGGGGTCACCTACGTGGGTACAAAGCAGCTGAGTCCCACTGAGGTGAGGTCACTAATTCATCGTATCTTTCTTGGAACAAATGTTGCCAAAGGCCTGGTTGGGGGTGGGCAGTCAGGCCCAGAGGCTGGGGGTGTGGGAGCTGGGCCTGGTCCCCAGGGTGTGCTGGAACATAGGTAATGCCTGCCTCTGCCCCTCCCTGGTCCTGTGCTGTGTGATGCGGGGGAGGCCAGGTGGGCAGACTGATGCCAGGCTAGGTGCAGGGACTTTCCCTAGGGGGCGCTGGAGCGCCACGGGACGAGTTGAGCTGTGGTTGTCAAATTGACATTTTCCATGCATCCCTGCGACTGCGGTGGGGAGACTAAATATTGGGGTGCAGAAGGGTGGATTGAGGCCTGGGCAGGAGAGGCTGAACTGAATGGGGTCCCTGCTTTTATACTACATGTTTTCTTGCAATAAATTCTTGTATTCAACAAACCTATCCCCTGCAGTCCCAGCACTGAGCAGGAGGGGGAGACTGAGGCAGGAGGATTGCCAGTTTGAAGCCAGCTTGTGCTGCATAGCTAGACCCTGTCTTAAAAGAAAATATGTCATTGTACATATTTGCCTAGCTGGAATAGCAGTTTGGTAGGGCAGGAGAGAGACCTGTTCACAGAGTACCAATCCAGAGGGGACAGGGCTGGAAGGGGGAACCCAGAAACTGTGGGAAGGCCAAAGAGGACAGGACCCCCGGCTCAGCCTAAGTGCTGTGGGAGGGGACCCTAATCTGAGGCTCCAACTCTGAGTTTATTGCTTGGGCCTCATGCTCATGGATGTCCATGGTGGTGACCTCTGACCTGTAACCTGCTCTCTGCTCCCCAGGCATTCCCCGTGCTAGTGGGTGACATGGACAACAGTGGTAGCCTTAATGCTCAGGTCATCCACCAGCTGAGCCCAGGCCTCAGGTCCAAGATGGCCATTCAGGTGAGTGGAGTGGGCGTGGACAGGGGCTCCCCTTCCACACTGGCTGCCTTACCACACCCCTCCTCCCACACAGACCCAGCAGTCGAAGTTTGTGAACTGGCAAGTGGACGGGGAGTACCGGGGGTCTGACTTCACGGCTGCTGTCACCCTAGGGAACCCAGATGTCCTAGTGGGTTCAGGTAAGCAATGGGGGCTTGGACAGTGCACACAGAATCCCCATTGCAGCCTCACCAGCAAATCCATCTGTGTCTCTGGACCTCTTTTCCTGCCTCTGTGAAGTGGTCAGTGTAGAAGTGACTTCCAAACAGGAGGCATGTCAGAGCCCCGGCCAGTGCTGTCTGAATGTGACCTATAGTGTGGACCCAGCTGTTGACAGGGCCACCAAGTATGTCAGACAGGTTCAGGCATGGGAAGGCTGAGAGTCACGTCGGTCACATACTGCGTACCACGCACTGTGGCTGCTCTCAGTGTTAATCCTCGTGGAGTCTGTAGCTTGTTCCAGAACACGGAGAGGGTCACAGGGCGGCCAGAGGCCGTGAGCAGTTGTGGGGAGGAAGATGAAGGCCTGGCTGGAGAGGATTCCTGTTTGGGTTGGAGGTGGAACGTCTGGCTTCTGTCTGTACTTCTAGTTGGTCCCTTTCAGTTCCCTCTTTTTCCCTTTTTGGCTTCTGGGTGTCTGCCTACATTCATTTCATCTTTTTTGTTTGGTTAGTTTTGAGACAGGGTTTCATTACGTAGTCCAGGCTGGCCTAAAACTCCTGATCTTTCTGCCTCAGCCTCCCTACTGCTGGGATTACAGGAGTGTACCACCATACCCAGCTCAAAGCATATTTATTGAGCATCTCCTATACAGTGTGTACCCGAGGCACTAACGCTAAGGTGGTAAACAGAAGTAAGTCTTCCCTCTGGGAGCATCCGTTCCAGCCGGGCAGACCAAGTGGAACAGTACAGGGAGATGGCAGATGAGGGATGGGGGTGCGGCTCAGGGGAAGATCACTTGTCTGGTGTGTGTCAAAGCCCTGGGTCCATGCCCAGCACCTGAGGGAGGAGGGGTCCTCAGATAAGGCTTCATTCTGTAGGTGACGCTTGAACCAAGACTGAAAGTCAGGCAGATAACCTGGAAAGAGAGCTTCTCAGTCTGAGGGAAGTGCAAGTGCAAAGGCCCTGAGGCAGGACCTTTAAAGGAACCAAAGAATAGGAGCTGGATTACAGGCAACATAGAACTTTGACCTTCTGGGTGTGTTGGCTCACCAGAGAGTTTTGAGCAGACAAGTCACAAGATCTGGTGTAGCTTCTGATGGCACCCTTGTGCTCAAGGGTCGAGAACACCCTGTAGGGGTATTTCTGCTGGAGGGGACAAGATGCAGGTGAGTTCTGGATGAAGCTGGAAGAGGGGTTTGCTGCCATGCAGATGGGGGTGGTAAGAGAAAGACTTGAGCCTGGTGCTGGTGGCTTATGCCTGTAATCCTAACTACTTGGTTGACAGAGATCAGGAGGATTGCCGTTCAAAGCCAATCTGGGCAAACAATTCTTGGGACCCTATTTGAAAATACCCAACACAAAACAGTTGGCAGAGTGGCTCAAGTGGTAGAGTACCTGCTTAGTAAGCATAAAACCCAGAGTTCAAACCCAGTATTATCAAAAGAGCAAAAAAAAGGAAGAGCTGGATGGCACCTTTGTTCCAGACTTGAACAGCTGGGAGGACGGAAGCATTGGGATCTCTCTGCTGCTACTTAGACATTTGGTCTCTTGGGTGTAAGTTCCAAACCAAGAAGTTGGGGAGGTTGGGGAGCCAAGGCTGATTTGTGGCCCTGGGTGTGACCAAGAGGCAGGAGTCACATCCAAGGAGAGGAGCAGTGGAGTAGGACAAGGAGAAAGCAAAGACCTTGTCTGAAAATTGTGAGCCGAGTGGAACACTGGGGGAGGCGCAGGGAAGGAGCCAGAGGAGGCATTTCCTGTCCCCTGCTGACCTGCTCATGGTGCCACCCACTCTTCTCACACTCATTCCAGCTGAACCACACAAGCTTTTCCAGCAGTTCTTTGTACCCCAGGGCCTTTGCACATGCTGTCTTTGCTGCTTGGAATGCCTCCCTCTGGTCTTCCTTGGCTGAGATGGTGCAGTCGTCTGCCCTGTGTCCCTTCTCCCGTCTGCATGTAGCACTCCTGCTCCTTATTGCTGGACTTCCATAGAAGAGTGCTGGCTCTTAGAGGGTGGGGTTGGCCCAGTGCCTGCAAGCATGTGGGATCAGGGGATGCTCAGAAAATACCGCAGGAAGAACCAAGTGTTGGTAATGGCTGGTCCTGCTTTTCACCTCTCTCTCATGTCAGGCCCAAAGCATCCTCTCCTCTCTTACTCTGGCCACAGGAAATAGAGTTGTGAGGGGGATGGCTTGGCTCTTGACACAAGCTGCCATTAGCCCCATCTTACTGAGGCCCAGAAAGGAAAAGGACTTCCCCCAGGGCACAAAGCGAGTTGGATTCAGGTTCCTGCTTCACTCTACAGCCCCCTTGGCTGGTCTTGTCCTTTTGTGCCTCCAGCACCAGCCTACTGGAGCCCAAGGCCACTTCAGCACTGCTGTCTCTTGGTTCTTTTGGTGTGTCTTCCTCACTTCAGACCTGACAGCAAGAAGACCTACTGAGCTGGGCCATGCTGAGCACAGCCACTTGCCAGAACAGGAGCTCAGACTTGGCCCACCCCCTCTCAGCCTGAATCCTTGTCTGTCACATGGGCACAGTGGTGGCCACCACTGGGAGAGATGTGGTGGCTCACTTCTGTAACCCCCAGAAGACAGGAGCAGGAGGATTGCAAGTTCAAAGTTAGCCTGGGCTACACAGGGAAGACCCCACCTCAAAATTTTAAAAATCGAGCCAGGTACTCGTGGCTTCCGGATACAATCCTAGCTACTCAAGAAGCAGAGATCAGGAGGATCACGGTTCAAGGCCAGCTGCAAGACCCTATCCATCACAGAAGGGCTGGCAGAGTGCCATAATGTGTGGGCCTTAAGTTCAAATCCTAGCACCACAAAAGAAAAAAATAAAAAGGGGCTAGGGGTGTGGCTCAAGTGGTAGAGCACCTGTCTAGCCTGCTCAAGGTCTTGGCTCTGTCCCCAGTATGGGGGGCATCTTTGGTCGTGTGTTGCCATATGCATAGCTGCCGCTGACTCAGTTCTTGGGTCTGGTTGCTTGTAGTGGGAAGGGGTGTCCAGGCTTTTGTGGCCCCATTTCACAGATGTGAAAGGCAAGGCCCAATCTGTAGCCAGATTCCAGGGCTAGAGGGTGGAGGAGCTATGATTTGAAGGGATGAGTTTAGTCTCGGAGCCTCGGGTTTCATGATCGCCTCCTCCCCAGCCTCTGCGTCTGAGCCTCTTCATGCTGCAAATGGAGACCACACAGGTGCTTCTAGGCCAGTGGTGCACCCAAGACAAAGTCTGCTTGCTGTCATGGCTTCTAACAAGGGATCCATCCTCTTAAGTGACAGGGACAGCTTCTCTAAAATGCCTGGCTAAGGGGGACCCGTTGAGAGGAAACAAGACATGCCATCATGAATCAGGCACTGGGTAGTGTAGCAAGAGTAGAAAGATCCTGTCTGACCCACCTGTAATCCCAGCTAGTTAGAAGATGAAAGGATGATCCAGAGTTTGAGGTCAGCCCCAGCAAAGTTAGCAAGACCCTGTCTCAAAAGCAGAATACAAAAGGGCTGGTAGTGTGGCTAAAGTGGTAGAGCACCTGTGTAACTTCAGGTCAAGGCCCAGTACCAAAAAAAAACAGACCTGTCTGTCTGCTGAGTACAGCCTATAGTGACCTCTTTTTTTTTTTTTGCAATACTGGGGCTTGAACTACTCAGGGCTTACACCTTGACTACTCCACCTTTTTTTATGTGTGTCTGTGGTATGTTTTTTCAAGATAGGGTCTCACTCTCAAGAACTATTTGCCCAGGCTGGCTTCAAACTGAGATCCTCCTGATCTCTGCCTCCTGAGTAGCTAGGATTACAGGTATGAGTCACCGGCACCCGGCTATTGTGACCTTTTCCTAGGATGCTCCACCTGCACGTCTGCCAGGGAGTCCTGCTGTGGGCCCTGGCCAGGCAAGGTAGGAGCCATGATTGGGAGACAGTGTGGTTGGTTGGGACTCCCTTCCCAGCCTGCCCAAGACCAGATCTTTGTTCTCAGTGGCGCTGACGCTTCCTCTCCTCCCCTGGGGTCTGGATTCATCAGCTTCTTTGGGGACCGTTCACATTCATTCGACTCTCACAAAACAATGAGCTGCCAGCCTCCAGTTTTAAAATTAATTTACAGTGCTGGGGGTGGACCTTGGGGCCCTCTTAATTGTCTTGCAGTCCACTGCTGAGCCCATCCCAGCCCCCATGCGCCCGAGGCTGGGCCATTCCATGTAATGGGGATGTTCAGTGGATCCACGACCCCGACTACTCCCGGGCTGTGTACAGAGCTCCCCACATCCTGCCAGTCAGAACTGGTGAGTGCACTGGTCCAGGTGAAGCCCTGCCCTCATGGGGCACAGTATAGTGGGATTACAGGCATATGCTACCGACCTCTGACTGACAAAGGCATTTTTGAAGCCAGAATCTTTCCAGGGCACTAGGGAGCTAGGACAGGGAAAAAAAAAAAGAATCAGGCTTAAGCTTTTTTCTTGTACTGCAATTTGAATTCAGGGCTTCATGCTTAGGAGGGAGGCACTCTGCCACTTGAACCACACCTCCAGCCCCAGGCTTAGGCTGTAAGGAGATCCCCTCTGTCTGCTGTAAGAAGATGGGGCCCAAGAGATGAGGGAGGTCAAGAAGGCATGCAGGGGTGTCTGTCTCCCAGTAGTTCCTACAGCGTACAGGGGGAAGGCCCTGTCTCTATGTGACTGTAGGTGGCCAATCATCTCTGGTGCTTCAGTTTCCCCCTCACGTTGGTAATTGGATGATCCTCAGCAGAAGTATGCTGGGAGTCCTTTGACATCTGGGCCTCACAGAGGGGTCAGATTCATTTGTGTGTCTGCTCATGGGGGAAGGAGTGCTGGCCCTGGCTATGTGGCCCACAAAAATGTCTCTGTGCACTGCCTTCCCCTTCCTGGCTGCCTCCTCTTTCTCTTGGGTCCCTCACTCCATGTTTCTGCCGCCTCCTTGTCTGTGTCTATGTGTCTTTTCTTCTCAGTGCTGTGGACAGAACTCGGGGCCTTGGGCATGGGCACGGGCACAGGTGGTTGCCATTGAGCCCACCCCAGCCATTGTCTTTTGCTTCTTGCTTATTTGTCACAATCACAGTAGCAGTGTGTCCTCTGCCGGGCTCCAGACTCTTCTACAGAAGACACTCAGCCTGGCCTTCGCCCTGAGAGTCCAAAGCCCAGCACAGCACACTGGGGCTTCAGCAAACATGGAGGCTCGGGCCATCCCCGGTGCTAGGCAGTGGGCCTGTGCATCCCCAAGCCCAGCATAGGTGGCACTCACCTTGCAAGGGGCAGTTGCATCCACAGAGAAGCAGCAAAGTGGGAGGGTCACTCGGCTGGCAAGGGTAGAGTGGAATTTGAACCCTAGCTGTGGACTTTCCTGCCTTGCCCAGCCACAGTGGCTCCAAGCATGCGTAGGAGACCTGGAGCCCGGGCTCAGCCCAGCGCGTTTTGTGACCATGGGAGAGTGACTCGTCTCCACTCACCTCTGTTAGCGGTGGCAGGAACTTGGCCACCAGGGCCTGCCACTGACTACCCCTGGGGGACAGCCAGTCAGGGCAAGGAGCAGGTGTGGGGCCTGAGGGTGGGCCCAGGCCTCCCTCCGCAGGGCTGTCTGGACGGGAGTCTGACCACTGCCTCGCCCACAGGAATCCTTGTGGCTCACTACCTGCAGAGCGTCACGCCGTGCCTGGCCCTGGGTGGAGAGCTGGTCTACCACCGGCGGCCAGGGGAGGAAGGCACCGCCATGTCTCTAGCCGGGAAGTACACACGTGAGGCTGGGGTGGCTGCCGCGGGAAGAGGGCCGGGTTCCCACATGCCTGAGTCCCCTTGGTAACTTGCCCACCCCCCCTGCTCTCTGACAGTGAACAACTGGCTGGCAACAGTGACGCTGGGCCAGGCAGGCATGCACGCGACATACTACCACAAAGCCAGCGACCAGGTGAGCTGGGAGAGCCACACGGGTGGGGTACCCTGACATGGCACCATTGCGCCCAGGAGCTCACTCGTGTATGGCCTGGATCCTCCAGCTGCAGGTGGGTGTGGAGTTTGAGGCCAGCACAAGGATGCAGGACACTAGTGTCTCTTTCGGGTACCAGCTGGACCTGCCCAAGGCCAACCTCCTCTTCAAAGGTAAACCCTGGTTTTCCCTGAACAGCAAACAAGTGGGTTCGGAGAGCACAGGAGATAAAGGACCACAGTGCCCTGGGACCTCCGTCTCCAAATGGCCCAGGGAGGCTCGTTACGCAGCCAATGTGGGGTTCCTGCCCTGACGAGTGGCTGAAGAATATCGCCCAAGCCCGAACCCCAGCCCCCGGTCATCTCACATTAGGAAAAACTGAGGCTCTGGAAGGTGACACGGCCACAGCCAAGTCCAGAGCGTCATTGCAGGCTGACTGGTTCTGGTCCTGACTGCCAGTCTCCTCCATTGGTGGTGCTCAGCTGCTGGGTGTGTGAAGCCCACCTCCCTGCCCGCCCCATGAACCCTTGCTTATATTCAAACTGTTTTAGGGCTGCCTGTGAGTGGCAGCTCCTCTGTTTATCACTCCCATTCTACCCTTTTCCAAGACTTGGGGCAGGCACCATGCCCTTGCCTGCCCACAGGTGCCAGTGCTCAGTCCTTACAAGAGTTTCTTTAATTCAGGTACCCGGCACCTGCCCAGTGCCAGCCCTGTCTTTTCAGGGCTCACAGTGGGGAGAACTGATCATCCCTAGAGAGTGGTGTCCTGGGCTGGGGGCCTCCCAGAGGAGAGGGGTTCCAGAGCTGAGAGCTGGGGTGGTGCAGAGGGCTCCAGGCAGGGGACCTAGGGATCTGGCATGGCTAAAAGCCGAGGTGGCCTGGAGTGAGGTTTTGGGGCGTGGCCTGTCTGGCCTATCTCAGTCCAGTTGTCCGCTGGCAGGCTCTGTGGACAGCAACTGGATTGTGGGCGCGACGCTGGAGAAGAAGCTCCCGCCCTTGCCCCTCACGCTGGCCCTGGGCGCCTTCCTGAACCACCGCAAGAACAAGTTCCTGTGCGGCTTCGGCCTGACCATCGGCTGAGCCTGCTGCCCTCAGGCCCTTCCTCCTGTGGACCCCACCCGCGCCCCTCCTTCCCTCCCTCCCGGGTCGGGGGCAGCGGGAAGGAGGGGCCCATCACCCCAGCAGAGCCAAGGAGGAGATCCTGGAACCGAGGGGACTTCGGGATTCCGAGCACCAGGGAGGGGATTCTGGAAGGTTCCAAGCGCCAGGGCAGAGGCGGCCGGACAACCTCAGGGAGGAGTGTCATGGCTTGCCCAGCCTCCACAAAGGGCCCCGCGGAGCCGGCCCAGGGCAACGAGAGGAGCTCCCGTCCCGCCAGCCCGCCCCGTCCACCTTCCCTGCTTCCCCTCGGTATGAATCATGTTTATAAGTTATGAAAGAACCGGGACATTTTACAGAAAAAAGAGAAAAAGCAAAAAATATATATGGAAAAAAAAAAAAAAAACCCGGATGGAGGCCTTCGTTTTCTCCAGTGTCCCGAGAGCATTTCAGCCCCTGCCTGTCTGCCTGGTTTCCCCGCCGCCGCCGGCAGGGGGCGCCGAGGGCCGCAGGACCAGGACTTAGGGTTAGCGCCTGGCCCAGGATCCCAGCGTCCCCTGACTTCTGCCCTGCGGGGACATCACAAGCTTTCCTTGCTGGGAAGCAGCTATTTGAGGTCACTGGCCCCATCTGGCCTGGCTGAAGTGACTGCAGAGGACTTTACTCCTGCAAATAAGCAGCAGGAGTGGGGAAAAGGCACTGGGGCTCCAGGGTCTTTACCGATTCCAGAGGATAAGGGGTGTTGGGGGGGTTTGCTGGTGGGAAGGTCAGTTTTCTGAAGCTTCAGAAGACTTGCTGCTCCTGGAGCAATTCAGGAACCCATAGCCATCTACAGGGAAGGAAAGAGGGGCTGGGGCCCACGCAGGCTGTGATAGGGCTGACTCGCCCATATCAATGGTGATTTCGTCTTCTGTGGTGCTGGGGATGAACCAGAGCCTCTCGTGGTAGGCCAGCGCCCTATGCTGAGATACATCTGGGCCCCCTTTTGTTTGGAGGGTGAAATGGAGGCTCCTCCCTATGTAGCCCAGGTTTGAGATCCTGCTTCAGCCTCTGACAGGTGTGGGTGACCAGGCCTGCTGCGCCTCAAACTTGACCCACCTCAGCCTCCCAAGTAGCTGGGACCACAGCCGCTGCACCAGGCAGGAATTTGCCAACCTAAAGCTCTGAAAAGCTTATCCCCTCCCCCCACCAAGATGGAACTGAAACTGGTCTGCCCTCCCTGCCTTCCTGCCCAGGGAGAGGCACTCTGGGTAGAAATGACCCCTAGTTAACTTGGAGAAGCCACCTCACCCTTACCAGCATGCTGTGAAGCCAGCGTGAACAAGCCTGGGCCTGGCTTGGCACTGGGGCTCCCTCTTACCACCCCCGGAGCCAGCTGTGATCCCAGCTCACCTCCACCCCATCCCCCGTCCTGCTGTGCCTTGTTCCTTGGCCTCCACCCTGACAGCGGGGCTGCTCAGTTGGGAGTCTGACCTATGGATTCTTGTGACCGGGCTGTTAGAGGCTTTGAGCACTCATTGTGGTCACCACAGCACTTGGCCCTAATCAAGCCCCACATACATATTTTTTTTAAAGGCAGCTTTGCTGTGTAATTCAGGCTAACGTCCATCCTCAAGTGATTCTCCTGTCCCAGTCTTCCGAGTTACTGGGACATAGGCAGTGCCACCTACCTGGCTGCTTTCCTGAGTTTGTGGGTAAAAGAACTGGCTGCCCAGAGAGGTTAGATCCTTTGCCCGAGGTCACACAGTTGGAAGAGCTAGGATTCAAGCCCCGGCAGTCAGGTTTCAGATTCCTTGCCCCGGCCGCTTGCTGCTTCAAGGCCCGTGGGACGCACCATGCAAATGGTGCCTTTGCCAGCCAGGGAGTGCCAAGGTCCCACTTCTCAGGTGGGGAAAGAACCCAAGAGGCCTTTTAACCCTACGATTGAAAGCCTGGATTCAAGTGAGAAACCTAGGTTTTTAGCAGATGCTGTGCACGGTCCCAGCTCCTCTGTCCAGGCCCCCAGCCCCCTCCACAAAGTGTATTCATCCTCTGCAGGAAGGGAGGCGCCAGCCTGCTAAGTCCCCTAAGTCCCCCGCACTCCAGAATGCAGAAGGAAGCCTGGATTATTAGGTGAGGGGTCACCTCCCTTCCTGGGAGATGGAGGGGGGCATCACAAGGCCCCCAAGCCCCACCTCCTCCCTCTGCCCCGCTGTGTGATGGGCAGAGAGCAGCCCGCCTCGTGACAGGGGGCTGGTCCGGCCCGCCCCGGGCCTGGGGGAGGGGGCGGGGCAGGGGGAGCCCTATAACTGCACGAGGCTGGGATTCCGCGCCGCTCAGCCCAGACACGAAGCACGCGGGTCTCGGGAGCCGGTGAGAATTGCAGTGGGGATGCAGTAGGTGTGGGGGCTCGGGGGCCTGGCAGAGATGTGGCAGGGGACCGAGGGAGAAAACAGCTCAGGAGAGCCACTTGGGGACGGGTTAGGGCGAGAGGAGGTGACTGGGGACAGGAGCTGGGGCTGAGGCCAGGGGACCCTGGGTCTAGGGAAAGGCCGGAGCCAGGTAGAAGCCAGGGTGGGGAGCTGTTGGACCTGTCCGAAAAAAAAAAAAAAAGGAGCTAAGCCATAAGCCAGATCCTGAAAATTGTCGCTGTCATTTATTGAGAACTTACTGAATGTCCCAACGGTCCTCAAGTCTCCATAATTGGGGGCGCAGGGGTAACCCAGATTGGCCTGGAACTCTATGTGGCCCAGGCTAGCCTCGAACCCGCTGTCCTCCTGCCTCAACCTCCCGAGCACCGGGACTACAGGCACACGCCACGACGCGGGACGAGGAGTTTTAAATGAGGGTTAAGTTAGCACAGGCATGGAAAGCAGCACTTGGACGTGAAGTGCAGTTGCGAATGCGAAGGCAGAACGAGGCACGGCACGTTGGACCTCAGAAAGCCCGGCTGGGACTCGCGACTGGGGGCGGGGGTGGAGTGGAATTTGAACCCTTTGTGAGGAAAGGTAGAATTTTGGCAGAGGAACCGACCCGGGGATGGAGAGGTAGGCGAGGGCCAAGGGAGTCAAACAGACCTGGGGGGCGGGGGAGAGCAGCTTGGTAGATGCTTGTGATTGGATTAGGCAGATGTGGGGCGGGGCCCAGGGCGGGAGGGGTCCTCACTTGGCTGTTTATTGACAGTTTCTTTCCCCCCAGACTGAGCAGTCGCAGGTAGGAAGATGAATGCTCTGTGGACTGTGCTGGTGGTCACGTTGCTGGCAGGTATGTGGCGAGGACTTGCTCTGGTGTCCTGCTTCTCCCCTCCCCTTCTCACTTTTACCCCTGGTACCATTCAAGCCCTGGAACCCTTCCCGCTTGAGAAGGATGGAGACCCAGGTCTGAGGCTTCTTGGACATTCCCTGACTCTGAGCAGCTGTTTTAACTCTCGGAGCCTCAATTTTCCCCATCCATAAAATGGGAGTTGTACCAATTTCCTAATGTTTTGTTGTCAGCTAGGTAGTGAGTACCTTCTGAGTCCCTGCATGGGACTAACAGAAACTATAAATGCTTGTCAAGTGATTAAACAGATTCTACTCGCTCCATGCCCACTGGGGCTTAAAAGACCTCAACGAGCATTTATGGAGCGCCTGCTGTGTAGGGGTTCTGTGTGCCTGCACCGGGACCCTCACCCAGCTGTAAACTTGCTGCACACAGGATGCCAGGCCGACGTGGAGCCGCAGCTGGAGCCCGAGGTGCAGGAGCAGGCCGGGTGGCAGACTGGGCAGGCCTGGGAGCTGGCGCTGGGTCGCTTGTGGGATTACCTGCTCTGGGTGCAGACACTGTCTGACCAGGTGCAAGAGGAACTGCTGAGTTCCCAGATCTCCCAGGAGCTAACGTGAGTGCCCCAGCTGGCCTTTGACCCTCCTGGTGGGCAACTGCCTTTGGGTCCAGGGTTTCTTTCTTTCCCTGTCACCTGTCATCGGGGCCTGAGTCTCTGCCCTTTTCTTGCCTCCTTTCCATTACTAACTCCTGCTTTTACCTCCAGGGCCTGGGCCATCGTTTTGTCGCTGTCCTTCCCTGGCTTTGGCTCCTATTGGGGTTTGAACTCACGGCCTCCAAGTGCTCTGCCACTTGAGCCACACCCCAGCCTTTTTGCTTTCGTGTTTTTCTGGTAGAGTCTTGCACTCTTTGAGGCCTTGGACTGCGACCTTTCTCCCTCCACCTCCTGAGAAGCGGGGATTTGTGCACCACACCGGACCTCTGACTCCTTCTTAACCTGTCTGTTGCTCTTTGTCTCTGCATCTGTCCGTCTGTCTCCATCTCTGGATCTCTCCCCTTCCCGCTCTTCCGGGCCCCTCTGTCTCAGTGTCCCCCTTGCCCTGTCCACCCCCCGCCACCCCCCCAGGAACCTGATGGACGAGACCATGAAGGAGGTGAAGGCCTACAAGTCAGAGCTGGAGGCGCAGCTCAGCCCGATGGCGGAGGAGACGCAGGCCCGGCTGCACAAGGAGCTGCAGGCGGCGCAGGCGCGGCTCGGGGCGGACATGGAGGACGTGCGCAGCCGCCTGGCGCAGTACCGCGGCGAGGTGCAGGCCATGCTGGGCCACAGCACTGAGGAGCTGCGCGCGCGCCTGGCCTCGCACCTGCGCAAGCTGCGCAAGCGGCTGCTGCGCGACGCCGAGGACCTGCAGAAGCGCCTGGCCGTGTACAGGCCGGGGCCCGCGAGGGCGCCGAGCGCGGCGTGAGCGCCATCCGCGAGCGCCTGGGGCCGCTGCTGGAGCAGGGTCGCCTGCGGGCCGCCACCGTGGGCAGCCTGGCCGGCCAGCCGCTGCGGGAGCGCGCCCAGTCCCTGGGCACGCGGCTGCGCGGGCGGCTGGAGGAGGTGGGCATGCAGGCCCGTGATCGCCTGGACGAGGTGCGGGAGCAGATGGAGGAGGTGCGCGCCAAGGTGGAGCAGCAGGCCGAGGTCTTCCAGGCCCGCCTCAAGAGCTGGTTCGAGCCCCTGGTGGAAGACATGCAGCGCCAGTGGGCGGGGCTCGTGGAGAAAGTGCAGGCCACCATGGGTGTCAGCGCCACCCCCGTGCCCAGTGACAATCACTGATCGGCCCTCCACTCGCCGTGCAGGGTTCCTCCCCCCCCCACACACACACAGCCGGATGCCCTGGCCCCGTGTTCCCCCGCTACCTGGTGGCCTTCCCAACCTGGTGGCTCGCCCAGGCGCCCCTTGCTTAATAAAGAATTTACAAGTTTCACCAGCACCCCCCCAGGCCTCTGTGTGTGATTCCTCTGCACGAGCCGCAGTTTCTCCTTTCTTCTCCACACTGGCCAGACAGCTCTGGGCACTGTCACCTCTGCCTGCCTTTCTGCTGCTGTTTAACTCTGTTTTGCTTCCCTCTGTCCTTTTTTCTTTACCACTTCCATCTCTTTGCTTTTTTTTTTTTTTTTTGTGGAGGGGGTACTAGGATTTGAACTCAGGGCTTCACACTTGCTAGTCAGGCATTCTATCACTTGAGCCACTCCACCATTCCTCTCTTCAATATTTTCATCTCATAACCGACACAACTGATCTACCGCTGACCTAAAGCCTCCCTAGCCTCTGACTACCTGAAGGCAAAAACCTCCCCGAGCCTCAGTTTCCCTCTTGCAGCACTGGGCTTTGAACTCAGGGCCTGCCACTTGCTAGGCAGACAGTCTACAACTTGAGCCACACCCCAGTCCTTTTTTACATTGGGTATTTTTGAAATAGGGTCTTGCTTTTGTTGCTTGGGCTGGCCTCAAACCTAGATCCTCCTGATCTCTGCTTCTCAAGTAGCCAGGATTACAGATGTGAGTCACAGGTGTCCAGACAATCTCTTTTTTTTTTTTTTTTTCCGAGACAGGGACTCCCTTTGTAGCCCAGGCTAGCTTTGAACTCACAGTCCTGCCTCTGCCTCCTGTGTGCTGGGATGACAGGCACGTGCCACCTTGCCCAGCTAGTTTTCGTTTTAGTAACACCTGCTCCACTGAGTTACTGTGACCCTAAATGCCCAGATCAGAACCGAGATTATTCAGCCATGTTTGTTTCTGCTTGTTTTAGCTGATTGAGCCTCCTTCCCTCTCTTGGCTTTGCTTCTGCCCGGCGGCTCTCCCTCTCCCTCCAACTTCACTCTCTGGCTTCCTGTTTTCCTGCACCTCTATCTGTTATCTCTCCCTCCTACGGTGCCCTGGGCCTTGGTCTTTCTTCTGTAATCTCTCCTGTCCCCTCCACCATGGCCACGCTGCTTGAGCCTTTCTCCCTCTCTGGACTGGGCTTCCCTGCCTCACCCTGGTTCCCCATCTTCCTTTCCAGCTGCACTGTGCACTGTTTGTCATTCCCACCAGCCTACAGGGCTAAGCCCAAGACAAGGAAGAGGTGCCACCATGTCCCCTGAGAATCCTCACCTGACCCTGTGCTGAGTTGGGAGCTGGCAGTCAAAGAGGAGAGGGCAGAGAGCTGGCTGGCTTCGCCTCCCACCCCCTCAGTTCTCAAGGCCTGGAGCAGTGTTCCCACCAGCAGAGGCAGGCCAGGGCTTGAGCTGTGCCTCCCCAGTCCCCCGGCTGGCTTGGCACACCCTGAACACAGAACTTTCCCTGGCACTGCTCTGGAGGTGGGCTCCTCTGCCGGAGATGACTCTTGCAACCCAGTGAGAAGGGGAAGGGTCGGGGTTTAAGAGGCAGGGGTGTAGTCAGCTGACACACCATATGCCTAGGGGCTTCCCCTTTGTAGAGCCTCGATTTCCCCAGATGCCGATAAGGGAGGCATCAGCTGTCTCTCCCACTGAAGAGCTGAATCATCTTTGTTTTTTATTTTTCACAGAGGGCCTCACTATGTAGCCCAGGCTGGCTGCCAACTCTTGAACCTCCTGCCTCAGCCTCTGGAGTGCTGGGATTACAGATGGCGCCACCATGTCCCACCAGAGCTCAATCTTGAATTCTCAGGGGGGGAGGACTTCTAAGCAGAGGGTCAGTGTCCCACCCTCCGCTTCCAAGCCCCCAGACCCAGAGGTGGCTCAGAGGCCAGGGAAGGAGATTAAGGAAGGTCTTGGCAGGGGTGTTGTGGAGCTCTGGCAGGCATCTTGAGAGCATGGGGCGCCTGAGAAGGGGAGGGATAAAGAACCCTCTCGTTCCTCTCACTACGTCGTTGCATGTGCTTGACTGGGCCTCAGTTTCCCCATCTGGAAAGCAGAAATCCCTGTAGCTGAGGAGTGCATGAGTTTGGAAGAGCCCGAGGCCATTCCTCCATTCAGATAGAGGTACAGACAGACAGACAGACATCTGGGTGGAAGTCTGGGGAGTGTGCTGGAAGTCGCAGAAGTAGGGGGCCAGTCCCTGGGTCCTGCAGGGACTGGAAGTTGTGACTTGGCAGGGACGTTGCAATCCTGCCAGGGTCTCTTCTGTGCCTCCCCTTTCACAACCATCCCCTCCTGCCCCCCTCACCCCAGAGCTGACACGTGGTTGCAGAGGCACAAGACAGCCAACCTAGTCTGTTGCCCAGCCACCCTCCCCACCAGCTGCCAGGGATCACTGGCGGTCAAAGGCAGCCCATGGGTATAGGGGGAGGCCTTGGACTCCAGCCTGGGGGAAGGATGTGGTGATGGGAGGGAGCCAAGGGGGGGCAGGCTCAGAGCCAAGGGGGAGCCTGACAGGGTGAACAAAAACAAATGGCGGCGTTCAGAGGTGGGGGAAAGAAAGGGGGTGGAAGGGTTAGGGGCACCCAGTGACAGCTTTGCAACTGCCGCTGAAGAGAGCTCCCCCCTAAAAATAAGGGAGACCGGAGTGTAAAGTTAAGGCCCCCAGAGCACCAATGGAAGTCTGGGATGCCCACAATCAAAGGATGGTGAGCTGGCAGATCTGGTCTAGAAGACCATTAGAGGCAGCAGGGCATGGAATCCAGAACCCAGAGCGCGCAGGAAGAGTTCTCAGTCCAGGCGGCACGGAGAAGGGGAGGCCCAGTGGAAGAGGTGGCTCATATCTGTAATCCTAGCTGCTTTGGAGGCTGAGATCAGGAGGATTTCAGTTGGAGGCCAGCCTGGCCAAATAGTTCAAGAGCCTCCCATCTCCAAAATAACCACAGCAGAATGGCCTGGAGGTGTGGCTCAAGTGGTAGAGAGTCTGCTGTGCAAGTGCAAAGCCCTGAGTTCAAATCCCAATCCCACAAAACGAAAAAAAGAGGTGGGCTGGGACACAGTGAGCTGGGGATGAGACCCACAGGGTTGATCCTGAGAGACCCCTGGGGGAGAGGGCCTTAGGGAGAAGGTGAAGGTTGTCCCCTCAGTAAGGAGAAGAACCAAGGCAGGCTGAGGAGATTTGAAGGTGAGGGTGCTAGATGACCATAGGTCTTGGGGCTAAGGGAGGGGCCTGAGCCCCACCCCCAGCCTCCACGGGCAAAGGGCAGAAGAGAAAAAGGTGTGTGATCTCAGCGACCAGGGCCAGGGGGAGGCTCAGGAGGAGGGAGAGCACCGTGCCCCGCCCCCTCCCCAGCCAGATAAAGGCCTGCCACCTGAGCTGTCCTACCCAAAGGACCTGTAGATCCAGGTTGGTGCTGGGGAGAGCCACCACCCCACCCCCACCCCACCCCCGCCCAGAACTAAAGAGCGCGGTGAGGGACCGTGGTGGGGAGGGAAGTTGGTGCCAGTGACCTCCTCCACCCACCTTGCCTCCAGGGTACCCCTCCAGCCGCCATGAGGCTCTTCCTGTCGCTCCCCGTCCTGGTGGTGGCCTTGTGCATGGCTTTGGAAGGTAAAAGTGGTATAGGAGGACTGGGGGGAGGGGAAGGGGATTTAAAGTTTGGCAGTCTAAGCTGGTCACGGAAGTGGAGTCCAGGCATAGATAGAGAGCTCTGAGGTCCCTGCGGTGTCCTGGTTCCCCTATCGTCCATTGATTTGATCGCCCCCATCCCACCCGTGCTAGGTGAGTTTCAAGCTTTTCTAAGCGTCTCAAGAGCAGAGGCAAGTCTGCCTAGGAGAGCCCTAGCAACAAATGACGTATGACGGTCACTCTTCTGGGATTGGCGCGGCGTGGTGGGTGGGGGCCGAGGGCTGAATTAAGGCAATTTCCAGCATCCGACTCTGGCGCCCCCATTCTAACGCCATGCCCCCAACATTACATCCAAGGATCTCGTGGTCCATCCCGCGAGCCCCATCCTCAAGGCTCCCAATGACCCGTTTTTGCATCCCGGCCAGGCCCGGCCCCCGCCCAGGCCTCCCCGGACCTGTCCAGCGCGTTGGAGAGCTTCTCCGGGAAGCTGAAGGAGTTCGGGAACACCCTGGAGGACAAGACGCGGACAGCCATTGACCGCATCAAACAAACCGAAGTCTACACCAAGACCCGGTCAGGACCCGCCCCGGGGGACCGAGGGCTGGAGCGGATGGGGGAAGCCCTGGGAGACAGTCCGAAGTGAACAGATTGGGGAAACTGAGGCTCCAAGAAGCTGACCCTATCCCTGGAATCACAGAGCTGGGGGGAGGGAGGGGGACAGGTCCCCTGACTCCGGTCCTAGCACCGTGGTAGGGATGGTTCTGGATGACAGTGAAGGTCCACTGGCCGGTGTACACCTGCTACTCCCTTTATGGGGGAGGGGTTTATTTATTTATTTATTTATTTTGAGACAGTGTCTCACTAGGTAGCCCAAGCTGGCCTCAAACTCTTGATTCCCTCCGACCCCTCTCCCCACACCTTCCAAGTGCTGGGATTACAGGCATGCACACCATGCCTGACCATTCCCGAGTGATCATAAGAGAGGCACCTCACCAAGAGCCTCAGTTAGTTTCTTCATCTCTAAAATGGGTGGATCTGAAGGGAACTGAAGGGGACACCCTGCATGAGGCTGGCACATTGTAGAAGCTCACCACGTTAGCCAACTTTTGTTCCCTTTGGCAGGGAGAAAATCGATTTCTTAGATTTTTGTCTTTGTTTTTGGCCGCACTGGGATTTGAACTCAGGGCCTCACTCTTGCTAGGCAGCTCTACCACTTGAGCCACTCCGGCAGCCCTGAGAATCCATTTGTGTGTGTGTGTGTGTGTGTGTGTGATACTGGAGTTTGAACTCAGGGCTTACACCTTGAGCCACTCCACCAGCCCTTTGTTTCATGAAGGGTTTTTTTGAGATAGGGTCTCTTGAACTATTTGCCTGGGCTGGCTTCGAACTTCGATCCTTCTGCCTCCTGAGTAGCTAGGATTACAGGTGTGAGCCAACGGCACCTGTTTCCATTTCTTAACAAATATTTATTGATGGTTTGATCCCCAGGCCACAAAAAAATATATCCATTAATCATCTAAGTACCAGGAAATGTTCCAATGTAACCACAATGCAGATAAAATCCTGCCCCTCAGACAGCTGACAGTCTAACAGGGGAGGGTTGGGTATAGTGATGCACACTTGTAATCCCAGCTGCTAGGAAGACCCAGGCAGAAGAATCTTAAATTTGAGCTCAGCCTGGACAAAGTTAGCAAGACCCTGTCTAAAAAGCAAATTAAAAACACAAAGGTAGAGGACTTGCCTAGCAAGCTTGAGACCCTGGATTCCCAGCACCACTAAGGCGAGATGCAGGGGAGGGGGAGGCAACAAACCAGTGAGTTTCCAGATTAGTCCAGCTAGAGCTAAGCTCTGCTCAGACAACAGGATGGGCGTGATAAACGAGGCCAGGGGGCTCCTGCAGGTGCTTGGGATATCTCTGAGGAAGTAACACTTTAAATCTGAATGATTAGGGAAATCCAACCAGGCCGAAACTTGGCAAGATAGTTCCCTGTGGAGGGAAAGTGCAAAGGTCCTGTGGCAGGAAAATGGATAGATAAGAGAGGATGACCTTTGGAGCAAGGGAAGCATCTAAGAGCAATGAGGAAGGCTTGGATGAGCAAGGAGGGGCAGCAAAAGCAGGAACACACTCAGAGAAAGAATTGAAAACCTGGCATGGGAGCGCACCTCTGTAATCCCAGCACTTGGGAGGCTGAGGTAGGAGGATGGAGAGTTCAAGGACAGCCTGGGCTACATAGTAAACCTTGTCTCAAAAAAAAAAAATAAAACTGAGAGAGAGAGCGCGTGCAGAGAGCGCCAGGTCAAGATGATATTCCCAGCCCTGGGAAGGAGGAGGGTGTGTGGGAGGGGACATCCTGGGGTGGCAGCAGACAGTGACTCCGTCCCCCCCGTCTCTTCTCACAGGAAATGGCTTTCAGACATTAAGCAAAAAGCAAAGGAGAAATTCAAAGACACCTTCTCCTGAGCCCCTGGGTGACTGACTGACAGAGCAAGGACATCTCCTTGAGGCCCCAGGTCCCCTCCACCCCACACCAATAAAAGTCCTACAGAAAATTCTCCGAGTGCTTGTTGGCCGTGGGGCAGGGGCTGTGGGAGAGCATGGGGGCCTGTGCTGAGGACGTTTGAATGTCGTGGTCCCAAAGGAGCTCTGTAAGAACTTAGCTGGAGCCTGGCATGGTGGTACATACCTGTAATCCCAGCTACTCAGGAGGTAGAGATCAAGAAGATCAGGAATTGGAGGCCAGACTCTCAAAAACAAAAGGCTGGGGCTCAAGTGGTAGAGTACCTGCCTAGCCAGCACACAGCCCTGAGTTCAAATCACTGTACTGAAAAACAAACAAAGCAAAACAACTCTGTGAGCTGGGCTGTTAATGCTGAGTGCAGAGATGTGAAGTCTCTAGGAGAAGGTCACACAGAAAGCAAGGAGAGGTAAAGGACTGGGTTTCACCGATCACTGCGCACAGTAGGCGTTCATTACACTTTTTTTTTGGCAGTACTTGGGATTTGAACTCAGGGCCTACCCCTCGAACCACTCTACCAGTCCTTTTTTGTAAAGGGTTTTTCCAAGATAGGGTCTTGTGAACTATTTGCCCAGGCTGGCCTCTAACCTTACCCTCCTGATGTCTGCCTCCTGAGTAGCTAGGATTACAGGCATGAGCCTCCAGCGCCCGGCTTAATTACACTTTTTGGGAACAATGAAGGGAGCTATGAGAGAGGGCTGGGGCAGGATCTGGGCGAGAACCCCGAGAGCCTGATTCAGTCCTTACCTCCAGGTCTCGGCTCCCATGTTGCCTTCTCCAGGAAGCCTGCCTGGAGTCCCTTCTGGGTCAGGTGCCTCCATTCCAGCCTGCCTTCTCTGGGTGGTCACTGCCTGGAGACCGCACTATGAGTCCCACAGGGCTGTGTCTTCAGGCACTGCCCAGCATAGAACTGGCCACAGTGCCAGAGGCTGGTAAAACCTGGTGAAATAAGAAATTGCTCAATCTGAATAAAAGTATCTGAACACATTTTTTATTGTTGTTTTGAGACAGATACTTGCAGTCTAGCTCAGGCTGGCCTAGAACTCACAATACTCCTGTATTAAAGATGTGCACCACCACAACTGGTTCCGTCCATCCATTCTCCATTCTTGTATTCAGTTGCTAATTCCTATGTTTGTATAATAAACATTCATGGAAGAAAATTGTATTACTCCTTGTTTACTTCCCTACTTCTCTTTGGCTAATTCTGAAACATCAGAATTCCCCTCCTCCAGGAAGCCCTCCATGACCTCCATAGGCTGGGACAGGTATCCCTTAGGGCTCCCATCACTGCCCTGCCCACTGGGTGTCTTGAGGCAGGTCCAGGTGGGTGCAAGTGTGAATGTCTCCATGCCCATGACTGAGACACTCCAAGGTCTTCTTGTTGCTCTCTGAGATCCAGAAGGAATGTCTGCAAACCTGAGAAGAACAGATGTATCAGCTGGAAAATAAGAAACAGAAAAGGGAAATGGCAAACTTCCAAGTTCATGCCAGCACTGCTGGCTCACATCTATAATCCCAGCTACTCAGGAGGCTGAGATTGGGAGCATTGAGGTTTGAGGCGAGGCCGGGCAAATAGTTCAAAAGACCCCATCTCCAAAATAACCAGAACAAATTGGACTGGAGGTGTGGCTCAATCAGTAGAGAGCCTGCTTTGCAAATACGAAGCCCTGAGTTCAAATCCCAGTGCCACCAAATAAATAAATAAATAAATAACTTGTACCTTAGTGTTCCTATGAGTGTTCATAATAGCCCCAGGTAGAGACAACACAAGTGCCCATCAACTGATGAACGAGTTACGAATGCGAATCACGCATGCATTATCTAGACTGGAATATTATTTGCCCATGAAAACCATGCACACTGCAGGGATGAACCATGAAAAGTCCATGCTCGGTGAAAGAAGCCTGTGACAAGATTCCATGTATCCTATGATTCCATTTTTTCAAAACGTCCACAATAGGTGAGTCCCTAGAGGCCAAGAGGGGCACTTGTCCCTGCTGGGGAACAGGGAGAGTCAGACAGGACCATCTAATTCTTCTCTTGGGTAAAATGCTATAGAATTAGTGGAGATGCTGTTCCAGCTTTTGGGTAAACTACAAACCACGCACAATTGTGCATCTTATCATTTATTTTTGTGGTGCAGGGTTTGGAGAGGAGGGCCACTCACACACTCTGTCACCGGGCCCAGCCCTAAAAGGGTGAATTTTACAGAATGTGACCACCTCAATTTTCCAAAATGAAAGCATGGATTTGGTGACCTCTTTCTCACCCGAACTTCCTGCCATAACCCAGAGATGAGTAGCTAGTGACAGGAAAAGATGACCAGCAGAGTCCTGTGTGGGGATGCAGGGGTGACAGCCTGGAGTCCCAACTGGAGCCAGGAGTCTAGAGGAGAGGACAGTGACAGGTCTGGTATCCAGGCCTGGTGACTTGGAGGACACAGTTTTGGGGCTCAGAGCCACTCCCTAGCCTCAGACCTGCGCTGGGGTCTTAGGGTTCACTACCCAGTGTCCCTCCCCCACTGGCCTCTCTGTGCCATCCTGCCCCATGTGACCTTCAGTCTGTTCCTGTCCCCAGGAAGAGCAAACATTGCAGCAGCAAACAAACAGCCACAGTCCCCACTGCCTGCTGACCTTGGCCCAGGGGCAGAGGACAGAGACCTCCCTCCCCAGCGCAGCCCCCTCTGGCCTTCTAGGGCTTGGGAGGTGGGGAGTGGAAGCTGTCCTGGTTTGGCCAGATAGCATGGGAGGACCCCGGTTCAAATGCCCCCACCCCACAGCCTCAGTTTCCTCATCTGGAAAAGGGACAGCTAAAAATGTCCCATCAGGAGGCTAAGGAAGTATTTACTACATAAAGGGAACCAAGCATGGCACCACTGATCTCCTGTTCATTCCCTGCAAGCCTACAAGGTCCATGAATCCATCCCTGGATGAAGAAACTGGCCCAGAGAGGTTAAGCGACTCACAGAAGGCCAGAAAGAAGCAGAGGAGTCAGACTCTGATCCCCACATCCCAGCAGCTTCCCGCCCCCCCATAACCACACCCCTCCCGACAGGGTCTCGCTGTGTAGCCCAGGCTGGCCTGGAACTCACGATCCTCCTGCCTCAGCCTCCTGAGTGCTGGGATTACAGGTAGGCACTCACTACCATGCCTGCCTTGGGTTTTGTTTGTTTATGTTTTTGTTTGTTTGTTTGTTTGTCAGTACTGGGGCTTGAACTCAGGGCCTACACCCTGAGCCACTCCATCAGCCCTATTTTTTTTTTTTTGTGAAGGATTTTTTTGAGATAGGGTCTTTCAAACTATTTCCCCAGGTTGGCTTCAAGTCATGATCCTCCTGATCTCTGCCTCCTGAGTAGCCAGGATTACAGGCGTAAGCCACTGGTGCCCAGCTATATATTTTTCAACTGAAATTTAAAACCAACCCTAGACCAAAATCCACCCCAGTTCCCTCCCCAACCTGTGTGCCCTGGCTGGGTCTTCCATTGATAAAGCACTTTTCCTTCTGTCCAGCTCTATACCTGAGTCTACGTGGACAGCTTCCTACCGTGCACACCTGGGCATTGCCTATGTGTGCCTCAGCCAGCTTCCTAAGGACTCTGGGAGCAGGTGCTTATCGTAAATCCCATTTTACATATGGAAACATCGAGGCCCAGAGAACTCTCTGCCCAGGTCATGCTGTGAAGGAATAGGGCTTTTCTTTCTCTTTCTCTCTCTCTCTTTTTTTTTTTTTGAGACAGGGTTCTACTATGTAGCCCAGCTAGCTTTGAACTGTTGGTTCTCCTGCCTCAGCCTCCTAAAAGCTGGGATTACAGGTGTGCATCACCATTTCTGGCTAGGAGTGGGGCTTTAGAGCAGTCTGTCTGAGACAGAGACATCAAAGTCAAACAGCTGGAGTCCAGAACCCCAGGGTGGTAGGAGTCGATTGGGCTGTAGCCTGCCAGGGAAGAAATCGCTGTCTCTTGCCAGCCACCTTTGGACATGGTGAGGACCCACCCTGTACCCACTCCTGTAGCCTAGTGGCTAAGGAATCTTATAAATAACTGCTGTAATCACAGGAGCCAGGCATGGCAGGGCACACCTATAATCCCAGTACTTGGGAGTCTGCAGCAGGAAGATTATGAGTTCACCGCCAGCCCAGGCCACATAACAAGACCCTGTCTCAAAAACTAAAAGACAGAAAGTAAAAAAGAAAGAATCACAGTCATACTCCAGAGCACCTGGACTGTCAGGATATATGCTGCACTTTCCTGGCCTTGTGCTCAGTCAGTGTCCCCAAGTCTGGACTATCATCCCACTTCACAGAGGAGGAAACTGAGGCCAGGAAAAGGGGCTGTCTCAGAGGCAGAACCACAATTTGAACTTGGTTTAGTGCAAGAAGCCAAAGAGACTTCTGCCTCCTATCAGGCCAGGGCACTGGGACAATGGAAAGGAGGGAGGCCACCAAGGCCGTGCATGGCCTCTGATGGTCACTTCTCTGTGAAGTCCTGCCAAGGGGTGGGGGCCATTGGACAGGGGAGGGCTCTTCTCAGTGCAGCCTGCCACACCCCAAGCCTGGAGAGCTGAGCCCAGAGGGACAGAGGGACACAGCAGCCAGAAATGTCCTTCCCAAGATGCAGGTTCTGGGCCAGGCCCTCCCTGCTCTTCTGCGTGCTGGTCCTGGTGTGCACTGTGGGTGAGGAGCAGGGGGCTGGCAGAAGTGGGGGCTTCCCGGGTGGGGAGGGAATGTGTCTGTGTGTCATGTGATTTCGTAGACATATCAGACTGATGAGCGGTTGTGTGTGTATGTCTATCTGTCTGTGTGTAGGGCTGAGTGTAGGATGTAACTGTGGGCTTTGTACAAAGGAGGCAGTCATTTGTGTACATCTGTGTGCATGTGAGGAGTATATGCAGTTCCACAGGTGCATTTGTATGTTTGTGTGCACGTTCAGGGGGCATGCATGCAAGAGATTTCAGGGTGTCTAGGTGTGGGGACTGATACATAACTGCATTTTGTCCATGTATTTAAAATCGTGTCTGGTGAGGCGGGTGTGGTGGTGCATGCTTGTAATCCCAGCACTTGGGAGGCAGAGGCAGGATAGGGAATTTGAGGACAGCCCAGGCTTCCTAGCCAGACCCTATCTCTGAAAAAAAGCCAACAAAACCATTGTGCTTCTGAGGATGTGCAAGGCTCCATCTTTCCTTCACTTTGTGAATTAACTTCTGATTCACGCAAAAACCCTGAAGTCGGTATGGTTAGTACTCCATTCCATGGAAGGGGAAACTGAGTCTTGGAGCAGTGAAAGTGTGTACCGGTGTACCCGGGTGATGGCAGTAGAGGCTTTGCCCAGGTATGTGGTTGCTAGACCCACAGGTGTGTGGGAAGCAAACTGACCTGACCGGAAGTGGAGCCTCTGGTCCACCAGGAGGGACTGAGAGCGTGGCCGAGCCCATGTCCACAGCCAAGGCAGAGTCTGGTGTTCCCAGCTGTGTGCAATGGTGGCTCTGACAGTGTGGGACACTGGGAGCTAAGAAGGCAGGGCTGCCCTTCCACAGCAGGGTCAGGTGAGGAGCCATAGGGCAGGAGGTGGAGTTACCAACTGCAGGAGAAAACTGCAAGGGACAGAGGGGTGAGGGATGGGGTGCTGGGCAGAGGACACAGCCAATAGTAGAAGTGGGACCAGGTGCTCAGAGGGACAAGAGAAGGCAGGTGGCCAGGGAACTGGCAGGGGGCTGCCCTGGCCCTCAGGCGTCACACAGGCTGAGCACAGAGGGACAGGGAGAAGGGGGAATGGGGACAGTCCCTCCAGCATGGTCAGGCTGCTCTTTGGTCCCACCCAGTATGTGAGTCTGCAGGAACCCCAAGTCCCCCAACAGGCCAGGATGAGAGCCGCTGGAGCCTGGTGCAGGTCAGGGTGAGGGAGCTGGTGGAGTCGCTGGTGACCAAGACCAGGGAGAGGTGGCAGTGGTTCTGGTGAGGCTGTGCAGGGCTGGCTGAGGGAGGGGCAGCAGCTAGGGGCCATGGTCTGGGGGAGGAGGCTGGGGTCTGGACCCCTGGGACTGAGGGAGGAGGCCAGGGTCTGAACCCCTAGGTCTGGGGGAGGAGGCCAGGGTTGAACCCCTGGGTCTGGGGGAGGAGGCTGGGGTCTGGACCCCTGGGTCTGGGGGAGGAGGAAGTAGATGGGATCAAACCCCTAAGATAGCTGGGGTCTCACCTCTGCTGTTCCCTCTTAAGCAGGGGCCCTGGTGTGGCTGGGGGGTCTCACCTTGGTTGTCCCCTCTCACACAGGGGCCCTGGGGCCCTCCAGGGCTTCATACAGACCTACTATGATGACCACCTGAAAGACCTGGGTCACCGCACCCAGACCTGGCTCCTCAGCTCCAAGGACAGCCTCCTGAACAAGACTCAGAGCCTGTGTCCCAGGATGCTCTGCGGAGACCAGACCTAGGACTACAGTGCTCACCCCTCCCATGTCCACAATAAACTGGATGCTTCTTATCTGTGTCCCTGTGCTGATCCCTCCTCTAGGGGCAGAGATAATCCGTCCTCACCATATACCGGACATCCTACAAGGGAGGAGCACTGGCAGGGGGTGATTGGGAGAGGGAGTCAGGGGCAAAACCCACACAGAAGCTAAGGGCTCCTTGGGGACAAAAAACTTCAAGGTGCCAGTTTCAGGAATATGAAAGATGGACAGAAGGTGGAGTCAGCTATCCCCACAATGGCCCTCATTTCCCAGCATTCCTGGGGTCCCAAACTCCTCCATTGCCTGCAACGTAGCCTATCTGTCTCAAGAGTGGATTTTCAGAGTGGGGATTCCCTGCTGTGTGACCTGCTGGTGGATGACACTGTCCTTCCTGCCCTGCCTGCCCCTACCCCACCCCCAGCAGTTCTGTTGGCCAGGACTTTGGCCCAGGAGAGAGGGGGTGGTGGCCGTGGAGGAGGTGGGCCACCACAGCTATAAAGACTGTCTTTCCGCTGCAGCTGGCAAGGACACCAGGCTGCTAGAGTCACAATCTGGTAAGACAGGGACGCGGTAGAGGGGGACAGGGGTGGCAGCAAGCGTCACTGTGTGAGACACTGTGTTAGAATCATGGAATTCAGAATGGTTTTGTATTTGCCCAGCCTGGCCTTTCTCCAGGGTTAGATTTCAACCTGTCTCTGTATCAGTTTCTCATTCAGAGTGTCGTTCTCTCTCTGTCCTGTGCACATTAGTCACCAAGAGTGTCTCCCATGTAGGGCTGGGGTGAGGTGAGAGAGTGAGGCTGTGGAGACAACAGGGCTTGGCTCAAGGTGACAGGAGGCACAGGGGACAAGCCACTGTCACAAGTGTCAGGAGGGAGCCATGTTCTCAGAGCATCTTCATCCATTCTTAGCAAAAGGTAGAAATTTTCTTCTGCTCATTGTTGGGCCAGAGCTGTTTACATGTAAGACAGCCTTCTTGAGAGAATAAAACAAAGAGGATGTTAGAATTAAGATTTTAAAGCTGGGCTCAGTGCAGCATGCCTGTAATCCCAGCTATGAGGGAGGCATAAGTGGGAGGATCAAGGTCTGAGTGTGGCACCAGGCAAGACCATGAAACCCTATTTGAAAAATAACTGCAGGGCTGGAACGTGGCTCAAGTGGTAGAGTACTTGCCCAGCAAGCCTGAGGCCCTGAGTTCAAACCCCAGTTCCACCAAAAAAAGAAAGAAAGAAAGGTCCCAGAAAGACACTTCCTCAAGTCCACACTTAGGAACACTTGCCGGCAGGAAGGGGACAGAGCAGGATCAAAGCCCTTTTCTGAGCTACAGCCTAGGCCTCACATACCCTGTGTTCCAGGTGCTAACACCATGGGCCCTCGATTCCTCCTGGCTCTGTGTTTTGTCCTCCTGGTATTAGCATGTGGTGAGTGGCCGTGCATGGGGGGTCTCAGAAGAGGGGGTGACCTGTCACCATCTTCCTGGCCTAGCTCTTGTGTACCTGCCTCTGCTACCTCTCTCTCTCTCCTTCCTGCCTGTTTTCTACCCAAATACCCAAGGCCTCATCAGTGCCTCTCACTTAACTATTATCCTGGGCTCCCCACAGAGGCCCAGCAAGACGAGCCTGCCAGCCAAACTCTGCTGGCGCAGGTGCAGGAGTCTCTCTCCAGTTACTGGGACACAGCTAAGGCGGCCGCCCAGGGTCTGTATGAGAAGACATATCTGACCAGCATGGATGAGAAACTCAGGTACCCTGCCCCTGTGGGAGCTGCATCCAGCTCTGACACCAGATGCCCTCAGACCCAGGAGTCTTGGCCCTAGTCTCTCCTCTTCCCTCAGGCCCAGGGTTTCAGGCCCCCAGCCTTCTCCTTCACATTCAGGGGTCCAGGCCCCTGTCCTCCTCCCTCAAACCCAGGAGTCCAGGCTTCAGCCTCCTCCCTCAGATCCAACAACCCAGGCCCCAGCCTCCTCCAGCCCACTGTCCTCTCTCTCCAGGGATATGTACAGCAAGGGTTCGGCAGCCATGACCACTTACGCAGGCATCGTCACTGACCAGATCCTCACTCTGCTGAAAGGAGACTAGTCCCAGCTAGGGCCCCATTGTGGTGAAGGGGAGAGCCTTGTCTCTGGCCCTCCCACCCCGCCCCCTGCTCCCCTGACCTTGCCTGGACTGGACTGAGCTCCCTGTCCCATCGTCTCTCAGCTCTCTGCACGCAACTCCAGCCTGCATTCTTTCAATGAAGGAATAAACAAATCCACATTTATTCTCTTTACTGTGGTTGCTTTTCTGAAGGCAGGGACTAAATAGGGGGACTGACTGAATCTAGCCAACACTGAATGAGCATCTACTGTCTGTCTGTAGGCCTAACCTGGAACCTTGTCTATGGCAACGAAGAGGTGACTAATAATAAGTAGCTAGGCATGATAGTGTACACCTTTAATCCCAGTACTGGGAAAGCTGAGTTAGGAGGATGATGAGTTCTAGGCCAGCCCAGGCTACATAGTGAGATCGTATGTATGTCTCAAATAAACACAGTAGGAAATTATAAAAACAAGGTATCAAAGCCTGGCTCACTCATCTGTAAAATCCTGGATACAGCTAATCTTTAGTGGCTTCTGACAGTCTCCAGGCCCTGGGCTGAGACTTTTTTTTTTTTTTTTAATGGTACTTCAAATAGAACCCAGGGCCTCTAATCCTAGGCAAGTGCTCTTTCACTGAGCCACAATGCAGCCCCTAAGTTGATGGTTCAAATGTGCTGTGGCAGTCAGTTGTCCAGAGTCCTGTGACACAGATCAGGCTCTGCCCACAAGTGCCCACTAAGCTTACACAATCAAGGTCTAGGCTGACAGAGAACCCGGAAGAGAGGTGGGCGGACATTGGGCTCTTTGACAATTCAAATACATTCACCTCCCAGTCATTTACTGAGACCCTACCAAGGTCTGGGGATTCCACACAGCATGGAAAAAGACAGCCTTATTTTCATGTGGCCCCTCAAAAATTCACTCGATGGGGCCTGTGCAAGACCACATCCTAAAGCTTCGTCCTAAGGCCACTAGTAGGGACACCCTGATCCCCAGAGAGCAAGAAGACAAGTGATAGGCATGTTTAGAACCCCAGCTACACGGAAGGCAGAGGCAGGGAGATCCTGAGCTCCATATCACCTCAGGCAAAGTCAGAGGAACCCTGTCTCAAAAACAAAAACACAAAACAAAAGGGCAGGGCTGAGTGGGAGAGTGCTTGCCTAAACCTTGGGTGTGGCCACCCTGTATACATAGAGTGTGGGAGCCCAGGACCCAGGATGCATCCTCTAGAAGAGCAGGAGGCCAGGATGGACCATGTCACAATGAAGCCTGGTTAGGGCTGGCTTGCTGGAAAGTGGACACAGAGGGAGGCTATGGATTGAGCCCCTAGGTCAGAGTTGGGTGGTGGTTGTTGGAAGAGGGTATCTGACCTCTGAGAATTGCAGACTAAAGCATAGTGTGTGTAAGAGCCAGTTCAGACTCCATGATTTGAGGCCTGTGGATGGAAGGCGCTGGAGGCCTGAGGGTGCTCCTGGCCCCCTAAGCCCATGAATGGGGCTGTTGGTTTCTGAGACTCCGTGGCCTGGATTTCCCCTACTTTGTTTGGCATTACCCTCCAACCAGTCTTTCAACACTCTCGGGGCAATCTTCCCAGGTCCTGTGGTCAGGCAGCTGTGAGCCCAGTAGAAAACAGGGGCCCGTGCAGGGGCTGCGGGCAATGCCCCCAAATCCCCAGGGCCTGGGAAGAACTGAGTCTGCCAAGCCCAGTGGGTGACAGGGAGGGGGAGGCCCCGAGGGAACAATCCCTGCTCTGTCCACTTGTTTCCCACGGATTCAAGCCAAATCAAATCACTGGCCCAGGCCAGTTCCTGCTCCCAACCAATCTGGGTGTCATTCCCAGACTCCGCCTTTCTTTCTCAGACTCCCTTCAGGACCCCAGCATCCAGGTTCCCAGACACCTCTAAGAACTTAGCAATTCGGGCCGTAGACGCCTCCTCCATTTATGAGCCTGGTCCCAGACCATTTCTCCTCAGGACCTAGAAGATGGGGTCCCCAGTCCCCTTTTACCCTCAAAATCTAGAACCATAACCCCTGGTGGGTGTTGGGCGCCCCCTAGTGGAGGGCAGAGTGGCCCTATCCCAGGATCCACTTCAAAGTAAGAATGGAATTTATTTGATCACTCAACAGCAGGTTCCTTGCAAAACAGGAACCTGGATCCCAAAGGCATCTTGTGGAAGGTCACAGTCTAGATGAGTGCCTGGCAGTGCTCCAACAGTTGTGGCCCTGCAGTATAGGAGGCCAGAAGGGCCTTTTGTGACTAGAGTTGAGGAGCACAGGAAGATCAAAGTATAAGCTAGCTTCAAAGCGCCTCACTTGCCTGGGCTTTCTGTAGTCCTCTACCTAAATGTCAAGTGTTCATTTTATTTTTATTAAATTAAATTAATTAATTTTGCAGTGCTGGGGCTTGAACTCAGGAGCCTACACCTTGAGCCACTCCACTAGCCCTTTTTTGGTATGGGTTTTTCCCAGATAGGGTCTCCAGAACTCTTTGCCAGGGCTGGCTTTAAACCTCGATGCTTCTGATTTCTGCCTCCTGAGTAGCTAGGGTTACAGGTGTGAGCCATCAGTGCCTGGCTTTTATTTTTGATTTGAACTTGGGGCTTTATACTTGCAAGGCTGGTGCTCTACCATTTGATCCATGCCTCCTCCAGTCCACTTTGTTCTGGTTATTTTGGAGATGGGGTCTTGAGAACTATATGCCTGGGCTGGCCTCAAAATGTGATCCTCCTGATCTCAGCCTCCCAAGTAGGTAGGTAAGATTACAGGCATGAGTTATCCTCATTACGCCAGCTATCATTTATTTTTATTTTTAGTGCTGGGGATGGAACCGAGGTCTTTGTGCAGGCTAAGCAAGTGCTCTACTACTACTTCCCCTAAAGTTTAAATGTTTTTAGATATTTACTTTTGGCAGTACTGGGGTTTGAACTCAGGGTTTCATGCTTGCTAGGCAGGTGCTCTACCACTTGAGCCACTCTATCACCTGCGCATACTGTTATAATCCCTAATTTATACAAGTTACAGAAACTCGAGATATGTCACCTATGACGGGTCATTCAGCTAGCCAGCAGTAGAATCCGGATTTGAACCCAAGTGAGACCTCCATCCAGTTCATTAGTAGAGGTTTAAGTCTCTGATTTTCTCCCCTCCAGACCTCCCTGACTCCGTCTGAGGCCATCCACAGCACGTGTCCAGACTTGGAGCTGTGGAGGACACATAGCTAATGAAAAATGGTTTTATTTATTTATTTTTGGTGGGACTGGGGTTTGAACTCAGGGCTTCGCGCTTGCAAAGCAGGCGCTCTACCATTGATCCAGACGTCCAGCCCATTTGGCTCTGGTTATTTTGCAGATGGGCTCTCGCAAACTATCTGTTCAGGCTGGCCTCAAGTGCGGAATTCTTAAGAGCGCAACAAGCCAAGATTTGCTGGAAAGCAAAGGCCGCAGTAGGAACGCGCAAGCGTACTAAACTAGGCTGCCCAAAAGCTTGGGGACGTGTGACAGGGTCCTATACTGAGCGGTGCCCGAGAGAACCCTGAAATAGGAACTCTGAGTGCACAGAAGGACTATAACTTCTGGTGACTTGATGGAGTAAAGGTCAGCTTAAGGAAGAGGCGTCAGAAAGCCAAAGAACCGGGTTAACGGCTTTCTCTGCGAGCCCAAGTACGGCGGCCGAGCAGCTTCTTTTACCACCGGAAGGGCGGGGCGTGGGCGGGGCCTTTACAGCGGTACGGGGGCCGGAAAAGCTCAAGAGTCATTGAATGAAAACGACTGGAAGATTCTGCAGGCTGAAGCAGGCAGGATGGCATAGACAACCCACATAACTGGAAAAGGCGGGCACATTTAACAGGGAGGAATGAACAGACCTTGTGGGAAGTGCGTATGCTGCCAAAGAAAGTCCCGGGACTTCGGAACCTGCAGTTTCAACGAGGTGAAAACAAATACGCTGCAAAACAACCTGGTGGGAGGGGAAGGGGGAGAGTATGGTGGCCAGATTAGTCCCTTCTTGGCCGGAAGTGGCTCTTCTGGAAGGCGTGGCTGAAGCGCTCTTGCCGGATACGGTGGCCGGGTGGTTCGGGCAAAGTGTGAAATCTCGCGCGATTGCTCTGGCGCCGTCGGGGACGGGGCGGGGCTGGCGGCGGGGGCGGGGACCCGGAGCGGGAAGATGGCGGCGGCGCAGGAGGCGGACGGGGCTGGCAGCGCCGTGGTGGCGGCCGGGGGAGGCGGCTCCGGTCAGGTACGGAGGCCGAGAGGGACCTGAGGGTATTCTTCCCCCGGCGGGGGGCCTTCCACAGGGCGTGTCCTGTCCCTTTTCTCGGAATCTGGTGCATTGGGGGCTCCTTGCCCAGAGGGACCTTGAATATCGGGCCCAGGCGGGGCTGGGTGGCTCGGGAGGCCGGACAGTGGCGGGAGCGGGACCCTGTTGCGCGCCTGGTTCCCTGCACGCTCGCGCCGGGCGGCCACCGGGCTCATTGCTCGAGCCGGGGAGACCGTGGCGCGGAGGGGCGCAGTCTGCTACCTAGGAGTCCTAGGTTCTGGACTCCGCGATCCCGGCCGTAAGACTGATCCTAGAGTGGTGTGGCGTTCAGGATCTCGGTCGCATAGCCTGCGACGTGGGCAATGGGTAATGGCGAGTCCTCTCGCTCCAGGGAAATCAGGTAGTTAATCGTGGGTGAAGGCATGGGTTACGGAGGCCGAAAGACCCATTTTACAGACAGGAATCCGAGTCATAGCGACACTAAGGCGCATGTAGAAGGTCACTCAGGTTAAGGTGGGCATCCATTTCTTGTGGAAGCTGACCCTGGGTGGTCCAGACTGGGATGGGGGTGCTTTTAGCCTGAACTGGTCCTTATAGTCACCATATGAGAATTGGTCCTTGGTACCGATGACTTCTGACCCATTACTGCCTAAGCTAAACTGAGACCCCCCACAAAGCGTACCAGTTCAGGAAGCCACCATTCAGGCATCTGGGGAATGGATGGAGTGACAGCAAGGTGCTGTCGACCCACCTACTGGGTTGTCGCTGACATGTGGGAGGCAGCTCAGGGGAGAGGAGTGCAGGCTGGGAGGGGGGGGGAGCATGGAGTTGACTCTGTGTGACTGTGTGACCTTGGGCAAGTTCCTGTCCTTCTTTGAGCCTCCATTTCTCCAGTGGCTAACAGAGGAGTTGGACAGGAGAGCCAGTCCTGGGTTGAACCACAAAGATGGCTCCAGCCATGCCTCTGCTGTCAGGGAAGTGGGAGAGGAGACAGCCATGTAAACAGAGTTACAGTCTTGGATGACAAGAGTGGTGATAAAAGTCTGGATCAGAGACTTGAGGAGCCCAGAGAGGCAAATACCATCACCTGGGGAGGAGAGGAGGATGTAAATTGTGTGACAGAGCCCAGCATATGTGACGTGGGTGGTCTGGACTGTTGAACTGCTGGTTGAGTTCCTGGCCCTGTGTCCAGGGGCTTTGTGGACTCTCTGAGAGCCTTTCCTCTAAGTTTCTGGTGTTACTGGTAGGGATGGCCCAGACCTTGTTCCTGACTGCCCTGAGGTGCCACACACCCAGATCCTCCCTGGGCCCCACTCTGCTTGAAAACTTCAATACTCAGCCTTTGGCCTTCAGGATAAAGTGCACATTTTTTTTTTCTTTTCTTTTTTTTTTTTTTGTTGGGACTGGGGTTTAAACTCAGGGCTTCACCCTTGTTAAGCAGGCACTCTATGGATTGAGCCACATGTCCAGCCCTCTTTTTTTTTTTTTTTTTTTTTAAGCAGATCAAGGCTTTGTAGAAGCTAACTTTTCTTCAGACTAGATAGGATTTCTCAAGCTGGCTAGTAGTGACATTTTTTGGACTGGATTATTCTTTCTTTATTTCTTTATGTTTTGGTGGGACTGGGGTTTGAACTCAGGGCTTCACACTTGCAAAGCAGGTGCTCTACCGCTTGAACCATACCTCCAGTCTGTTTTGCTCTGGTTATTTTGGAGATGGGGTCTCATGAACCATTTGCCCAAGCTGGCCTCAGGCTGCAATCCTCCTGATCTCAGCCTCTCAAATAGCTAGGATTACAGCTGTGAGCCACTGGTACCCAGCTGGACTGGGTCATTCTTGGTTGGGTGGCTACCCTGTGTTCTGTAGGACGTGTACCAGTACCCCTGGGCTCTACAAACTAGGTATCAGTAGCATATACACCCCTTCCTGTTTGTGACAACCAAAAATGGCCAAATGTGTCCTAGAGGGCAGAATCACCATGTGGGGAAAACAGTGCCTGGAAGAGACTTAGAACCTCCCTTATTTCCAGAGTGTACCTCAGATCTCTTGTTTTGGTTGCTTGAGACAGTATCTCAGTATGTAGCACAGGTTGATCTAGAACTCGTGATCTTCCTGCCTTAGCCTCCTGAGTGCTGGGATTAAAGGCATGCACCACCATGCCTGGCCTGCTTTGGTGACCTTTTCTACTTCTCAGATCTCAGATGGCTCCTCTCTGAAAGCCCTCTCTGTTCCTCTAGACAGGGTCAAGTGTCCGCTTGGGGCTCTCAGAGCCTTCTGGGGTCTTCTGCTCAAGCTTACCCATTGAGGATTGTCACTGTCTGTGGACAGGTGTCTGTCTCCTCTACTGGACTAGGAGCCTCAGGTGGACAGAGCCAGGACTGGTTTGGTCACCACTGTGTCTCTAGCCTTGCTCAGCTCAGAGGCTGGGCCAGGGTGGAATTCCTGAAGCGCATGGTGGACCCAGGCAAGCCATGAGGATGTGCTGCAGAGCTCCCTCGCGCTTGCCTAGCTCTTTCCTGCACAGCTGTTTCCCGGGCCCTTAGGACCTGTGCTTGAGAATCTGGTGCAAGATTAGACATGAAGATCCAAGGGCAGGGCTGTGTCTTAGTCTCTGCTGTGTCCACAACCCCTACCACCCTCTCCAGTCTCCTGTCACAGCAGGAAGTCAGACAGATCAGAGCCCCATCTTCATCATTCATTCCCTCAGTTGATCTGGACTGAGTGCTTACTGTGTGTTGGGGACAGTAAGCGGCCACACCCTCTTGGAACTCATGCTCCATGTGAGATGAGGAGGGAGAAGCATGGACAGGACAGGGACGTAGGGTAACAAGATAAATAAACAATACACAGAGCCTCAGATGGCAGTAAGTGCCCTGGACAGAAGGAAAACTGGGGTGGGGCTGAAAAGTGAGGGTGGCTAGGTAGAGGGCTGTGGTGTAAATAGAATGGTCTGGGAGAGCTTCTCTAAGGTGACACTTGACCTGAAGTGAGGAAGGAGTCACAAGGACATGTGAAGGAAAAGCCTTTCGGGTAAAGGGAACCAACAGTGCAAAGGCCCTGGGATAGAAGATACTCGAAGGATGGCAGGTGGCTAATCAGTGTGGCCAGGGGGTTATAATGGGGGTTTGGGGAGGTGTGGCATACCAGGCTACAGTGAGGGCTTGACCTTGCTGCAAGGGAGATGGGCGCCCATGAGGGTTGCCTCTTTATTGAGGTATGGTTTATGCCGTCTGTTCATCCGTGTCAGCGGAGCGCGCGGAGACTTTGCCGCCCAAGACCACAGTTCCGCCTGAGAGAACAGCTGTCCCTCCGTGCAGTGTCCACAGAGCCGCCTCCGGGATCCTCTCCTCAGTACCAGACCTTGGATACTCACGTCCCTTACGTAAACTGGCGTCGTATTTGATGGCGCCTACCCAGAAGTCCTCATTACCTGCCTCGCGATATGTAACACCATGCAAATGCTGGGGTTTCACCTTCAGCCACTCCACCAACCCTTTTTTGTGAAGGAATTTTTCAAGATAGGGTCTCACATATTTGCTCTGGTTGTGTTCGAACTGTGATCCTCCTGATGTCTACTTCCTGAGCTAGGATTACAGGCGTGAGCCACAGCATCCGGCTTATTTAAAAATTTTTTTGGGGGGGGCAATACTGGGGTTTGAACTCAAGACCTTGAGCTTGCTAGGAGGTCTGTACAACTTGAGACCTAGCAGCCCCGTGTGTGGCAGCCTTGTGTGTGTTTTGTGTTTGTTTTTCCTGAACATTTTCAGTCCCCAGTGGGTTAAATCCTTGGGCACAGAACCCACGGACACAGAGGAGCAACTGAACGTCCCTGCCCTCTGCAAGTTCCCTCATTCCATTTTGCAGTCAGTATCTGCGCCCAGTCCTAGGAAGCCACCAAAGTGCTTTCTTTCTCTATAGTTTTGTCTTATCTAAAAATTCCTTTTTTTCTTTTCTTGCACAGTCCTGGGACTTGAACCCAGGTCCCTGCTTGCTAGGCAAGCTCTCTACCACTTGAGCCACTCTACCAGCCCTTTTGTTTGTATTTTGTTTTTGAGACAGGGACTCCCCAACTTTGCCCATCCTGGCCTGGATTTTGTGAACCTCCTGCCTCTGCCTCCTAAGTAGCTGGGATTACAGGCACACACCATCCTGCCTGGCTCTAAAAATTTCTTAAATGTGGAGCTAGACAACATGCAGTCTTGTGTCTGGTTTCTTTCTCTTGGAAAAAGATTCTGAGGCTGGTGTTAGGTGGTTCCCTTTTGTGGCTTAGCAGTATTCCTTGACACATCCCAGTTTGTCCATGTATTCATGAAGGACTTGGGTGGTGTGTGGTTTTGGCTGTTGTGAGTATTGTGATGAACATGATGTAGGAGCTGTTTCGTGGACTTGTCTTCCCTGTCTTCCTGTGTCTTGTACAGCTGCCAGGCTGGGTTGCTGATTTGAATGATAGGTGTAGGTTTAACCTGGTAACCGCCATGTGTTCCAGTGTCTCGTGCATGTGAGGCCACTGCTCTACACTGAACCACGCCCCAGCCCCAGTGGTACTGAGGTTTGAACTCAGGGCCTCACACTTGCTAGATAGGCCCTCTACCACTTGAACCACTCCACCAACCCTTTTTTGTGTTGGGTATTTCGAGATAGGATCTCATAAACTATTTGCCTAGGCTGACCTCAGACTGTGATCCTCCTGATCTCTGCCTCCTGAGTGGCTAGGATTACAGGTGTGAGCCACTGGCACCTGACCTGATATCCCTGTTTCTTCACATTCACCAGCACTGGGGATTGTCTATCTCCCCATGATGGCCATCTCAGTGAGTACACGGTGCCCCTCACTGTGAGTGGAGATTGCCTGTTGGAAGGGTTCCTAGCTAGACTCTTCATCATTAACAATGAGAGAAGTGACTGGGGTGTCAACCCCGTGGGGGTCCAAGTGCTGATCTGGCCTCCAACCTCTGTTTCTGACCCTGAGTCAACTCAGACCTGCTGATAACCATGAGCCCTTACCGCAAAGCTGGCCTCGAGGAGGGGGCACCGGCCTATCTAGCCTGGCAGCTTGACCCTCCCCCCTCCAACCCCACCCATCCGGTGCTTTTCTTTCTCATTAGAGCACCCTTCCTAGGCTCCCCATGTACCTACCTGTGTCCCAGCCCCAGGACCTCACCCAGAGTGCAGAGGCAGCTCGTCAGAGGCCCTCGACTATCCAGTCCATAGTTCCTGTCCTGTTGGCTCTCACTTCCCCCTGCTTGTTTCGCCACAGAGCCTTTTTTTTGGGCAGCACTGGGATTTGAACTCAGGGCCTTGAGGGTCTCATGCTTGAGCCACCAGTGCCTGCCTCACAGAGCCTTTTCTGATTAACATTTTTTGTTAACTTTTTTTGCTTTAAAATAGTTTATTGAAATCTTTGATAAAACCAGGGACTTGTTTATATTATTTTCTTAAGACAGGTCTCTCTATGTAGCCCAGGCTATCCTCAAACTCATCCTCATGCCTCAGCCTCCCAAGTGCTGGGATTACAGTTGTGCACCACCATGCCTGGCAAAACCTGATTGTTGTGTAAGACAAGGTGAACATTAAGTAAATGTGTACTTTCTCGTTTTATTATTTTTTACTTTTTGGTGGCACTGGGGTTTGAACTCAGGACCTCATGCTTGCTAGGCAGGCGCTCTAACACTTAAGCCGTTCCGCCAGCCTTTCTTTTGAGATGGAGTTTCGCTGTGTTGCCCATGCTGCTCTTGAACTCCTGGGCTGAAGCCGTCATCCTGCCCCAGAGCCCCGTGGAGGGAGGGATTGCAGACTCCCATCCCTGCATGGCCTTAACCTTTTGGTTTTTTTTTTTTTTTGGTTTTGTGAGAGGGCTCCCTGTTTAGCCCAGGCACTCCTGGGAGTCTGGATCGTCCTGCCTCAGCCTCCTGAGCACTGGGATTACAGGCATGTGCTGCCATGCCCGGCCCCCTTGAACATTTTTAATTATTCTGTTTACTGCTGTGCAGGTGTGTTTCCCTCCAGGCCCTGTGCTCTGGGTGGGCAGGGCCCTGAGCTGTGTGGCTTCTGCTGGTGCCACTTCCTAGTGCCTAGAGCATGGTAGTGTGCAGGAAATCGTTCTTTCAACACACGAAGGAAAGGTTTGCTGTGCAGTTTGTACCAGTGTATTCACAGCCTGGCCCTTAGGTCTGAGAAGAAGTGCTGCATCCAAGGTGTCAGAGCCGAGGCCTGTGGGACCACAGCTGAGGTCTTTCTCCCTCCAGAGCCACATCTCTGACCTTAGTGCTGCCGTGCATTTTGGGAAATTACAGGAAAGAGGTTTTACTGGTGATGGGGACAGGAGGTGACAAATGACACATTTAATAAACGCTGGCCTCAGCCATGGTGGCCCTGACTGGCAGCAGTGCCTTCATGTGTTTCCCAGGTACTTCTGTCTGGTGGGCAGATAAAAGACATGGAAGAGTAGGCTCAGGGCTGGGCAGCCGGGCCCCAGGAGCAGTGGGTGATAGTGGCCCTGGCAGTCCCTTGAGGAACTGTGAGGTGCTGTGTCTCTGGCTCATGCCCTACTCTGTGCTGCTCCTGGCTGGGGAGCACTCCCAGGCTGGCCTGGCCCCTAGCAGTCCTGACTTGTCTCTTAAAGTTGACAGGTGAGGGGACGGGGATGCCAGCAGGGTGCAAGGAAAGGGCCAGGCAGGATTTCCCCATATCCACAGCTGACTTTTCAGAGTTCTGCTTTAGAGCAAAGGTTCTTCCCCTGGCAGCTTCGCCACCCCGTTACTCTCTGTAGTTGTTGTCATCCTTGAGTGACCCACACAAGGTGGCAGAACCTCTCTGAAGCACCGTTTGCTCATCTGCTGGGAGGAGCCATGCAGAGCTCTAGCCTGGGTTTGTGTGTGAGGCTCCCTCGGTTGTGATTCTGTGTCTGGGTCACCTGCTAGACCAGCAGCCCCTGGAGGGCAGGGCTGGGCACACAGAGCTGTTTGCCCAGGGAAGGACCTTCAGATAGGCCCCCACCTCACACTGGCTCCTGCTCGGGGGCCCTTTTATTGTGGCCCCCAGTAGCCACTTTCTCCATCCCTGCTCCAGCCTCCAGAGCAGTAACAGCCTTTAGCCTCAGACCGACTGCCACATGCTGTGTACGCACCTGCCACAGCCCTGGTGCGCCAGCATGCTGTGATTTAGGTCTCAGCTCCCTGAGCCTCAGGCGGGACCAGGTGGTCACTCTGGGCTCCCTCAGCCCAGCCTGCCAACTGGGCCAACACTGTGTAGAGACAGTGTCTGCCTAGGGGATGTCGAGCCCCAGGAGGGTAGTCTGGGACAGTGTGGGGGGCACAGGTCAGCCCCAGTCTACACATGACAGAGCGCTGGGGGTGGGTTCCTTCTGGGAAAAGGAAGACCGAAGCCTTCCCAAGGTGCCCCTGTTTCTTGGCCCCACACGGGATGCCTAAAACCCCTGACGTCTCAGGTCCCTCTTTCTTCCTCACCTTTCCTTTGTCTGCCACAGGTGACCAGCAATGGCAGCATCGGGAGGGACCCGCCGGCCGAGACCCAGCCCCAGAACCCAGCACCCCAGCCAGCGCCCAACGCCTGGCAGGTCCTCAAAGGCGTCCTGTTCAGGTGAGTGGGAGAGTGTGAGGGGGAGGAGCCTGCTTGTTTGTTCTTGTGTGTAGAAGTTTTTGCTAGAGGTGGAACCAGTGCCTGATGCTTGCCAGGCAGGCGCTCTGCCACTGAGCCACACCCTAGCCCTTTAGCTCTTTACCTTTTTATTTTTATTTATTTGTTTAGTGGTTCTAGGGTTTGAACTCAGGGCCTTCATCTTGGGCCACTCCACCAGCCCCACCTTTTTCTTTTTTGGTCAAGGGTTTTTTTGAGATAGGGGCTTTCAAACTATTTGGGCTGGTTTCAAACGTTATCCTCCTGATTGCTGCCTCCTGAGTGGCTAGGATTACAGGTGTGAGCCACCAGTGCCTGGCTTTTTTTTTTGAGGCATGGTCTCCCTATGAAGGCCATGCTGGCCTCAATCCATAATCTTCCTACCTCAGCCTCCCAGTGCTGGGATTGTAAGTATGCACCACCACGCATAGTCATTTAGTAGTTTTTACTGTGCTAAAATTCAGAGTTGGTTTGCCAGGGTTGCTATAGCAATACGACGGACAACTGCAATGCAGCAACGCATTTCCTCACAGTTTTTGAGACTGGAACACCCAGATTAAGGTATCAGCAGGTGAATATCTCCTCAGGCCTCCCTCCTTGGCCTGCAGGTGGCTGTCTTCTGTGTCCTCACATAGTCTTCCTCTGTGCAGGCCTGTGTCGTGATCACTTAGAATGAAACCAATCAGAGTAGATTAGGACTGAATTTAACCTTACTTACTGATTTATTTATTTACTTATTCATTTATTTGAAGATGGTCTCACAATGCAGCCCAGGCTAGTCTTGAAACTGAAGATCCTCTGGGTATCAGTGGCTCATAGCACTAGAGTGGCTCAATGTGTAGGCCCTGAGTTCAAACTCCAGTACTGAACCCCAAGACCCTCCTGCCTCCGCCTCTTGAGAATGTTGGCATGCATCACCGTGCCCAGCTCATTTGTTTTTTTACCTCCTTATTCTTTTTATTTATTTATTTATTTATTTATTTATTTTTGGCTATACTGGGGTTTGGACTCAGGGCCTCACGCTTGCTAAGCAGACAATACCACTTGAGCCATTCCACCAGCCCTTTTTTTTTGTGATGAGTTTTTCAAGAAAGACACTCAACTATTTGTACCTGCTGGCTTTGAGCCACGGTCCTGATCTCCGCCTCCCGGATAGGTACTATTACACGCGTGAGCCAGTGGCACCCCGCGACCTCCTCAGTTTTAAAAATGTTCTGTGCTGGGGATGAAACTCAGGGCCTCACGTGTGGCAGATGTGCTCCAGCACCAAGCCAAGCCACATCCCAGCCTCTTAGCCTGTTGATTAAAGGACACATGTCCCCACACAGTCCCTGAGCTCTTGAGGACTATTCTCAGTGTGAGAATCCTAGAGGCACAGCTCAACCCACAACCTCATGACCCATGCCTAACAGAAAATATACCATTTTCACACTTTTTGTTGTTGCTTTGAGATAGTCTCACTATGTAGCCCAGACTAGCTTTGAACTCTTGATCCTCCTCCTCCTGCTTGTGCCTCCCCAGTCTAGGATTACAGGTGTGAGCAACCATGCTCAGATTAAATGTGATTTTGTTTTCTTCTATTTGTAAGCTAGGGATTAAATGAATAGAAATTTTTTTCTTTTTGTTTTTTCCTTTTTCCTGACAGTTGTTTATCACAATGGCAGGTATGATCCTCCTACTGTTGCCTCCTGAGTAGTTGGGATTACAGGTCTACACTGTCAAACCTGTTTTTGACAAGCTTAATGCTTGTAAAGTAGGTACTCTACCACTTGAGCCACACCTCCAGTCCAGAAATACATTCTTTATCCACTCATTTCCCCCAGTCAATTTTAATGTTCCAAAGTTTAATTAACAGAGCAGGGAATGTGATTTAAAAAAAAAACAAAAACACCATTTTAAGCATACGCTCCTGTGGCGTGAAGTATAGTCGCACTGCCATCACACTGGCCAGAACCTTTTCATCTTTGCAGACTGAAACACTGCAACCAGTAAGTACAAACTCCTTAGTCCCTCCTCCCCTGACTTTTTTTTTTTTTGTGGAACTGGGGTTTGAACTCAGGGCTTCACTCTTCCAAAGCAGGCACTCTATGGCTTGAGTCACACCTATAGTCCATTTTGCTCTGGTTATTTTGGAGATGGGGTGTTGACAACTATTTGCCCAGGCTGGCCTCAGACCTTGATCAGCCTCCCAAATATTTAGGGTTACAGGAGTGAGCCACCACTGGTGCCCTGCTAGACAGGGCTCCACCACTTGAGCCTTTCTACCAGCCCCGTCCCAAAATTTCTGAACCATCTTTTCATGCTCTGTCTCTGACCCTTTTCATTCTAGTGGCTTTTCAAGGGAATGGAATTGATGGTATTTCTCAGCTGTGGCTGGTGGCAGTGACCTTTTGCGTATGAGTTCATGTTCCCTTCCCTGGGGAAGGGATCCCAGGGCTGCTTCCTCAATGCTGACTTTCCTGAGCCCTAGGAGATGCTGTGTGTGAGTGGGAGACATCCCTGGCACTGGGTTTTGTCCTTGTCTGTCTAGATCCAGTGACAGTCCCCTTCTGTGTCCTGGACCTTTATCCACCTGCACAGTGGACTTTTTTTAAATTGTTCTTTTTAGACACGTGCTTTAGCAAAATGGCCACAAGTCCAGGCCATGCAGTCAGGCAGTCCACTTCCCCTTTCATTTTTGAGTCTCATGGTACAGGAGTGTACAACAGTCTTCTCCTCAGCTGGAGTGTCCATACCACACGTGGCCATGCCAGCGGCAAGGGAAGCTGGGGAATGAGCACCCCACTGATTACTAAGGAAAGGGGAGAAAGAGTGGCTTTGTGGGAGCAGTCGATAATCTTAGGCCAAACAATGGCTCACTTTCAGAGGTCCAGAGAATGGAGGTTCAAGACCAAAAGTTAGCAAGACCTCATCTCAACCAGCAAAAGCTGAGTGGTAGTGCATGCTTGTAATTCCATCTGAGGGGGTCATAGGTAGGAAGATCATAGTCCAAGGCCAGCCAGAGCAAAATAGTCAAGGACCTATCTGAAAAATAACAAAAACAAAAAAGGGTGAGGCATAGCTCAAGTGGTAGAGTGCCTGCCTACCAAGCATGAGGCCCTGAGTTCAAACCCCAGTACTGCCAAAAAAAAAAAAACCAAAAATCTCTCTTAGTAGATTTTCCCTTAAACTTATATGTGGTTAATATATAAAATAAAACAATTCATAAGAGTAAGACAAAAGTGTACGAGCTGGGATGTAGTCCAGCAGTAGAGCACATGCCAAAACCGGAGGCTGCTCAGGTCCCTTCTATAAAATCCCACAGAGTTTGCGCAGAATCTGCACACAGCCTCTATGTGCTTTAATACCACACTCTAACCAGCTGAGCTAACCGGCCACTGCATTCTGTGTACTTTAAATCACACCATACTTTGTACATGTTCAGAACAGACACTGCTTTTATTTTCAAAAGTTTTCAGTCCTGAGTCCGGCGCTGGTGACTCATGCCTATAATCCTAGCTACTAGGGAGGCTGAGATCAGGAGGATCATGGTTGAAGCCATCCCTGGGCAAATAGTTCATGAGACCCCCGTCTCCAAAAGAACCGGAGCAAAATGGACTAGAGGTATGGTTTAAGTGGTAGGGTGCCTGCTTCGCAAGTGTGAGGCCCTGAGTTCAAACCCCAGTCCCACCAAAAAAAAAAAAAGTTTTCAATCTGTTTGATTGAATCCATGGATGAGAAACCTGCCAATGTGGAGGGCTAACTATAAGGAAATTGGGGGTGACGATCCTATAAACACTTATCTTTGTTTTTTATTTATTTTTTTAATGGAGGTATATGGGATTGAACCCACAGCTTCGATTATGCTAATCAAGTGCTCTTACTGGCTGAGCCATACCCCCAGACTTTTTTATTTTTTAATTATTATTATTATTATATTTTTTTTAGCAGTACTGGATTTTGAACTAAGGGTCTTGGGCTTGCTAGGCAGGCACTCTACTAGTCCTTTTGTTTTTACTTTTCCTTTTTTTTTTTTTTTTTTGTGGTACTGGGGTTTGAACTCAGGGTCTACACCTTGAGCCACTCCACCAGCCTTTTTTTTGTGATGGGTTTTTTTTTGAGATAGGATCTCAAGAACTATTTTTCCACACTGGCTTAGAACTGTAATCCTCCTGATCTCTGTCTCCTGAGTATCTAGGATTTCAGGCGTGAGTCTCTGGCACCTGGCTTTTAACTTTGCTTTTGAGACAGGGTCTTACTAACTGCCTAGTCTGGACTCAAACTTGGAGTCCTCCTGCTTCAGCCTCCTTAGTGTTTTGGGGGTGTTTTTGAGACAGGGCTTCCCTATGTAGCTTAGGCTGTCCTTGAACTTATGATCTTCCTGCCTCAGCTTCCCAAGTGCTGTGATTATAGGCATGCACCAGCATACACAGTTTTATATACTTTTGCAATTGACCCTAAGTAAGATTATGTAAGGATCCTCAGAGGAAGATGTGTTTAGGGGGAGAGGTTTTTTTTTTTTATCTTTTCTTTTTTGGTGTGGGATCGAACCCAGGGCCTCCAATATGCTAGGCGGAAGACATTTTTAATATAGAGAAAAATTAGGAGCAATTTGTACAGAGTAGCAGATTAAGCTGGGCGCCTGTAGCCTATAATCCTAGCTACTCAGGAAGCAGAGATCCGGGGGATTGTGGTTCAAGGCCATCCTGGGCCAAATAGCTCTTGAGATCCTATCTTGAAAATATCGAACACAGAAAAGGGCTGGTAGAGTGGCTCAAGTAGTAGAGCACCTGACTACCAAGCGTGAGGCCCTGACTTCAAACCCCAGTGCCACCAAATAAATAAATGGATAAATGGCAGATCACATGTCAACTAACAAAATCAGCAGGGGTCAAGTAACCTCAAATAGCATGGAAGAGCATGGGCTCCAACATCTCAACCTTGCCACTTGTGAGCTGTTGCCCGCTCAAATGACTACCCTTCTTGTGTCTCAATTTCCACTGCACAGATAGAAGTCCTATGATGTGAGTTTATGAGAATCCATGTCACCAGGGTATATGAATGACCTGGCCTAAGCTTAGACCATCTTGGCCATAACTGCTTTCTTGGTTGTTCAGTGTTGGAAAAAAAAAAAAAAAAAAAAAGAAAGAGTGGGGGAGGGAGGGAGGAAAGAAGAGAGAAAGAGAGAACTCTAGGCTGGGGATGTAGCTCAGTGGTAGAGCACTTGCCTGGCATGGAAGAGGCCCTGGACTCAATCCCAGCACAACAAAAAGGGAGAAGGGAGGAGGGGGAGGAAGGAGGTAAGGGAGTAAGTCTTAAGAGTCAGCTGAAACAACAGCCCATGGTGTCTGACATGTCACCCATCATGCTCTGGTGTGGGACACAGCCACTTGCCTGGGCCTGATGTCTTCCAGGAGTGCCACATAGGACGCCAGTGACCTACGTAGGACCAAAGCCGCCTCAACCTGGGTGTCATTCTTGCCAGGTGTGCCCCTGGCATTCCCTTGGAGCTGGGTCCCTGACCCCCTTGGGCCAGCCCCACGGGCACATAGGGATTCAGAACTTCCTGCGGCTCTGCGTGAAGATGGCCTTTGTCCTTGCCTGCAGAGTGTACACAGCCTGTTCTACACGCTCCCCTGCTCCTGGGTGTTTTTCATTAGTGCTATATCTGAGAAATCTTTCAGAGAGCTTTCACACCGCCTTGGGTGGCTCCTCGCCTGCCTTGGAGCCACTAGCACCAGATGACAGTGCAGGGTGTGAGGGGAGTGCTCCCTGCTCCTCCTTGTTTCTTTGGTTATTTTCCAGATAGGGTCTTGTGTTTTTACCTGCATAGCTGGGACCACAGGTGTATATCACCACGTCTGCCTTATTTTTTGAGATGGAGTCTTCATAACATTTTGCCTGTGTTGTCTTCAAACCTCGATCCTCCCAATCTCTGCCTCCTGAGTTACTGGCATTATAGACAGGCCTGAAACTCCAGATCCTCCTGTCTCAGCCTCCTGAGTGCTGGGATTATAGGGGTGCACATTTGCACTCCATGTGGGCAGGAGAATTTAATGTCTGTCTTGTTTGCTTACTCAAGTAAACTGACAAGTGCTAGGAATGTCACGTCTCCTGCAGGCCTGAGTGCATGGAGGAAGGGCCGTATCCACAAACCCTCCAAGAGGGTCCCCAAACGGTGATGGCCATAGCCACGTGTTCTCCAAAGGCCTGGAGATCTGGAGTCCCAGGGAGGATGGACTAGTCTGCCTTCCTTCTACTAGGGGCCGGAAGGTCAGTAGGATGGGGACTCCCAGGCCACTCATGGAGCAGGGCAGTGCTGCCTGTGGGCTCCCTGCTCTCTCCTGCTCTCTGGAGTATTTACTAAAACAAGAGTCTCAAGTGGTGGTATCAGGGTCCCCAGAGAGTGCCTTTCAGACCTTCACAGCCATGTGCATCAGGGACATCTTGGGGAGGCAGCAGATGGCTGAACACAGGGCCCTGGGACTTCAACAGGCCGAGGCAAGTCCCTGTGCCCGACCCTGCCCTGATCCATTAGGGCTTCTCATGGCACTTTGCTATTCCATAGGATTTTGTTTTCTTGTTTTTCGGTGCTCGGGATCAAACCCAAAGTCTTGAGCATGGTAGGCAAGCACACCACCACTGAGCTACACTCCCAGTCGTGCAACCAATAATAGCAAATGGTCCTAAAGGACTCATTGGGTACATGCCAGGCTCCATTCTGGTGATGTGTTGTGTGTGTAACATTTAATGCTTACAGATAGCCCTGTGAGGGGATGCTGATAGGACCCCTTTCACTGTTGAGGGAACAAAGGTTTAGAAAGGTTAAGAGTCTTGCCTGAGAGCTGTAATCCTTGCACTTGGGAGACTGAGGCAGGAAGATCATAAGTTTGAGGCCAGCCTGTGCTATGAAATGAAACAAATACTTAAAATAAGTATTTTGGCCTGGTGCTGGTGGCTGACACCTATAATCCTAGTTATTCAGGAGGTAGAGATCAGGAGGCTTGAGGTTCAAAGCCAGTTGGGCAAGTAGTTCATGAGACCCTATCTCAAAAAAAAACCCATCACAAAAAAAGGCTGGAGGAGTGACTCAAGGTGTAGGCCCTGAGTTCAAGTCCCAGTAAAAAAAACAAAAAAAGGATTTTTGATTTCAGCTTTTTTTCTTCTTTTAATAGTTGCACAGACATAATGACATCTTTTTTCTTTTTTTCAGTATGAGATATCTTGAGAATAGCTCCCAATTCTAAACAAACTTTTCACGTCCTTGTCCACCTATATCTGTAGCCTGAAGGTAATTTTATACTGGCTTTTGTTTTGTTTTGCTTTGTTTTTTCAGTGCTAGGCTGCCCCCTTCCCCTACAACAGAGTTTTTGTGGGCCTGTGTTTTGACTGCAACCCATCACATGAAGTTAGATGTGTGAATTTCCTTGTGACTTCCCTTTGGTACTCCAGAGGTTTCAGATCTTGGAGCGTTTGGGATTTGGGGATGAGGGATGCCCAGCCTGAACTGTGCGTTAGAGGGAGGACTCTCACCTGTTCCATATCACTTTTGCCTCTGTAATCAGTGAGTGCTTGTGCTGTTGTAATCACACAATTGCACTTGTGTGAGAGACCGAAATCAACACAATAGCAGTTTCTTCCTTTCTCATGTGCCAATTGGGCTGTAGGCAAACTTGGATTCTGGTGATCCAGGCTACTTCTTGGTTTCTGTTCCACCCTTGCTAGATTTTGCATCTTATCCTTATGGCCTAAAATGGCTGCTAAAGATGAGGCCATCACGTTCACATTCCAGGAGGCAGGATGGAAGACGAAATCAAGAAGGGACACTTTTTCCCTTTTTTTTTTTTTGGCAGTGCTGAGGTTTGAACTCAGGGCCTACACCTTGAGCCACTCCACCAGATCTTTTTTTCTTTTTTCTTTTTTTTTTTTTTTTTTTGTGATGGGCTTTTTCAATATAGGATCTCACAAACTGTATGCCCAGACTGGCTTTGAACCTTGATCCTTCTGATCTCTACCTCCTGAGTAGCTAGGATTACAGGCATGAGCCTCCAGTGCCTGCTTTCTGAATAGTTTTGATCTGAGATTGGTTGACCCGTTGATTCGGGACCTGCACAGAGAGCTGTGTCAGTATGTCTTGGTATATTCTTAGATCATGATTTTTATCAAGTCTTTTTAGGTCTTTCTGATTTGAGAGTGGTCTGAAAAACCTAGTCCAATATAGCAAGTTTCAGTCCAGCCCAAGCTAAATATAAAGAGCAAGATAGTGGCTCAAGAAACAATGCCTAGCTAGGTGCTGGTGTCTCATGCCTGTAATCTTGACTGCTCAGGAGGATCGAGGTTCAAAGCCAGCCCAGGCAAATAGTTCACTAGACCCTGTCTCAAAAACACCCATCACAGAAAAGGGCTAGTGGAGTGTCTTAAGGTGAAGGCCCTGAGTTCAAGCCCCAGTACCACAAAAAAAAAAAGAATGCCTAGTAAGAGTATATAGCCCCGAGTTCAAACTCCAATACTGCCAAACAAAACAAACTAGCTGAGTGAGGTGGTTCATGCCTGCAATACTAGCTCTTTGGGAGGACGGAGATTCTAGGTCAGCCCGAGCAAAAAGTTAGTGAGATCCTATCTCAATAAAAAAGCCACATGTAGCCAGGCACTGGTGGCTCACGCCTGTAATCATAGCTGCTTGGGAGGCTGAGATCAGTAGCATCGAGGTTTGAGGCCAGTCCCAGAAAATAGTTCTTCAGACCCCATCTCCAGAATAACCAGAGCACAATGGACTGGAGGTGTGACTTAAGTGGTGAGCACTGCTTTGTAAGCACAAAGTCCTAAGTTCCCAAGTCCCACCAAAAAAAAAAAAGAAAGAAAGAAAAAGGCCAGGCATGGTGGTGTTCACCTGTGTTCCCAGATATGTGGGAGGCACAGATAAGAGGGTCTTGGTCCAGGCCAGCCCCAGACAAAAGCTCAAGACCCTCTTGGAAAAACACCTAAAGCCAAAGACCTGAGGGCGTGGCTCAAGCCCCAGTGTCTAGAGATAAATACTAACCCGTTCCTACTGCTTCTCCAGTTTTTGGTTCAAATTTGAAAGCGTTCTTTCTGAGGTTCAGTGCCGTTATGTAGCTGACATTTCAGATTCTTAACATCTTCTTTCTGGGACCCCGGGGACTGGCCCATCAGGTCTCTCAGCTCTGAGCCCTGTGGTCCTGTGGCTGGCAGGAGGTTCTAGATGGCTCAGGGTGGGCCCTGCGCAGAGAGCAGCACAGTCCCAGCCCCATGCACTAGCACGGTGGGATCTGGAGTCTCTCCCGACATCCTTTGCAGGCACCTGGTTATTACCAGCCCCGTGACTGCCTTTTCAGGGACCTCCTTCACTTGGTCACCAGCCCCAGGTCAAGTCCCAGGAGGCCAGGGGCCTGACCGCTGCGCTGCTTCCCTCCTCAGGATCTTCGTCATCTGGGCCCTCAGCAGCTGGTTCCGCCGAGGGCCGGCCCCTCAGGACCAGACAGGCCCCGGAGGAGCCCCGCGCGTCGCCAGCCGCAACCTGTTCCCCAAAGACACTTTAATGGTAACCGTGGGGTAGGGGTGTGGCAGTGTGACAGGTGATGAGGGCATTGGGATCAGAGCCGTCCCTGGCTGCTGTCAGCTCTATGAATGGTGGAGTTGAGGAGCTCTGGCTGCCACAGCAGGTGACACATGCCACTCCAGCAGCACCATGAGGAAGCAGTGTACTGTGTGACTTTTGAGTGATGGTCTCTTTAGGGAGAAGGGACAGCAAAGGCTTTGCTCGGTTGTTTAAAAGCTGTCACAACAGGGTCCTTGGTGTTTATTGCACAGCATGCTTGGCCTTTGCAAGTTAGGGGAGGCAGAGGTTCCACCACGGGCGCCCAGACCTCCTTGGCCTTAAGCCTCCCACCTCTGCACTCTCTGGGGTTCCCACGCTGGGATTCACAGGACTGTGACAGGAGGGGACCACTGCTCAGCTGATCAGTGGGCCTTAGGGCTCTGGTTACAGATTCTGAGAACAAAGGTGGCTCCCCAAGCTGGCTCAGGGCATCCTGCTCCCTTTGCCCCCAGCCTCTAATTGGCAAGCTGGCCCGGCTCCCCCTGCTCTTTGTCCTTTTTCTTTGTTTTTTTTTCCTTTTTCTTTTTGTGGTACTGCAGTTTGGACTCAGAGCCTGGCTTTTGCACCATGCTTCCAGTCCTGAGAATGACTTTTCTTTTTTCCTACTGCACTAAGTGAGGATGGAACCTGGGGCCTAGTGCTTCCTAGGCGAGTGTCTTTCCACTTAAGCTACACTCCCAGTCCTAAGAATTATTATTTTATGGTACTGGGGATAGAACACAGGACCTCATGCACATGCCAGGCAAGTGCTGTACCACTGAGCCATGCCCCAGTTGATTCTGCTCTTTGACATCACAGCTCACCCTAGGGCAAGCGTGGTATCAGCATGAGTAAAGGGAAGTCCAGTGTATCAGTGCCTGTCCACCTTAGCATGCTGGCTGCGGCCCAGCTGCTCTTCTGCTGAGCCCTGGGTCTCTCCACCCTGCACAGAACCTGCACGTGTACATCTCAGAACACGAGCACTTTACAGACTTCAATGCCACGTCGGCGCTCTTCTGGGAGCAGCATGACCTTGTGTATGGTGACTGGACCAGTGGCGAGAATGCCGACGGCTGCTATGAGCACTTCGCTGAGCTGGACATTCCACAGGTGGGCAGCTCCTGGCCTTGGCCTGCAGCTGGAGGGCCTTCTCTAGGCCAGCCTCATCTTTGGCTCCCAGGCTCTGTGACCCAAGAGTCAGAATGAAATACAATCACCCAAGAAAGACTTTAAGGAAGAGTCTTTATTAGCCAGCTGGCGACTGCCCTGACCAACAGGTCGTTAGGTCTCAGAGCAGCCCCTTTCTAACTTTTATCAGGGTTTATACAGGCAAAAACCACGTCCTGTTTGACAATCATTGTGAAGCAAGGTAGCCCAGGTTCAGAAGCGAAACAATGGCTGTTAGTTGCCGTTGCGAAGCGTAAGTGAACACAGTCAACATAACCGTTTATCTGCATCTCACTTTGGTTCCTTCTGTTTTCCTTGTCTCTATGGGAACCAAACCTTTCATGAACCCCCTTCTACCCTTTAAGCTAAGGTGGCACATGATTAATGGCTTTCCTCTGGACTCCTGATTAATGGCTTCCCTCTGGCTGAGTCTTAACCATTTTAAGGTGTCTGGGCTCCTTTTGAAGGAAGCAGCTCCTTTTGATGGGGTGCAGTCAACTGGGGTCCTTTCACCTTTAAGCATTGAACTGTTAGTGACCATCCCTAAGGGTCTGCTCGTTGCCAGATTGTCAGGCAGCTGGGTTTCAGAATAATCCTAGGTAATGTTGACTGAGCACTTGCTCTGCAAAGCACCAGCTAGGCCAGCTGTGGGCACCTCTGTACCCCATGAAGTTGGAACTGTCATTATGAGGAAACTGAGGGGCAGAGAGGCAGGGTGTCTTTCCTAAGGTCATACAGATAGTGAGGGACTCAACACTTAAGTTCTCTGGTACCCCCAGGTTCAAATCCTGCCTCAAATCCCTGATCCTCAGCTTGGTTAAGCACCCTCTCTGGGTCTTCACAGCTGTGGGCAGGCATCCCAAGCCTGGCCCTGTCCATGTTGGGTCCTCACCCTCTGATGATAGATTTTCATTCCTCTGAGACAGCCCTGTGATGGTGAGGTTGGAGCAGTTTTGGTCACCTCTGTGTCCTCATCACTGTCCATTAGGACACTGGGTATAGAGTCAGTGAATGTTGACCATAGAGAGGGCTTTTTCTTTGGGGCCTTCCTGGGCTGAACCTCTGTACCTAGCAGGCTTGTTGGGGGCCAGGGCATGGCTGCACTGTCTTATGTCTGGGTGGCTGGAAGGGATGAGGTGGGTGACACCACCTGCAGAGACATCAGGTCTAGGTCCCACCCTGAGACGCAGGGCAGCTGGGGCTGGCTGGCCAGCAGAGAGAGCTGCTCCCCAGGACTTGGTCTCACTTGCTTTGAAGCTCAGGGTGCAGGGGGTGAACATCAAAGGCAGGCTGGAGGGGCCTAATAAATCCCAGCTGTGCCTGAAGGCCAGCCAGGGAGGACTCAGTCTGCCTTGGCCTTCCACCCAGTACCCTAGGCAGCTCAGCCTCAGTTTCCTCCTGTGTCTTGTGAGGAGGTAGAGAGAGCTAATAAGATGTGTGGGAAAGGCGTGGGTTGAGGGCAGAGGGTGGGGGTTGCAGTTGGAGCGAGGAGGTGGGCAGAGTTTGGGGGCAGGGCCGCAGGAGCCCACAGATTGGAGTTTCTAACCCTGTGTGGGAGCCCGGTGCTCATCGAGAGACAGGGAGGTAGTGTGGCCGCTTACCGCGCAGGACACGTGCGCCACCGTTCTTACTGAGCTTGCTGGAGTAGGGCGGTGCTGTCCACTGTGCCCGGAAGTGAGCAGACACAAGAGCGCCTCCCCGTCGGCTTTGCCCTCCTGCCTGGTGAATAGCCATGGCTGAGAGGTTGGGGCCCACGTAGTCCCGTGGGCCCTGCCATGGTGCTCTGGACGGTCCTCGTGGCAGCACTTGGTTATCATCACTCCTCCACAAGGGAGGAGGCCAAAACATGGAACACTCAGCTGCGTTCCCTGAGAGCATGGGCCAGCGACACATAGGTGCTGGCCTGCCTGTCAACCACCTCCTGCCTGCCTCCTGCAGAGTGTCCAGCAGAACGGCTCTATCTACATCCACGTCTACTTCACCAAGAGCGGATTCCACCCAGATCCCCGGCAGAAGGCCTTATATCGCCGGCTCGCCACGGTCCACATGTCCCGGAGTGAGTCACCCCTCTGCGGTCACCCCCTGTGGGCCCCAGGTCCAGAAGAGCAGGCAAGGACCCTGTGCTTGGGGACAGGGTTGGCAAGACAGGCTCGAACCCTGCCCACCTGTGTGAACCTGTCAAGCTCAGTAGTAGACTGGAGACGAGTGCGCTAGAAAGAAGGTAGGAGCCTCACGAGCACTCGGGAGGCCAAGGCAGGAGGATTGCGAGTCCCGGGCAGCCTGGGCTACGTTGTCTTAGACAAAGAAGGAAGCAGGTGGAGACAGGGACATCCGAAGGAGAGACTGCTCACAGAGGTGCTGCCCTGGTGACTTGTGCGTGACACGGACCAGTGGGAGTAGATGCTGGGCATAATGTGTGAACAAGCAGTGGACTGAACGAGCAGAGGGAGACAGGGCCCTTCAAGGTCAGTTGGGAGCTCTGGGATGGCATTGGTGTCAGTTGAGCCTGCGAGCATATGCGCTGAGGGAACATACTGCCTTTGGGGGAGTCTGCGCTGGTGGCTGTGCCGAGCCAGCCGTGCCGGTGCTCATATATGAGCAGTGGACTCCCGTGATGAAGGCAAGGCAGAGTGAGGCGTGTAACCGGATGAGGTCTTCGTTCCAAGGCCTCTCCCCCATTTCATCCTGCCTAGGCAGAATCCTGACAGCCCACCCATGCCTCTAGGGACCTAAAAGTGACCCCAAGAAGGCCCGGGTCAGGGCTGGACATTTGAAACTTGGGACGACCTGACATGGAAACCAAGGTTTTCTCCACCAGGGCACCTAGTCTAATGGTTTTAAAACTCTTGCTGCATGTGGGTCGTTTAAAATGCAGTCAGTGAGTCAAGTCAGTGAAGCCCACAGTCTTCTCCTGCCACCCCTTCTCATCCTGCTCGCCACATGTCCTTCCTGCCCCGCTTCTCTAGCTGGTTAACTGCCACGGCTCATGCTCACACAGCTGTGCTGCGGTTTCTTGGGTTTTCACTATTAGACATTATTGATTCGATTGACTTTGACCTCTAGAAGAGGAAATCCCAATACAGGAATACAGTTTCCATTAGATGAACACTCGGGGTTTAGGCCAGCAACAGTGGCTTCTTGAGACGCAGAGATTGGGACGATTGTGATTTGAGGCCAGCCCGGGCAGAAAGTTAGGGAGACCCCCTCTCAACCAACAAGCCAGGCATGGTGTGCAGGGGATGTCTGCAGTCTTCAGTGCTTTGGAGCATGTGGCTAGTATTCATGTCCGAGCCACACAGTGAGTCTGCTCACTTTTCCTTTGCTATCTAGCTTCTCATTTTCCCCGACGTTGATTGTTGTTCCTTTGTGTGCCTGTCTGTTTGTGACATTTTCTTGAGTCCTTGGTCTCTCTTTTTTTTTGATGGCACTGGAGTTTGAACTCAGGGCCTCATGCTTGCTAGGCAGGTGCTCTACCACTTGAACCACTCTGCCAGCCCTTTTTTATGTTGGGTTTTTCAAGATAGGGTCTCACGAACTATTTGCCTGGGCTGGCTTCGAATCAGGATCCTTCTGATTTCTGCCTCTTGAGTAGCCAGGATTATAGGCATGAGCTACACTATAATGAGCCTGGCCCGTGTATGGTCTTTTGACTGACAGCCACAGCAACTGCTCGCTGTCCCTAGGTTTCAGAAGCTTTGGTGAATGGCTCTCCCAGGGCCCCTGTTCTCCCAACAGCAAATTTTTGTACTCCACTTCGCTTTTATTTTATTGAGGACTATGCCTAGCATTCCTTTAGACTTGAATTTGTGGGCGGCTCAGTGACAGACATCTTTCCACTTATAAGCATTAGGTCTCCCCTGCTCCTTTTGGAATAAAAGCATCCTAAAGGATGCCCATTTTTGGTCTTTACCTACATTGGCTGGAATGAAAAGTTGGGAGGCCCTGTCAGTTCCCAAAACTGACTTGGAGAAGTCCGCTGGAGTTTGCTGGGCACATTCTAAGTAAGTGTGCCTGTGAGCAGGCTCAGAGTGTTCCAGCTGGCTGGCTTCCCTGCACTGAGTAAGATCTGGAAAGAAGCAGCAGAGGTGGCCCGATGGACTCTAGCCTACAGGGTAGTCCCTACAAGTGTGACCCCTCAGGTGTCTGTGTCAAAGGTCCAGGTTAAATTGCTGATACTCAGAGGTTGTTGTGAGTGTGGCCCAAATGGGCCATGACGATTGTGTCATTTCCCCTCACGTGGTGACTACCTGATCACCCTGCTGACCCTTTTAAAATCCCGGGTTTTCTGGGGTTTTCATCTGTGTTGCTGTGGGGTAAAGTCATGGGGGTTAGGGTGACCCATGTCAGTATGGTCTGTAAAGTAGACTCTGCTACCTGTGGACCTGGAAAGCCCCAGCTTCAGAGCAGGGACCCCTCTGAGCATAGATGTGGTGGAGAGGGGAGGTTGTGGTCACACTGTCACACCTGTAATCCCAGCTACTTGGGTGGCTGAGATTGGGAGGATCGAGGGTCAAGGTCAGCCTGAGCAAATATTTCTTGAGACCCATTTCCAAAATAACCAGAGCAAAATGGACTGGAGGCGTGGCTCAAGAGGTAGAGCGCCTGCTTTGCAAATGTGAAGCCCTGAGTTCAAACTTTAGTCCCTGTCCCACAAAAAAAGTCCCCCTCCAGAAAGCCAGGTCTGGGGGTGGAGAGCAGCATGCCAGAGAAGAAGGAAGCGAACAGCAGCCAGAACGCTGAGCCAGTGCAGTGTCCTAGAGGAGGCTGAGCAACCCGCACAGAGATACTAGTAGTAGCTGGCTGAGCTCAGCCTGTTGGCATTTCAACACAGAACCAGCGCGGAAGGAAAAGATAAGAGCTGTACTTTCCTTCTCTTCCCTTCCCTTTTCCTTGACACCCAGTTTCACTGTTAGACGTGTGTGTCATTCTCACAGTACGTCTACAGTTGGACCAGCCACATTCTCAGTGTTCTAGTCACCCCATACCAGGTGATGTGGCACTAGAAGCTTTACCTCTAGGAAAAAGGACTCTGTTCCCCATAGGAGCCAGGCGCAGCTCGTGTGAGAAGCCTTTCTCCACTGAGCCAAGGCCCCCTCTCTGCTGTGCCTTCCCCAGCCCTGCCTGCCCCGTGGCTTTGCTGGCACCAGCCCTTCTCCCTTCCCTGGTCTACCTCTCCCAGGTGTGGGACAGCAGCGGAGCATGTGCCCTGCAGTTTATCCTCCAGGATCCCCACCGTAGGGTGCTTGCTTCTCCCCTGGACCTGAGGTGCAGATCTCACACGAGTTAAGAAGGAAAGAAATGGGCTGACAGAGTGGCTCACATGGTAGAGCACCTGCCTACCGAGTGTGAGGTCTTGAGTTCAAACCCCAGTGCCACCAAAAAAAAGAGAAAGAAGTGGTGGCGATGATGCTTGTGTTAATAGGGTGGCCTATCCTGAGGCAGGAAGACATGAGGCTTTTGTCCCCATTCTCCAAAGAAGTGGGGACACTTCTCCGTAGCTTACAGGAGAGAAACCAGGACCTAAGCCCGGCTCTGGGCCAGCTCCCTGTCCCATCTCCTGTCTGGGAGCAGGGTGGAGGGGCCTGGCTGGTCAGGGCAGTGAGGCAGGCAGTTCTGCTTCCCAGCATCAGAAACGACCCCTCCTGGCGAGTCTCAACTGCATGCAGGGCAGGCTGGTGGGGAGCATGTGGCCAGCTGGGTCTGTGCAAGAGGAAGTAGGGTCCACTCGTGGCTGGGGATTCACAGCCCCAAAGTGTTTCTAGCGTTGATTTCTCAGCATTGATGGTACAGGCCTTTTCCAAAACTGTTTGGTGCCCCCAGGGTGTGTGTGGTTGTGTATTCAGTGGGTTGTCTCAACCTCTGCAGACGTCTGGCAGTGTTCAAGATAGGCTCTACCCTGCTACATGGGTTTGCTGATTGATCGAGGGGACAGAGCACCTGAGTGCCAGTGGGCAGGAGGATGTGCATCATGCCCGACAAGATTGTGAGCAGGAGGGCTGGGCAGCGTGTAAAGGAGAGAAAGGAGCCATTAGTCAGGGAGACTTGAGGCAGAGGAGAGCCACCCATGATGAGTGTAGGGGGGACACACCAGGGAGATGAGCAGCCCACCTGATGGCCCAGGGTCGAGGATGTGAGGGGAGAAAGGAGAGAGGTGGGTGTGGGTGGAAGGTGGGAGGGTATGGAGGTCTGCACAGGATGCTCATCAGATACTTGGGTAAAAAGAATCATTAGAGTCAGGCGTGGTGTCTGCCTGTAATCCCAGCACTCAGGAGGCTGAGGCAGGAGGATCACAAGTTTGAGGGCAACCTGGGCTACGTAGAAAGACCCTGTCTCGGGGGAAAAAAGAAAAAAAAAAAAAAGAAACCCATAGTGGCCTGTGAGAAGAAAGCCAGTGCAAAGGTGACCCCAGTCATCTGGAGGGGGAGTACCGCAGGAGATTTAGTGTCTTTACGATGGGGAAACGGCTGGGCTTGGGGTAGGGGTTGAGGCTTCCCAGGTAGTGTGGTCATCAGCGGGAGGTCAGGGCACAGCTGGTGGTGGGCAGAGGTCTGGCATCTGGACGTGCAGGTGCCTGCAGGCCTTACCCCCATTCCACCTTCATTCCCAGTGATCAACAAATACAAGCGCCGGCGATTTCAGAAGACCAAGAACCTGCTGACAGGAGAGACGGAGGCTGACCCGGAAATGATCAAGGTAAGTGGGAGTGGGAGTGCTGCCTGTGGAGACGGCGCCACAGAGCCATAGGGGCTGTGGGAACGCAGAGAAAGGATCAGAATTCGGCCACAGTGGGAGATTTTCAGACATCATTGCACCCAGCCCTGGGAAGTGGGCCTCTGCCACTAGTCCCATTTTCGGATAGGAACCTTTCCAGAGTCTCACAGGCAGGAAGTAGTGGGGTGGGATGCACACTCAGACACCCCAATAGCTGGCGCAGAGGAGGTGGCTTTTGGAGCGATTGCAGGCTCACCAGTGGGGTTGTGACTTCTGGTGGGCTGGTGCGACGGGCCTGGGCATTACCCCGTTCCTGCCTGGCTTCATGTGGCATGTGCTACACTGGACTTGCAGCCTGGCCCATGACCTGGGCCTGCTTCAGCCTCAGTGGGCTTCACTCTCGTGCTCTTGGGGGAAAAGATGGTGGGTGGTGGAGACGAGCATCAGGTCAGCCAGAGGGTGGGTACCAGGCTGTGCTCCACCAGTGTGGCTATAGAGGCTGACATCTCACTGTCAGAATTGTCACGGGCACCCTCAGAAGGGCATGAGCAGAGGCAAGGCCTATAGGCACCTCTGCCCGACTGAGTCCCACCACCTACCATGTCTTTCTGCAGAGGGCCGAGGACTACGGGCCTGTGGAGGTGATCTCCCATTGGCATCCCAACATCACCATCAACATCGTGGATGACCACACACCCTGGGTGAAGGGCAGTGTGCCCCCACCCCTGGACCAATGTAAGCCCAGCCTGCTGCAGTTTCTGGGGGCTGCGGGGAGGGGGCTTTGAGTCCTGTCCACTTGAGAGACCCTTGGAGATCTCCACCCTTCTGCCCTCTCCTCTCACGCCTTGGGTAACTCATTCTGGCTGATGGGTATCATCCAGTGCCCGAGTTGCCAGCTTTTGCAGCTCAGGAGTGTCACTGAGCACGGGGTTCCGGCTGTGTTTATGAAGCTGGGGATACAGTCACCCAGGCTAGCTGTGCAGATGCCAAGCCCCAGCCACCTCCTTCAGTTGGCGCCACTGCCCTGGCTACTTGGTGTCCTCCTTCTCCCCACCGAGGTCAAAGGGTCCTTTTGCTCCTCATGGCACAGCCCAGAAATGGCCCCTGGCTTCTAGTGTCTGTGAGAGGGGCCCCTCCAGGTCCCAGGCCCCTGGCCAGGTTAAGTGGTGTCCACTGTGTGCCCACAGATGTGAAGTTTGACGCTGTGAGTGGCGACTACTACCCTATCATCTACTTCAACGACTACTGGAACCTGCAGAAGGACTACTACCCCATCAATGAGAGCCTGGCCAGCCTGCCTCTGCGTGTCTCCTTCTGCCCACTCTCGCTCTGGCGCTGGCAGCTCTATGCTGCCCAGAGCACTAAGTCGCCCTGGAACTTCCTAGGCGATGAGCTATACGAGCAGTCGGATGAGGAGCAGGACTCAGTGAAGGTGAGTGTGGGCCGGGGCTGCCGCCTTCTTCCCAGCTGCAGGAGGCCAAGGGGAAGTGGCCCGGGCTGGGGACTCCCGCCTGGCAAGCAGGAAATGGGCCCCCCAGCCCTGGGGGCCCTGGCTTTTGGCTTCTGTTGCCCGTGTCGTGCTTTTTGTTTGCTTGACCAGGCCCTCTGTTCTGGACCTGCCAGTCCATTTCCTGACTTGATGTCTCTGCTTTTCACTGTGTCTTTTAGGGCCTTCTCTGTCTCTACTTCCACCGCATGTGATAATGAGGCTGGGCTTTGTTGCCTGGGACTAGGGTCACTGTTGGTTTCTGTTCCTTGCCAGAATCATCAGCCCATCTTTTCTGTCTCTATACTCCCCCTTTCCATCGCTACCCACCCTCTGGCCTACCCTCTCCCTGGCCACCACACTCCCTTCCTGGCCGGGCAGTCTCAGGGCCTGGTCTATGGGGTGTCAGCTGGCCCTTCCAGGGGTTCCCAGATATGGGTGGGGCCAGGTCTCACGTGGGGCATGCTTGTGGGCAGGGACAGGGTTGCACTCATGGCTGCCCCTACAGGTTGCTCTCCTGGAAACCAACCCCTACCTGCTGGCGCTCACCATCATTGTGTCCATCGTGCACAGTGTCTTTGAGTTCCTGGCCTTTAAGAATGGTAGGTGTGTGACACCTGGGAGAGACTGGAGGGAGGGGTCCTGTGGACAGGAGAGTGCGTGGCAGGGGAGAGGGCCTGCCCCTCCACCACACACATGCTTGCCCCCTGCTTGGGGTTTCTTAGCCCTGCTTGCCAGAGGCCTGGTGACCTGGGAAAGCTCAGCAGCCCCCAAACTCCCAACCCAGGACTTCCACTCACCGGGTGTGGAGCTGAGAGGGGCTGGGCCTGCTGTTTGGGCAGAATTCAGGGCGCCACCACCAGGAAGCAGGGCTGGGGAACTCCAAGGCCAAGAGCAGGGAAGCCCCAGAGCTGCTCCCGCACCCTGCCTGGCAGGATGCCTACCAGGGAGGCCTCTGGGGGCTAAGTGGGAAACATAGCCTTGTCCCCCAAAGGCCCACCATGCTAGTGGCCAGCGTTTGAGGAGTAGCCATGTGCCAGGCACTATGTTGGGCCCCTCACCAGGTAGACTTGGGTCCTAACAGCCACTGCCTGAGGCCTATTGTTACCCTGGACTCTGGTTGAGGAGGCAGGGGCTCAGGAACAGTAAGCCACTTGCCCATGGTTTCGCAGTGTTGGAGTGGCAGCTGCTCCAGCTGCTCATTCATCTTCCAGGCCAGGGCCCCGCAGCAGGAGGCCTGGTGTCCTACAGCCTGGGGCAGTGGCAGGAGCATGGAGCATTGTGCCTGTCACTATCAGGGCACAACTGAGTGCTCCCCTCTAGGAGGACACATGTGCTGTGCAAACCAGCAGCACTGCCATGGCCTCTAAGCCTTTCTGTTTTGCAGAAGGGTGTGAGCTGCCTTTACCTCAAACTGTGCTGCCCCTGATCTGAGGCAGGACCCACCCTCCACCCCCATCTCCAGACCTTTCTTTGCAGTGGGTCTGGTGGGCATGGAATATGGCCTGGCCTGGCCTTTGTAAGCCAGTCCTGGCATATTGGTCTCCTGTGGTTGAGTTAGATGTTCAGCCTGGCCAGGCTCACAGGTGCCCAGTGAGATGAGGGATCAGAGGGACATGGCTCTAGACGAGGGCTGTCCAGGTGGGACCACAGCCCAGGGCTTGTCTGTGCCTCAAGGGTGTCCATTGCCAGTTCCCTAAAACAGGTTTTTTTTTTTTGTGGTACTGGGGCTTGAACTCCAGGCCTACAACTTTGAGCCATTTCACCAGCCCTTTTTTTTGAAGGGATTTTTGGAGATAGGGTCTCACAAACTATTTGCCCAGATCCTCCTGATGTCTGCCCCCTAAGTAGCTAGGATTACAGGCATGAGCCACTGGCGTCTGGCTCCCTAACGGTTTTGCGGAGTGTCTGGAGGAGGGGTTCCCCAGGTATATGCCCCAGGTGTTCCCATCCAGGGGAGGTGGACAGCACCATGGTGTGACATAGACCCAGCTTCTATCCAGGTTCTGCTGTGCCAGGCTGCATGACCTTGGGGAAGCAGCTTTCGTGGTGAGCCCTTAGCACCTGGCACGTGGTGAGTACCTGTCTGTGTTGGCATTACCCTCACCACCAGACCTGGAAACCATGCCCTGGGTGCTGGTTTTCCTGTCCTATGTGAGGACTACAGAAGTCTTACCTGAGTTGTGCTCCAGGAGCACCCAGTGAACCAAAGACCCTTCATGAGAGAGAAGCCCCTCACCCTCCTGGCCCCCTTCCCACACAGATATCCAGTTCTGGAACAGCCGGCAGTCCCTGGAGGGGCTGTCTGTGCGCTCTGTCTTCTTCGGCGTTTTCCAGTCCTTTGTGGTCCTCCTCTACATCCTGGACAACGAGACCAACTTCGTGGTCCAGGTCAGCGTCTTCATTGGGGTCCTCATCGACCTCTGGAAGATCACCAAGGTCATGGATGTCCGGGTGAGTCAGCTGTTATGTTGCTGACAAGGGTGAGGAGGGGTCGCCTAGCCCCCTGGTCCCTGGATCCAGCTCTGGGGCTTTCCCAACACCGGCCCCACCCCAGGACCCAGGGGATTTCACACCAGGGGATTTTTTGGGTCACACATAGGGCAGGGAACTGGGAACAGTGGGGAAGGGCAGGAGTTGGGTCTGGCATGGGGGGTCGGCGGGAGCCAGGACCTCCACTGCCCATGGCCCTGTTCTTGTCTGCAGCTGGACCGAGAGCACAGAGTGGCAGGAATCTTCCCCTGCCCAACCTTCAAAGACAAGTCCACATACATCGAGTCCTCAACCAAAGTGTATGACGACGTGAGTGTCCCACCTCTGTGGGCAATCTGAGCCTCAGCTCCCATACACTCTTGAGGGACAGGCTGAGCAAACTGCCCGACCCACCCCTTAGGGCCAGTGTCACACCCTGTGTCCCCTGCCTTCCATATTTACTTCCTGGCCGAGTCCAGAGTTCCCAGGGCCACCTGGAAATTCCCCTGGCTCAGCCTGCCAGATCAGGTGCGGGTGGGTGAAGGCGGGGAGCAAGGGTGCTGGTCCCAGGCTGCCCACGGCCCCACAGATGGCGTTCCGGTACCTGTCGTGGATCCTCTTCCCACTCCTGGGCTGCTACGCCGTCTACAGCCTCCTGTACCTGGAGCACAAGGGCTGGTACTCCTGGGTGCTCAGCATGCTGTACGGCTTCCTGCTGACCTTTGGTGAGGGCAGGGGCAGGTGGCACATCGGGGGGCAGGAAGGGCTTCTGGAAGATGCATATTATCCCAAGGAGCCTGTGTTTGGGGGAGACCCAGAGAGCAAAGGGCAGCCAGATGGTCACAGCGAGAGATGAGTGTGGTGAAGGGTGCACGTTAGCCGGGGCTCAGGAGACCTCCCAGGGAAGGACCCTTCAACTGAGGCCTGAGGCTGCCAGGGAGGGGGCTATGCAAAGGTCCTTGGGCAGAGGGCAGAGCAAGTGCAAAGGCCCTGGGGTAAGCTGGACCTGGGGTGGTGGAGGAGGCAAGGAGGCCAGTATGGCCAGAGCAGAGCAAGCTGGGGAACGGAGGGACAGGCAGTAGGAGGCTCAGAGCTCTGGAGACCCTGCTGCACTCACAGTGTCCTTTGGTGCCACCACAGGCTTTATCACCATGACACCCCAGCTCTTCATCAACTACAAGCTCAAGTCCGTGGCCCACTTGCCATGGCGCATGCTTACTTACAAGGCCCTCAACACCTTCATTGATGACCTGTTTGCCTTCGTCATTAAGATGCCTGTCATGTACCGAATTGGCTGCCTGCGGGACGGTGAGGCCTGGCGGGCGCCTGGACTCCCGGTGGTGTGGAGGTGGGCGGGCTGGCAGGACTGGGGCCCTGGTCCAGGGAGCTGGCTACCTCCTCACACCATCCCTCCTGTAGATGTGGTTTTTTTCATCTACCTCTACCAACGGTGGATTTACCGCGTCGACCCCACCCGTGTGAATGAATTCGGCATGAGTGGAGAGGGTGCCACAGCAGCTGCGCCGCTGACCCCGGCCCCCACGCCCACCACGGCCACCGCTGGTACCAGGGAAGAGGCCTCCACGTCCCTGTCCGCCAAGCCCACCCTGGGGCACGAGCCCCAGGATGCCCCTCCAAAGCCAGCAGAGGACAAGAAGAAGGATTAGCCCTCTGGTCCTCGTCCACTCCGGCTCCTGTGACCACCGTCCCACCTCCCCGGCCCCTCGCCTCTCCTCCCTGTCGCCCTTTCCCTGGACAGATCAGGCCGGGCCAGCGGGAGGCCCCCTCAGGCCAGGGCCCAGCACGAGAGGTGGGGCTGCGGAGGCCAGGGCTCGTTGTGTGCGGAGGCACCGTCTGTCTGTCTGTCTGTCCTGTGTGTTTCCAGCCTTCGCCCTGCCAGCCCAGCACATCGGGAATCATGGGAAAGCCAACACGGCACTGCCGAGGGTGGGCCAGGCGGGGAGGGGCCCTGGCCCTCCGCGGGCCACCTGCGATCATCCATCGTCTCGTTCCTCGTCCCCACCATCCCTCCTCCCAGACCGCCGCCCTTTAACACAGTCTGGATTTAATAAATTCATATGGGTGTTTAACTTAAACTCAACCACCGCCCTCCTCCTCCTCCTTCCTGCCGCCCTGCAGAGCCTTCTGCAGGTGGCTCTCCTGGCTGCAGTATGGAGGCCTGTGTGTACAGGATGCAGAATGGTGGACTCAGTGACCACCCAGTGAGAGCCCTGGCCTCTGGTCCCCCTGTGGTCCCCAGGAAGCTGACTCCAGTTGGCTACACCAATACTCTGGGAGCCTTGTGTGTGCCCAGCATGCGTCTGACACCATGCTTCCAGGCAGGGCCCAGAGCACTGGTCAGTCAGGCCTGCACTGCCTGGTGGGCAGCATCCTCCCCAGGCCTCAGTCTGCAGCGGGAACGCAGTGACACCCCATAGGTAGCCCTGGCACTGAGAACCCAGCTGAGCTGTCAGTCCTTGGCCCTGTGCCTTCCCAGCCCAGTCCCTGGAGCTAGGGGATTTCCTGGGTGAAGGGGTGACCTCTGGGTTGCCCTGCTATCTGGGAAGTGGGACCCCGCATTCTCAGGCTTGTTGAGGAAAGGGGTTCTCGTCTGCTGCAGGGAGGAGCCCTGGCTTGGAACCACAACAGGTTCCTTCAGAACCAGGCAGGAAACCTGAGATCCCTGAGAGATGGCCACTGGGGGACCACAAGTTGTCTCCCCTTGATCTGCCACATACCCTGTCCTTCTCTGTTTCATTTTAGGGCTCCCCAGTGCCCTCAGAGATATCCCAGCCTCCACACACCACTTTTTTTTTACTGGAAACTAGAAACTGGCAGGATGGAGTAGGAGCCCTTTATGATGCCACCCACCTCTGCCTCCTTCCACAGCCCCACTACCAAGTCTTTTGTCAGCTCAAGAACTGTGAGCTGCCCCCAATATCATGGGTGTCTACACCTGGGGCCCTGCCCAGCCTCCCCCCTTCTTCCTGCTTCTGTCCTCCCCACCTCCATCCATTTTCCCTCCAGAGTTTACGTTGTAAAGTAACAAACCTGATCCTGCTCAGAACCTCCTGTGGCTCCTTCACGTTGTAAAGTAACAAACCTGACCCTGCTCAGAACCTCCTGTGGCTCCCCAGTGCTCTCAGAAGTCCTAGGCTCCTAACTGATGAGAACCTGAGGTCTTTGTAACCCTCACTTTCCCTGCCAGAGTTTCACCCCGCAGCTCTGGGTCATGCTATCCCCTACCTGTACCACATCCTGACTCACAATTCCTCCCATGTGTGTCCCCTCCTCCAGGACAACCTCCCTGACTCCCAGTTCTAGGTGCTCAGGCACCCTGTCCGTTTTGGGTCATTACTGCATGGGGACAATGGATCAGTCTCCACTGGATTGAAGCCTCCCCTTGCTAGGCAAGTGCTCTACCATTTGAGCCAGGCCCCCAGCCCTTTTAGTTTGTTTTTAAGACAGTGTTTAACTGTCCAGGCTGGCCTCGAACGTGTGATCCTCCTACCTCTGCCTCAGATTGCCCATGTTCATTTTCACAGACAGGCACATGGAGAAGTGTGGACATCGGTGGGGGCCCTCATTTGGACACTGGTGGAGACATAGGACATGCAGATAACAGATAACTCTGAAACACAAACCCCCTCCCCTGTGCTGGGGGCTTTGTCTACATAGTGGGGACCACAATAGATCTAGACCTGCCCTCATAGAGCAGAAATTCTGAGCGCTGAGGACATCTGACTGTACCATGTCCTTTCACTCATTCAACAAAGATGAGATTTGACATTTGTAGGGAAGGAGAATTAGTTTGGCTCCTGGTCACAATAGAAGTCATGCTGTCACTTTTTGTCATGAGCCAAGCTCTAGGGCTGGTAGAGTGGCTCAAGTGGTAAAGTGCCTGTCTAGCAATCATGAGGACCCGAGTTCAAACCCCAGTACGTACACACACACAAAGAAATGAGCCAAGCTCTACTCTGAGGGCTGCATGTGGTTTGTGGTTTGCTCCATCAACTAAACTTAATGTCACACAGTGTCCCCATCACCTGACAGGCTGGTCACTCTGGCCTCATCTCTACCCCTGCCCTATCAGTCATTCTGCTCCATCCTCTCACTGTTCCTTGAACATGCTATACCAGAGCTGGGGGTAGTGGTGCGCACCTGTAATTCTGGCACTTGGGGGCAGAGGCAGGTGGATTGAGAGTTCCAGACCAGCCTGAGATACATAGTATTCTGTCAAAAAAAAAAAAAACCCCAAAAACCAGAAACAGGGCTGGAGGCATGTCTCAAGTAATAGAGTAGCTTCCTAGCAAGTGTAAGGCCCTGAATTCACACCCCAAGACTGACCCCCCCAAAAAAAATACATATATGTATCGTGCATTCCTACCCCAGGACCTTTGCACTCACTGTTCCTGAGTTTTGAATGTGAACATGGCTACTCCAGTTATCCACATGAATCCCTCACCTTCAGGCTTCTACCAGACCCTCCTCAAGTTTCTTCACCCAAACTGCTCTACAAGCTCAGTCTTTTTATTTATTTTTTTTTGTTCCTTTTCAAACTCAGTTCTTATTTCCTCCTTTACTCTATTTGCTCACCTATTTTGCATCCATCTCACGTATTCCTTATGTGTCCCCAGCTTTTAAAGCAGTGCACAACAGTCCCGTGGGAAACATGCTGCTGTTTATTTCAACCTTGCAGATGAGAAAATGAAACCTAGGGGCCGGGGGTGTGGCCCAGTGGTAGAGCACTTTATAGATGGGAGACTGAGCCTCAGAGAGATGGACTCAGTCGCCTCATGTCACACAGCTGTTGAAGAGACCTACAGTTTGAACCCAGGAAGTCTGATTCCAGGGCCTCATATCTCTTTTGATTATTTATTTTGAGTGGTACTGGGGTTTGAACTTATGGCTTCACACTTGGTTGGGCAGGTGCTCTACCACTTAAGCCACGCACCCCCCCCCAGCCCTTTTTCATTTTTTGGGTTTTCACCGGGGCTGGCCTGGATTGCAGACTGCAGTCCTATTTTTTTCCCCATGTACCTGGGATGACAGGTGCACAATGCATGTCCAGCTTTTATTCATTGAGATGGGATCTCAACTACTTTTTGATCCTCCATCCACCCAGGATTACAGATGTGAGCTACTGTGCCCAGTGGTTACTGGGGTTGAACTCAGGACCTCATACTTCCTAAGCAGTTGCTCTACCACTTGCATCACTCCCCCAGCCTTTTTTTTTCTTCTTTGAGTTAGAATCTTATTGTATAGCTCAGGCTGCTCTCAAACTCGGGAATTCCAGCTTCCTGAGTGCTGGGATTACAGCACCACCAGGCCTGGCTTCAAATCACTTCCCTTGCAAGGCTGATGGAGTGTACAGACCACAGCCTGCAAACCGACTCCAGCCTGTCAGTTGTTTCGGTATGGTGTTTACTTCTTTCAGTTGGGAAACTGAAGAATATATTGTAATCCTGTGTGACTCACAAACATGATACCTGGGTTTCCACCACTGTGTGAGGTGTACTTCTCGCCCACCTTGTTCCTACATAGGCACATTACCCATCTGGCATGAAAACACTAGAATATGTTGTTTCATGTCAAAGTCATATGAAAATTCTGATTTTGATATCCACACTCATCTTTGTACCATGATACAGTTGAGAGTTCAGATTTGACCCCAAAGCCAAAGCTGAAGAGAATTTGCTGTCTAGCCCTTTGCAAGAAAAGGTTTGCTTTTATTTCTGCTCAGTGACAGCAGTTCTGCTGTGGTCTGACCTGCTGTACACTGGTACCTGGGAGCAGGTTACAGGGCTGTGCCCTAGTGCCGGGTGGCACCAGCAGAAGTTCAGAAAGGTATGTTGCATGAATCAGTGAGTACACGTGGACCATGAAGAGAAGTGGAGTGTGCAAATTTTACACAAGGTGACATAAAGAGGATGACAAATGCTGGCTCTGGTCTAGGGGTGCCTTGCACCTAAGTTGGAACCTGACAGCCACAGGGTCAATTTCAGAGCCATTGGAGGCTTAGCAGTCGATCTTGAGCCTCAGTCTCCTCGGTAATAATCCTACTTCTAGCACGTTCTTCTGGTGCTGCTGCCAGGTCTGAGACGTCTGTGTGATACTCAGGTAAGCCCTTTGTCCTGGGTTGGGCGCAGTGTTCCGTATGTGCAGCGTTACCATCCCCGACTAAGCTGAGCTCTGGGCTGAAAGTGCTCTGGGTTATTTATAGGTGGCTTGGAGGGGTTGGGGTGGAACAAGACAATAACTAAAACATCCATTCATTCAAAAACATGTAGTGACCCCTACCCTACCGTGTTCTAGGCGTTGGGTATACAAGGAACAAACTAGAAATCTACATACTGACATTCTAGCTTTAAACAGTCGTTAAACCTCAATATCCAAATTACAGCTGGAGAAACTGAGGCATAGAGAGACTTTAGGGTTTCATAGAGATCGTTATTATCAATGACAACTGTAGGGCCCTGGCAAACTCGCGATCCTAAAGCTTCCCTTGCAGCCTGACAGACAGCAGGTTCAAGTCCTACTGGGAGAGTAAGGGGGGACCTCACATTCCCAGCTTGCTGCATGGGTAGGGCGTGAGTGACCTTAGGCTAGCCTCAGTTGTCTTGGCCAGAGCAATGGGCAGCTAGCGACGCGCGCCAGGCCGCTCTGCAGCGCCCAGCCTCCCATTCCCGGCCGGCCCCGCCCCCGCCGTCACGTGACACGCGGGGGTTTTCCCGTTCCCCTGGCGTGACGTCACGATGGGGTACGGGCCAATGGGCGCGCAGGCCGGCGGCGCCGGGGAATTCCGCCGCCCCGCCCCCGCCCGCCGCCCGCCCGGCCCGGCCCGGCGCCCCCCGCAGCCCCGGGCGCCGCGCGCACTGCCCGGCCTGCGGCCCCAGCCCCTGCGCCGCTCGTCTGACTCGCGATCGTCTACCAGAGTGTGCCGCCCGGCTGCCCGGCCTGCCCGCGTGCGTGCTTCGGTCTGGGCCGATCTCCGGGCTGTCCGTCCACACTGGTTGGGCCATGCCGAGTCGCCGCGTCGCTAGACCGCCCGCTGCGCCGGAGCTGGGGGCCTTGGGTAAGCGGAGCCGACGTTCTGGAGAGGAGTCTGGGGCGGGGCTGGAAATGTGGGGAGTTCTGGGGGGGGTCCCAAGTAATCTAGGGGTCCCGACAAGAGCCTAGGGGATTTCGCGGGGAGAGTGTGAGGGCTGCGGGGACACCGTATTAGAGCGAAGGAAGGAGGCAGAGGATGGTGAAGGGTCCGGCCCAAGGTACAGGCGAGGCGTCCCGCTGAAGAGTGAGAAGGGGGCGGGGCCTGACCCTGAGGCAAAGAAGGGGGCGGGGCCCGGCTTCCAGAGGGAGAAGGGGCGAGGTCTGACCCCGAGAGGGCGGAGTGGGAGGGGAATAAAGGCGGGGCCAAACTCAGAGAGGGAGAAGAGGAGTGGCCTGCCGTACAGAGGGGGCGGGGTGTGTTCTGAGGACGAGAAGGGGGCGGGGACTAACGCACAGAAGGAAGCGGGGTTGGTCTTGGAGGGACGAGGGGGCGGGGCCTGTCCCTGAGCGACAGGGGGGCGAGGCCGACGGGCCTAGAGAAGGGGAAAGGCCTGTTCTGAAAAACGAAGGGTGAGGCGGGCTTGCCACTGACAAAGTCAAGCCTGACCCTGAGCGCAGCAAAGGGGTGGGGCTTTCCTGAAGTTAAGGGGTCCTCCAGGCCCGTTTTGGAGTAGAAGAGAATCTTGAGTGATGATGGGGTGAATGGCAAAAATGAGAGGCTAGACACTGTGGGAGGTAATGGGGAGGGGCTTGATCAAGGGGGCGTGGCTACAAGAGGCAGGGGTTGGGGGTTGAAGATTCTCTTCCTGGCCAGCATCACGCCCTGAGATTTGCTTCCCTCTCGTAGGGCCCACTGGTGACCTCCCCTCGCTCTCGCTGGCCATTTCCAGGACCACAGGTGAGCAGCCCTCCACAGTCCTTGCCTACCTGTTCTTGGAAGATGGGGCTGGGGAGCCCCTGTAGAGTCAGGTTGGGCAGGCCTCTGCCTGAGGAATTCAGTTTTCCCCTGTGCTTTTCACTGTCCTTTGAGAAAGCCCCCTAGGTGTCCCTACTGCCTGGATGATTATGAGCTTGGCACATAAAAGGAACCACCTAGTTGCGCTCTAAGAGGTGCCCCCTTTAGAAATTCACCATGGTAAAGCAGAGTGCGGCGACTGCAATCTTGGGTTTTAGGGCAGAGGTTTACATGCCAGTGCCACAACTCCTTATTTGGGAATGTTTGCAAGTCACTTCCCCCACCTGGCCCTCAGTTGTCCTCACCTGTAAAATGGGCACAATATCAGTGCCTCCTCTTTAGGGTGATTTGGGAGAATGCAATGAGCTGATACAAGCAAACTTGCAAAGCAGTGTCTGGCTCATAGGAAAGGCTCAGTAAGTGTTGTTAGTGGTGAATAATAATAATACTAACAAAGCCAGGTGTGGTGGTGTATGCCTGTAATTCCAGCTAACTGGGGAAGTGGAGATGGAAGGATGGAAGTCAAAGGTCAGTGGGTGAAAACTCAAGACCCTGAAAAACAAACTAAAAGCAAAGGGACTAGCGTGTGAGTGGTAGAGCACCTCTGCCTAGCAAGCAGAAGCCTGTGTTCAAACCCCAGTAGTGGGCAAAAACAAACAATGACCAAAAAAAGGTAATGGTGATAATAGTTATTAGTCTGTCTATAAAAGCAGTTCTTAAACCATGTGCCTCAGAATTACCTCGAGGGCTTGGTAAAACAGATTATCTGGTCCTATGTCTAGAGTTTCTGATTCAGTAGTTTGGGCTGGCCCCTGAGAGTGTGCCTTTTTAGGGAGTTCCCAAAAGATGCCAAGAGCTACTGGTCTAAAATGTCCTTCCTTTCTGGGTGCTGGTGGCTCACGCCTGTCATCCTAGCTACTCAGGAGGCAGAGATCAGGAGGATCGAGGTTTGAAGCCAGCCCAGGTAAATAGTTTGTGAGACCCTATCTCGAAAAAAACCCATCACAAAAAAGGGCTGGTGGAGTGGCTCAAGGTGAGTTCAAGCCCCAATACAGCAGAAAGAGAAAGAGAGAGAGAGAGAGAGAGAACGCAGCTGGGATTTGGAGGGTGGGGTAGAGACCTGCCATTATGAATACTCAATGGCCCATGGTGTCTGGCTGAGTCTGAGCCTCTTTCTAGAAGGAGGATACTGGGACAGACCCCAAAAGTACTAGAGTAGCCATGGAGAGGACACTGCAGCCCTGAGATTAGTGGTGTGTGGGAAAAGGTGGAGGGGTGACATTAGGGACAGGTCCGCCAGCCCAAGTGCTGGTTCTAGAATAAGGCTGAGACTTGTATGGCCCAAGACCTAGATCTGAAGTTTCCAATGAAAGTCATTTATGATGTCATCTGTTCAAAAAATATTTGTTGAGCACCTGTTCTATACCCGGACCTGTGGTGTGAACAGAGCAGTCACTGAGATTGCCCAAGAGCCCTGCCCTCAGAGTTCTCTACCTAGATAGGGAAGCAGACATGCAAATGATAAATTAAATGTGGATTATACAATGCAATAAGGGCTATAAGGAGATGGGGAGGAGGGCAGGGATAGGAGAGTGAGGGAGGTCAATCCACATGGAAAATTCCCTTCACTTATGGCCAGACATAGGCTTGGGTGCAATGCGGATTGGGCAGCCCTGCTCCCAGTCTCTGGCGCTCCCTGCCGTAGGAGGAGACAGGGATGAATCATTTTAATGAGAGATCATGTCACATCCTATCAACACCATGAAAATGATAAGGCAAAGGGATCTGAGCTGGGGCTGTAGCTCATACTTAGTGCGTGCTTAGCATGCATGCGGCCCTGGGTTCCATCCCAGCACCAGAAAAAGAAGAACCTAACTTCAAGTGACTGGAGTGGGCAGTCTGGGGACAAGCTTGAATAAAGTGACCAGGAGTACCTGTCTAGGAGGTGACATTTGAGTCGAAATCTGAAGGAGGTCGAGGAAGGGCCATGAGAAGAACTGGCAGAGACCAGCCTGTGCAAAGGTCCTGAGGCAGCAAATGCATAGTCAGTTTTCTGCTTCCGTGTGACCCATCTTGGCTGGATCCTAATGATGCCAAGTCTGTGTGGGAACTCCGTGTGTTATTTGAGCAGAGCCTTGAATAAGGAAAAGAAGTTCCCAGTGTTTCTTTGTTTAGAGGGTGTTTTAGATAATATTACCCAAGATTTATGGAGGGCACAGAGTGGTCAGATTCTGTCTGAAACGTTTCTTTGTGTGATCTTGACTCCTTATGCTAACCCTTGAAGTAGGAGCTCAGACCTCTTTTTTTTTTTTTTGGTGGGACTGGGATTTGAACTCAGGGCTTTGCACTTGCAAAGCAGGTTCTCTTCCACTTGAGCCACACCTCCAGTCCATTTTGCTTTGGTTATTTTTGAGATGGGTAGTCTCTCAAACTATTTGCCTAGGCTGACCTCAAACCTCAATCTTCCCGATCTCAGTGTTCCAAGTAGTTGGGATTACAGGCATGAGCCACCACGCCCAACTCAGACCTCCTTTTGTAGAGGAGGCTCAGAGAGGTTAATCAACTTGCCCAAGGCCACACACCTAATCAGTGACAGCTGAGTCTACACCTCATGCTCTAAAACCATGCCTTCCACTCCCCCATTTCATAGCCAGACAAACCGGGGAAGGGATGCCCAAGTCCATAGAACAGTTCTCCCAACACCTTGTCCAACAGCGGCCAGCCAGCATATGGGCAGTGCCCGTATGTGGCAAGGGTGAGTGCCTCTCATGTATTCACTTTTTAAACTATTGAAATCTAAGAAGTTAGGAATTATCATTGTGCCAGTATTTAAATGTTTTTATTTATTTATTCATTCATACATTTATTTATTTTTGTGGTACTGCAGAAGAACCCAGGGCCTCCAGCATGCGCAATGTGCTCTACCACCTAGTCACTACCCAGACCCTTGCCCATTTTATAGATAAAGAAACGAAGGCACAAGCCAGATGCCGGTGGCTCATGCTGTAATCCTAGCTACTCAGGAGGCAGAGATTAGGAGGATCGAGGTTCAAAGCCAGCCTGGGAAAATAGTTCTTGGGACCCTATCTCAAAGAAATCTATCACAGAAAAGGGCTGGTGGAGTGGTTCAAGGTGTAGGCCCTGAGTTTAAACTGCAGTACCACAAAAAAAAAGAACTAAGGTAGGAGAATTGAGTTGTAAGGCTGGCTGGGCCAAGGCTTAAGACCCTATCTGAAAGACAAACTAAACGCAGCAGGACTGGAGGTATGGTTCAAGTGGTAGAGCCATTGCTTAGCATGTACAAAGCCATGGGTTCAAATCCCAGTACTGGAGAAAAAGGTTAGGGATTGGTTCAGGGCCAATGTAACTAGCAATTAGCAGAGCCTTTTATTTTATTTTATTTTTTGGCTATACTGGGGGTTTGAACTCAGAGCCTACTACCACTTGAGCCACACCCCAGTCCAAGATCCAGGATTTGAACTGAGGCCGTCCATCCTGAGCTCCAGTCACTGCCACCCATGATTCAGCCTCCCTCTCAGCCTGGGAGATTCTTGAGGGTCCAAAATCTAACTTGTCTTTGGATCCCAGGGGCATCCAGATGTCTTAGAAGGGTTTTGCAGCCAGGCATGGTGGTTCACAACTGTAATCCCAGCACTTGGGAGGCTGAGGCAGGGAGATCTCAAGTTCAAGACTAGACTGGGCTATATATAGCAAGCCACTGTCTCAAGAAAAGATAAGAGAGAGAGAGAGAGAGAGAGAGAGAGAGAAAGAGAGAGAGAGAAGTGATTCAAGTTTGGCCTTGAGCATATTCTTTCTGTCCCAGCCTCAGTATCCCCATTTCTGTGGTGAGGACCTTGGCACATTCTGACCTCACAGATCTCAAGAGATAAGGGGTGTAGGGAAGCTGTCTTCAAAGGGGCAAAGTTCTGACTACTTGGAGCCACTCCCAGAGCCTGGAGAAGGAGGAGGAGGACAGATGTGGCAGTGGGCAGGTCCTACTTGATCAGCTCCCAGCCAGTGGCCTGTGCAGCCACACTGGGTGAGGCATCCTCTCCGGCCACCCTCCCCTCTGTGTGCCTTCAAGACCCTCTGGCTCCCTCTGGGCTCCTTATCCCGTATGTGCAATGATGGGAGGTCAGTTTCAATAACTCCAGGGCCAAGTTTTCCTGGGGAGGTGACGGGACTTCCCTGAGAACCCGGGATTGCTGTTCATCCCGCCCCCCCGGAAGCAGGGGTGTGTCCAGGATTTCAGGGTGCAGAGGAGGCAGCATGGATTTGGATAATCCTTCTTTGTCTTTGCGTTCACACAGCACTGATTTCTGGGGTCCTGGGTGGCCTTTCAGGAGGGAACTCTGGCACAATTTGTTTAAAATTACAGGTGTCCATTTTTTCCCTGGTGACAGACACAGGGATCTTTTGCATGGATCCCCAACAATGCTGCACGGTCCATGATTGAAATGTTGTAGGGGAGAGCATTTAGCTCACTTTGAGGATACCCTGATCCTAGACCCCTAACATTAGAGACTGAAGGGATGGGACCTCAGAATGGGAGGTGGGGACTGGGTCTGGTGCCTCAGAGAGTCGTCCTCAGGTTTCCCAGGATGAAGGGACAAGGGTTACAGGAAGGACAGTGGGAAACCTGTCTTGGAAGGTGCTAAGTCTTGACAACTCTGAACCTTACCTTTCTCTTTCTCTTCCCTCCACAGATGAATTGGGTGAGTACCAGGAGGCAGGTGTGCGGGGATCTGGGGGTCTGGGGCTTGAAGAGGGGGTTCCAGGCCTTCCTTGTTTCATGGAGGCAGGGGTCACAGTGTCACTTCCAGAATGGCTGGGGATTTAAAGACTCATGCTCCCAGGTTCCCGAGCAGTGTTTGACATATAGAAAACCTTCAGTGAGCATGGACCTCTGTCAGTATGGCGATTACCAGTGCCCATTCAATAGATGTCGCTGAGCCCTCCTGGGTACCGGCACTGTTCTGGGCTCTGGGATCCAGCCAGGAATAAAACCAAGTCTCTGACCTTTTTGAGCTGGGAGGCCCATGGGGGAATTGGAAGGGTGAGGTTGGGGGTGTGGCTCAGGTGAGGGGGAAGGCCCTGAGTTCAAAACCGAGTATTGAAAAAAAGGGGAAATGAATGAACAGGTAAATGGAGGTTAGGCTAAGGCTAAGAAGGAAATGAGAGCGAGAGAAAGGGAGAGGGAGAGAGGTTTCCGGAGGGGCCTGGGAAGACTTGGTAGATGGCACCTTTCTGCAGAGGTGACATTTGAACAGAGACCGGAAGGATGGGGAACCACATGGCTTGAACAGGGAAAAGTGAGGATCTGATAGTGGGAGAAGCAAGTACAGAGTCCTGAAGGGGGCCCAGACTCCTTGGGTACATGACACAGAAATGGTCGTGTGTGTTGCTTCATGCCTGTAATCTAAGCTACTCAGGATACAGAGATAGGAAAATCGAGGTTTGATACCAGCCCAAGCAAAAGTTAACAAGAAATTCCAAAAACAAGCCGGGCATAGTGGATCACGTCTGTAATCCCAGATAAGAGGGAGGTGAGGTCGGAGGATGGTAGTCCCATGCTGGTGGGGCAAAAGTGTCAGACCCTATCTGAACAGTAACTAAAAACAAAAAGAGTGATCCGTGGTTCTGGTGATAGAGCACCTGCCTACCAAGCAGGAGTCCGTGAGTTCAAACCCCAGTACCTCCCAAGAGAAAAAAAAAAAAAAAGTACTGGGTAGATTGGGTTTACCAAATTTGGGATCATGAGCAATGAAGTCGACCCTACGAGACAGGTGCCCCGCGCCTGCGAGCCCAGGTGGCCAGCAGGGGGCGCTACGTCGCCCAGGGAGAGCAGGTGCCTTGGGGCGCTGAGCTAGTGCCAGCGTGAGGAGGGACGGCGACACCCGTGGGGTGGCCCTTTCTCTGTCCATCCAGGTGAGCGCTGGGCCGCGGTGGAGTCAGGAGAGCCGGGAGGGTGGCCCCGCACCCGGGGGGTGCTAGGCCGTGCGTGCACCCTGCGCGGTGGCCGGGAGAGACAGGGTCACCGCCTTGGCTCTTCGTCTTGTCACCACCGCGTCTGCTTCTCCCGCAGAGATCATCGACGAGTACATCAAGGAGAATGGCTTCGGCCTGGACGGGGCGCAGTTGGGACAGGGCGAGGTGCCGCGCCTGGTGTCCCGCGGGGCGGCCACGCTGAGCACCGTCACCCTGGGTCCCGCCGCGCCGCCGCCCCCGGCCACCCCGCCACCCTGGAGCTGCCCCCTGGGTCGGCTGGGGCCACCCGCGCCCGGGCCGGGCCCGCGGCCACACCTGGTCATCACCGAGCAGCCCAAGCAGCGAGGCATGCGCTTCCGCTACGAGTGCGAGGGCCGCTCGGCCGGCAGCATCCTGGGGGAGAGCAGCACCGAGGCCAGCAAGACGCTGCCCGCCATCGAGGTGGCTATTATTATTGCACTTGGATCATCTGACCCCAAATCCAAAAGGCACAAAAGGGCCGAGCAGAGTGGGGTACGCCTGTAATCCCAGCACTCAGGAAGTCCAGGCAGGAGAATCAATAGTTTGAGGACAGAGCTAGGAGCCTGGCTTAAGTAGTCGAGCGCCTGTCTAGCAAGCATAAGGCTCTGGGTTCAAACCCTAGTGCTGCCCCAAAAAACAAAAAAGTTTGTGGCTATCCTGGGCTGCATAATGACACTCTGAAAAGAGAAAAAAAAAGATATATTAACAATTTTCCCGCCAAACTGAAGTGTACAAGTATTAAACTAATATTTTTGTTTGGCTGTTTTGTGTTTTCTTTTTTGATGCCAGGGTGGAACCCAGGGCCTGGCACATGCTAGGCAAGCATTCCACCTCTGAGCTACTTCCCAGCCCTACACCATTGTTTTTGGTTTTTTTTGTTTTTTTTTTGTTTTTTGTAGCATTAGGGATGGGCTTCCCTGTATCACTGAGCTATGCTCCTAGCTCCTGTTTTAAGGTTTTGAAACATATGACATGATTCAAAAGTTTTAAAAATATATATTCATATTAAATTAGCAAAATTGAGATTGATTTATAATGAGCAAAATCTCCCGTTCCTGGCCCCAAGTCCCAGGCTTCCCTCACCCCCAGGGGTAATCACTGTCCTCAACATCTTGTGTATCCTCCCAAGACTACTGCATGATTATACAGGCAAATATTATCCTCCCTGGATCGTTTGTTGTTTGTTTGCTTGTTTGGTTTTTGGTAGTTAGTAACGGAGCTTGTATCAGGGCCTCACACTTGCTAGGCAGGTGCTCTACCACTTGAGCCACGCTTCCCTGCACCCCCAGCCCTTTTTGTGTTGTTTATTTATTTGTTTTGCAGTACTGGGCTTCAACTCAGGGCCTACACCTTGAGCCACTCCACCAGGCATTTTTTGTTTTAGGTTTTTTTTCAAGATGGGTTCTCGAGAACTATTTGCCTGGACTGATTTCAAACCACGATCCTCCTGATTTCTGCCTTCTAGGTAGCTAGGATTGTAGGTGTGAGCCACTGGTACCGGGCTGTGTTGGTTATCTTTAAGATAGGGTCTCGCTTTATGACTGGGTCAGTTTTGACCAAGATTCTCCTATTTGTGCTTCCTGGAGTAGCTAGGATTGTGGGTGTGTGCCACCCACTCATTGGTTGAGATGGGTTTGCAGCAACTTTTTGTCTGGACTGGCTTCAAACACTGATCTTCCAGATCTCTGCCTCCACACATGCCAATGTCACAAAGGTGGCAATTTGGAAATCTGGAGATTCCTCTCTCTCTCTCTCTCTCTCTCTCTCTCTCAGTACTGAGGTTTGAACTCAGGGACTTGCCCTTGCTGGGCAGGTGCTCTACCACTGAGCCACACCCCCTCTCCCAGCCCTTATAGATTTCTCCTTGATGTGGTGATGAGGAGAACAGCCAGACCCAGCCTTGTGTATGTGTGGACCTGGTGACTTAAATACCACACCACAGGGTGTCAGTGAGGGGATTTTCCAAAGACAGGAACAACTGTAGCCTAAACAAAATCCAATCTGGTCTTCTCTCCATTAACATGGTGGCTGCTGTCCTTGAAACTTCAGTGTACTAAAAAATTATGAGGAAAACAGTATTTATGTAAAATGGAGGCCGGGTACGGTGGTGCCCGGTAATCCCAGCACTCTGAAGGCTAAGGCAGAAGGATGTTGAGTTCAAGGTGAGCCTGGGCTACATAGTAAAATCCTGTCTCAAAAAAAAAATTAACACTCAAAAATGAACAATGGGGCTAGGTTTTTGATTCTGTGGACTCTGATCATTTTGTCATGTTTTCATTTGTTTACGTATTTTGTGGTGCTGGGATGGAACCCATGAGCTCATTTTTGGCAGTACTGGGATTTGAACTCAGGGTTTTGCACTTGCTAGGCAGGAGCTCTACCATGTGAACCATGCCCCCAGCCCTTTGTACTTTAGTTATTTTTCACACAGATCTTGCGCTTTTGCCCAGGGCTGGTCAGTGTGACACCATGATCCTCCTACCTATGCCAACAGGCTCGCCGCAGTGTGCCTGATTATTTTTAACCCGGTGCTTTCAGTCTGTGGCCCAGGCTCAACCTGCCCCTAGGACAGCATCACCCAAAGTCACCCTCACTATCCCTTTTTGCCCCTAGAGGGCAGCCCTGCCCCACTGATACTCTGCAGTTCATTGTGTGTACAGGGGTTCTCAACCTTCAGAGATGGGAGCCGTGCCCAGCCCTGACCCAGAGGAACAAGTGGCTAGCTGAGTCAGGCACTGTCCAAATGGCCTGGCTCTGTCCTCGGTCGCCTATAACTGAGTATATTTTAGTTCCAGTTCCCATAACTTATTGCTTTTGAAAAAAAGGAATCTGAAAACCTGTGGGAGGTTTTTTGGTTTTGGTTTTTGTTACAGCCCAGGCTGGTACTGGGGTTTGAACTCAGGGCCTCCTGCTTGCTAGGCAGGTGCTCTACTGTTGTAACCATGCTCCCCAGCCATTTTTGCTCTGGTTCTTTTGCAGACAAGGTCTCATTTTTTACAGGCCTGTCTGCACTGCAATTCTTCTAATTTTTTTCTGCTACACTACTGGGATTTGAACTCAGGGCCTACACCTTGAGCCACTCCACCAGCCCCTTTTGTGAAGGGTTTTTTTTCAAGATAGGGTCTCCTGAACTATTTGCTCAGGCTAGCTTCAAACCGCAATTCTTCTGATCTCTGCCTCCTGAGTAGCTGGGATTACAGGCATGAGCCACCACCCAGAGCCTTTTTTTTTTTTTTTTTTTTGGTTGCCCTGGGGTTTGAAGTCAGGGCTTTGTGCTTGCAAAGCAGTTGCACTACCGCTTGAGCCACACCTCAGTTCATTTTGCTTTGGAGATGGGGATTCGAGAACTATTTGCCTGGGCTGACCTCCAACCATGATCCTCCTGATCTCAGTCTCCCAAGTAGCTGGAATTACAGATGTGAGCCACTGGCGCCTGGCTGACCTCTAACTTTTATTTTTCCTGCCTCAGTCTTCCAAGTGCTGGGATTACAGGCAAGAACCACCATGCCTGGCTTTTTTCTTGTTTTTTGAAACAGGATCTCACTATGTTGCCTAGGCTAGTCTTGAACTCCTGGGCTCAAGTGATCCTCCTGCCTCAACCTCCCAAGTAGCTGGGACCTCGTGTGCCCGGCTTCGAATCTGGAACAATGCAATGTCCCATTGTTTTTAATTGTAGTCTTCAAATTTTCCCCACATTCTTATTTTGAAAAAGAAAAAATGGCAGTGTTGGGGACAGAACCCAGGACCTCATGCTATACATAGTGTCCCCAAATGTGATTATGCTTGTTTCCTTCCAGTCAATTCAGGATCTGACAAAGGGTCACGTGTTGCAATCTGTTTTGTCCCTTCACTTTTTGTTTGTTTGTTGTTTGAGACTGGTCTCAATATAGAGCCCAGGCTGGCCTTGAACTCTCAGTCCTCCTGTCTCACCACCAGGCACCGTGTCCTGGTGGGGGGTGGGGAGGGGGTATTACAGGGGAGCCCCTGGGAGTTTGAAGGGGTCAGGGATCCATGGTGAGCCCCCAAGAGCACATGTGTTTTCCTGCAGCTCCGGGACTGTGTCGGGCTGCGAGAGGTGGAGGTGACTGCATGCCTGGTGTGGAAGGACTGGCCCCACCGCGTGCACCCACACAGCCTCGTGGGCAAAGACTGCACCGATGGCATCTGCAGGGTGCGGCTGCGGCCTCATGTCAGCCCCCGGCACAGGTACCCAACGCTGACCCTCACCCCTGACCTTGACCCCTCAACCCTGCTCACAGACTCCGGAGGTGAAGATCACCCAGGGAAACGGAGGGTGGGGGGATGGGTCATTTTGCTCTGATTATTCTGGAGATGAGTCTCAGGAACTGTTTGCCTGGGCTGGCCTTGAATTTTGATTCTCCTGTTCTCAGCCTCCCAGGTAGCTTTGATTCTGTACAGGTGTGAGCACCAGTACCCGCTCTGCTCCCATTTCCTGCATGGGGAGCAGGAGATGTTTCTCCCTTTTTTCTCCTAAAATAAATCCTTGCTAAAACTTTAAAAGCAAATAAAGAAAGAAAAAATAAATAAGGCTGGCCAGTCTTTTCATATAATGAAGATAAGGCAGGTCACCAGGTCTTCTCAACATTCCTGGTGACAGGGATGTGGCCCAAGTGGTAGAGTGTTAGCCTAGCAAGTATGAGGCTGCGAGTTCAAATCTTGGTGCCACCAAAAAAAAAAAAAAAGAATTGCACGTGGGATTTAAACCAACCTTTGGGCCGGGGTGTCCAAGTCCGACGACCTTCAGTCCGGTGTCCGCCATCCGTCATCAGTACTCCTTCCCCTCCCCTCTCAGCTTTAACAACCTGGGCATCCAGTGCGTCAGGAAGAAGGAGATCGAAGCTGCCATTGAGCGCAAGATCCAGCTGGGCATCGACCCCTACAACGGTGAGCCCTGTGCCCTGCCTGCCCTGTCCTCCTGAGCCCCTCTCCCTTTCTGCCCACCTCCTGGGCCCCATCTTCTCCTCCACCCCCACCCTAAGCTTCCCATGTCTCCTCCAGCTGGCTCCCTGAAGAATCATCAGGAGGTGGACATGAACGTGGTGAGGATCTGCTTCCAGGCATCCTATCGGGACCATCATGGACAGATGCGACACATGGACCCTGTGCTCTCCGAGCCCGTCTATGACAAGAGTGAGGCCTGGGTGTTGTATCCGTTAAGATTGTCCTTGGCTGTGGGTGGGATGAACGGGTCTTTTTAGTTTTTGCAGTACTGGGACTTGAACTCAGGGCCTACACTTTGGGCCAAGCCACGAGCCCTTTTTTTGTGATGGTTTTTTTTTTTTTTTTTTGAGATAGGGTCTTGAAAACTATTTGACTGGGGCTGACTTTGAACCTCAGTCCTCCTGATCTCTGCCTCTGAATCTCAGAGCTGCAAACCAGAATTTTGATATTGCTCGGCAGCTCCATCAATGTGCACAGACTTAAGAAATGAGACAAATAAAAATAAATGACTTCCATAGCCAGGCACCAGTGGCTCACACCTGTAATCCTAGCTACTCAGGAGGCAGAGATCAGGAAGATCAAGGTTCAAAGCCAGACGGGCAAATAGTTCATGAGACCCTATTTCGAAAAACCATCACAAAAAAGGGCTGGTGGAGTAGCTCAAGGTGCAGGCCCTGAGTTCAAATCCCAGAACCACACATACACAAAAAAGGGGGACCCCCCTCCCTCTGCAGGGCTACATCTCAACAATAAACCCTGTGCTGGCCTAAAACAAAACAAAACAAACAACATAAAAATCCAGCGGTGCGCGTGGCAGGGTACACTGTAATCCCAGCACTCAGGAGGCAGAGGCAGAGGATCAAGACTTCAAGGCTAGCATGCACCACACAGTGAGACCCAATCTCTTAAAAAAAAAAAAACCAAAAACGTCCAGCACAGCACAGTGCTTCAGTTCTGACTGTCTCCAGGACCTCTGTGATGTCATTAGGATGAGATCCTTCTGTGTCTTGGCTGTGCATCCTCCACTGGGGACATACTAGGCAGGGCCGTCCCACCATGTGGGACCTCTCTTCTACTTCCCAAGCTGCTTTTAGCATCTCTTCCCAAATTCCCCCCACCCAAAGTCTCAACTCCCTCTCTCATTGGCTGATTTTAGCCATTTGCTCCTCCTGGCCAATCAGCTGTGGGTGGAGAGAGGCAATCCTCTGATTGGCCAGGTCTGGGGCACTGCTGAGCTAGGGGTTAGGCTCAGCCTTGCCCATTTAAAGTGAGTGATGGAGGAAAGGTCCCTTGAAAGAAAAGGGAGGCTGCTAACACACTGTTAGGGCCTGCAAAAGAAGTGTCCACTGTTGTTCTGCTCCCTGCTGTGGGGACCTTCTCTGACCTCTCATCCCACCAACTCTCCGAGTGGGACACACACTGGGACACACCAGGGGACCTCAGTATGGAAGACTGGTCACCCTCCGAGTGTCGTCTTGGCTGCACCTGGACTGCCACGGCCCCTGAGATTTGATGAGTGAATTCTCGTTTTTTCCTTCTGCACCTCTTCCACACACTCCTTCCCAGAGTCCACAAACACGTCGGAGCTGCGGATTTGCAGGATCAACAAGGAGAGCGGACCGTGCACAGGCGGCGAGGAGCTCTACTTGCTGTGTGACAAGGTGCAGAAAGGTGAGGGGCGCCCGTGGGCATGGGGGGGGGTGAGGATGGGGGCAGCTGGAGTCAGACTCAGAAGGATCCAGAACCCAGGACGCAGGTGATTGGTTCACACGCTCTCTCCTCCCTGTAGGAGGATGGAAGTGGTGGCGCTGTACCCAGCTGGCGCTCTTTGGGGAACCTCCTTTATTAGAGGTGCAATGGCACAGGTGCCTTATGAGGGGCTGGGGTGCAGCTCAAGGGAAGAGCGCTTGCCTAGCACTGTGACGCCCTAGGTTCCATCCGCAGTATTGCAAAATAAACAAATAAATAAAGGTTGGTGACAGTTTTGATCAGGGGTAGGGAGGAAGCAGACGGGACAGAAATACCTTTTTCCCCTCATTTGCATCTGCTCAAATGTCACTTCCTCAAATAGGCTTTTGTTCAAAACAAAAACCAAAAAAGCAACACCCTCCTCCTCCCCAAAAAAAAAAAAATCCACCTAAAAGCAAGAAGTCACCTTCTCTTTCGCTGTATATGTGTTTTTGTATCTTTTGCATTTTCTTTTTTAGTTTGTTTGATTTCTTTCTTTCATGGGACTGGGGTTTGAACTCAAGGCCTCAGGAACAGCTAGGCAGGTGCTCTACTGCTTGAGCCACACCTCCAGTCCTTTTTGCTTGAGTTATTTTTCAGATAGGGTCTCAACTTTATGCTGGAACAGCCTAGACTGCAGTCCTGCTATTTATGCCTCCCATTTAGCTGCGATGACAGGCATGTGTCCTTTGGGTTTAATTTTTGAGTCAGGTCTGGCCTGGAACTGGAGATCCTCCTGCCTCAGGCCTCTGAGTGCTGAGATTACAAGTGTGAACCACCACACCCGGCAAGTTCTCAAGCATAGGATGGTTGTGCACGCAGTAGAAACCATACTTCGAATTTTGATCTTTTCCTGGAATGTTGGTATTCGGTGTTACACTGTCACAGTGCTGTGCAGTGGCCATGAGTCTCAGCATCCCAGTCAGGTGTGTTGGCACACACCTGCAATCCCAGCACTTGGGAAGCAGAGGCAGGAGGATCACAAGTTTCAGGCCACACTGGGCTATGAGAGACCCTTCCTCACAGAAGAAAAAAACCCAAAAACCAGGCAACACTCTAGCCCATGCTGTGCTGCTGTGTTCCTAGGCTGGGGTATTTGGTAGGTTAGGTATAAGAAAGTCACGATATTTTTAACTTATGATGGGTTTATTGGGATTGACCCCGTGGTTAGCTGGGGAGCACCTGAATACATAAATATACAAAATCCACCAGGCACCAATGGCTCACACCTATAATCCCAGCTACTCAGGAGGCAGAGATCAGGAGGATTCGAAGCCAGCTTCGGCAAATAGTTTGCCAGACCCTATCTCGAAAAAACCCATCACAAAAAAGTGGGGCTCAGCGGGTCTGCTGTCTTGACTCAGCTGCCATCCCCACACCCCCCTCCCAGAGGACATCTCCGTGGTGTTCAGTACAGCCTCCTGGGAAGGCCGAGCTGACTTCTCCCAGGCCGATGTGCACCGGCAGATCGCCATTGTGTTCAAGACGCCGCCCTACGAGGACCTGGAGATCTCGGAGCCTGTGACGGTCAATGTCTTCCTGCAGCGGCTCACAGACGGGGTCTGCAGTGAGCCACTGCCCTTCACGTACCTGCCTCGGGACCATGGTAACCATTGCAACCAGGGCTCCCCACATCCCCCAAATGCTGATGGGGAGGAAGCAGAAGTTGAAAGTAGACTCAGAGCCACCTGGACTAGGTGGACTGGGGCTCCAATCAAGGAGGCTTCTTGGAGGAGGGGACTACTGGGGTGATGACAGGAGGATGACTAACACGGTTCTCCAAGGAAGTAGTGGGAGTTGAGGGAGAGAGTTTTAAGCAGTTGGGTTAATAAGTGCAAAGGTCCTGAGGCAGGATTTTGACTGGCGTATTCTGGAACAACAAAGAGGCTCTAGCTGGTGCCAGTGGCTCACGCCTGTAATCCTAGCTACTCAGGAGGCAGAGATCAGGAGGATTGCAATTCAAAGCCAGCTCCGGGCAAATAGTTCATGAGACACTATCTTGAAATTCCCATCACAAAAAAGGGCTGGTGAACTGGCTCAAGCAGTGTGAGTGCCTGCCTAGCAATCATGAGGCTATGAGTTCGAACCCCAGTGCCATGAAAACAAAACATAACAAAAAACCAAAGAGGCTTGTGTGGCTGGAGCTTTATCCTGATCAGGATTTAGGCATCTATTTGCAATGGTTGATCAACAACCAGGATTGATGGAATGGCTCAAGAGGTAGAGCGCCTGCCTAGCAAGCACTAAGGCTCTGAGTTCAAACCCCAGTACCACACACACACACACACACACACACACACAAAGAACCACAGATGGTGCACATCTGTAAACCCAGCACCAGGGAGGCTGAGGCAAGAGGATTGTGAGTTCCAGAGCAACCTGGGCTACATATCCAGACACTGTGCAAAGGACAGAAAAGACCTGCTCATCTGCATCCTAAATGGTGTCTGTAATTAATGAGCTACAATTATTAGCTACAATTATTACAATTGTACAATTGTAATAATTACAATTATTGATGGATCACTTTTGTGTGCTTCTGGTATCTTCTGAACAGACAGCTACGGCGTGGATAAGAAGCGGAAACGGGGCATGCCTGACGTCCTGGGAGAGCTGAACAGCTCTGGTGTGTCCCCTTGGGCCCCCCGCATCCCCCCGTCCCTGGGAGGGAATGGGTACCCCAGTCCTCCCTGCTCAGGCTTGATATTGAGAGGTTCTCACTCTGCCTTTCCTCAGACCCCCATGGCATTGAGAGCAAACGGCGGAAGAAGAAACCGGCTTTCCTGGACCACTTCTTGCCAGGCCACAGCTCAGGTGGGTGTTGGGCTTCCAGAAATCTTTAGCCTTCCTGTCATGGACTGGGGATAGGATACCCTCTGAGTGTCCTATACTCACTGCATAGCCACCAACTAACTGGAAAGTGTGAGGGTTCTGGAGACAGGGAGGTCTGATCTCTGCTGGGCTATTCACTTGCTGTGTGAACTCTGCCAAGTTGCTCCACCTCTCTGAGCCTCAGGGACTCAGAAAAGTCTCACCACATAGCTACGTCACTGGGCGTTTAGGGTTTAATGTAGTTGATGGCTGTACTATCCTGAATGGGCCTGTCTTGCACACTAAGCAGGGTCAGGCCTGGTTAGTACTTGGATGGGAGACTTCTCAGCTCTACTGGATGCTGGGTTTTTAAACAAAAATCCCCAGGGCTGGGGCATGGCTCAAGTGATAGAGCACCTGCCTAGCAAGCGCAAGGCCCTGAGTTCAAGCCCCAGTGCCACCAGAATAAAAAAAAAAAAAAAAAGATATGTTGATGAAAAACATCCCCCCACCGATCACACCCTTAGCGCTTATGTTTGTATTTTTATTTTATAATTTTATTTTACTTTTATTTTGTGGTGGGCAATCAGAGCCTCCTGCTTGCTAGGCAAGCATGTATTTTATTTTGTTTTGAGATAGGGTCTTCCTAACTTTGCTGGGGCTGCCTTCGAATTTGTTACCCTCCTGCCATTGCCTGCGGAATAGCTGGGATTACAGACATGTACCACCATGCCCAATTTAAAAACTTTTTTTTTGTGGTGCTGGGGTTTGAACTCAGGTCTTTGCCCTTACCAGGCAGGTACTCTACCATTTTGAGCCACACCTCCAGCCCTTTTTGCATCAGTTATTTTTCAAATATAGTCTTGCGTTTTTGCTCAGGCCTGGTTGGACTTTGATCCTCTTACCTATTGCCTTCTGTGTAGCTGGGATCATAGGTGTGTACTACCACACCCAGCTTCTTTTGTTGAGATATGGTTTTGCTAACTTTTTGCTTAGGTCGGCCTCTAAAGTACTTGAGATTACAGGTGTGAGCCACCTTGCCCGACCTATCTTAAAAACGTTAAAAAAGTATTTCTTTTATAGACACTCTGGCAGCACAAGCACTTGTATGTGTTTATTCGTTTAGTTTGCAGGTCCGAAGCTTAGCTGGCTGTCCTTCTAGGCAACTGTCCACACGGCAGCCAGCTGTGAGCCTTGGCCACGCCCACCGCCGAGGTTTGACGGACAGCATGTTGTCCCGCCCCCCTGCGATTGCCAACCAATGGCCGATGGCCCCGCCACTAGCAACCAGTCCTGGCCCACTCCGCTTCTGTCTCCAGTCCGTGAAGCTCCCTGCCATTCATCTACCTGGGCATTTTCCCTCTTTTTTTTTTCAATACTGAGGTGCAAACTTAGGGCCTACACCTTGAACCACTCCACCGTCCCTTTTTTAGTGATGGGTTTTTTTCGAGATACGGTTTCTTGAACTATTTGCCTGGGCTGGCTTCGAACTGCGATTCTCCTGATCTCTGCCTCCTGAGTAGCTAGGATTACAGGCGTGAGCCACCGGCACCTGGTGCAAGGCCCCTTTCTTATTCTTGAGACAAAGCCAGTGCCTCCCTGATGGTTGACTGCTGAAATCATGACAGGGTTTAAGTTCTGAGTCCACAGTTTAGCAGCTGTGCCGACCTCTGTTGACTCTCAGATGGAAACTCTACTTCTCACATCTTTGCCAGAATATCATAAGATTATGTCATACAGGATTTTTAAAAATTTTGTTTGGGCACGGTGCGGGGGGAAGACTGGGTAGCACTGTGTAACCTAGGCTGGCTTGGAACTCGCTATGTAACACGGGCTGGTCTTTAACTCGCTTTCCTCCTGTCTCAGCCTCCAAAGTGCTGGGATTGCAGGCATGCACTACCATGCTTGGCTTCAGACAGTTATTTATCTGGGTGGTTGGCACTGAGTTAATGCCCAGGGGTTGTTAGAAACTTGTCAGAAATCAGGATTGCCACCTATATTTTAGGATCATGTTAAACTGAATTCACGACAAACTCCAAAATAACAGGCTGGAACCTTAGTTCTTCTCTCACAAGAACATGATCAGAGTTAGGTGGTCCCAAGATGGTCTGGGGGCTGCATGATGATCAGAGACCAGAGATTGAAGGTCTTACCATTTTCTTTCTTTCTTTATGCTTTTTTGGAGGGACTGGGGTTTGAACTCAGGGCTTCACACTTGCAAAGCAGGTGCTCTACCGCTTGAGCCACTCCTCCAGTCCATTTTGCCCTGGTTATTTTGGAGATGGGGGTCTCCCAAACTATTTGCTGGGGCTGGCCTCAAACCATGATCTTCCCAATCTCAGCCTTCCAAGTAACTGGAATTACAGGCATGAGCCATCACCACCCGGCTTGTTTTTCTATTTGTTTTGTGTGTTTGGGGGGACTTTGGGTCTCCTCTCCTTCCTCCTTCTTGGAGAAAACTCCCTATAACCCTACTATGGCCTGGTTTCATTCCTGTTCTCCGACTGCGCAGCTGTGTGTGACTGACTTGCAGTTATTTTGCCTTGATGCCTTTGTTTGCTCATTAAATTCGAACGGTGGCAGTACCTACTCATAGGCCGGGATTGAATACATGTAGCAGGAGGGCAGGGCACGCCTGAGTGAGTGCCTGGCTGGAATGTTGGCCCTAAATCCAGCTGCCTTTTTCTTCTCACTACCCTAGGCCTGTTCCTCCCGCCATCAGCCCTGCAGCCTGACACCGACTTCTTCCCTGGCACCGTCTCCCTGCCTGGCCTGGAGCCCCCTGGCGGGCCCGACCTCCTGGAAGACTTTGCCTATGACCCCACGGCTCCCACACTCTTCACCCTGCTGGACCTGCTGCCCCCGGCGCCGCCACTTGCCAGCGCCGTCATGGGCAGTGGGGGTGCAGGGCCCGCGGTGGCCGAGTCCCCGGGCCCCGAGCCACTAACGCTGGACTCGTACCCGGCCCCTAGTCTCGGGGACGGAGGCACCGCCAGCCTTGTGGGCAGCAACATGTTCCCCAACCAGTACCGCGATGCAGCCTTTGGGGGTGGCCTCCTGTCCCCGGGGCCTGAGGCCACGTAGCCCTCGCGGCGCCAGCGGAGGCGCTGGGTGGGGAGGGGTCCAAGAGGTCCAGCACCTCGGGGCCACATGGAGGTGGCTGCCCTCCATCAGGCTTCCTCCCTCCTCATTCTTCGAAGTTGGACATCTGCAACGCTGACAAGAAGCTCGAGAGCACGGGTTGCCCTTTAGCCCCTTTACAGATGAGAAAACGGGGTGCGGAGAGGAAAAGGGACACTTTCCTGAGCGGCCCCCCATGCGTGGGCACCTTCTCTGGCCGGATTCTCAAAAGATTGTACATAGGGAGACGGCAGATTTCTGATCCTTCCTCCCATTCCTGAAGATGGTTTGTTCAGTCTTCCCAATAAAGATGAAATTTTGAGACTTGGGGGTTTCGTTTCTTCTCTGCCAGGGAAACACCAGGTCTCCCTGCAGCAAACTCCTGTTCGGTTTCGCCCTGCTTCTTCCCGCCTCCAGACTCCGCCCACCAAAGAAGCCACGCCCCCACACTTCACCCCTACCGTCTCCAGGCCCCGCCCCAGCGGAAGCGGAAGCTCGTTCCGCGATGCTCCGCCCCTCCCCTTCTCACGGCCTCCCATTTCCGCTTCCGGTGCGGGTCGCGCGCGAGCGCAGCTGAGGGAGGCGGCGACCAGCCGGTGAGTGCAGGCGTCGGGCCCGGACCTTCTGGCTTTCGGGCGGCGTCAGCCTGGCTTCGCCCTCGTCTCGGGCTCTCCGGGTACTGTCGTGGGTCTCTGCTGGGCTCCGACCCTGAAGCCCGCCCGCTCGCTCCTCGTACTGACGGGCCTCAGGCCGCGCCCCTGTCCGGCTGTGGGCCCGATTTGCGCTATCGGACTCGGCCCTGACCTGGTGCAAGAGCTCAGTCCCAAAACCCTCGGGCCCCGCCCCAACCTCAGCCTTCCCCCTATACTCCCCCCCCCCCCCGTATTTCGCTCGGCCTGCATGTGCTACTCCCCTTTACCTGGCTGCCCTTCCCGGGTCAGCCCATTCTAAAGACCTCGGGCCTGCTGTCTCATAGCGCATCCCCACGCCCCTCCTCCTCCCTCAAGCGCCACCTTCCATCCACACCCTTCATCTGCCCTCGGCCCCACCTCCACACCGCTCCCGGGTTCCCGTGGGGCTTGCCCTTCCTCCACCCGCCCCCACGGGTGGCTCCTTTCCGCAAGCTTCTGCCGGATCTGCTCAGGGCCTGCCAAACCCTTTCATCTCTACTGCAGCGCATGCAGTCTGGGACCCTGCCCCGCTAAGGGACGCGCACCCCAGAAGTCAGGGTTTTTCAGATTTTCAGAATGCGCTGAGCTGCTGGAACACAGTTGCTTGAGCTTGTGGTCCCCGGGTTCTGCAGCCTCACTTCCCATCCTTGAAGCCGAGGGACGTGGTATTTAGGATTTTCTCTGTCACCAGCTTGTTAGATGACAGGGACTCTGCTTCTATGGTTTTTGCAGCCCGTCTGACTCTCCTGGTTACCTCACCCCCCCAGGTTGAAGCCTCGTCTTGGCCTCACCACCATGTGGCACGAGGCTCGGAAACATGAGCGCAAGCTTCGAGGCATGATGGTCGACTACAAGAAGAGGGCAGAGAGGCGGCGGGAGTACTATGAAAAGATTGTGAGTGACCAGCCTTTCCTCTGGGTTGGGCAAGTCCTCCAGTGATGGGGTCCTGGTCATCCATGGTTTGGAAGCTAGGCTTGGTGGGGCACAGCTGTAATCCCAACTACTCAGGAGGCAGAAAGAGGAGGATCAAGAGAGTGGGAAAAAAAAAAAAAGTGGAGAACTGAGGTTCGAGGCTAGCCCCTAACAAAGTGAGCTGAAGATCCATTCTGAAAAAAACTACAAACAAAAAAGCCTGGGGGGCGAGGTTCAAGTGGTAGAGAATTGAGTTCCGTCTCCAGTACCAAAAAATAAATAAATAAATAAATAAAATTTAAAAATTCCCGTGGAAATATGTCTGGGGCTTAATTGTGGATAAGGACCTGTGCAGGGTTCTGTGTGACCTCAGAGTGCACACCCAGAGTTAGGAAGAAGGGAAGACATGGTAACTCTTTGAGCAGTGAACACTTAAGAGTGGCCAACTCTGGACACCATCTGTGTTGCTCATTGCTGTGTTCCCAAGTGCCCACAAGAGCACAGCCCCTCTTGAGGCTTGGCACCCAGTAGCAATGCCATCAATATTCATTAGTAACATCCGACCACCTCCCTCTCCTGTTTTGATGCTTCAGTTGCTTTTGAAGAAAAGACTAAACACCATTCCTTGACCTAAAAGACCCTTGTGCCCTGGCCACTGCCAGGCTCACTGCTGTTTTCTTGTGCTTTTTGGTGACCCTGAGGTTTGAACTCAGGGCCTCATGCTTGCTAGTCAGGCCCTCTTACTGCTTGAGCTAGTCCGCCAGCCCTCCGCTGCTTTTTTGGACAGCTCCACTGGCTGTTTTCCATCACTGCCACTGCAGGGCTTTGGCCTCTTAATGCCTCCCCTCACCTGTTTAATTCCTGCTTGTCCTTGGGACCCCAGCTTGAAATGAGCTCTTGTTTACCTGGCTTGGTTCTGGGGGTGATGTTTATGTACACAGTCTCATGCCACCTTCTTCAGGGGTCAGAGAGATCTTTTGGACCACAAAGCTGACCCTGTCCCTCCCTTGTTCAGAACTCCTCCATGGTTCCTTACTAACTTTGGGAGAAAGCCCAGGCCTCAGTCTTCAAGGCCTTACATAGTTTGGCTGCCCCCCCACCCGCTATAGCCATGCTGGGGGTGGAACCCACATGCACAGTAAGGCAAGCTCTGTACCATTGTGCCCCCCGCCACCCCTCCAGCCTCCATGGTCTGGCATTTGCCCTCCTCCCAATGTCTCGTGCTTTTACTCCAGTCATCCTGGTTTCCTCATTATTCCTCCACTGTCCCAAGCACCTCAGCAGCCCCTGGATATTTGCATTACCTCTTCATGCTTGGTTAACATGCTCTTACCATATAACCATTCTTCAGGGAAGTGTGTCTTGTCCCCAGCCTCAGTTTGGTGCCCCCTGTACAGGTCGTCATTGCTCCCTGTTCTCCTTTGTGTGATGTAACACACTTGAGATAACAGATATAGAAAACATTTATGGGTATTGTATCCCCGCCCCCATCCCCTAGCTCTGTGAAACTAGAGACTAGGTATATTTACATCACATTTACATCTGGAATTTGGGCCCATCGGGTATGGTTTGAATGACTAGAGAAAGAAACTACTATTAACAATAACAGTTAACTATTCAGTTGCTCTGGCATGAGGCTGTTTAAGAGGGCTTTATTCATTTATTGTGGGATTTTTCTTTTTTTCTAAGCTAGGGTCTCTCTGTGTAACCCAGGCTGACTTCATAACTTCAATCCTCCTGCCTCAGCCTCCTGAGTACCAGGATCACAGGCATGTGCCACCACACCTGGTGTGAGGCAGCTTTAGATGCAAGGATGGCTGCTCTTGCCTGACTCTTAAAGCACAGGAAGTTTTGAGAGCTCCACACCTGTGTCTTGTCACCCAGGAAGTATCTCCTGGTAGAGGGAGAGCTGTCACTGTGGTGTCAGTAACCCTAATGTGTCTGAGGGCAGGGCTGAACTTGGTTGTCAGAGTTGAGACCCAGCAGTGGGCTGGGAACACAGCGGGTGCTGGGGCATGAATAGCTGTCAGATCCGGTGCTGCCACCTTGCCACATCTTGCTCAGTCCTTTCCCAGGCCTGCACTCTAACCCAGACCTCTGGCCCTCACCTCTCTCAGCTCCTCATCTGGACCTTAGCCTGAGAAGTGGAGGCACAGAAAGGTGAAGCAATTTGTGTAAGGTCACACAGCCAGCAGGCAAAATGCCATAATGGTTAGGCCTTTAGACTTTGAAGTCTCGGGGCCCTGAGTTCATATTTGAACTATTCTACTTACGTACAGTGTCACCTTGGGCCAGTGACTGTCTTCTTGAGCCTCGTTTCCTCTATTGCATGTGAAGTGCCATATTCTGTACAATCAGATTTGGCTATGAATAACAGAGACCTGAAACCTCAGTGGTTTTATTTCTTACTTATAGAAGAGCCCATATGTGGCCAGTCCTGCTGAGGACCTAAGCTGCTGCTGTTTTTTTTTTTGGTGATGGTAGTACCAGGATTTGAAGTCAGGGCCTTAATGCTTGTTAGGCAGGTGCTCTACCACTTGAGTTATGCTGCCAGCCCTTTTTGCTTCAGTTTTGTGGGGTTTGTGTGGTTTTTTTTTTTTTTTTTTTTTTAAATAGGGTCTCACTTATATCTCTGGTCAGCCTGGACCATGATCTTCCTATTTCCATTTCCCATGTAGCTGGGATAATAGGCACCTGTTACCACACCCAGCTTTTTATAGGTTGAGATGGGGGTCTCACCAGCTGTTTGCCCTGGCTGGCCTCAAACTGTGATCCTCAGTACCTGGGATTATAGGTATGAGCCACCATACCCAGCCTAAGGTGTGTTTGCTTGGTGTTCTGCTACACACAGCTTTTCCTAGTGTTGTCTCAAGATCTAAGAAGATTGCTCATGCTCTAGCCTTTATGTCTTCATCCCATCTAACAGGGAGAAAGAAGGAAGGGAAAAGGAGCAAAGGTGCTTTTTCTGGCTGTTGAGAAGATTTCTAGATCTTTTCCTGTGATACTACATTCTTTTCCTATTGGCCAGAAAGTAGGCCCATGATCACTTACATTGTCAAGGAAGCTAAGAAGGGCTGGCAGAGTGGATCAAGTGGTAGAGTGCCTGTCTAGCATGTGTGAGGCCCAGAGTTCAAACTCCAGGACAAAAAAAAAAAAAAAGGAAGATAAGTGGTATAGATTACTTTATTCTGGGAGTTTTGGCCACAGAAGGAGTTTGTTGTTATAGAAGGTGGGGTGGTGTCCTATGGCCAGTCAGGGAGGGTGAGAGTAGCTCCCTGGAAAGCTTGTTGGAGCTGAGTGTGCCAGCCTAGGGTTGCCCTGTGACTATTACTGGATAGAGCTGAGCCTGGCTCCAGGCTGGGGTGGTGTAGAGGAAGGAAAGAAGACTGGAATTGGGGCATTTTGAAGGCCTGGGGCTCCAGGCTCCACTTTTTGTTAGCAGGGTGCCTCCTGAGCTTGCTGCCCTCAGGACGGTGGCGATAACCAGCCCCCTCACTGGGTGAAAGGAAGAGCTTCACAACAAGCGTGTAAGGGGTGCTTTGTGACACAACCCATACAAGCAGCCAGTGTCCCTGTTTGGAACGTGATGGGCATTCAGATCTGTGGTGCCGAGCTGTGGGAGCTGCTGGCCCAGGGCTGGTGACTGCTGTGAAGATGGGAGGGGGTTGTACTTAGCTCCCCATCTTAGTCTTCGGCCAAGAGAGGAGGAGGAGGTGGTGGGGCAACTGTAGCCAAGCCAGGTGGACTATTGCAGGCCGAGTGTGTCCGTAAGCAGATGGTTTCTCTGCTCCTGACTGGGCCTTGTGCCTGTACTTTCTCATTCTTCAGTCCCTAGCTGACCCAAGTTCTGTCATTGTTCTGTCCTTGTCAGCTTCCTTATATAATCAGTGGTTTGTATAAAGAATCAGTCCCAGCAGGGAGTGGTACACCCCTGAAATCCCAGCACTTGGAGATTGAGGCAGTAGAATGGAAAGTTCCAGGCCAGTCTGAGCTATGTAGCAAGACCTTATTTCAAACAAAAATAAGGGCTAGGGGTATAGGTTAAGTGGTAGAGTGCCTGCTTAGCTAGAACTAGGCCCTAAGTTCAAACACACAAAAGAAACACAGTCCCCTGTTGATATGAAAGGGGAAATAAACCGGTGTCTGCTGGGATGTCACCTCTGAGAAGGCCCAGGCTGAAAAGCTTCCTTGACTCGCCAGGCATTCCGGCCTCCTCATCTCAGCACTGGACAGTGAGCCTGAGACTGGAGCCCAGGCTGTGTCATTCACTGCCATGCCCTGGCCCAGGGCCTGGCTTCCAGTGGGTGCTTGCTGGCCAGGTGAGTGAGTGAATGGATGGATGAAACAGAAGTGATTTCAAAGGCAGGATGGTCTAATGGTCAAGAGTAAATTCTGGATTTTTTGTGTTTTGAGGGATTGAACCCAAGTCCTCGTGCATGCTAGGCATGTGCTTAGTCCCCCACGTAGATTTTGGATCTTTTATTTAAATTCTGTTTTTGAATTAGTATATAGTTTTTGGATCTTCAGCATGTGTTTGTATACCCATGTTCATTGCAGCATTATTCAGCATAGCTAAGAGGTAAAAACAACCTAATGCTTTTTTTTTTTTTGGGTAGTACTGGGGTTTGAACTTAGGGCTTTGAGGTTGATAGACGGGTGCTCTATCACTTGAGCCCTGAAGGAAGCTAAATGTCTGTGGATGAATAAATGGATAAAGGAATTGTGGTATACATGTACAGTAGAACATTATTCATCCTTAAAAAAGAAATTCTCTCCTACCCTCCATTGTGGATGAACTTTGAGCACCTTAGACAAGTGAAATAGCCAGTCACTAAGACAGTACTGCGCAGGTCTGCTTACACATGGTATCTGAGGTAGCCAGACACTTAGAAAATAGTATGGTGCTTGCCAGGGTCTTGGGGAGGGGGGAATTGGTGTTAGTGGTACAGAGTTTTAGTGTTTCAGGGTGAAAATGTTCTAGAGATAGGCATACAGCAAAATGTGTGTAGTTAATGCTACTGTACTATACACTTAGAAAAGGGCTAGGGCTTGGGGGTAACTGAGTAGTACAGCACTTACCTAGTATGCACAAGGCCCTGAGTTCTACCCCCAGTACCTCAGGAAAAAAAAAAAGGCCAGTGACCAGGTGTAATCCTAGCTACTTGGGAGGCTAAGATCAGGGGGATTGTGGTTGGAGGCCAGCTCTGGGGAAATAGTTGGTAAAACCTCGCCCCTAAAATAACCAGAGAAAAATGGACTAAGGTGTGGCTCAAGTGGTAGAGCACATGTTTTGTAGTTGAGAAGCCCTGAGTTCAAACCCAGTCCCACCAAAAAAAAAAATAACACTAACTGCTGGGAGCATGGCTGCATTGGTAGAACACTTGCTAGGTGAGAGGTCCCAATACTGCAAATAAATAAATAGATTTAAAATAAATAAGTAAAAATGGTTAAGAGGGTAGGTTTTATGTTATGTGCTTTTCATCACAATAACAAAATTACTCACCCAAAACAAAAAACAAAGCAATAGCTAAGTATGCTTGATTCCAGCACTCTGGAGGTTGAGGCAGAAGGATTGTGAGTTCTAGGCCAGCCTGGGCTACTTTGTGTCAGGAAAAATAAAAATTTAACCAGGCACCAGTGGCTCATGCTGTAATCTTAACTACTCAGGAGGCAGAGATCAGGAGGATTGAGGTTTGAAACCAACCCTAGGCAAATAGTTCTTGAGACCCTATCTTGAAAAAACCCATCACAAAAAAGGGCTGGTGGAGTGGCTCAGGGTGTAGGTCCTGAGTTCAAGCCCCAATACCACACACAAAAAAAAAAAATTAAAAAGATATCTATTATACAAATATTTCCTACCCTTTTCTTTGCAGTATTTCAGTTTGAATTCAGGGCCTTGAACTTGCTAGGCAGGTGCTTTACCGCTGGAGTCGAGACTCTCAGGATTCAGGTCCTAGTTCTTATGGTACAGTCCCAGGCCTGTGGGCCTCACTGCTCTGAGCCTGGGTTTCCAGGTCTGAAAGATGAGAAGAGTGGTCCACCTCTCCATGGTTGGAAAGCGGGAGTGGGGTGTGTATGGACTACATTTAGCTCAGTGCCTTTTCCAGAATTTCCCAGCAATGGCCTCAGTGCTTTTCCTCCCTGCTCACTATGTGACACTCCTGGCACATCAGTACTGCCATGGACTGCTCCATGCTTACCAGATTCCACCTTGCATGGTGTCCCCTGAGTCTTGGCCTGAGCCACCTCAGAAGCATGGGGACTCTTGACCTTGGGCTTGCCTGGGCAGAGTGTGCTCTTCCAGAGGTGTGGCCTAAGGAATTTCAGGAAGCATTCAGGGTGCAGGACCTTGAAATCTTGGACAGGTCCCTGCCTCCTCAGTTTCTTCATGTGAAATGTGATGACAGTGCAGCTCCTGACACAGAGCAAATGCAGAGCAGAGGGGAGCCGGGTGCCAGCCGTGGTCTCAGGGAGTGTCCTTAGTTCCCACACAGTCGGCCTGAGGGTGTAGGAGGAGGGGACATGAGGTAGTGAGCGGTGAGGGAACTGGGAGCTTGAAGGGTTTCCTCAGGGTCCCAGTCTCTAGGTAGGTGTTTTATCATTTGATCCATTCTGCCAGGCCTTAGGGGCCCAGTCTCTGTTAGCTTTCCTCACTCTGTTCCTGAGCACCTGCGTGGGGCCAGGTCCTGGGACAGCAGTGAACAAAGCAGATTCCTGCACCCTGGGAGGTGCCCTTTGCAAGTGGGAGCTGAAGTGGGCGCTCTGAGGGAAACAAGTGAGGCTGAGGAACGGGAACTCTTTAGATAGGACTGATCAGGAAGTAAGGCTGTGGAAGGGGATCTGAACTATGTGATGGAGCAGCCCTGCTAAGGGTGTTCCAGGCCACAGCAACAGCAACACCGAGCCAGGAGTGCCGTGGAAGCCTGTGTGCCCAGAGCAGAATGGTATGGTGGGGGAGATGTCAAAGGGATGTCAGAAGCCAGGGATGTGGTCTGATAGGTGTCCAGCAACTCTGTGGCTGTGTAGGGAGGACTCATAGTGCAGTGGCTGCACACAGCCCAGGCAAGGGGATGCGCTGGCTGAGGTGTGAGGGGGTATGTGTCCCAGGATTTGATGGGTCCAGAACAACTCTTGGGTTCTCTGATGTGGCTCCAGCCAGAGCCCAGCCCTTAGCAAGCTCATCAGTTTTATCCTTTTCATGACACACTTGTGACACTTGCACTTGATGCCATGCTAGGGCTCAGGCCTGGAAGCCACAGACTAGGGGACAGTCTCCCTAACTTGGTGTCCTTTTGAAAACAGTGTTTTTTATTGATTGATTGATTGATTTTTCTTTGTGGTACTGGGGTTTGAACTCAGGGCCTACACCCAAGCCACTCCACCAGCTTTTTTTTTTTTTTTGTGAAGAGTTTTTTCAAGATAGGGCCTCAAGAAGTACTCTTCGGGGGCTGGCTTCAAACCTCGATCTTCCTGATCTCTACTTCCTGAGTAGCTAGGATTACAAGCATAAGCCGCTGGTGCCCGACTTGAAAACAGCTTATTGAGCTAGAATTCCCATACCTACACAGTTCACTCATTTATAGTATATAGTTCAGACTGGGGGCATGGCTTAATGGTGGAGTTCCTTGCTCAGCACCACAGAAACAGTTTAAGAATTAAAAAATAAAGTAGGCAATTCAGTGCCTTTCAGTGAAGGTTGTGCACCAACAACAGGAAAATTTGGACCAGGTGTAGTGTCTCATTTCTGTAATCCCAGCTACTCAGAAAGCAGAGGCAAGAGGATCTCGAGTTTGAGGCCAGCCTGGGCTACATAGTGAGATGCTGTCTCAAAGAGAAAAGAAGCTGGGTACTGGTAGCTAAGGCCTGTAATCCTAGCTACTCAGGAGGCAGAGATCAGGAGGACTGTGGTTTGAAGCTAGCCCAGGCAAATAGTCCGCAAGACCTGTCTTGAAAAAACTCATCACAAAAAAGGGCTGATGGAGTGTCTCAAGGCAAAGGCCTTGAGTTCAAACCCCAATACCACAAAAAACAAAAAAAGAAATACAAAAGGGCTGGAGATGTGACTTAAGTGATAGAGTGCTTGGTTAGTAAGCTTAAAGTTCTAGGTTCAATCCCCAGCACCACAGGAAAAAAAAAGGAATTTCATTATCCAGAAAGAAAACCTGTACCTGTTAGCATATGTTTTTACCCTCCCCACCTCAGCCCTAGACAGCTACAGCGCTACTACTCTGTCTTTCTGCATTTGCCTGTCATGGACATTTCCTGTGAATGGAATCATACAATGCTCGGTTGTGACTGCCTTCTTTCATTTAGCATGATATTTTCATCCACATTGAAGCAAGTATACTTTATTCCTTATTGTGGCTAAGTAATATTCCACTGTATGGCTGTCCCCTCTCCTTTTTTTCCCCTGATCTGTTGATACGAAGTTTGGGTTCTTTGTACCTTCTGGCTGTTGTGAATAATGCTGTTAAGAACATTAGTGTAGCTGTGTGCAGTGGCTCACGCCTGTAATCCTAGTTACTCAGGAGGCAGAGATCAGGAGGATTGGGGTTTGAAGCCAGCCTGGGTAAGTAGTTCTGGAGACCCTATCTTGAAAATACCCAACACAAAACAGAACTGGTGGAGTTCCTCAACTGATAGAGCACCTGCCTAGCATGCCTGAGGCCCTGAGTTCAAACCCCAGTGCTGGAAAATAAGAAAAGAACATTAATGTACAAATAGTTGTTTGAATACCAGCTTTCAGTTCTTTTGGGTGTGTACTTAGGAGTAGAATTGCTGGGCCATGTCATAATTATTAATTATTTATTTTGCTGTCTGGGGATGGTATTCAGCCTAGAGCAGCCTAGGGAAGTGCTTTACCACTGAGCCCTGCTCGCTACCCCTGTTTAACTTTCTTTTTTTGCAGTACTGGGGTTTGAACTTGGGGCCTTCAGCTTGAGCCACTCCGCCAGCTCTTTTTTGTGATGGGTTATTTTTGAGATACTGTCTCACGAACTATTTGCCTGGTCTGGCTTCGAACTGTGATCCTCCTGATTTCTGCCTCCTGAGTAGCTAGGATTACAGGCATGAGCCACCAGTGCCTGGCCCCTGTTTAACTTTTTGAGGGACTGAATTTCTTGTCAATACTTTTGTCCTTTGAATTTCAGCTGTCCTACCGGGTGTGAGGTGATTCTTTGTGGTTCTGACTGATATTTCCGTGGCGATTACAGCATGCTTACGTGGTCTTGCTATCCTGGAGGCTGGTCCAACCTATGGATGGCCCTAGGTTGAAGTGGGGGAGAGTAGAGGGCAATAGTCTAGGCTGGGTATTGGTACTGCCTGTGCAGAAGTAGGAGGCAGAGCTCAGAACTGCTGGCTACTCTGAGGAGGAAACAGTTGCCCTGTCTTTGGAGCCAGTTGAGGTGCCATGACTGCAGCGTGGCTTACCTGGGGGTACAGCCCACTTAATATAGGTGAGCTCTCTGCCAGGCTTGGCTTAGGGGTCCAGTGGGCCATGGAACTCAGCTGAGTGGTGACCTCCATCCTGTCTACCCCTGCAGAAGAAGGACCCAGCCCAGTTCCTGCAGGTCCATGGCCGAGCTTGCAAGGTGCACCTGGATTCTGCTGTTGCTCTGGCTGCCGAGAGCCCTGTTAACATGTAAGACTGACTGCCCTGCCCAGTGGTATCCTTAGCTGGAGGTTGGGCATTGGACAGGTGGTAGAGAGTCTAGCAGAGGCTGTGGGGGTGTGACAGACCTGTGGGGACACAGACAGGGAAGGTAGAGGTGCTTATCAAGGTGACAGTTACAGAGACCACTTAGAGGAGCATGGTGGGGCCAGGCTGAGGCCCAAAGGAGACAGAAGGTGGAATGGGGGAATGTTGGGGGCCAGTGGGGGCTCCTCCAGGGGCTCTAGGGCCTGATTTAAGTTCTCAGGCAATAGCTTGACCCTGAGAAATGAGGCCCCTGCTCCCTAGGCTTCAGGTGGGTGGCCTACTCCATGCCCCAGGAGCTGGACTACAGATGAAGTGGGGGACTGAGCTGGGGATGAGGTGAAGCCACAGCGCTGGTATTGGGACTGAGGATCAGGCTCCCAGGCCCGAGGCAGTGGGGAACAGGAGTAATGCAGACCCTAAACTACTGCTTCTGTGCTTTTCCATTGTTCCTGCTCAGGATGCCTTGGCAGGGTGACACCAACAACATGATTGACCGCTTTGATGTCCGCGCCCACTTGGACCACATCCCCGACTACACCCCCCCGCTGCTCACCACCATGTAAGCTGCCTCTCCAGGGACTTGCCCAGGACCCACAGCACACCTGTTCCCTTTCTACACCACCCCTGCCCCAAGCCTTAGCCATCCTCCTTGTCCCTTTCTGTTGGCTTGGGCTGGGAGCCTCACTCCCTCTGATCTCGAGATCTTGACTTCCCTGAAGCTCCCCGGAGCAGGAGTCAGATGAGCGGAAGTGCAACTATGAGCGCTACCGAGGCCTGGTGCAGAACGACTTCGCAGGCAGTGAGTGACGGGGCGGGCTGTGGGGAGTGGGGGGCCCTGGAGGCTGGAAGACCCAGACAAGGTTGGGAAGAGAAGTTTTGCCCAGGTATTTCTTTACTGAATGGCTTTGAGTTCTGGTCCTACCTAAGTCACTGACTCGCTCTGTCTGTACCCCTTCACCTTCTAGACCTTCATCCTGGTCCTAGGAATTGGCACAGGGAATGCCCAATGGCCAGGAGGTTCCTGTCAAGGCCGCCTCCACACGCCTTGTCCTCTGATTCTGTAGTCCTTTCTTTTTTTTTTTTGTGCACTGAGGTTTGAACTCAGGACTTTGCACTTGCAAAGCAGGTGCTTTACTACTTGAGCCATGCCTCCAGTTTAAATTCCTCATTTGAAATGAAGTTGAGAGTGATCAGCCAGCTGCTATGCACTCACAGCCATCCAGGATTCTCTTCAAGCCCAGCCTCAGCACCATCGCCTTTACAGAGGGGAATGTGGGCCAGGGAGGCACACCTGACAGACTTTTCTGTCGTATTATCACTCCATACCTGCAGAGCACCCAGCAAGGCGGAAATAGTACCCATCTTACAGACAGGACATTGAGACTCAGTGGTACCCAAGGACTTGGGGTCTCCCAGTGTCCCTAGCTACTTCAGCCTCTTGATAGGGCCTGCACCCTCAGCCAAGCTAGTCCACATGCAAGTCTCTTCCCTTCTTCAGTTTCCTCCTGGGGAAGGGTGACAATGATAGCTGGGCACATGGAGTGGTTGTGAAGTTTGGCAAAGCGGTGTAGAAAGCCTAGCTTCAAGTCTGGCACATTCCACCCCCCAGAAGAGCTTGCTAGAGACAGGTGCCAGTGGCTTACACCTGTCACCCTAGCTACTCACAAACCAGAGATCAGGAGGATCGTGGTTTGAAGCCAGCTCAGGGCAAATAGTTCTTGAAAATACCCAACACCAGCTGGGTGCTGGTGGTTCACACCTGTAATCCTAGGCAGAGGAGGCTGAGATCAGGAGGATTGCAGTTCAAAGCCAGCCCCAGGCAAATAGTTCCCGAGACCCTATCTTGAAAAAAACCCATTACAAAAAAGGGCTGGTGGAGTGGCTCAAGGTGTAGGCTCTGAGTTCAAACCCCAGTAGCGGGGGAGGGAGGGAGGGAAGAAAAGAAAATATCCAATACAAAAAAATGTGCCGGTAGAGTGGCTCTGCCTAGCAACTGTGAGGCCCTGAGTTCAGAGCCCAGAACTGCCAAAAAAATGAAAGACTCACTTAGCCCCAGATTACTGATTTTAAGGTATTTTTGCTCATTTGAAATCAGAGCAAAATCCTAGTAATCTATGAGGCCGTTAGAACCAGGGAGACTTGCCATGCTGCTGCTGTTGTCTGCCCTCACCCAAGGCCACACTGGTTCCTGGTCGCAGAGCTCCATCTCTGTCTGCATTATTTGTTCATTGCATAGTGATGTCCCAGCACTGGTGGCATGGCAGGTGCTCTGGTGTTGGGCTGGTGAGGGTGAGGGAGCCTCTGGAGAGTCACATAAGCAGTGATAACACATTGTGGCACCTGTTTTCTTTTTTTATTATTATTTTATTATTCATATGTGCATACAAGGCTTGCGTCATTTCTCCACCCTGCCCCCACCCCCTCCCTTACCACCCACTCCCCCTCCCTCCCCCCCCACCCCCTCAATACCCAGCAGAAACTATTTTGCCCTTATCTATGATTTTGTTGAAGAGAGAGTATATGCAATAGGAAGGAACAAGTGTTTTTGCTGGTTGAGGTAAGGATAGCTATACAGGGAGTTGACTCACATTAATTTCCTTGCATGTGTGTTACCTCCTAGGTTTATTCTTTTTGATCTAACCTTTTCTCTAGTTCCTGGTCCCCTTTTCCTATTGGCCTCAGTTGCTTTTAAGGTATCTGCTTTAGTTTCTCTGAGTTAAGGGCAACAAATACTAGCTAATTTTTTAGGTGTCTTACCTGTCCTCACCCCTCCCTTGTGTGCTCTCACTTTTATCATGTGCTCAAAGTCCAATCCCCTTGTTGTGTTTGCCCTTGATCTAATGTCCACATATGAGGGAGAACATACGATTTTTGGTCTTTTGGACCAGGCTAACCTCACTCAGAATGATGTTCTCCAATTCCATCCATTTACCAGCGAATGATAACATTTCGTTCTTCTTCATGGCTGCATAAAATTCCATTGTGTATAGATACCACATCTTAATCCATTTGTCAGTGGTGGGGCATCTTGGCTGTTTCCATAACTTGGCTATTGTGAATAGTGCCACAATAAACATGGGTGTGCAGGGTGGCACCTGTTTTCTGAGGAACACAGGACAGGGTCTGGCCAAAGCAGGGTCAGTGAGGGATGGATGAGCTCCCTGGTGAGGTGAGAGGCGATGCAGGATTGCAGGTCGAGAATGGCATGCAGAGGCCAGGATAGGGGTGCTGAGGTGAGCTAAGGGCCTTCTCCTGAGCTGTGGAGGGGGGCGAGGCTTCGTCACTTCCCACCTTGCCCAGTGCAGCCACCTGATGCCTCAGATAGGAAAACTGAAGCCCACAGAGGGAAGGAAGGGAATACCCTGCAGGAGGGTCAAGGAGAGTACGCCCAGGGAGCCCCGAGGTGGGTGCAAGGGATAAAAGAGGGCCCAGGTCATCCCAGACCACACTTCATTTAAACAGCCTCAGAGGACCACAGTGGAATGGCCCAAGGGGTCCAGGTGACATCTGCATCAGAAGCAGCCTATATAGTTCTGAAGGGTCCCACTGGAGGCCTCCACAACAGCAATAATGTAACAGTGCCAACTTCCAAGCACTTGCTCTGCCAGGGATCCCGTTTACACCAAATGAAACTGGGGCACATGGGGCTTATATCACTTGAGCAAGGTCACAGGTGGAGTGAGTGTGGTGGAGCTGGGGCTGTACTGTAGTTTCTTGTGCCCCAGCAGTTAGGTGGTGATCATCTCAAAGTGGTGACTCCTCCTCTGGCTGTCCCACTCTCCTGCCCCCACTGTAGTTGTTCTACTGAATGCCTAGTGTCCCTAACCCACTCTGACTCATGAACTCCTTGCAACAGTCTCAGAGGAGCAGTGCCTGTACCAGATCTACATTGACGAGCTATACGGAGGCCTGCAGAGGCCCAGCGAGGATGAGAAGAAGAAGTGAGTCGGGACTGGGGAGAAGGGGCCTGTGAGCCCAGGAAGGTACTGGGCATGGCACCTGGCAGATGCTCTGGACAGGAGGAGCTGTGGCGGAGCACAGGCAGATAGGCTTTGCAGAAGGCATGGTGTCCCTTGCATCTCAGCTGTGGTGTGGGAGGTGCAGGTCTGGTGCGGAGGCCTCTGGGAAGACAGTCCCTCCAAGCCTCATGCCCCTCTGTGAACTGTGCGCTGAGCTTGTAGCATGCTTGTCCTTGGGCCTGTGTGCAGTGAGCTGTGGCCAGTGTTGCTCTGGAGAGAGGCTTGTCAAAGCCATGTCCCTTGAGGAATGGCTGGGGCTGGGACCTTACTTTGCAGCTGCTGTCTCTGCACTCCTTCCTGCCTGCTCCCTGGGGTACATTGGGCAGCACTTCCAGGAGATTCCAACTCCTCCTGACAGATGAATTCAGCAACGGTCCCCCATGAGGCCCCTGAGAACAGAGCTGGGGCACGTTTCTATCCACTGTAACTCTGGGCCCCATACTTATGGAACTTTTGGTCTGGTTAGGCGACAGACCTGTCCCCCAATGTGGGCAGGGCTGGGAAGCCCAGGATGACACCTGAGTCATCCTGGATGGTGGGCAAGGAGGCCTTCCATAAGATGAGGTGATGGGCTGGTACAGAACGGAGTGGCACTGCCTGGTGGGCAAGAGCAGAGCAGCCTCAGTGGACTCTGGTGCAAGGGACTCGGTGCTCATCCTAGGCTGGCAGAGAAGAAGGCTTCCATTGGCTACACTTACGAGGACAGCACTGTGGCCGAGGTAGAGAAGGTGGCAGAGAAGCCAGAGGAGGAGGAGTCTCCCGCCGAGGAGGAGAGCAACTCGGATGAAGATGAGGTCATCCCCGACATCGGTGGGGTCCCCTCTCTGCCCTCCCCACCTGCAGTCCCTGGGCATCGTTCTCGTGTCCTGTCCCTCACCCTCTGGGGTGCCCCGTGCTTACAAACCCCTTCACTTTCCTGCCTCAGCACCTCAACCTCCTGCCACTTCCCTGTCCTCCCTCTTCCTCTGTTCCACACGCTTCTATGTTCCCCCACCCCAATCTCTGTCTCCCCCTCCCCCATTTCCAGGGCACTGTCTTCATGATGTTTTCCCCCACACAGGTGTTAGCGCTGGCTTTTCCCACTTGTGAAGCCCTCTCTCTGCCTCTTGCTTCTGCTCTATTCGCTCTTCTCTGGGAAACAAGCAGTCTTCCTGATAGAGCTGTCCCTCATCCCCCAAGCATCTGTCGCCTCATCCCAAGGCCTGCCACACTCCCCGCCCATCCAAATACCATTGAGCAGACATTTGTCTACACACCTCTCATCCTGGCATCCAGTCTGCCTGCTGGTGACTGTTCACTCTTGGACAGAGCCATACGTTCCCACCCTCCACGTGTTCATCACTTGCCCCACTCCTGAACACCCATTACCCGCCTCCCCCCCCCACCGCCCCGTCTTCTGCCCACCTCCTCTTCAGTTCACCATCTGTCCGTTCCCCTCCTCCCTCATATCCGTAGCAGCTCACTCATGTCCACCTTTCTGTCCTGCCATCCACTGTGTGGTGCTTGCTGCTACCTAAGCCCCAGGCCAGCCTGGGGAATGCAGAGCTGATCACTCCCTCCCTGAAGTCTGCTTAGTCTGGTGGGCTGTCCGCCCCACCTCTGGGGCACTGCCCCTTCTCCATTCTCTCCCTGGCTTTGGCCCCTGACAGCCTTTCTCTTGGTGCAGATGTGGAGGTGGATGTGGATGAGCTGAACCAGGAGCAGGTGGCAGATCTCAACAAACAGGCCACAACCTATGGCATGGCTGACGGGGACTTCGTCAGGTGAGGCCTGCCTGCCAACACCCTGCCTTCTTTTTGTCCATACCTCTGGTACCAACAGCCACCCTACTACTGGGCCTGTGTGATGGGTACTTGTGACCCCACTTTGTGTACAAGCCGAGGCTATACCTCACATTGTACAGCCAGCCCTGTTCAGTATGGCCAAGGGCAAATGGCCCCTCAAAGCTCCCTGGGATCTTAGGGCTGGTGAACAGCGCCCTCTAGGGGAGCAGCTTCGGTAGCTGAGGTTTCCTATCCAGATTGGCACCATCTGATACAGTGCACTGTATTACCTTGGTCCCTGTTTTCTCCTCTAGTGTGTTGACCCAACAGTTGCTGAATTCTTGTGTTTTTTTGTTGTTGTTTTGTTTTTGTTTTTGTTTGTTTTTTGAGACAGGATCTTCCTTTGTAGCCCAGACTGACCTTGAATTTGCTCTATAGCTCAGGCTTGCCTTGAATTGGATATTATACAGCTTCAGCTTCCCAAGTGCTAGGATTATAGATGTATACTGCTCTACCCAGTACTTAGTGCTTAATTCTGGTGCTTTTTTTTTTTTTTGTGGTGCTGGGGCTTGAACTCAAGGCCTTCACCTTGAGCCACTTCACCAGCCCTTTTTTGTGAAGGTTTTTTTCGAGATGGGGTCTTGCGGAACTGTTTGTCTGGGGTTGATTTTGAACCGCCATCTTCCTGATGTCTGCCTCCTGAGTAGGTAGGATTACAGGCATGAGCCACCGGTACCTGGCTTTTGCTGTGTTTTTGATGGCACTGGGGTTTGAACTTGGCCTCATGCTTGCTAGGCAGGCACTCTTCCACTTGAGCCATGCCTTTAATCTTTTCTGCTTTAGTTATTTTTTAGGTAGGGACTTGTGTTTTTGCCTGGGCCAGCCTGGACCTTGATCCTCCTACTTTGCCTCCCACCCGTGTATCTGGGATGACAAGCACACACTATGATGCCCATCTTTTTAGTTGAGATGGGGATGTTCATTAACTTTCCCTGTTGTCCATACCCCTCTCCCTCGGTCTTAAAACATGATTCTCTGGATCTCTGCCTCCCAAGTAGCTGCTGGGATTACAGGCTCTACTCTTAGCTAGGTTCTGAACTCTTTCTTTCTTTTTTTTTTTTTTTCCATGTTCTTGGGGTTTGAACCCAGGGTTTCATGCTTACAAAGAAGGTGCTCTACCACTTGAGCCATACTTCCAGTCCACTTTGGCCCTGGTTATTTTGGAGCTAGGATCTTGAGAACTGTTTGTCTGAGCTGGTCTCAAACGCCAATCCTCCCAATCTCAGCTTCCCAGGTAGTCAGTATTACAGGTTTGAGCCACCAGTGCCTGGCTTTAAGTTCTGAACTCTTAATACCAAATCTAGTGCCTGGGCCATGGAAGGTGCTCAGTAAATTGTATGGAATGTTTCAAAGATGGGACAAGATGACATGGGGTACCTCTCTACCAGGGCTCCGCTCACTCACATTGTGACCTATGCCCCCTCCATGGTGATTCCCCCACTCCACCCCTTTGTAGGATGCTTCGGAAAGACAAGGAGGAGGCAGAGGCCATCAAACACGCCAAGGCCCTGGAGGAAGAGAAAGCCATGTACTCGGTGAGGGCTGGGGGCCGAAGGGGGCAGGGTAGTCCTCAGGGAGGGCATACTCCTAACACGCTTGGCCCCTTCCTCAGGGCCGTCGTTCACGGCGCCAGCGGAGAGAGTTCCGGGAGAAGCGGCTGAGGGGCCGCAAGATCAGTCCACCAAGGTAGGGCTTCTCCCCTGGGCCTCCCCCACCAGTCAGTCCCAGAGACTCTGAGGGCAGGATTCAGGGCAGGAGGGTTCTTTGGAGGTCGAGTTTGGCTAGAGGAGAGTCCTAATGGGGCACTAACTGGTCTGAAGTGACTGTTTGGAGGTAGTAATGGCCTTGGGGCATGTGGGCGCTTTCCCCTGCCAACCGTTCCCCTCATCCTGCTGGGTTTGGGGTCTTGCATCCCTCCCCAGGAGCCACTGGGGAACGGATGGATGGCTGCCATCAGCACTGGCTGGAGGAGGAGAGGGCTCTGCCCTGCTCTACTACTTGGTGCCATCTCTGTCAGAGTGGAAAAGTGACTCCCCTTTGTGACCTGCGGTTTCCTCCTTGGGAAACTGGGGCACCATCGCCTGCCAGGAGAGGGCATTGGGCCAGCCACCCCTTGGAGGTCTTGGGTGAGCAGTCCAACATGGACTTCTGGGCCTCGTGGCCCAGGGCAAAGCCGCACCTCTTTTTGTCACATCTCTGTTAAAGGACAGGGATTGAGGGTGCTGGGAGGCTTAAAGGATGCTGTGGGCTTAGGGTTTGGTGTGTAAAATATTAGAGAGCAGAACTGACTTGGGTCTGGTAGCTCACACTTATAATCTCAGCTACTCTGGAGGTTAATTGGGAATATCAAGGTTTGAGGCAAGCTGGGGCAAAACGTTAGGACCCCATCTCAATAAGGTGGGCCTGGTGGCCTGCGCCTGTGATCCTAGCTGTGCGGGATCACACAGCTAGGATCTTGGTCTGAGGCTGGCCCAGGGCTAAAACATAAGATCCTATCCAAAAAAATTAAGTAAAATGGGCTGGGGGGTGTGGCTCAAGTGGTAGAGCACCTGCCGAGCAAGCACAAGGCCCTAAATTTAATCCCCAGTACCACCAACATGAATAAAAAAGAGCAGCACTGATTCTTGCTGCCATTGTCATTAGCATAGAGACATCATGTCTGTGTGGTCAGTAAAAGCTTGGGGCCACATGGCCTGAAATTAAACATGGCTCTTTCATTTCATTTATGAGCTGTGTGACCGTGGGCAAATGACTTGACCTCTCTGGGCTGCTGTCTCATCAGAGAGTTATTGTGAAAAACCACTGAGTTGGTTGCTGTAAAGCACTTAGTGCCTGGCACATACTAAGCAATTCAGAGTGTGACTATTTTAGTCTTCTTATCGGTAAGCCAGAACCCAGTTAAACCTGTGAGGGAGGGGAGCAGGGAGGGCTGCTGCACGGGTGTGTTGCTCTGGGGTCGGGTGGGTGAACTCCATCAGACCCTCAGATGGGGGCTAGGTCCAAGTCCACATCAGCTGAGATGCACACCCTCCTCACCTGCCCTGTCCGTCCTCTCCACAGCTATGCCCGCAGAGACAGTCCCACCTATGACCCCTACAAGCGGTAAGTGAGGGTCTGTGTGAGGGTGCAGCCTCGTCCTCGGCCACTCCACAGTCACATACACTGTACACCGCGATCTTTGGGGTTGTGGGTCTTTAGCATTCGGTGTTCCCGGCTTTTTCTTCAAATTTGAGCCTTTATCTTTCTAGTTTAAATACAGTTCAGTCTTTGCTACAATCCATCAAACGTGGCAGGAAGGGGTGACTTTGGAACCAAGTCTCTTTGATTAATTAGAAATGACTAGTGAGAAGTATGTGGCACTGAGTGCTTGTCCCAGGTGTAGGGTGGGTGTGGCAGTGGTTAGGCCCCCACCAGTGGGACAGGCTGTCTAACTCCACTTCCATTCTCTGAGCTCTGGGAGACTCAGGTCCATTCAGGTCCACTCAGCCTGGACAGAGTAAGGAGGGGCAGGGTGGTCCTGGTGCTATGGAAGGTGCGGTTAGTGTTCTGTGTGTGGGAGTTAGGGATTTTATGAGAATGGAACTGTACACACTTGTACTTGAGAGCTCCTTCTTGCCCATTTTTACTGGGTTTTGTGGGGCTGGGAGTAGGGCTCAGGGTCTCTGACTCCCTCCCTGGCTCTCCAGCACTGCTCGGGGCTGTCATCTTCCTTGCTCCGGAAGGAAGCTGAACTGCCTCCTGCACGCTGGCCCTCTTACAGGTCACCCTCGGAATCCAGCTCTGAGTCCCGTTCACGCTCGCGCTCCCCGAGCCCAGGCCGCGAGGAGAAGATCACCTTCATCACCAGTTTTGGGGGCAGCGACGAGGAGGCAGCTGCAGCTGCTGCTGCAGCCGCTGCATCAGGGGCCGCCCCAGGGAAGCCCCCTGCGCCCCCGCAGCCTGGCGGCACCGCGCCGGGACGCAATGCCAGCGCCCGGTCGGTAACGCACGCTCGCTGCCCTCCCTACGACCCCCGGCGGCCGCGGGCATGGGGGGCAGTACGCGGACGGAGAGGGCCCTGGGCAGCTGGCCTGCGGTACTGACCAGTCCTCTGTGCCACCTGCAGCCGCCGTTCCTCCTCTTCCTCCTCCTCTTCTGCTTCGAGGACCTCCAGTTCCCGCTCCAGCTCCCGCTCTCGTTCCAGTTCCCGCCGCGGAGGCGGGGGCTACTACCGCTCTGGCCGCCATGCCCGCTCCCGTTCACGCTCCTGGTCCCGTTCGCGCTCCCGCTCCCGGCGCTACTCTCGTTCCCGCAGCCACGGCAGGCGACACTCTGTTGGTGGCTCCCGTGATGGCCACCGCTACTCTCGTTCACCAGCCCGGCGTGGCGGGTATGCGCCCCGGCGCAGAAGCAGGTGTGTGTGCATATGTGGTCGGGCCAGTTTGTGCCATTTTGGAGAGGGAGGTGACCTGCCTGGGCAGAGGGGATAGGCCCAGGCCACTGCTCTTCTCTCTGGAAACTCTTAGTTTGAACGGGGCAGTGTAGGTATCCACTGTGTTCAGAGAGTGCCAAGCATGTGCCTGTGGGGGCAGAGCCTAGCCACCTGGCTCAGGAACTCTCTGGGACCTTTATCCCTGCTCCCAGAACATTCTTTCAAGGCTGCAGGGAGCAGAAGTGCAGTGTGCTGTATGGTTGCAGGAAGAACCTGGGAATCCAGTGATATCCCAGTGGAGGAGGCAAGGGTTGCTGGGAAGAGGACTGAAGAATAGTTGGGGGGAGCATCTCCCCTCCTCCCCTTTGCAGGTAGGGCAGGTGGAAGGCAGGGTCTCTGCTGAGCAGATGCAGCAGCCACATGGGTGTGGCCATGCTGATGAGCTCTGGGCCTCCATGTGGGGACTAGAGACAGCTGCTGCATTCTGATGGAGCCCTGTGCAGGCGTGCCATGAAATCACAGAAGGCACTTAGAACAAGGCCTGGCCCAGGGTGTGTGCTGTTCCTGTCATCAGCATTGCTACCTGTACTGTGGCACAGGTCATGTCAGCCACCTGTGGGAGCCGGCAGCTAGAGCAGAGGTTCCAGCTGCTCCTACTACAGAGATAGCACGTGTGCTCTTGGTGCATCATTGACTACCCAGTGATCGGCTGGGTGCTGCCCTGGCTTCCTTTTTTTCAAGAGCAGTTGAGAGTCTGGAATTTTAAAGGATAGCTCTTGTTTTCTCAGTACTGACAGCAAATACTAATTCACAAAAACCCGAGATGAGGGCTGGTGGCTGATCTTGAGACTCTGGTTCAGTCCTCGCTACTGACAACAAAACAAAACAAGGTAGCCTGGCAAAGACAACTTCTGACTGGGTGGGTACTGGCTTCCAGGTCATTTCCTGCAGCCTGATCCCAGGTGAAAGGTTTGGGGCAGGGACCACGAGACTCAGGGGTGCTCTGGCTTGGGAGTCCCTGCAAGGATTCAGTTGTGTTCCTGAGACTTGTGGGGGCAGAGGGATCCTTGCAAGTGTCAAAACCCTGAACCCCAGCAAGAAGAGGGTGAGGGCACCCTGGAACACAACCTTGAGCTGGATGGATATGGCATGGAAAGGGCTCCCAAGGTCACCTGCCAGGAAGTCAACCAGCGGTGTCTAGGAAGAGAGGAGCCAGTGGTACGGGGTACTGTCTTAGGCCTCTTGTGTCTAGTGAGTTGTCTGTGTAGAGGGACGGTGGCAGGGATCAGCGGGGACTTGTGAGAAAGAGCAGTGGAGGGGCACACCGGCATTCCATGGAGCCTCACAGGAGGCAGGGAGCTCAGATGGGCTGAGTGCCTCCAACCCCTGTAGCCTCATGGCCTTTCTCTTGCCCCACTCTGCCCTACCGCACCCCCAGGAGTCGCTCCCGTTCTGGGGACCGCTATAGGCGGGGAGCCCGGGGCCCCCGGCACCACAGCAGCAGCCGCAGCCGTAGCCACAGTAGCTGGTCCCTCAGTCCGTCCCGCAGCCGCAGCCTGACCCGCAGCCGAAGCCACAGCCCCAGCCAGAGCCAGAGCCGAAGCCGCAGCCGCAGCCGCAGCCAGAGTCACTCACCATCGCCCCCAAGGGAGAAGCTGACCCGGCCGGCAGCATCCCCTGCTGTGGGCGAGAAGCTGAAAAAGTGAGTCCGAGGGGGGCAGCTGGCAGGGGCATCAGTCTTGGAGGGGGGTGGGTAGTCTACCTACTGCTTTTGTTCTCACTGTGGAAATGTGGTCATGACTGGGGGGATGGTCTGAGGAGGACATAGCCATATTCCAGGAGGTTCGTCACAGCTTTGTCATGGGTAAAGGGTCAAAGGGTACATGTCCCTGCCTTGGAGGTTCTGTAGGGGGAGAAAATGGATTGGAGAGGGAGGTGGTGACTCCCTGGGGGTCTGAGGCCATGACCTTGGCTCTTTGGTCGGAGGTCAGTGCTGAAGCTATGGGGTAGAGGTTACATCTCCATTTCCCACCCAGGACTGAGCCTGCCGCTGGTAAAGAGACAGGAGCTGCCAAAGTCAGTAAGAATTTGGAACTCGCCCGTCTAAGTCCCGCCAGCAGCAGTGCCCGAGCTGGGCCCGGTGGGCCTGTGGGGGGCCCAGGGAGCCGGGAGAACAGCCCAGGGATGGGGGAGGAAGAGGGCCTGCCCTAAGAGCCATGTCCCCTCTTTGCCTCACTGCATACTGGGCTCCACTGTCCCTGAGCCTTGCAGAGCCTTGTGGTCATGTCTGCCCCTCCCCCCACTTCCTGCAAATCCCAGGCTCTTGGCTGAGGTGGCTTGGGGGAGCTCCAGGACACCCACCCCCTCTCTGCCTCTTCTCCCCTTCCCCAGCCCAAGTTGACACCACAGGAGAAGCTGAAGCTGAGGATGCAGAAGGCGCTGAACAGGCAGTGTAGGTCCCACCCCTGTTCCCGGGCTCCTGCCTGTTTTCTCTGTCAGGCAGCACTGGGGACCCTGGCCCTAGCTGAAGCTGGAGGCTTCCCCTGGCAGGGAGGCACCTCAGGGAGGAGGGGTGCATCCATTTTGCTGCCATGCCCAGTGTTGGGCAGCCTGGCTCTTGAGGCCACCTCAGCCCTATGTCTTCCAGTCAAGGCGGATAAGAAGGCAGCTCAGGAGAAGATGATCCAGCAGGAGCACGAGCGGCAGGTCAGGAAGGAAGGTGATGGGGGTTCGGGGGGGGGGGGCCCTGGCCAGCCTGGCCAGTCTTTTGCTTTTTTGCCTCTGTGCCTCATGACCCCACTCTGCTGCAGGAACGGGAGGATGAACTGCGTGCCATGGCCCGCAAAATCCGGATGAAGTAAGGCCCCCTCCTGTGACAGTGCCTCACCTCGCCTACAGGGCAGTGCCTGGCCCTCCGGCTCCTCTCCCTGTCTTCTAACTGCAAGCCTTTGCTGTCCCTCGGCATGCCAGCTTCTTCCCCACATCCCCTAGGCCTCTCACCTCACTCAGAACCCCTTCCCGACCATCTGTCCAGAGCAGTGCCCAAAACCCTGTCCTTCACCTGGTATGAGCTTGGTGTTTTCTGTTAGGCACTTATGTGTCTCCTCTAAATTAGGTCTCTGTCCTCAGTGCCTAATAGAGTAAGTGGGGTTTTTTATGTTGTTTTGGCTTGCTAGATAGGTGCTCTACTGCTTGAGCCACTCTGCCAAGTCCACCAGTGTTTGGTTAAAATGTGAACTGAAGCCATTTGCTGGCTCACTGGTGGAAGCAGTGGCTTCTCTCTCTGCTTTCTCTTTTCTGTCCTCCATTGCAGTGTTGAGTTGGGTATTGGGTAAGGGTCCCTGAGCCTGGATCACAGATTTGGGGTTCAGTTCTGCCTGTCTCTCTGACCACGTGGCCCTGATGCTGGTACTTGCCTCCTGATGCCTCACTTGAAGTGGGACAGTCCTCAATATCCACCTCATGGGCAGCCAGGATTAGTGCCTGCAGGAGCTCAGCTCACCCAGGTCCCGTAGCACTATGTGTTAGCAAGGAGGGATCAGTCGGGCAAGGTCTTGTGCCTGAGTTGTTTCTGGTTCCACTCTATTGCTGTGAGTCAGTAAGCAGCAGCTCACCCTCTCTGAGCTGAGCCTCCTTCCTGAGACAGGTAACATCTGTGCCCATCCCACAGAGCTACTCCAGGAAGCCTATGCCCAACACCCGGACCTGTTGCTATTTCCACTTGTTGCTGTTGTGTTTACTGCACGTCCACGTGGGGGCTGCGGAGGAGGCCCTGTATTGCTCTTAAGTGGAGGAGGGCCAGGTGCTGGGGGCTTAAACCTGCAGTCGCAGCTACGCAGGAGGCAGAGATCAGGAGTATTGTGGTTCAAAGCCAGCCTGGGCAAATAGTTCACGAGACTCTATCTCAAAAAAAAAAAACTCATCACAAAAATAGGGCTGGTGGAGTGGCTAAAGGTGTAGGCCCTGAGTTCAAGCCCCAATGCCACCAAAAAATGAAAGTGGAGAAGGGCCATGCATTGTGGAGCATGCCTTTAGTCCCCAACAAGACCTTATCTCTGGGGGGAGGGTAGGAAAACCAGGCTGGAGGTGTAGCTTGAGTCACAGAGTGCCTGTCAAGTGCAAGGTCACGTTCAAACCCAGCACCACCAAAAAGACGGGAAAACAAAAAACCAGAAGAGCCAGGGACTCGGGGTTGTTGTCAGTCACACTTTGGCTTCTGATCTGGCTCTGCCACCTCACTGCAAGCCTCTGTCCTGTCTGAGCCTGTTTGCTGGTCTGCTCAATGGAGAGTCATCATCCCCCTCCAGGCGGACAAAGCATCCAGTACATGCAGCCTTGGGTGCCAGTCCTGCCCTGGCCACTCAGCATGTACCTGTCCCCACTGTCTAGTCCTCCCTCAGCCCTGCCAGCCAGTGTCCTGTGTCCAGTGGGACAGTGACAACTGCCCCCTAATTTTGCTGCTCTGCATGTCTTGAGGGGGTCTTAGCATATTTGTGTTCTCTGCAGCCCGCAGGTACTTACCCGTTCCCCCTGGTTCCCTCCCCTTTCCCCCCGCAGGGAGCGGGAGCGCAGGGAGAAGGAGAGAGAGGAGTGGGAACGCCAGTATAGCCGCCAGAGCCGCTCGCCATCTCCCCGTTACAGTGAGTGTCCCCCCTTGGCCAGGCTGCTTCCTGCACTGGACGGGGCTCAACATAAAGAAGTCGGGTGTTGTGGTTCAACCCTGTAATCCTAGCACTCAGGAGGATGAGGCAGGAGGATTGAAATTCAAGGCTAGCCTGGGCTATATAGGGAGACTCTCACAGCTCCCCCCCCACAAAAAAAAAACCAAAACAAAACAAAAAACGGGTGTGAGTGTGGCTTAAGTGGTAGAGCACCTACCTAGCAAGCTCCCAAGCCTTAAGTTCAAACCCCATTACCGCCAAAAAAAAAAAGCCAGGCAGAGTCACTAAAAATCAGGGAGCATTGTCCACGTGAGCATATAAATGAATGCTGAGCACAGGCACCTGTGTGTGCATGGTGGGTCACTTCGGTCTGAGGTCTAGGAATGAGGAGCAGTGCTGCTTTCCAGCACTCTGGCGGGCTGCCAGGGACAGTGTGCAGTCTCAGAAAAATGACACTGGCCTTCAGGACCCCAGCTCCAGGTGGGGAGGAGCCCTGGCCAGGCAGCTACCCTGTCATCACCCGCACTCCTTTCCTTTCCAGGTCGGGAATACAGCTCTTCCCGGAGGTGAGGACTAACCCCAACCCCACTCCTCTAGTGGCAGGGCTGGGCTCCTCTGTTGCAAAGCTCCTCCTCACAGCCCAGTCCCCAGTTACTGGAGCCCCTTCTGGTGGCCCCAGAAGTGCCAGTGTGCATGCACTGAGTTTCCCTGTGTCCCGACCACTCATGGACCTCCCCTTCTCTCTCCAGGCGCTCTAGGTCACGGTCCCGAAGCCCACATTACCGACACTAGGTGGAAGGGAGGGGTGAGGCCGGGTCCTGGCTGAGCTGCGATGCTGCTGGTTTTCTCTAGTGAAATAAAAACAAATGTTATTTAATGCCCTTCCCTGGGCCTGGTGTTGTCTGTGTGGTTGGTGTGGGCCTCAAACCCAGTGTCCACCAGCCAGGGTGGGACTTGGTCTCGCAGGGCAGGTGAGGATGCTGTGGTAATGTACAACCTGCTGCAGCCCAGCAAAGCCTGCTGGGAACAGGGGCCAGCTCCAGGGAGACCAGGCCTGTCTGTGGACAGGGCGTCTGGCCCAACCTGTGGAGGATGGGCTGCGACTCACTCTGCCCAGGGGCCTCTGGTGACAGGTCCAGACCTCTTCCCCGCCCTCGCCCGGCCCCTGCCCTGGCCTCACCCACCCCAAGAACCGGAGCACAGCTTTCTGTGCCAATCCTGTTGTGCCCTGGGCACTGGGGGCTGGCCTCCTCCTCACCCCCCTCCCCAAACCGGTCCATCCAGCTGTCCACCCCAAGGAGGGGGTGCCTCCTATTCCAAGAAAGCCAGAGGCCAGGCACGTGGTAGATAGTGGATAACATTTACTAACAGGGAAGGACAAGGAGGGACACAGAACATGGACAGAGTGAGGGACAGCACTTGAGTGCTCAGGCCACCTCAGGGTGTTTCTGGCGCAGGTGTTTGTCCAGGGTGGCCCGCAGGCCGAAGGGCACACAGCAGTGTGGGCACTCATAGCGGGTGCTGCCAGGCCCCAGGCCATGCATGCGGCGGTGGCGGTTGAGCTTGCTGCTCTGGGCGCAGGCGTAGGGACACTGGTCACAGGCATAGGGCCGCTCGCCGGTGTGTGAGCGCCTGTGCACTGTGAGGTTGCTGCTGTTGGTGAAGTGCTTCCCGCAGAACTCACAGCTGCCCCCGGGCCCACGGCTCTTGCCTCCTGACTTGGGGATCTTCTTGGGTGATACCTGGCTCTTTACAGGCTCAGTTCTCTGTGCTTTGGGGACAGGTCCCCAATCACCCCCCCTGGGGCCCGCCTGAGCCCCAAGGCCAGGAGCCCCTGGCTCCTGAACACCCGCTGTGGCTGCAGCTCCAGCCCCTTCACCACTACTATGTGGAAGGGTGCTGGCTGGTGTGGCAGCGTGGGCAGCAGGCTCTGGAGGGGCAGTGGAGGCTGGCTCCAGGCTTCTGGTGGCCATGCAGGGCTTGGGACTGACAGCTGCCGGTGGGTCTTCTTGTGGCGGTTGAGCTTGCTGCTCTGGGCGCAGGCGTAGGGACACTGGTCACAGGCATAGGGCCGCTCACCCGTGTGTGAGCGCATATGCACCTTGAGGTTGCTGAAGGAGCTAAGGGTCTTCTTGCACACCAGGCACGTGGGGCTGCGCCGGGAGATGCCACTCATGCCAGGGGCCTTGGCTTCAGGTGGGGGCCCCACTACTGCTGACACAGCCGCGGCCACCTCAGCCAGGCCCAGCAGCGGGGCCTCCGGGGCCTCTGATTCCGTCTGGTAGATGGACAGCCCATGGTCCCACTGGGCATGGCGCAGCAGCTTCCAGGCCCCAGTGAACTGTCGGCCACAGCGAAGGCAGCTCAGGGCTTTCAGCTCTGGGGGTTCTAGAAACGAGAGAAGGGGCAGGGTGTTAGTGCAGGTGGCAGAAGTCACAGGTTACAGTGCCAGCTGGACACCTTCCGGAGGAAAAGGCTCCACTCCAGGGGCCTGGGGCTCTGCAGTAACAAGACAGATGAAGTGACCTGCCTTTGAAGCTTCTGGAAGTAAGGCATTCTCTGCTGTGAGTGCTGAATACATGAGCACTCTGTGTATTTGAAAATAACTTTAAGAAAAAAAGCGCTATGTTAAGTCAATGTGAGAATGCATTTTATATTGGGGAAAGGGAAAGTCAGGAAGGCCTTGCAAAAGAGGTGACAGGCTAGGGGTGTGACTCAGTGGCAGAGCTATGTGTAGCATGCTAGAGGCCCTGGGTTCCATCTCTAGCAGTGGGAGTAAAAAAAAAAGACCAAAATCATGGAGTGCTTTTGAAGGTGCTGTGCCAGCATCCAAGTTTCATACAAAACAGAGACAGAGACATTTTCCCCAGGTCACACAGCTTGGAACCGGTGCGGGTGGAGTTGGGATTCAACCAGAAACCTGGGGAGTGGGAGCGGGTGGAGAACAGGTTTAAAATGGCTGGTTTGAACTCAGGACTTTCAAAGAAGGCCCTGTACCACTTGAGCTATAGATTACTGGGTGGGGTTTTGTGTGTCAGGTTCCACACAATGATCTGTTTTTCCCCTCTTGCCGCAGGTCTAGATGGGAGAGAGGACCTGCCCCTCCCCGTCACTGCATAGACCCCAAATAGGTCCCCCCCATTTTGGCGGGGGGTGGTGCTGAGGTTTGAACTCAGAGCTTCATGCTTGCTAGGCAGGCGCCCTATCATTTGAGCCACTCCACCAGCCCATAATTGACCACAAATTTGTTTTCTCTAGACCCTCTCAAATTGTTCCTAGATTTTTTAAAATCCTAGACAGCCTTGCATGGGGTGGCCCTTGGGATGCAACACTGAACCAGGGTCAAGGGCAAGAGCTTGGAGCCAGGCACTGGTGGCTCACCCCTATAATCAGGAGGATCGCCCAGGCAAACAGTTCTTTAGACCCCATGTCCAAAATAAGCAGAGCAAAATGAACTGAGGTGTGGCTCAAGCAGTAGAGTGTCTACTTTGCAAGCACAAAGCCCTGACTTCAAACCCCAGTCCCAACCCCCCCCCAAAAAAGAAAGTCAAGAGCTCAGGTGAAGGCTGCCTGACTGAAGTCAAATTCATAGCCCCCTGTTCCCTGGTCATGTGACCTTGGGTGAGACATCTTTGCCTCAGTGTCCTCAGCCATAGGGATCCCAGGGGCTCCCTCTGTTCCGGATCGTCCTGACCTCCAGTAGGGAACAACTGAGCAAGCTGGTTCATATAAAACCCTCAACAAACATGAGCTGACCCCCCACTAAGGTGCCCACAATTCCAAGTATTGGGAGAGTTTTGCTCTTGGGACTCCATCACAGCCCCACCCATGTCCAGCTACCCACCCTGTCTTATTTAATTATAGCTCCTCCCCCTCCCACCATCGGCCCTTCCTGGCCCAGCCCTGAATATATAATTCCATCTCTCAGCCCGGGGCTGGAGATTCAAAGGTTTGGATAAGTCCTGCAGCCAGCACTTGTAAGAAGTGTTACTTTGGTTCAAGCACCAGTAAAGGTTTTAATTCCCTCCCCAGAGAAGGGTGTCCCAAGTATCCAGCACCAAACCAGGGTTTTTCCCAGCGTTTAGGGCTGAAAAATCCAGAAGCCCCTTCCCTAACTCTGAACAAGCTGCCCCATCAGAACAGATGGGAGGGGGTGGCCTTCCCCTGCCCCCCTCAGGCCACTGCCCTCCCTAGAGGTACCCCCTGTTGCCACCCTGGTCCAGGCACCTGGCCAGTTATTTCTGTCCATGGGGAAAGAGAAGTGAAACCAGATTGGGGGGTGTGTGGCAAGTGTCTAGGCCAGTTAACTTCCTGGGGCTGGCCACACCCTGTGGGCGGTCCCCCTCCCCTGTCCAGCCTCCGCCCCTGCCCCACCTCTAGTCCCAGCCCTAGGACAGGCAAGCCCTGGCCACGCCTAGGCTGCACCCCAGGGAGCCAGAAAGGGGAAGTAAGGCTCGGCGCCTTGCCTGTCCACCTCGGCCCCCTCTCCCGCAGGAAGCCCAGCGCCTCGGACTGGAGAGGGGGCCTGCGCCGGGCTTGTCTCACCTGACACCTGGCCGGGGCTGGGGCCGCTGAAGGGCTGACAGCCCAGCTTCTTGTGGTCCATGAAGACAGTGATGGCTTCCAATGGGAAGGTCTGCAGGCAGCGGCCGCAAGTCAACAGATCTGGGTGTTTGTCGGTCCAGGGCTGACGGTCTGCAGGGAGGAAGCGGGTGGTGAGCGTGGGTGGGGCCAGGCTCGGGGTTCCGAGGGAGAGGGGAAAACCGAAGGCCAGAGGGGGGCCTGGGGGACAGGACCGGGCGAAGGACATAAGGCAGACCCAGGGGTCCATTCTCAGAGGAGTGGGTCCCACCTGAGGGCCACAGGGAAGGCAGGCTGGTCCCAAGGCCAGGGCGGAGGAGCGAGGCACGGGAGAACTCACCGGCAGGGTTAGGGGTCAGCGGCATCCACAGGGCCCAGTGGCTCCGCACGCCGAAGGCGTGGAGGGCGGCCCCGGCGGGCCCGGGGCCCAGGGACTGGCGGGGTTCGCCCCCGAGCCTCTCGGGCGCGGACCTGTCCTTCGGGGACAAGTGCCCCAGCCCCTGGGCCTGCAGGGACTGCGCGTCTGGCTCGGGCTTCACATCGATGACGAGGTCCGACATCTCCATCTCGTCGTCTGGAGTGGTGGCGGCGGGCACGGGGTGTACTCTGCGGGGCATGCTGCCGGCCTTGCGGCGGGACATGAGTCGCGGGCCGGGCCGGCGGGACAGGCGGGCTGAGGACGCACGAGCAGTGCGCGCTCGGAGCGCAGCGCTCAGGTGAGTGGCTGCGGCGACCCGCGGCGAACTTTTACACGTGCTGGCCAGGCTGTGGCTCCGCCCACCGGGGGCGGGGCCTGGCGGGAGAGGACAGGGGCGGCCCCGTAGGGGCCCAGCGGGAGGCCAAACTTAATTTACAGGCCTTGCCCACTGCCTTGGGCTTAATGACCAAACCTAATCCCTCCCAAGTCCACCGCCCAAGGAGGGAGTAGCAACAGCCCATTTTCGGGCTGGTGAAACTGAGGCACGGGATGCCTGCATGTACCCCGCAAGCCAGAAATGGTAGGCTGCCTTTCTTACTAGGCTCCCAATTATCAATCTAGACTACGCCATTAATTGCATTCCAAGAAAAATCCATTTGGCAACCATTTATTGAGCGCCTACTAGGCACCAGGCTGTGTAATAAGCGCTGTCCTAACAGAGTTCATACTTGGGGAAAAGTGCCTTTCATGATGGCAAGTACCATAGGGCAAAAAAAAAGGTAGGAAGGGGGACAGGGTTACGCCGTGCAAGGCTTTAGTTTTCTCCTGAATGCCTGGGAAGGGCAGACAGGTCAGAGTTGAGACCAGCCAGGACGCCAGTGCAATCAGGAATAACAAGGAGGGAGAGGAAGGAGAGAGAAGACAGGTCACTCAGTAAGGGTCATTTGGTTTTCCCGAGGCAGAAGCTCTGTCCCGGGGCTATTTCAGCCAAGGGAGGTTGTAATCCGCACACATCATCTACTTTCTTTGTAGGCCTGGGCTGTCCACTAAAACCACATAGCCAAGCCCCCACCTGCCTCTCATGGGCCCCCTCCAACTTCCCTCCTGTAGCAATTCTCTCTCTGAGCGGCTGCTGTTTGAAGTGGCATCAACACCCAGCCCCACCCTCAATCCTTTACAAGTTCTTTTTTCTTCCGGGCACCAACCCCATCACAGTATAGAACAGTCTGTTGACTGTCCTCTCCCCCACCCAGCGAAGCCCCTGAGGTTAGAGTCCGGGTCTGTCCTTCTGCAGGTGTCCCCAGCCCACCTGAGTGAATTCTGATGCTGATCTCCTGCCCTTCCTCATATTGTTATTCAGGTGTCGGCTCAATTGTCCTCCCCAGAGCCCAGGGCCTGCCTGACCAGCCCATCTAAAGTAACCCCACCCTGCTGAAGGCTTTGTAAATTACGCTGGATGACCTCCATCTGTCCCCAGTTCTCTCTTGGGCCTCAGTTTCTCCATCTTTCAAATTAGAGGACATTGGAAGTACAGGGTTATCTGAGGTAGTACTGAAGAAATCCACCCAGTTTTACCACCACTTCTCCACTGTCCGTCAATTTTATCTTCCTGAAAGATCTTGTTTATGTATTTGCTTATTTATATCTTTATTTATCCACTAAAATGTAGGAAGTGTGTGTGGGGGGGTGGAGATTAGAGCCCCTACTGGTTCATGACAATTTTTTTTTATGTCTATGGGGTCTCCCTATGCCACCCAGGCTTGTCTGCAACTTCCTGGGTTCAACAGGGAGAAAGTGAATTCCATCTGGGCCTAGAGCAGCGAGATTCACATTCCCCACACAGGGTCTCAGTTTCCCTTTCTGTTAAAAGAGGCTGCAGAGAGGGCTGGAGGACAAAATGACCGCCTCCTGTCATGCCAGGTGCTGTAATCCTTTTTTCTGGTTTGTTGCTGCTGAGGGCATGATCGCAAGGTTCCCTGTCGGGAAGGTGGGCTCACAAGGAAGGTGTCTGTGTGCAAGGGGGTGGGGGCCAAAGGCCAAACTCTCTACCCTTAACCCAGTGAGGTTGGGATGGGGGGAGTCTTTCCCTTTTGGAGTTTCAGTTATGTTCCTAAAAATGGACATCCAGATGCCCCGACTCGCCGGGTGACAGACGCCAGCAGGAGGTTCCCAGTGCAGTGCAGGGCGCGGAGCCTGTGAACGGACGGTGACCACGTGGGTCTGCAGCGGCGGCGGAACCCAGTTTCTGCGGCTCGCGGCCCGCCCGGGGCTCTCAGGCGGGGGCGCCGGCGGAAGTGGGGGCGCCAGCAGGTGTGGACCTCGGTGAGTAGCGGGCGGCCGTGGGGAGCCAGAGCGGGTTTCCCGGCCTTCGAGGCGGGACTGGTGGGAAGAGGTCATGGGGAAGCTGCACGCGGTGCGGTGCGGAGCAGGGGACATGACTGCGATGGTGACAGTAGTGACGGGACGGTGGCAGTGTTGAGGCTCCCGCCGCTCCCGGCGTGGAATCACGGCCCTCGGAGCTGGAGGGGAAGAATGTCCAGCCCGAAGCCCAGGGCGGAGTGGGAAGGGGACGCCCGGGGGCCGGGAGGACCCACTTAGTTTAAGAATAGGAGAGCGCTGGGTGGCCAGGGCGGAACTGAAAGAAAACTGACCGGCCCGGGGCGCAGGGGAAGAGACGGATTCTGTGCTCAGGTTCTGAGCTTCCAGCGGCCCCACTTGACGGATTTGCATCCCCGAGGAGCGGGTGTGGACAGTCTGCACCTTGGGGCCTGACCTTTAACCTGCTAACTCAACCTGGTCCTGTGCTCTGGAGACTGGCACCGGGTGGCCACGGAACTGATCCTTTTTCTTTCTTGCGGTGCTGGGGATGGAACCCAGGGCCTTGTGCATGCCAGGCAAGCTACCACTGAACTACAGCCCCCTCCGTTCTCATTTTCTTCTTTCTGTCTTTTCTTTTCTTTCTTTCTTTTTTTTTTTGAACTCAGGGTTCACCCTTTTAGGCAGCCGCTCTATCAACTTGAGCCACTCCGCCAGTCTGCTCTGGTTTTTGGAGAAGGGGTCTTGTGAACTATTTGTGTTGACTGGCCTCAAACCTCTACCCTCCGGATTTCAGCCTCCTAAGTAGCCAGGATTACAGGATTACAGACGTGAGCTAACACTTTCTTATCCAATTTAAATAAACTGAGATCTGAAGCCTTAGGAAGGGAGAACCCTGGAGTTCCCTGCCTCTGCCCTTGACCTACTGGGAATGGGTTCTTTTCTAACATTAGTTTTCCATATGGTGGACTATGGGTTCCGACATTTTTTCCTGCATCCTGAGGGCAGGATATCCCTGGTTTGGAACCTGAAAAGATAAAGGCCTCTGGGGACAGGTCACCAAGGAGTATGGATGATAGTCTTTGCCTTCTTGAACACACCCTGTGTGACCTTTCTCAAACCAGATCACACCCTCACTCTGGAACCTTCAAGTGCTCACTAGTGCTGGTGGAAAAAGTCTGCCCCCTGAGAGTACCAGGGGAGGTCCCACTCCTCCCCTTTCTGCCAATCTCCAGCTCTTACCCAGTAAAGAAATTCCAGTAAAGGATTTAACATCTCCCACTTCATTTCCCTGTAAGAAAAGTGAGGCTCCGTGGACAAGACCAAATCTCTCTCTCTCTCTTCCTCTCCCTCCCCTTCCCTCTCTCTACCCCTAGTGTAGAAAACAAGGATTTCCTTCATTATTATTTATTTATTTATTTATCCACAGTGCTGGGGCTTGAACTCACGGCCTTCAACTTGAGCCACTCCACCAACCCTGTTTTTGTGAAGGGTTTTTCGAGATAGGGTCTCTCAGAACTACTTGCCCTGGCTGGTGTCAAATGGCAATCCTTCTGATCTCTGCCTCCTGAATAGCTAGGATTATAGGCGTGAGCCACTGGCACCAACTATTTTTTTTTTTTTAGCAGAATTTTTTGGCTGCTGGTTTAATTCCCATCACTCATTTAGGAAGGTGTGGCTATTTTTCTTAAAACTTAATCTAGCCAGGTGCCCAGGCAAATAGTTGGTGAGAACCTATCTCAAAAATACCCACCACAAAACAGGGCTGGTGGAGTGGCTCAAGTCCTGGAGTGCCTGCTCAGCAAGTAAACCCCAGTACCACCAAAAAAAAAAAAAAAAAAACCAAAAAACTCTCAATCTAGTTTGGAGGAAGACCCTGGGGGCATGTGATCCTTAACTGAGTCGGAGTGATAGTGACCAGATAAATTAAAAATGTAAATAACCCTCAATCCCATCTGCCTTGGTCTCCCCCATCAGACAGAAAACCTTGGAGTCAGCTTTTTTTAAGTTTCTTCCAGTGCTGGGGATGGAACCCAGGGCCTTGTGCATGGTAGGCAAGCGCTCCACCACTGAGCCACATCCCCAGTTGGAGTCAGCTTTACCAGCTTTTTTTCTCAACCTAGGAAATCCTTGCATTAGTGAGAGCTTTTCCCCACCGTGTCTTCTACTGGGCTGCTGCAGTGACCTCCTCACTGGGCTCTCTGCTTCTTGGTCCCCACACTCCAATCTGCAGGCAGCAGGCAGAGGGCTCCTTCAAAGGCCTGGGCACAAGGCTCCTCCAGCTCAGAGCCATCCTGCTCCTTCCAGGTTCTCACCTCTGCCCACAAGGCTGCAGGAGCTGGGCCAGCCCCACCTGGCTATACCTCAAAGCTCCCTGTGAGGTCTTTGCCTTTTGGCTCCCTCTGACTGCAGTGCTCCCACCAAGTGGCTTCAGGGCTCCCTTCCTTATTTCATTCAGGGCAGTGCTGAGATATGACCTCATCATAGGGACCCTTCCTAAGCCTCCTTCCTGGAAACCAAGCTCTGTACCACCCCTGCCCCCCATGGCTGGCAGCCCCTCTGCTGTCCTGTCCAGCCTGCCCACTCTGCTCTGTTTACTCCTCTGCATTCAAGTCAGTGTGGCCCAGGAGGGCCACATGGGGCTGTCTCTGTCCTAGCTGCTTCTAAGAGGACCTGGTATGGGGCACAGGGAGGATGCTTGCTGATAACATTGGATAAAGAGGATAGGTGACTCTTTAAATTTCTGTCTAGAATTAAGGCACCATTCATTCTGTAAAATGGAATGTGTTCTTAGATGGAAGAATCTTTTTTTTTTTTTTTTGTGGTAATGGGGTTTGAACCTTGGGGCCTTACACTTGCTAGGCTGGCACTTATCACTTGAGCCACCTCCTAGCACAGTGAGACAGGGTCTCACTGTGTAGTCCACTGGCCTAGAACTCTCAATCCTCCTGCTTCTAAAGGATCACAGAGGAGTGAGCACCTCCTTGTGGCCTGGAAGGGTGGATCTTTACATGCTTTTAACAAATATTTCCAAGCCCCCACTCCACTCCTGCTCAGCCAGTATTTGTTAACTGGGGTGGGGATGGACTCATGAAGGAATTTGACATGTCCCTCTCAAAGGCTTATGTTCTGCTGGGCCTGGTGGATCATGCCTATAATCCCAGCCCTGGGGAGGCTAGTCAGGAGGATTGAAAGTTAGAGGCCAGCCTGGGTTATAGAACAAGATCCTGCCTCAAACCCCCCCCCCCAAACAAAAATGGGCGGGGTTGGGGCGTGGCTCAAGTGGTGGAGCACCTCAGCAAGTGCAAGGCCCTGAGTTCAAACTCCAGTGCTACCTCCCCAAAAAAGGCTTCCATTCTGTGGCAGAACAGGCAGCAGATGGGCAAATACACCACATAACGACTTTCCACACTGGACCACTTGACAGTGGTCCTGTAAGGTTATACTGGAGCCAAGAATCCTAGAGAGGGCACAGGCTTAGAGCAGCGCAGCGCACTGCGTACTCAGGGTTGTAGTCATGCTGGGGACACTTTCCAATTAACATACAAGCTTGTGCATGTGATTATGTGCAGTACAGAATACTCCACACTGCCAGTAAACTGCTACATTACTGCCTTATGTGTTTACTTTACTATGCTTTTTTTTTGGGGGGGTACTGGGGCTAGAACTCAGGACCTCACACTTGATAGGCAGGAGCTCTACCACTTGAGCCACTCTGCCAACCCTATTTTTGTGATTTTTTTTTTTTTTTTTGTGATAGGGTCTTGAAAATTATTTGCCTGGGGCCGGCTTTGAACCTTGATCCTCCTGATCTGTGCCTCCTGAGTCGCTAGGGTTACAGGGGTGAATCACCAGCACCCAACTAAACTTTATTTTTTGTGGTGCTTGTGAGAAACCTGGGACCTTGCACACTCTAGGCAAATGCTCTGTCATGCTACATCCCTGGTCCTAATTATTATTATTTTTAAGATAGGGTCATGCCATGTATCCCTGAATGCCCTTGAACTCAAACTCCTTCCACCTTAGCCCCCCACGTGCTGGTATTATAGGTGTCACTTCCACACTGGGCTTGGGCCATTGTTTCTCCCTATGTGTTCAGCATCATAGCAGGGCTGACACACTGATTGTGTCATTTAGTTCCCATGCCAGCCCTGTCTTACAAATGTGGAAACCAAGGCACAGTCACACAGCAATACTAATTAATGACAAGTCACTAGTTGGAGAACTAGTCTTTTTGTTTGTTTTTGAGGCAGGGTCTCACTCTAACCCCATACCCTAGAACCTTCTGACTCAGCCTCCTGAGCACTAGAATTTGGCCCCAACCTTGATATTTTTGGGAGTCTAGACCTGGGTTTTTTGGTGGTTGTTTTTTGTTTTGTTTTGTTTTGGTGGAAGGTCCCTCAATTAGGGTTTGGCAATGCATTTTTTGGCAGGAATACCAGAGAAGTGGTGTCCTGACCTGTTTTCAGTGTCCAATACTGAGATGTTGGTTTGATCACTGAGTCATTGAGCTAAGGGGATATCCATCTCCTTTGATAGGGTCTCAGAACTATTTGCCCGGACTGGTTTCAAACCTCAATCCTCCTGATCTCTGCTTCCTGAGTAGCTAGAATTACAGGCCTGAGGCACCAGTCCAGCTCATACTGTCATTTTAATTCTCACGTCCTTCCAGATTGGGCCAGCAGGAGCCCTTTGCAGGCAGCTCCCGTGGGAGTGAGAGTCCTTTTTTCTGTTGTTGATGGTACTGGGGGTTGAACTCAGGGCCTCACGTTTGCTAGGCAGGCTCTTTCTGCTTGAGCCACTTCACTAGACTTTTTTTCGGTGTTGAGTATTTTCCACATAGGATCTCTGGAACCATTTGCCCAGGTTGGCCTTGAGCCATGATCCTCCTGATCTCTAACTCTGGATTAAGCTAGGATTGCAGAGGCACTGGCGTGGCTGGGGCTGAGGTTCAGGTTTTTTGCTTTGGCGAATATTGATGGTCTAAACCAGGATAAGGCTTAGACGAAGGCAACCAAAAGCCTCTGTCCTGGGGACTTGCGGTGCAGCCTGATTGGTAGAATGTTGGCTTAGCGTGCGCAAGGCCAGGCCTTCCCTCCGCCGCACTGCAAAACCCAGAAGAGCTAGAAGCCAGGCATGCTGGCGCACACTTGTCATCCCAGCAAGCAGGCTGGGGCAGGAGGTGTTCAAGTTCAAGGCCAGAGTGGCCTACTTAGTGAAACTCTGTCTCAGAAAAGAAAAATAAAAGAAAGGAAAAAAGGTCCTGCCTTCGTGGCTCCTGGTTTTGCACATGTAATATTTTGATTCTGGCCCTAGGCTCTGGGAGAAGTCTGTGCCTGTTCTGGGGAGCTGGGGCAAGTGAAATCGGTTGAACAGGCAGGTGAGATGGCTGGTGGGCAGTGCCTACCCTTCCTCCCTCCTGGAGCCTGTGCCCCCCTTTAATCCCTTCCCTGTTCTTCAGTCAGCAGCCCAGACAATGCAGACTCCGCCAGCCATCCCTGTGCCTGTGCCTGTGCTCCGGCTCCCTCGGGGCCCTGATGGCTTCAGCAGAGGCTTTGCCCCTGGTGGACGCAGGGCTCCCCTGAGGCCTGAGGCTCCTGAAACCCAAGAATCTCTGGAATCGCAGGAGCAGCAGGCACGAGCTGCCCTCCGGGAGCGCTACCTCCGCAGCCTGCTGGCCATGGTGGGTCACCCGGTGACCTTCACCTTGCACGAGGGTGTGCATGTGACCGCCCACTTTGGAGCCACCGACCTGGATGTGGCCAACTTCTACGTGTCGCAGCTGCAGACTCCCATAGGAGTGCAGGCCGAGGCACTGCTCCGGTGCAGTGACATTATTTCCTACACCTTCAAGCCCTGAAGACATTGTTGCCTCCACCCCTCTTCCGACTCAGCCAGGAATCCCACACCTCCATTGTTCCGGGGCTGGAACTGGCCATGTAGAGTTCTCAACTCCACAGGAATTCTGAACCCAACCCCAGGCGACTCCAGATTCTTCAGACCTCTGGGACCCCATCTGGAACTCTGCAGCCCCAGGAATTCTAGATCCACTGAAAGGAATGTTCTACCTCAGAACTGAGCTCTGCAGAACCCGGATTGAAGAGGTTTGAAAGTTCAGCCACCTGAGGATGTCCTCAGTGCTCCCCTCTGCCAAAGATCCTATTGTTCCAGGAAAACTCGACTCTTGCTTTTCTTTTCCTTCTTTATTGTCCCCCCCACTCCCAGGCAGTGGACACAGGGTCTCACTATGCAGCCCAGGTTGGTCTCTTGCCTCTGGAGTGCTGTGATTACAGGCATACACCACCATCCCTGACTCCCCTGTCTTTCAGTGTACCTCGAGGAAGATGGGGACGGAGCCATATTTACGGGGTGGTAGGGTGGTTATCCAAGGTTGGAATTCTAGGGATGGACCAAGATAGTGAGGAGCCGGGATCACGGTGTGGACATTGCACCTCCGTTTGTTTCCGGGGTGGCCGGTTCCCCTCTGAACGGGGAGTTTGGACCAAATTTTATTTAGGGGTGGCCTTTTGCAAGTGAGGGGTGTGGCTCGTGCTGGGTCACAGGATGGGTCACATGTGCCCCTTCCGTACGTGATAGGCCACAAAGCCGCTTTTGGAGCCCGTGCGCGACTTCGCAGAAGCTGAGGATCAGTGGGTAGCAGGAGGCTTCGCAGCTCCGGCCTTGGAGGGGTGGCCCGTGTCACCGCTTCTATTAGCCCTGTCACTAGAAATCTCTCAGCAGGTGGTTCTAAGAAGAAAAAAAAGTTTCCGTCCCTTTTTTAGTCCCTTCAAGTTCCTAGTGTAAGTGAAGCCTTCCATTGTTGCAGACTATGGTGAACCGGGGAACAGCCTCGGCTGCCATCTGTCCATTCGCCTACTCTGGCCAGCACCCCGCCCAGCTCCCGCGTTGCCTCGGCAACGACGCGGCTCGCCCCGCCCAAGCCTCGTTTCCGGTTTCAGCCCCGCCTTCTCGAGCAAGGGGCGGGCTGGGAAAGCTAGGCGAAAGTGCGGGCGCCAATCCTGGGCTACCAGATCGAGCCCCGGGGGTGGGGAGCGGGCTTGTCCCGGATCCTGCGATTCACCTCCACCACCCGGTGTTTGGGTCGGCAGATTCAGCGCTCGTCTTTGAGATTTTTTTTCTTCCAGTTTTCTTTTTTCTTTAAAAAATTAGGCTCATGATGTTTTTCACGGACTTTTTTTTTTTTTTATTACGGTAGTCAGGTTCGAACCCAGGGTCTTGCGTCTCCTAGGCAAGCGCTCTACCACTGAGCTACATCCCCATCCCCACTCTTCTTTTTTTGAAACGGTCTCATTAAGTTGCCCTAGGCAGACCTTGAGACTTGCGATCCTTCTAGAAAGCCTCCCCACCATGCCAGGCTCGTGTTTGTTAATATTGTGCATCTTATGCAACGCTGCCACGCTCAGAGAGCTTTTGGTGAAACTGCAGTCTGAAAATGGAAAGTTAGAGGCTAACAAGAGATCAGATTTCCTCTCCAGACAGAGAATCCCTCTGTTAGCATCTGTCGCCTGTACGTACTCATATATCCATTGCAGCGCTGACCGCCTTTCTTTTCAATGCCTCCGTCCCGTCACCTCCTTCTCATCAGGTTGACCTAGCCACACCAAACAGGCGTTTTGATTTCTATCATCTCCATTCTCTTCCCCGTTATCTGGACTCGTGACGAATGTGCGGGAGCCCAAGCGTAGTTACTAGACGGGGACGGGGCGGCTCTGGTTCGCGCGTGCGTGCTGCTCTGGGAGACGGCGTCCACCTCGCCCCGCCTCTCATATTCTGCAATTCCGGCGCTGCAGATTCTCTGCTCACGTTTCTTTTCCTCATAGCGTTTTCCGCTTTCTGTTCGCCTCTTTTTGTTTCGCGAAACAGTCGTCCCTAGAAATACTGAAGCCGATTTTCTGCTTTCTTAGTACGTGGCAGGTTCCTCGGTCTTTAGCGAAAGTGCGACTGCGGACGAGCGGCTACGCGCGGGGCTCGGCGGAGGCGCACTGGGGCTCCCGGCGGCGACGACTACGACGACGACGACGACAAGGAGGAGGAGAGCGAACGGAGGCGGCGCCTGAGGCAGCAGCGGAGCCCATGCCCCGGGACGGCGGGCGGGCCCGGAGAGACGAGTTCGGGGCCCGGGGCATGTCCCCAGGGCCCCCGTGAGGAGGCGACGGCGGCGATGGAGATCCCGCCGCAGGAGGCGCCGCCCGGGCCGGGCGCGGACGCCGAGGCGGACGCCGACGCCGAGGAGGCCCCCGCCGAGGCCGGGTCTCCCAGCCCAGCCTCGCCCCCGGCCGACGGGCGCCTCAAGGCTGCAGCTAAACGCGTCACGTTCCCATCGGACGAGGATATCGTGTCGGGAGCGGTGGAGCCCAAAGACCCCTGGAGACATGGTAGCTACGGCGGGGGTGCGGGAGCGGGTTCGTGGCGGTGGCGGGGGGGGACCCGCGAGTCGGGAGAGGTCGGGGTCGGGACCCGCACGGAGGTGGCATTCAGTAAATTGCACCTAATATTAATTTAAAGAGCCAGTTGCTAACTTAGAGCTGGAGCCAAGAGGGCTGTAGGGCCGGGAAGGTGGAAAGTATTGGGTTTCTGCCACCACTCCCACCCCCCGCGTCGTTAAGGACCAACGTTTTAGGATTTAAAACGCTGGGTAATTAAAAGAAAGTTGGGGGGGGGCGGTTCGGGAAATGACTGGCAACCTTTGAATTCACCCCCAGAGAAGGATGGATAGGGCAATTGGGGAGCAACGTTGGCCTGGGAAGCGGGGGTTGGAGGAGTTCGATGTGGCCCATCGGGATAACACGACATTAAGTTGCTGGTCTGCAAGCCTCCTGCAAGGAGTGGCCATCCTGATCACTTTCTGGGCTGGAAGGAGGAAGAGGAATAAACCCAGACTGTGGCCGTAGAGTTGCCAAGTTTTGGGATTGGGAAAAGGAAGTCAAAGAAAACTCCCAAGAAAGGAGTGGGAGATGGTCAGTTTGCAGGTAACTGAGAAAGTCTAAGGTAGTGACAGGTCTTGGAATTCAAAAGAAGGGGAAAAAAAAAACCCACTTTGGCTGGGAGTGGTGATGTACATCTATAATCCCAGCTACTGAGGAGGTGGGGGTAGGAGGATAGGGTTTGTTTCTGTCTTAAAAACAAAAGTACAAACAAAAAGGGTGGGGGTGTGGCTCACAGAATAGAGCATTTTCAGGCCCTGAGTTCCATCCGAAGTACCACAGAAAGAAAACTAGAGAAAAAAGGCTCTGTGTGCAGTGCCTTCTCCTCTCACCCCATCCCCGAAAAGAAAGTCCCTTCATTCAGGAGCAGAGGGTTGCTGGTCAGTAGAAGGTGGAGGCACTGAAAGAGTTCAGTAGCTGGTGGATTCGAAGTCCCCTGGAGAGGCTGGGTCAGGGTTGGAGCTGAAGGTGCAACGGGAGGAGTGTGTGGGACCCACTGTGCTGGAAAGGTGGAAAGTCCAAGGAGACTGACACAGACCCGCCTCTGTGCTGGCAAAGCCTGTCAGTTTCCGCAGGGACAGGTCTGCTGGCCCCAGGGGTGGGGAGGCACTGTTGCCAGTCTGTGGGCATTGAGGGAATTGGTGGCTTTAAAATAAAGGTGAAAACATGGTCGCTGGGAAGGGAACACAAAGGGAGCCCCTGGAAATGCCAGTGTGGCTGGTTACTATCAACGAGGCCGTGGTTAGTTTAGACTTCTGGCACTGGGATCAGCCCAGTCCTTGGACACTAGACTGCAGGGCTGTGGGTATGGCGGGGGAGGGACTGGGGCTTAGGGAAGGAAAAGTCAGCTGGACCCTGGCTGAAGGCTCTCACCTCCAGTGCAGGAAGCAGCCTCAGTTCTGCCACTCCACCAGTGGGTGACAGTAGCTGTGCCACAGGGTTGACGAGGAGAACTGTGGTTGGCCAGGCTGAGCCCTAGTGGAGTTGCAGGTGCTGTTAAGGCTGGCTCGTGGGGTGGGGCCCGGGGTGAGGGCAGTTGGAGTGCTGACTCTGGTTGGGGTACAGTTTCTGGAAGGGCTTTCAGGAAGCAGGTATCCCTCTCTCAGCTCTTGTGGTTTTTGTCTGCAAATGGAGGTGCTCGTTTCCTTGTAGTGAGGATCCCACAAGACAGGCCTTGTCAGTTCCTGTGTCACAGCTGTTACCTAGGCAAATAGGGTCTGGTTTTTCACAGCCAGTCTTGGAGACAGGAGAAAGGTCTGAGGGAGGAAGTGGAGTCTGGGAGAAGAGAAGGCCCCAGAGCTGATCCGCATTCTCTAGGGAGCTGGTGGCAGTGTCCCCTTACAGTCATCTGTTCACGGAGCTTTAGTGAGAGGTAGAAAGCTGGTCAGGATGGAGAGGAAGTGGCATGGATGGGCCTGGAGAGGGCTTGAGAACTTGACCTCAAGGGCAAAAGACTTCATGTGAAATCCTGCTCCTTTCACTTCCTGGCTTGTTACTGCTCTGCGCCTCAGTTTTCCCAACTGCAAAATGGGTGACCGCCCAGGATTGGAATCCCAGGGAACACTTGGGTGGGTGTTGGGCCTGGCGGGGAGGAGCTTGTGGAGTTGTGAGTTTGCACAGTGGGATTTGAAAGGCCAGAAGCCCAGAGGGCCTGGCAACCCCAAGGAGCAGGTTCGGACCTCTGTCCAGAGGACAGGGTAGCTGCTGACCTTGGGGCTGCAGGGTGCAGAAGAGGAACTGAGGTACAAAAGGTCAGGCAGGGCCGGTTGCGAGTGAGGGGCTTGTGTGGGGTGGGGCTGCAGGGCTCAGCGCTTGGCCTGGAGTGGGAGACTTGTAGTTGCTCTGTTAGCCCCAGGTGGCATTTGAGCTGTAGGCCCAGTGGGAAGGGTGGAGGGCACTTGGGACCTGCTGGGTGGCATGACCCCTGCCAAGACCAGGGAGATTGAGGAGCTGGCAGGTCTGAATTGAGGAGCTTAGTCACCAAAGCTGTTCTGCTTCTCATGGCCCCCCTTCCCTACAGGCCCAGATAGAGAGCCTGTGGCTGGGTAGAGGACTGGAGGTAACCTGAGCTGGTGGAAGGAATTTGGGAGGGAGGGAGGGTCTCAGGGACCAATCTCCTTGATGCCTGCCACACTGGGAGTGGGCGAGCAGGTGCCCAGCCCAGGGCATCCAGCAGGGTGACGGAGGGGCTGACCTGGGCCGAGCAGCCTGGGCCCTTGGCAGCAGTGCAGTCTTCGGCCTCTTGCTGGGCCCTGTTTCCAAATCTGTACCAAAGAGTGGTGATCTGTGCCCTGCAGACCGTCCAGAATGTCTGAGGAGATGGTGGTGGTAGGGACAGAAAAACAGAACAGGTGTGTTGCTGGCAGTGAATCTGGGTGGGGAGGCTGGGCGGAAATCAAGAGCAGAACGGGCACCTTTGGCACTGCCAGGCTGGCACGTGGGTGCCTGGGAGGGGGCTGGCTCATTGCCCCCACCGTGAGAGGCAGACCCTGCGGTCCCAGTGCTTCTGAGGGCAGGGCCGACTGGTCTCCCAAGCACAGCTGAGCTCTCTGGGCTTTGTGAGAGGAACTTGTGATCAGAGCACATGACACCGGCACGGTCCCAGAGATGGTCCCCCTCCCTCTAGTTCCGCCAGTGACTCATTGCTGGCTCTGACCAGAGTCCTGCAGTGTGTAGCAACATTGCCCCCCCAGGAGGTACCGCATGTGGAGGGGTGGCTCTGAGCGTCCACATGTGTGTCTCTGGCCACCTGAGTTTGGGAGGTAGGGAGGGTATTAGGGTGGTAGCTGCTGTTAAGACCGAGGGGGTGGCAAGCCACGCTGTTTGTCCTCCCAGGCCTGTGCTGCACTTTCTTCCCTGAAACTGGTTTGACAGGTAGAAGCCATCTGGTGGGAGGAGGGAGGAGGATCTGGTAGGCATTTGGAGTGAGTCCTGGTATCTGGGGAAAGTGGCTCAGCCTCACCTGCTGCCACTGGAGTTGGCACATTGACTGGCACTGGGCAACAATGGGATGGGCGCTGGTTCTCTGTGAGCCTTGATTTTTCTGTCTGTAAAATATAGCTGGTGCAGTTTGTCCTCCCTTGGTGACAGGGATGGTGATAGGTGACAGTAAGGATCAAGCCTTTAGCTGAGCACCATGCCTCCTGCGTCCTATTCCTGTCACCACACTCCTGTCCCACCCACAGTCACTTCGCCTCTGCGCTCATGCACTCATCCTTCTCACCAGTGACCCTGGCAGCACCCCATTTTCTCTCAGGACCTCTCCTCAAGATGCATGCCCCCACCTGACTCATGGGGACGCTGGCCTAAGGTCTGACCCAGTCTGTCTCGGGTTTCCACCTCTTGAGTTGAAGTGGATTCAAAGCGTGTCAGCCCACCAGCAGGGATAGACAGGGTGCCAAGACCCCAGCCCTCCAAAGCCACAGATGACAGCCAGCTCTCCCCAGCCAGCGCCCCGGATTCACTTACCTCCAGTTCTGGCTTTGTGTTAGCACATACCGCCCTTCAAGGGTAGAGGCCATGTACAGGCCACCTTTGTGACCCAGTACATTCACGGGACCAATGGGGACGGAGCTAGGCTTTTCTCAGCTCATACTTCACAGGGCCTTTTGGGAGGATGTCAGGTAGCTGAGCCACTTTGCGCCATTCTTCAGCACAAAGAACGGGCTCTTCCTCTGAAGTGACAGGCAGGCTCTGGTGAGCCCCAGAAAGCATGCAGATCTGGCACTCAGTGAATAGCCACTGAGTTACCAGGTGTGAGTGCATTTTTTTGGGAGCCAGACAGCGAGCACCAGCTCTGAAAGGATTAAGAACTATGGCGCTGCTTGCCTGGGGCAGGACTGCAGCATCACCCAGAGATTCCTGGCAACTTCCCAGTCCATCTGGGCTCCAGCGTGGCTATCCCTGGGCTCAGGCCCTTCCGCCCAAGATCCCAGCAGTGCCCTCTGTGCCTGAGTGAGTGCAGGTGGCTGGGACTGACCTCACACTTATCTGGAGCCCATGGTCAGACAAGCACTGAACTATCTGGTCCCAAAGGACATAGGAACTCAGGCTGCAAGAAAGCTTGCAATGCCCACTCCAAAGGCCTCTATGCCTTTGGAAATTAGTTCAGCAGGAAGGTGCCCCTGGTACCAAGTCCCAAGTAGGTTAGCAGTGAGGTAAATCCACTGAGGTCACGCCACCCACAGCAAGTGGCCAGGCTGGGGTTCATGCCCACATAGTCTGACCCCGGAGCAGGACAGTGCAGGAACCCTGTGTATGGTTGTGCTCAGGTCATCTAGACACCATGACCTGCATGAATGCAGGGCAGTTCTGGCCTCCCACGGTGTGGCAGGGCCAGGGAATGGACAGAGTAAGGGGTACTTGGGAGGTGTCGCCAGTTCCTGTGCAAATGCAGAGACCCAGGAGGGCTGGGTTGCTCCTCTGTTCTCAGTATTGGCTGCTTGTTCTGT